TCATACACGATTTTTGTAATCCGACCCGTTCCTCTCCTGTAGATTGGACCCTCGCTCGTTTTCATGAAGACGAAGTTGCCGTGAATGTTTAGTACAAAACGTTGATCAGTCAGAAAGCTCGTGTACAGTATTACGTTACCCAGTTGGTGCACTGAATGGCGCTCTTCCGGATGGGAATTGCCGCTGAGTCGACTCGACACAGCGGCAATTCGACACTGTCGACAAGGCTTTAATCGCTGGGCAGTCACAATCAGACTCACTACTGTTAAGCGGCAGTCTCGTTAACCTCCCGAGCTACTTGTAGCGACATGCTGTCGACAATTTTAAGGCTCGCGGCAGTCTTCACAGCCCTGTTCACCTCCCCCACGCAGACTTCTACGGCTCACCAAACCACTTCAACGACCCAACACCAGCGCAAAGACCACCAGAATGCCAAGTCAGCAGATTGGCCATCGCTTCGCTTCCACTTCGCACCAGAGGTCGCAAACGGCCAGCCGTAGCCGTACGGATAGTTTTTGGCCGTGGACGCGGCCAGCCGAAATCTCTCACGGGTGTGATTACGGATAGCCACGGCTGTCCGGCCGGACACCACGGCCGGCTGCGGATAACCGAGATTCATTGCGATATCAACTTTAGCTGTTCTAGCTTCGATTATTATAGCCAAAAGGACTGCACTTGACGTTGATAATGAGTATTGTGGCTAAGGGTAGCGGTATTGAGTCCTCCAGCGTTGAATAATTTTCGTATCACCAGTCAAATGTAGAAATAGCTTGGTACGAAAATATCAGCTGATTTGCGGCCAACCGAAGCCAAAATATGCCGGCCAGCCACGGCTGGCCGAATGAAAAGCACGGCCGTGAGGAATTACCATGATCCAGTAGAAAAGTACTGGATCGCCCCCCAGGCCGACTGAAAAACAAACTACTGTCACAGTATTTGCTAAGTTCGTGATGCGTATTTGTCAAGACGTATCTACTTACTTCTGCGAGACTGGATCCTTGCGCTGCGTCGTGTCGGTCGTCGATGGCGAGTCCGACGTCTCCCTCTTGCCGATTGGTAGACCCAGATGAAGTCGATCGATTCGCGTTCGAACCGTAGCTTCAGGCGCATCGGAGCGCATCGGAACGTGGCTTCCCGGTTCCCATGTAAGCTCCCGGTACCCAACCCATTGAATGAGATAATATACTCTTACGTTGATCCACCTTTTCGCGTATATTCGCTCAAACTCATACGGCTGCCCATCCACGCCTCTCTGGGCCCTTCGATTGCTTGCGAAGAGGCCACCACCCCTACGTCGTTCTTCTCGGAGTCCACCCCCGACTGATGTTTCTTCCTCTTCCTGCTCGTCGGTGTCTTCGTCGCTGACGTCATGAGCGGAAATACCGGGATTCAGTCGGAGACGGTAAAACGAGCCGTCCAGGCGGCGCTGGATGTTCCGGGCGTGGCGCTGTCGTGGGTTAAGGCGTGGCATTGAGCACAAAGCAGAATGGGGCTTGCCGAAGCGCTGAAAATGTAGTTCGCAGTCTATTTCTATTCTAAGTGTTGCCTTAAAATAAATACAGTAGACTTCAGCCCGGAGGTCAGGTTGTGATTTGGCTAAATCTAACGTAGTTAAATTGCACAATTCAGATTGCAGATCAACGTAGCATATTGCACCATTGCGGCTTAAATTATATAAAAAGGGTGTACCATGGAGTGGTACATTCGTAGAGTTCCTACTCCGCCTAGAGTTTAAGAGATTTTCACGAAATATTTTACTCGCGTGTTCTTAAGGCACAACACTAGAGATCTATCGGTTTAGATTTTTAATATACCTTACCCAAATATGACTCAGCAACACTTGCATATTGGTTAGAATTGTCGGAAAGCACAATATCTATTAATTATGAAGTGTTGTTTGTCAAAAATACAGATGGATAAAGTATAAATTGGCTTTGCCCGACGAAGCTTATTCTTGTCCCTACAGCGCGTTTTTCACAATCTTTCGCTTGTGTTGTGGCCTCTTCCCCGGCTTCAACCCTATTTTACCAATCCGTTCAGGAGTGGGTTCAAGTTGTGGAGGAAGAATTGTGTCGTCCCGCTGTAAGGTTGCTGTTGTCGGCCAAGGGAGAAATTTGAATGTGTACGTATCGCGGAAGTACTCGATCGGCATACGCTTGGCGACATACAAGTCTTCGATTCGTCGGCCATCCTTTGAAGCAGCGCAAATTGCGTAGACACAAGGGAACATTTGGTCTTGCCAATTGCCGCACGTGCGCTCCAGCGCTGGCAAATCCACTACCCGGTCTGGGTGCACATATCCTGGTATGGCAACAGGGCTCTTGATCAAGACGCTGTACGCACCCTCGAGAAGGGGTGTAAACTCGCACATATCAGCTGCAGCTTGGCGGTCTGTACGTCGCTCTAACAACTTGGGGACTAAATCCGAGAGTGCGCCAGATTTTGCCCACGTTACAATCAATTGTCGCCTTTTGGACATCAGTTGACTCAGCTTCAAGAAGTACAAGTGGAATCCGTCCTAGGGTTTGGCGGTCCAAAGCTCTTTACCCATCCAGTTGTTCGCTTGCTCTGGCGAATTTGAGGTTATTTCGTCGAAAGTCGGGAGATTAAACTTTTCTTGGAAACTGTACTTCACCCAGTGAGCACGTTCGATTCCGTCCAGAAAATTCGCAGTGGCAGGGTTGTTCACGGCGAGTTCACTTCGATACAGCTTATAGTCATTTTCACAGTCGCTGCGTGCCATTCGGCATACCCACGCACGGTCTTCCTGGGACAACCTGGAACATTTCCTGTTAATGTTGTCCATGATATGCCGCAGGCAGTATCGATGGCCAGCGTTTGGGAAAATTGTCGCGACAGCTGGAAGCAGACCTTTATGTCTATCCGACAATATCGTGAAGTTTTCCCAGTCAACTGCCTCCTTGAATGCTCCCAGGAACCAAATCCAATTGGCCTTGTCCTCTTGTGAAACCAGCGCGAGTCCAACTGGAACGATGTGGTTGTTGTAGTCTTTCACGGTAGCTACCAGATAAATGCCCTGTTCGTGCATTTCCTCTTTAAGGTGGACCCCGTCAAAGCCGACCATCTTTTTGCAGTTCTGGGCAATGTGAATACCAGCGTTAGGGATGAAGCACGCTCGACCGAACGACGATGCGTCCGCGGCAGTTTCCGCTCTCCAAACCGATCCGGGGTTCTTGTGCACCATCAACACGAAGTACACCCGCAGTTTTTGGTAACTTTCTACCAAGTCGCCGTGAATTTTGTCGTCAATTTTCTGCTTCATTCTGGACACCGATGTAGCGCTTACGTCCGCTTCTTTCGATTTCAGAAAATTCCCGATAGCGGCGCCTGACATAGAAGCCGTAGATCCATCGTGGGCGGGAAGCATCTCGGTCTCGACAATCGCTGTCAGCTTGCTTATCTGCTGCGTGGTATTCCGCATGGGCTTGGACGGCAACGGGATGGACCCTTCAACACAAGGGGCCTTGGCACTACCAACGAACTTGAGGTGATTGTGCGCAAAATTTGCCTGGGTTATCTTCCACTTCCCCGATTTCCCGTGAACATTCACGAAAAACGGACACGTGAGTTGGGCAGCTGGTGTAGTCCGGTCGAAATATTGCGTTCCATTGAGCGCCTTGCACGCAAATTGCGTATTACCGGAGTTGTCGGCCTTCACACTGGTCTGCTTCACAAAAATCTGGAAGCCGCACCTCACAGCCAAATCTTTGCGCTTGCTGTGGACTGCTTTTTGTGAAGAAAAGACTGAATTGGCAATATTCTCTCGGAGCTGGTAGGCCAAGCCATACGTTGAGCTTGTCGGGTTCGTCGACTCGACTGCAATATCGTCCCTGAGTAGTCACAACTCCTTGGCAGCTTCGAGATCAGACACGTCGAGTGAAAAGCGAGCAGAGCCGTAGTTTGGTTTTTTTTGCTCTTGACTTGGACATTTGCACAATGCAGCAGACTAAGAGAATTATTTATTATTCAAGTCTACTTGGTTTTTATTTAGCACTAGCCTTCGAAATCTTACCTCCCACGTATCTATTTCAGGTGTCCCGCAAATAAACCGAGAGCTCGAAGTTAGCCCATAAATGGTGGCGTGCCGGGCGTACTTAGGATTTTTTTACTGTATGAAGAAAATAGCCGTCGGCCTGGGGGACGATCCAGTACTTTTCTACTGGATCATGGTAATTCCTCCACGGCCGTCCACGGACAGCCGAATCCTGCCTCGAGGTTGGCACGGCCGGATACATACAACCGGTTTTCAGCGTTTGCGACCTCTCCTTCGCACTCAAGCGCAGCTCCATGAAGGTCCGAGTTCTCCATGGACGCTACCCCCGTTCTGTCGGCTGGTAGTTCTGAAGTGCTCTACGATATCTTCGCCCAGTTTACTTAAGACGGGGCTCGCTACAACTACTCGGAGGTGCACGGCAAAGCTTACCTGTCGACTACTTCCATATTAGCTCCATTGGTGGAGTACGTGGATTCGAACACTTGGAAAATCCGCAATCAACCTAGCCGAGCTCGTGTCAAGCGTATCTGGGGGTTTAAGCGACCCCATCGAATGCACGTCAGGTAACTTGTTCAAGGTGTTGGTGAACGGCATCAAATTCGCCTTGTGCTCGTCCGGCTCGGCAGGATTCAAGTTGTTCGGCAGCAGCATGGACGTCTCGGTTGAATAACTGAAGCCTCGAACAGAGATAGAAGAGCCCCAACTAAGCGCCAGCAAACGCAGCGAGTGCGCCACTACCGCTATCCCAAGCCTAGTCACCTCGCTCGGAAGATCATTGCTCACCGGAAGTCCAATTGCTGTGAGTGACAAGCGCAAACTGAGAGCCGAATTTGATTTTTCGCTGGGAGATTCGTGTTCCTGCAAGCCCAAGTCACGTCCGTGTATCTTCGTGCACGGTTTGGGAGTCAAGAGCGAACACGCAGAAAACCGAGATCGGTTCTACTACTGGGGCGACTTGGAAGGTCACGCGCCGTGCTGCTCGTCCATGGAGTACACATACCTCAACACGTCGGGTAAACCCTGGACAAGCGACTCACTGCAGCAAAAAGTCTGCGATCGAGTTGCTGCAGTGAGCAAGACCAGCTCAAAGTCCACAATCTCCGATACCATCGTCGTCACACACTCGATGGGGAATTTGATGCTGGCGGGAGCGATCGCGAATGGGAAGTGTAAAACTGGACCCGAGTTCAACGTGGGTGGGGATCGCAGGTCCCATGAAGGGGAGTATGTGCTCTGACTTCGTTCAAGACTCGTGTGCTGGGAACCAAGGGTTTCTCTTAAATGCCTTCGCTCAAGTGACTGGGAAATGCCCACCCCAGCCTGGACTGAAGAGTTTACCCTACCAAGGTGGGAACTACAGCTCTCCAGAGATTGACGCAGCGTATAGTGCCGCACAGGAGGCGTATCGAGCCAATGTATTCGCAGCGATGTGCAGTGGGAAATGCTAGACAAAAGTACTATGACATTACCAATAAGTACCACTAATCTGGTACATCAAATCTGATGCAGTCGGTAGCTGCAGACAGACATGGAGTACATCAACTACTAGAGGCCCGAGACAGACACCGAGTACATGCAGTACTAGAGCCCCGAGACCGAGTACATGCAGTGCTGGAGCCCCGAGACCGAGATCGAGACCGAGTACATGCAGTGCTAGGGACCCGAGACAGACACCGAGTACATGTAGTACTAGAGGCCCGAGATCGAGACCGAGTGCATGCAGTACTAGAGCCCCGAGACCGACAATGAGTACTTGTAATACTAAAAAACGGTATTTAGATCAGTCAGATCTTGTTAGTAGGAAGCCTGCTCCACGTCCTGCTCCACGCTCAACGTCCTGCTCCTTCTTGAGATCCATCTCCCCCTCTTGCTCTACAGCCACCTCCAGCTCCACGTCCAGGCTCCATGAACAACTTCAACTCGAGGGCGCCGGGTTCAGGTGGTCAGCATCAGTAGTCGGCGGCGGCGTCAGGATTCACCGCGATCACAAGGATGCCAGAGACCTTCATGTGAAAAAACATAGGATGATAATAGGAAATAATGTCTCCAGTCCGTAGTTGCTGCTCCCCATTCTCCTTGATCAACGCAGCAACACTGGGAAGGCGGTGGTGGGCCTCCATTCACAGCCCAGAGACAGCCACATCACAGTCGCGGTTGAGTAGTAGCTTTGCGAAGAAGAGGCTGGCAGAAAAATAGGTAAAGTGAGGAGGAGGAGGAGTTACGGTCGGCGGCCAAGCGTAATTGGTAAGTGGCTGCTCGGAATGATTAGATGTAGAGACGTTGGTGACTAGTACTGCAACACTAGCACTGCATCTACTCGGTGTCTATCTCGGGTCTCTAGCACTGCATGTACTCGGTCTCGGGGCTCTAGTACTACACGTACTCGTCCTCGGTCTCGGGGCTCTAGTACTGCATGTACTCGGTGTCTGTCTCGGGCCTCTACTAGTTGATGTACTCCATGTCTGCCTGCAGCTACCGACTGCATCAGATTTGATGTACCAGATTAGTGGTACTTATTGGTAATGTCACGGGTCCCTAGTACTTTTGTCTAGCATTTCCCATGTGCAGAGAGAGCTACACAGGTATGGTATCGCTGTACCAGTCGGTCTTCTGGATGCTCGGCAAGGCTGTTCCTCACAAGTCGGAGAGGAATGACGGCATGGTCGAGTTCGACAGCTGCGCTGCGGGGTTCCCGGAGTCGAAATTTGGCGCCAACTACCGTGATCGGTTCTACAAGACGAGGTTGAACCACTTCGACATGGAATTTGTGGGCGGCGATGCGCTGCTGGATGAGTCAAAGATGCCGGTGAAGTGGTTCGAGTGTCTTCTGTAGGGGATCGACGGAAATCTTAGTCGACGACACGTACTTGTAGTAAATTTGGTTGAGTTGCCTGTACATACTTTGAAGTGGATTAAACCAAGGACGGTGAGTTTGAATTGAGTTTCCATAACGAAGTTCCATAACGAAGTACTAGACGGTGGAATAAACTGACGTTACCGTACTATACAGTACTGGTATAATAGTCCGCCCTGTAGCTCTCTGTGATCCTGGAATGCTTTCGTTTCAACCACCGCACTCCACCTCGCCAGCCCAGTTTAGTTCAACCATGTTGTTGCATCGCTTTGCCCCAGTACTGTGTACGTACATGTAGTTTTCTACCCACCTGCTGGGGTCCAAGAAAAGCGTCCTCCAGCATCTTGGGCTTTGTTCTCGGGAAGAGCCAATCGACACCTCGCTGTGTGGTGAATTGGGCGAATTGATCGCAGTAGAATCCACGCGGACGACCTCGAAGTCGCAGCGATTTGAGCGCCAGAATATTCGCGAGCGCTTCCAGCGCATCATGTGTTCACGGACAGCAGGATAAATTACCAACGGTTGTGTGTGCTCTAGGCGCTAGGGTACCGATAATGAACACATCGCCAAGTTCATTTCATTCCGCATTTGTGCTGTCCGAGCGCTCGACGAAGATGGCCCCCTCTCTTCTGAACGTGGCGGTGGCCTTAACCGCGTTGCTTTCGTTCGCTTCGGAGACTGAGGCGTTTCGTCGCAACCTCCAGAAGGGGGCGCCCCTGGGGACCCCGTTGGAGTGGCCCGGACTGCGCTTCCAGTTCACCATCAAGCAGAGCGCTAAGAACGTGTTCGGCCAGTCGGACATCTCCATGTACGCCAACCCCGTCGTGTCCAACAACAACGCCAAGGTGCTGTACGACGTGTACGCCACCTTCACGGAGAACAACACGCTGCACAACTACACGCTCGTGGACAGCGTCGCGTACATTGAGGACACGCCGTTCTCCAGCGGCTCGGGGGTCGTCACCCCCGTGACCAAGTGCATCGACTCAGAGTCAGGTGCTCTACCCGCGGTCAACGCCATCGTGGCGGGGATCAACGACGCGAAGAACGCTTCTACCCCATCGGGAGCCAACGCCACGGCCGCCCCCACCGACTGCTACGGCGGCAGCTCGTACAAGACGCAGGTCAACAAGGTCGAGTACACTCTGTGCGCCAACGGACCCGCGGGCTTCACGATGAAGAGCAGCGACATGGACATCTCCGTGCTCTACCTGGAGAGTCAGATTGAGGTAGTACCCCCTACGTTGAACGCCGCCAAGTGCCCGCGAGTGGCCATGCCCACGGCGGTGACCCCCATCGGCCACTCGCTGCTCACGGGCGAGCCTATCTCGTCTAAGAACGCTCGCAAATTGAAGTCTGCTTTTGATTTCTCGCTGGCTGCGTTGGATTCTGTGACTGAGAGTTCGTGTACGTGTACGTCCAAGCCGCGGCCGTGCGTCTTCATCCACGGTCAGGGGCTGCAGCCAGAGATGGCCGAGAACCAGGACTCTTTCCCTCATTATTGGGGGAATCTAACGGGCCACGCGCCGTGCTGCTCGTCCATGAAATACGCTCGCCTCGACACGATCCACAACGCTTGGAACAGTAAAACTCTACAGAAGAAGGTCTGCAATAGAATCCTCTCAGTGAGTGACACCAGCACCAAGTCTACGATCTCCGATACAATCGTAGTGACGCATTCAATGGGGAATTTGATGCTGGCGGGTGCGATCGCTAACGGTCTGTGTGAGCTGGACTCGAGCTCGACGTGGGTGGGTTTGGCGGGGCCTATGAAGGGCAGCATGGCTTCAGACTTTGTCCTAGACTCGTGTGCGGGTAAGACGAACGTTGTGCTGGAGAAGTTTGGGGAAATCACGGGGAAATGCCCCGCCAAGATCTCGATCAAGTCGCTGGCGTACGAAGGCGAAAGTTACAGCTCCCCAGCGTTGAATGCGGCGTATACAGCAGCGCAGAAGGCTTATAAGGAGAACGTCTACGCCTTGATGTGCGGGGAGGGCTTCTCCGGCCTGCTGTCGACGTACCAGGCGCAGTTCTGGGTGCTGGGCAAGTTGGTCCCGCACAAGTCGAAGCTACACGACGGCATGGTGGAGTTCCAGAGCTGCGCCGTCGGATTCCCCGAGTCGAAGTTTGGAAAGTCGTACCGCGACAGGTTTTACCGGACGAAGCTCAATCACTTCGATATGCAGTTCCTGGCGGGTGACTCACTGCTGAACGAGGCCAAGATGCCTGTTAAATGGTTCGAGTGCTTGCTGTAAGGCAAAAGAAGAGATCACTAGAATTTGTATTTGTTGACTTTCGGAGTCACTATGAACCGTTAATTCTCTTACTTGGGACTGCGTCGACCGACTGTCCTGCTGACTACGTACTGTACAGTATGCCTTCATATTGATGGCGTTACGAATCGTACAATAACCTGAGAACCGAACACCTTCTGCTTGGGATTTGATGTCACGCGGCATCATCACCCCTGCCGTCTGTACCCACGGTGTCCCAAGCATCACACCCCCAGCAGTTCCGGAGAGTCATTAAAGTAACATTGAAAATCCGCCTCAATGTGTCGGATCAGTAACATTGATTGTGTACAATGTTGTGCGCCATTAACATTGAGTCAATGTGAAATTTAGGAAACGGGCGTCGTGTGGTTGCAAGATACTTCCAAGCTGTGTAATCTAGTCGACAAGCCCCTCCCAGTGCGCACAAGCGCCCAGTAGCAATTTTGCGGGTTTGGAGTGCAAGCGGTATCCCCTGCGCAACGCGAACATCTAGCAGCACCGCTGCCGAGCCGAATTCGCTGAAAACTAAATTCGCTGGTGCTGAATTCGCTGGTGCTGAATTCGCTGATACTGTATTCGCTGAATCGAGATAGCTGGCGCTGGATAACGACACTTTTGTGCCACTGCAGACGGGTCTCGTCGAGCAGACAGGCAGCGTAGCCATGCGCGCCTTTAGGTTTCCAGAGACAGCGGACTCCGTCACGGAGGACGATTCCGGTAACGACAGGTATTGTAACAAGTTGTTCCTGCATTGCGACTCAAACGTGCTTCCGCTTTATTTGCATTTAGATTGCGATGTTCAGCGGTTTGAAAATGAACCCACGATCTCTAGGTCTATAGCATCCACGGGTGAGTTGTTATCAATCGATAATTGGAGGAGGCTGGGCTGATGTATCTTCTGTCTTTAAATGTGAATAGAAATCCCGTTCAAAACGCCTAAACGACTGCAAGCGCTAAGAAGGCTTCCAAATCAAAGCGAAGGTCCCTTAAAGTCGCTCTCAGTGATTCAAATCGCCCCGGGGTGGTCAGTTGCAAGCAAACTAATACAGCCGAAACCGGAAGTCCAGGTAATTGGTCATAGCATAGTGTTCACCAGCCATTGCTCTGACGACCGATTAGAAAGCGACGACTATGTTATATACAGGCCATCGAAACATCAGGGAGAACGACTGCGAATGATATCAGGGCGCAGCAATATCAAGGTACAAGTTCCCAAGTTTTCAGATGGATCGCTGTTCGAGTCATGGAATACGTTTGAGGTAGCGTGGAAAAGCTACTGTGCGAGGAATCTTCTCCACTACCGCCTGCGTTCGTCAGAATCCGCCGAGAAAAACAATCAGAAGTACGTTCATAAAGGGTATATTACCCACTGTACAGGTCTAACAATGTTGTGCTGTATTTTACTTGATGTGAGTAGAAGGCTTGCTGGCAAGTATCACTATGTGAAATTTCACATCCCTCCGAAGGCGTTTACGGAGGCGATGCGTGTATACTACTGTACACATGGATGCTGTGATGGTAGTCGTGGTAAGGGCTTTCGCGACCACCGCCACTTTCGCTTTTGCGGCTGCCCCGCTCGGCTGATTGCCAAAGTCGTTCAGCATGATGGGATCATGGCTATTGAAGTAACGCTAGAGGTAATGCATCATACATTGCTAATTTACTCCGATATCGATTGGCTACTGACTCCGCTGTTTCCCCAGAGATCGACCCACCGCCACGCCATCACACGAGACATTTACAATCGACTTGAGCTGAAGAAAATCATCCGCTCGGAAGAACTGGGGGTCAATATCGACTTGTTGTACCAAAACAATGTCCCCATTCGCAATCTAGCAGAGTACATCTCGTGCGAGACCGGTTAGTACACATTCTTGTTGTAAAAATTAAATACTTGGTATATGCTTACACGCATGGCTTTTGTGCAGGAATCGACGTTTCAAACCAGCAGGTTCGAAACCTTTGCCAGGCTCGCTACGGTGGTCCAGCCGTGGAAGCGAGATTGCTTCAGATGCTGACGAAATTTACGGACACCCCTGGGAACGATGCGATGGTGCTCCGGACGGACGATGACGTTGTGTGCGGAGTCGTCCTTATCAGCGCTGCACAAAAAAAGATGGATCAGGCATGGGGAGAGTGTCTCCTGTTGGACTGGATGCACCATACCAATAATTTGGGCTTTCATCTTGGTATGTACTGTATATATTCCGATGTGTTTTAAGAATCTAATTTGGGCACTTAGGCGAGCTTATGGTGACAGCAGCGAATGGTAAAGGGGTCTCCGTGTGCGAGATGCTGGTACATAACCAGTGGAAACAGACCATGCTGGCATGTTTGCAGTTCTTTCAAGAAGTGGTTGGAAGGAATATAACAGAAAGCTTTGTCATTGACAAGGATTTTACAGAATGGGGCGCCCTAAAGGAAGTATACCCATAACGTAAGGTTACTTAAATCACACTCACAAATGGCGTTAACACTAAACTGGTTTTGCTGGTGTCAGGTTCTGCTGTGCCAATTTCATGCTGTGTTGGCCGTTCAAAAGAAGCTCGCCGAGAAGAAGTATGATATCTCCCCGAACCAGCGATAGAGCATAGAAGCATGCTGGCTGGCCGTTATCTATTCTCCCACCGAAAGTGCGTTTGACGACGAATGGAACTCTCTGCGGGACCTGTGCATGGATATATCACCGCCATTTTACGAGTACCTGGAAAGCAACAGGAAAAACTGCACAAGCATGTGGCAAAACATGTTCGCAGCTCGTACTTTACAGCAGGGAATACGACGACAAACAGGCTTGAGGCGTCGTGGCGCCAGATGAAGAGGCTCCTCAACCTGACGACGACGCTGGACAAGTGTCTTGCAGGGATTTTTCTGTACCAGAACACAATAATGCGTAATCTACGCCGTGAGCTGATTGAAAACAGCTACAGCCTTCACTACGACCCCATGTTTCCAAGCGAGATCCAGGACATTGGCGACGCGGCGAGCATTTTCGTTTTCAAGACAGTTTATGATGAATTTGTCAGGTTCAAGCAGTTAAAGGCTCACATGGGAGTGATCGAGCAGGACGAGACGCATGCCGTCGTTCTGAACCGAAGTGGAACGCGATTTCGTTGTCGACTGGATGCTAGTCACTGCAATTGTCAATACTTTGCAACGTTTCGACTGCCTTGTGCACACGTGATGTTCATCGTGTTGGAGGAGTTGGGTATCGAACGCTTGCCAGCATCTATGGTTGCTGAACGTTGGCTTGACAAGCGTTCAGAATCGCTAATTCCAGTGCTTAAGGCTTCTATCACGCTGAACGAGACGCTACGAGAAATGTGTTGGATTCGCGGTGGAGTCGGGTCATCAGCGCCACATTCAGATGTCCCAGGTTGCAAGTTGAGCATTTCTCCTGCACGCCCACGTATTAAATACACCAAGTTGAAGAAGAGTGAACCTTCATCTAGTCAAGTTGTTGTCAGAAGTGATGTGGAGAAATTCAACATAGCAATGGCTATTTTCCAACCACTATTGGACGAACTCGTTACGTCGTCGTCGCTCGATTTCTACCGGAAAATTGATTTGGTATCGGTGGCGTGCTCGGACCTTCGCTCCGCGTTGCAAGGGCTCAGCATTGCCGATTCTTGAGATGAAAGTGGGAGTGTTCCAACTGTGGACTATGACGTCGAAGAATTGGCAGAGGCGAGTCCAAACACTCGCTGGAGTGCTGATGCAGCTTCCCCGTCCAGTATTACAAGTGGCGCTAATGATGGTTCTGGCCTAAGTTTACTCCCAGTCAATCCTTCGGATTGGGAAAAATGATGTTCCAGCCCAGTCCAAATCGTACGTAAAGTTTCAAGGTAAAAACATTTGGGTTTCGCTTCTGCTGCTTCAATTCGAGCCGCGAGCGGTATGCATGAGCCGCACCCTACAACAGCACACCAAGCCGCCGAACCCAGTGATATTTTGATGCTCAAAGCACCAAGTGCAGGCTTGAATGCCATTGAAAAGGACGCGTCACCCAGCCCGAGCCGTACAAACAAGTCGAAACATGAAATGCCAATTGCAGGATCGCCACTGCAGTCAAGCAGAACCGATTCGGGGGACGGAAAAGGCAAATTAATTCTGAAGGCATTATCATTGCCCCGTTCCGTGCAGTCTGACCAAAAAAACAACCTAAGAAGACGCAATTCTACCAAGCCACTTGTTCAGCAGCGTCTCGCCGTGCACGTAGAGGAACCAGAGCCGGAAAATTGGACAGAGCAGATAGATGCGTGGCGTGCAGAACTGTCAGTCGAAGCTGTTACGGAGTGGCTTAGCCACAGCTGCCATCATGCTAAAGTCGCAGATCTGTTTGCAAACTATCCTCAAGTTTGGAACTCGAAGGCAGATTCACGCTTTCGCCCGACGGCAACTACGGACGGAGCGGGAAATGCTATTAGGTCGCTTCCCGTAGTGTTTGAATCCACCATGGTGACGAAAAGTGTCGATGCGGTGACGGCCGTACGGAAAATCACGAAGACGACAGCTGAATTCGCTGTGCTTCTGAAGGGAGGCGTCAAATTTCACCCGTAAGTTTTGCGGTATATTCTGTTATACTATGAATGCTTCTAATTATGCTGCGTAGATCTCTTATCCATGTTATGCAGGACTTTCACCGGTACAAGGATCTACATCGAGTGAAAGTGGCGTCTGTCAAATGGCTGGATTCAGACTGGCAAGAATTACAGTCATATTCATGTAATAGCCTTGATGCTAACGGCAAAACCGTGGCTGAGGTTGCGAGTGATGTGGTGACAAGAGTGAACTTTACTTCGTTGTCAACGACAATTGCCGTGGGCTCAGGAAGAAACGCCGGAGCAACATTCCCAATTACCGAAGTGCTGAGGCGTCTACCTGGTAATTTCAGGCTGAACGATACAGTTGTTCACTGTCAATGCAGAAGATGTGCGAGCAGCACGGAAGGGCGCTCTTCGTGGGCCCCCTCTGCACCGCTTCAACCAGCTGGAAGATCCGCAAAGGCAACTGGGAATACATCGTGGCGCCATGCAACATTGCGAATGTTCATTGGACTCTCATAGTGATCAATATGGAGATTTCGAAGGCGTACGTGTATGATCCGCTTCAGACGGATACATTTGTGGACGAAACAGAGGCCAGAGTGACGGAAATTCTGGTGCCGAAAGTCGACGAATGGCGTCTTGAAACCTTTGGCTCAGCGACGAAGTGGCCGGACTGGGAAGTCGAAGTCTTGGAAGGTCCCATTCGAGGAGATGAAATCAACTGTGGAGTGCTAGTAACGGCTATTGCGTGGTGCTGTCTGCACAACAAAATGGACGGAATCGCTGCGCACAAAGGCGCTTTGTCGAGCCACACCAAGAAAATCTTGCGGCTGAGAATGTTGTGGCACTTGTTGTGTGCACCAGACATTGAAGAAATTGTACCTCCACCCGACAATCGTTCTCGGCACAACGCCGACGTGGACATCTTTTTGGAGGCGGCTGCGCAAGAAAGAATCTGACGAAGTTGGTAAGTTTCCAGAGATGCTGCATAGATTAGTGTATTGGACTGGAGTAGCGGAGCTCAGCGTACCATTAGGTAGGAAGTGAACCAGGATCCAAACTACTAACAGAACAAGTTATTGTTTTCAGGGAACATCGTCATGAGAATTAAGCGTTAGCCTCGAACCTGTGCATCAACCAACATCAATGTTGAGGGTCGTTAACATTGGCCATTGTCATTGATCGTTAACAGTGCTCAATGTTGACGGTGTCCTACATTGACCAAATCCCTTTAAGCAAGTGACCTAAAGCCACAGGTCGCAGACTAGTTCGAATGCTTATTCAATGCGCTGATGTACTGCTTGGACCAGATTTCAGCGTGGTGCTGAAAGAAAAGCGCGTCAGCTTGAGAACGTTGGTGCTGGCGATCCGTGAGCGCGCGAGAGAGATCCGATAAAGTCGATCTCGATAGCTCATCAGGTCGAAATGAGTTGGATGTCATCTCGCGTGGAAGTGTTCGTATCCCAAACGGTGGAGATTTACCAGCAGTGAGGGTAGCCTCCGACTCGGACACGGCCTCGGGCGGCATACGTGCGGCGCCAGGTCGCGTGGAAGCCTCGGAGTCTCCAACCAGAAGCAAAACATCCTCGCGCACCTCCTGTACACCGTCGCCGTATCAGCAGCCTGCTGAGCAGGAAACACCCTAGCGGGTCGTGTCTGGGGGGAGGCTCCATAGCGCAGTCGCTGACCCTCGTTGTGCCGCGCTCGATGCATTTCGCACAGTTGCAGCATCTTCCCACTTTTAATAGCTCTCACTTCCTCGCAGCCAGGGTATCGGCATTGAGTTTCGCGGAGTGTCGGTGGATGTTTTTCGCAGCGGCGCTGTCGCTGTTTCTTTGCTTGGTAGCGGCGGTGAGTCTCGCACATTGTGTGTGGCTTGCCATTCTTCTTGATGGCCAGGCGGCCACAACATCCACTTGAGTAGGCACACTGGTTGGGCTAAGAAACCATCAACATAGATTTATTAACGAAGAGAGCGTGGGAAGGAATGACATCGGCATGCTTGCTTACCTTCTTGGCCATTTTGGCAAAATGTCCGTTGCCGTCCGCGTGAAAAAAGTCACTCTGAGTGAAAGTGACCGCCCGAGTTGTTGTCACTCTTTGCAAGTAGACTACAAGTCACTCGCACCTTGCCTCCAGTTACAAAGTGTACCAGCATACGCAACACAGCAATCTTTAAGTAGCGCGATGCAGAAACACAGTCTATTTTTTAAATAAGAACAATATATTTTTAGCTGAGGCTTCATCTTCCATCGTATGGATAGGTACGATCATTTTTGCAGCATGCTTGGCTTGAAACCTAGTTCCCGAGAGTTAGGGGCTTAAAAAATGCTTACAATTATCAACTTTGACGGACGACGGGTATCGTCCCGTTCGTCCCGGTCCCAGCTCCCGGGAACTTAAGAACGCGCCTAAGAACTCTGTGCGTGGTTTCATCGCACCAAAAGTCCACGCTACGACAGATCTTGTCAAACGAGCTGTGGACGAACAGAACTCGAGCTGCGAGCCGAGAGCCGGGGGGAGGAGAACCGCATCAAGCCATCGAGCTGCATCGTCCTTGAAAGGCCACCAACGGCAGAGTCCGAGACCAGGCTCGCTCGCTTTCGCGCTGCCTGCCTCGTGCTTTCCCGAGGCTTGCAATCCAGCGTCGCGGATGCCTCAAAGATTTGTCGCTTCAGCATCTTCCTTTCGCAGCACCTCGTCACAGCTTTGCCATTTTGACCGGAACCGTGGAGCCACACTCGCTTACACCCCCGCGACGAACAGCACTTCGCCATACCATCCACTCTCAAGACAACTCAAGGGACAGGTACGACACTTCCGTACGCCAGTAAGTAGAAGCGTCAGCACGTCGGTACGCTCGAGAGCTTGATCGACGCAAACACGTGCACTGGCGCGGACACCGGCGGCTGCCAGGTCGTAGGCCCAGCTCTTGACGCAGCAGCATATCCACCCTCCACACGCACAATAGCTCAGCCCTTAAGCCTGTACGGAGTGTCGTCACGCAGCGATTTTGATCCAGCAATGATACTGCTCTCCGGGGCGGTGGGCTGGCTGTAAGGGCAGCTTCATCGGACATAGCTGCGCAACCGGCACTGCTGAGCAGAACAGCAGACGGCTCGAGCTGCTGAAGCCCTTTGCCATCAGTGCCTCTCATTACAGGTGTGCGGTGCGTAGTTGCTGCCCTCGGCCGCAACGCTGTCGTTCACGAAGCACACGTCCCAGCAGTTAACACTGCGTTCATCCGTGCCTGTTCTTCGTGAGGGACTCATTGCTGCACTCGCACACAAAGAACAGCAAACGAGTGTGTACTAGGGCCACAAGAACAAGAGCTATGGAGTGATGTAGTGTCGAACCTTGTCCAGCGGCAGGGCTGGCCGCATCTGGGGGCCTCGTGCTCGATAGAGGCGTTGGATAATTACAGTTGAAAAATCATAAAGCAAATATAACGTTAGGAATCAATGTTAGCGATATATCACAATGTGAGCTCTCAATGTCGCGCAGAGGCAACATTTCAATGTTGCTTTAATCAATGCCGCAGATCCGAGCTGTATTCCGAAAGCTACAGCAGAGATTTGCTTTGTGTGTTTGCGCCGTGCCCTGGTTGGGGATGTACGAATAGCAGTCTATCCTATCCGGAAGCGGCGGCAGATCTCCCAGCTCATTTGGCATTCTTCCGTCTCCGGCAAACAGAGCACTCTTCGGGTTCAAGACCGTCGAAATGGCTTCAAATCCCGTTATCCCGACAATTGTCGCCGTTCTACTTGGTGTGATGCTACCCATCAGTGCCTCTGAAGCTTCAAACTGGCCAAGTTTGTGCTTCCACTTCATGCTCAAACGCAGCGCCATGACCGTGTACGGCCAGTCGAGCTTCGACATGTTCGCCAACCCTGTCGTGTCCGATAACCAAGATACTGTACTCTACGACGTCTTGGCAACGTTTAGTGACGGATCAACGACACACAAGTACACCCTCATCGACGGAATTGGGTACTCTTCGACGGGTGACAGCGAAGTAAACTGCCTGGACTCAGAAGCGGGTAAACTACCGGCGGTTAACTCGATCGTCGCAGCTCTAAATGACGCTGTAGCTGTGTCCAGTGACTCTATTGACTGCCCAAGTGGAAAATTGTTCAAGATCACCGTCCACGGTATTGATTTAGCACTGTGCGCTTCAGGTTCGTCCGGATTCACGCTGTCTAACAGCGACATGGACGTCACGGTGGAGTTTATGACGAATCATATCGCTATCCAAGTACCGAGTGCAGATATGAGTGAACGATGTGAGAAAGTGGCGTCTTCGACCGCTATGACTTCATTCGGAAAGTCTATACTGACCGGCCAGTCAATTTCTAACGAGGGTCGGAGCTTGAAAGCCGCGTTCGACTTCTCCTTTAAGGGGTCTTCATGCGAATGCAACTCGAAGCCCCGCCCGTGTATCTTCATCCATGGTATGGGCGTGGAGGAAGAGTTGCCTCATAACCAAGACAATTTTACGGAGTACTGGGGGGACCATTTGGTCGACCACGCGCCGTGCTGCTCATCGATGCAGTTTGCGCACCTCAATACGGTGAACAACACTTGGATGAGCGCACTACAACAGAAAAAAGTGTGCGACCGAGCGCTTGCAGTGAGCGACTCCAGCTCAGACGGCGTCATAACCGAAACAATTGTCATAACGCACTCGATGGGCAACTTGATGCTCGCTGGGGCTATCGCGAACGGGAGGTGCATGTTGGACGCGAGTTCGACGTGGGTGGGCTTGGCTGGGCCTATGAAGGGGAGTATGGCTTCAGACTTTATTCAAGAGTCTTGTGCTGGAGAAACTAATATCGTCTGGGAGAAGATTGGAAATGTTACGGGACGATGCCCTGCGAGTACAGCGCTGAAGTCTCTGGCGTACGATAATGGGACCCATGTCAATGAGGAGATGAAGGCAGCGTATACAGCAGCGCAGGAGGTTTACCGGACTCATATCCACGCGTTGATGTGCAGCAGTTGGTACTCCGGTATTGCGTCAAAGTACCAGGCCCAGTTCTGGGCGATAGGCACCATGGTCCCTCACAAGTCGCGCAAGAATGACGGCATGGTCGAGTTTGAGAGCTGCTCCGCCGGGTTCCCGAAGTCCGAATTCGGTGAGAGCTGGAAAGATCGTTTCTACAAGACACATCTGAATCATTATGATATGGAGTTTCTATCAGGCGATGCGATCCTCAATGGAGAGAAAATGCCTGTGAAGTGGTTCGAGTGTTTGCTATAAGCCCACTTGCAACTGATAACCTAGAAATGAAATTGATCATATTATATGACTCTTATACGTATTCAAATTTCAAGCTAATATTTCTTGCCGCACCTAAAGCAAGCACTCGAACCACTTGATAGGCATCTTCTTCTCATCCAACAGCGCGTCTCCATACAGGAATTCGCTGTCGTAGTGATTCAGCTTGGTCTTGTAAAACGGCGAGCGCCAAGTGTCTCCGAATTTCGACTCGGGGAGCCCCGCGGCGCAGCTGTCGAACTCCACCATGCCATCGTTCTCGCCCGACTTGTACGGAACCGCCTTGCCCAGCACCCAGAACCCCGGTTGGTACTTGGACATCAACCCAGAATACCCAGCACTGCACATCAACGCCGATACATTCGAAGTGTACGCCTTCTGAGCGGCAGTGTACGCTGCATCCAGCTCCTCCGAGCTGTAGTTCCCTCTCTGACTCGGAAGCGACTTCAACGCTACAGTTGGGGGACACCGACCGGTGATATTCGCCACTTCCTCCAGCACAAAGTTTGTCTCGCCAGCGCACGTGTCTTGGACGAAATCCGAGGCTCTACTGCCTTGCATGGGCCCAGCCATCCCCACCCACGTGGAGCTTGAATCCAACTTGCATTTGCCCGTTGCGATGGCCCCTCCAACCATCAAGTTCCCCATGGAATGCGTGATGATAATGGTGTCCGCGATGACAGTCTTGGAGCTCCGTTTACTGACCGACACAGCGCGATCGCACACTTGTTGCTGCAGCGTGTCGTTCGTCCACGCGTTGTCCACCGTGTTGAGGATCGTGTACTTCATCGACTGGCAGCACGGCGCGTGGTCGGTCAGGTTGCCCCAATAGTAGGAGAACGAGTCGACAGTGTGAGGTTCCTCTCGGTCGACGCCCATGCCGTGGATAAAGAGACACGGACGCTTGGTCGACTTGCAAGTACAGGAGCCATCGTGAGACGAGCTCGAGCGCTCCGATGAATCGTCATCGTCGTCCCAGAACGTGATGTCGAACTCGGTTTCCAGCTTCCTCTCCACTTCAAGGAGTGACGAATCTCCGGTAAGCAGTGACCTTCCTAGTGCGGTCAGTGAGCTTGGAGATGCTACCGACTCGCACTCCAGAGTGGTGTCAGGCTTTGCAATCTCAACGCGGGGATCGAGGTACTCCACCGCGATCTCAATGTCCGTCCCGGTCATCGTAAACCCGGACGAACCTAATGCACACAGTTCAAAGGAGATGCCGTTCACCGATACTTTGAAGAAGTTGTCGCTTGAGCACTGAGCAGCAGTACTGCCACTCCTCCCATAAGCACTTGATACTGGCGTGGCCTCGTTCAGAGCGTTGACGATGGTGTTGATTGGCGGCAGTTTATCGGACTCCGCGTCCAAGCATTCCGAAGACGCTGTGTCTTCATCTGAGGAGCGAGTTGTCAAGTACGAAATGCCGTCGGCGAGCGTGTAGTTAACTTGAGTTGACTCTTCCGTGAACGTCGCGAATACGTCGTAGAGGATGTTGTCTTGGTTGTCGGAGAGGACGGGGCTCGCGTGCACGTCGAAGTCGGATTGGCCATAGACGCTCATTGAGCTGCGCTTGAGCGTGAATTGGAAGCGGAGAGACGGCCAAGTCGTCGCCGGTTCATCTTCGAGGCCGCGATTGAAGTCGAGTTGTGATTGCCCGGATAGAGCGAGTGAGACGCTGAAGATTGCCGACAAAGAGAGGAAACACCGCAGCATGTCGGTCGGTTTGTTTCTTGCGCTGATGTGTGTACCAGGAAGCAAATTGGAATGTGAGATCTGTTGTCGCCTTCGACATGACTGATATCCAAACCACGAGGGCGTCAAATATCATCGAGAGTAGGTTGGTTTGCTGGTACACCGGGATATCCATCCGTACTCGTGTCGTGGGTAAGGAAACTTGATTACGGTGGGAAATCAGTTTGGCCGCGATGGTGCAGTGATCACTCGTTTGTCTTTGAGCAAATTGATCCCCTTCCGGTCAGAAACCCTTGCAGCTGGAAAGGATGAAACGGCACCCCTGACTCAGCTGCCACCTCCTAAAAATCCTTGCCTCATTTCAAAATGTGGTGTCACAGAATATCTTCGCTTGGGGCCCGCAGCCTCGGCTTTTCAAGGCATGGTCGTAGTCACCAAGTTGGTGGCACAGCGCTCGTGCTACAGCCATCATTGCACGGGGAGATCTGTAAATTCTAAAACCAATCCAAATCGCACTGATAGTATCAGTACGTTCCAGACCAGTTCTAAAACTCCCAGATATTATTTGAGGTCTTTTTTTGCCCTGTACCTTTCAGTTTGGATCCCTTCAACCAAGCGCAAGACCATGACGCCGACGGTGCCGTGCCTCCCGCCCTCTCTACTCGCGTACATCCTGGAGTTCGCTCTCCCGAGCTTCACCCAGAGTCTGGCCCCACAACCCCGGTACCTATGAAACAGTTGAAAAATGTGGTGCTGGCGTCCAAGAGCATGCTCGCATCCGTTCGAAGTCTGGTAGCCGACTATCGATCTGCCACATTCTGCTTAAACGCGGCCGATTTAGAATTGATGGAGCAATTCCCGACCCAAGAGGCCTCAATTCGAGATTTTCGCGTCCAATTCAAGAGGAAAAACTATCATTTCCAGGCTCGGAGGAAGTTGGAAACTCCGACTATCAGTTGGAATATCGTTCTGGGAAATATGACGAGGCTGAAGAAACTGGATCTGGGTAGCATGCCGCCACTGTGCCAGTGTATTCCTGAAATACTCGAGGCTGCGTCAACGCATTGCCTCTTTCTGGAATTCCTGGTCTTGCCAGAACCGAGTGAACTTGATAGAAACCTCATCAATCTAACGGATGAAAGTCTCGATGTGGAGGACTTTGTGCCGCAAGTGGTTCAAGCTCTGGGGAGATGGCACTCGAAGGGGTATTGCGGGGCATTGAAGCAGCTGACCGTTCCGATTCATCCAGGGGAGGGTCTTTGTCGTCGCAGCACGGAGCTTCTTGAGGGGATAGCGAAGTACCGCCCGAGAGTCGAGTACTTGGATTCGTGTGATGACACTGACTATGAATCGAACGCGCAGTATGTGTGGCCTATTTCTTTGAAGACGTGGGAGACGTTCAATGCGTCCTGTACTGCTTTGAGGCAGTTTAATTTCGCTCTCGCTCCGTTCGCTGACCCGTTCTTCCGCGTCTTTGGAGAGCACGTGAAGTCTAAATTCAAGAGTTTATCGCTCTCGGCGAACGCGACGTGGGATTACGAAGATTATTTGCGGGATATTGGTGGTTTGGATCAAAATTCTACGCGACTAGGCTACGGTGCACTTGCCACGTCCCCCAGCTTCGCGCTTATGGGATGTCCAGCTTTGACAACACTGTACGTCCAGATAGACTTCCATCGCAACGAAAATCCAGACTTTCCAGGGCGATACGTGAACGCCGATGTGTATGGAGGCACGTCCTGGGAGACTGTGGCCGAGTACTGCCCGCGGCTGGAGTCGATCGAGATGAACGACACTTCCACTGGCAGAAACTTCAAAGTCTTGTCCATCGAGACGTTAACAGGTCGCACACTTTTGGCTCTGGCGGGTCTCAAGAGGCTGTCTGCGGTGGAACTCGCTCATGCTCGGTTGACTGGTAAGGATATCTTCGAGTATATTCGATACGTGTCAAAGGTGGAGGATATCATTGGCAAGCAGCGAGTTATCCACCTTAAAGTTGGGGGACACGTGCGCATGGAATTTTCGATGCCATCTTTCTATTCGGAGATTCTGTCGCTTTTGATCTTGCTCTCTCAGGAGAGCGAGGAGTTTCTCGGTGCTTCACTCTGCCGCCAGAAGTCCATAGTGCATGTGTGGAATCCGTACAGGTCAAAAGTCAACTCTTTCTGGTGAGGCGGGTATTTGACCGAACAACTGAGTGGCGCGCTGGAGGCGGTGAAAGCAGCTCATCCGTCGTTGGGAGTGGCGGTGCATATCCAGGGACGCGATGGAGACGAATTCAGCCGAATTGAGAGGGTTACTCTCGATTGGGGTCATGCTCACCAACGCGAATTCTTTAATATGGTGGAAGATGAAGAGGATCGTGGCATGTACGTCGAGGCCAGCATATTCGAGGTGAACAGTGGCAATGAAAGCGACGAAAGCGACGAAAGCGACGAAAGCGACGAAAGCGATGACGATGATTGAAATCATGAACGACTGAGAGCCGGCGATACCATGAAGAGCGATGATTTATGCGGTGTTTGGGGATGCTGATCAAGGTCACCGTATACCTGTTAACAAGTTTTGGTTTCAACAAGTCGCTTATATTAGTCTTACTGTATTTGTATATGTTTCGACCTGAAAAATAAAAACACTGCGTCGTGACGGGGTGTTCAAAGAGCCAGGCAACCATTTCCTGGATCGGATGACGTGCTTTACATGTTGGTTAGCAGACTGCTACAGCACAGTATGCGGTTCTACACATTTTGAAGCAAGCATACATTCGATCCGTACATGTACGATACCACATAGGTACATTCGTCGTGTATTATACACGTTAGCGATTACATATCGCTCCTTGGTGGTTACTGACTTTGGTTGTGATTCTTCACGCAAATAAAAAAGGCTTCGCGAAGGCTGGGATAGGATTGGTTTCACCGCAATTGATAAACTCCGCCGCTCGAATCATTCGCACTACTTATTCCGCTTAGGATACTTCTTCGTGAACGACGTCTTCTAGCGTTCCACTAACGGCGGTATATTGGGTTCCGGAGCGGACCTTCGACTTAAACTCGTGGGTGCTCGCTGGCCGACCCCTGATGCGACCTCGCTAGTCGTGTTAGTAAGACCTGCGCCAAAATATCATACCATGCTGTTTCGCAAGCGCTTCAACTTACCGGTTTATTTACGCAATCCGCAATGTACCGCCACTATGTGCACGATGTACAACCGATTTTCGAGCAAAATCAATAAAGCGAATCTTGACTCAACGAAGTTGAATTGAACTGCTCCAGTATTCTTGAGAAGTCGAGAACACGCGGTCACTCGACACATGTATAACTTGACCTAAGATATGTTACCGGTTCATCATCGGCTTCGACTGGACGGGGGGGGGGGCAGCGCCCGAATGAATCCTGTTTGGGCTGTGATATCAGCACTTCGTCGCTTCCTATCCCAGTACGAGCTGAGAGTCTCGAAGAGACTCGAGCAGCGCTACTGTTTTCAACTCCCAAATTCCAGAAACTACCGTCTATAATAGCATTGTGAGTCCATGCATTTTCTACAAGAGGCTGTCCAGAGCTGCCAACGCAAGCTCGCATCCAAGTCTTCACGAAAACCCTATTCATCATGATTAAGTATCGCAAATTACTATTCATTAATAGGTCTTACTTAAGTACACAACTAGTACGAAACACAAGTCCAGTAAGTTATAATAAGTGATTCGTCCAGCAGTGGTAAATGCTAGCAATAAACCCCTTGTTGAAGAATAATACAGGAAGCATGCTTGCAACTAACTGACTATTAACTACTCCAGGTTCTGTAAGCACAAGCTATAATAAAGCTTATTTATTACAATGAATCGTCATGCTGCTTTTTGTTTTCTTAAGTCATGGCGTAAAATAAATTTCTGATTTTAGTGGACAACGAAATGCGTGGTGGAAATTTATCTCCATGATGGAGATAAATTTCCACCACATGGAGACTCCATGTTCTATTGATTTTAATGGCCGAGAAGTACGCCTTGTACTGCCACGATAACTCGTGTTAGTGTATAGCATCGAGTATATCGGTTGCTTCGGCTACCGCTGTAAGTTGTGCCCGCCTCATTGCCGCTGCGATAACGGCTGGAAATCGCGTTGAGCTGAGCCTGCTCAGACCCAAGCATCCCCCTATCCGTAGTAGGACCGGTACTTGTTCAAAATCTCGAGCAACTGCTTGTTACTCAAGCCATGTTTGTACTTGTCTAATTTTCCTTCGACTGTCGATGGGGTGTATCCCTTGGTATGCTTCCATTTTGAAAAGATCGAGCCGTAGTCGTCCGCGTCCCCCAGCAGTTTGAGGATTTTGTCGTTGCTAAGTCGTTCTTCTTCCTCCGCGATAGTTTCACGGCTACGCAGCAGTGCATCGAAAATGTGAATGGTGATGGTCCATCAATATCCATTACCCATAACCATAATGGAGGGAATCGTGTCTCAAGGGACCTACCCTAATGCTATACAAAAACTAAGTATAATGACCCGCTGAGACCTTGAATGCTAAGCTACGACTAGCATGCTGGCTGCGGCTCGTTCATCGCGCCTACACTACCATTTCCCGTTTCGCACTCTGCTGATCAAGCCTCCTGTCTAAGCCCTCGCCCAAAATGAGCTTCGCCGTCGCGAACCGGGATCTGGTCGACGCCCTGTTCGACCAGGTCAGCGACAAGCTTTGCAACTCAATCCGCACTCAAGCTTCTAGTGCTTTTCGACAAACTGCTGGACGAGTTCGAGAGTGCCGGCTCATGCACCAAGCACCTCGCAATAGGCGCCAAGGCCGTTGCAGTTCCTGACTTTGAAAACGGAATTGTAGAAGTGCAAGATGGCCGCTCCAAAGAGCTTACCAAGGCGGAGATGAGGGCGCTGGCGCGCTTTGCCCGAACGGAGACAGACGTGGGTGAAGACGAAGCCGGAGGTGCCCTCGGGTTCGCTGACGCTGTGCTTCACGAACGATGTGTAAGTGCCGAGCCCCAGTATGGGGACTTGGCGTGGATCCCACCGACGTCCGATGACGTCGAGAGACTTCTCGCAGGCGGGGATGGTGTACAGTGACCAGCGGATGTCGATGCTGCCGGACACGTTGGAGCTTATCCTTTTTCTGCGCTTCAACCGTTCTCTCTGGAACGAAGTCTCCGTCGCTCAAGTGCTTCGCCGCCAGGAGCAGTCGCGCAAGCGCAAGCGCCAACTAACACTTTTTGAAGACGGTCAGGCATTAGTATAAGTTGCTTAGGGAAATGACCATAGGTGTATGGTCCCTATCCGAAAGATATTGATGGCACCTGTTCCCTCCGCATTCCCTGATTATTTTCGATGCACTGCTACGCAGGAGATGTCTGTCGTTGCCTTCATTGTGACCAACGGTGACTAGTGATGACCGTCGAGGCGAAGGGTTTCTCAGCAACGACGTTGTTGGGTGCGAGGAGGGCGGCCACAGCAGCCAGCAGTAGGACGCAGGAGTAATGCATGGTAAGCGGGTCGGCAGTTGCTTGAGAACTGGAGAGGAAATTGCAGAGTGCGAACCGCAGTTCGGCCAAAGATATTAGCTCGCTTTGGGCCCTTCATTCGCTCTACGTGGGGAGACGTGCTGGGGGTTGTTTGTACAGTACATCGCAACTACTTCTAATCACGCTGTCTCGCTTGGCTGGCCCTACAGCCCATGTTTTGGAATAGGGTTAGGGATAAAGGCATACTAAAACCAAGTAAGGTCTCCAAACATGTAAAACATGCTGAAATCATGGACATCCGTGTTTCGGTTTTCAGGACGGGTGTCATGGCACCCAAATCTATTGCAAATCCCTGGGAACTGCTGCTAAATGTGGCTCTACCTGTCCTTAAAACCTTTTGAAGGCCGACCCAGCGCTAGGCAGGGAACTGTAGACCTAAGCCTTGCTTCGGGGCTACGTTTGCGGGTTGTTCATGCTTCTCAAACGCCACTGATGCCGATTTGGTCTCTGCATCACGATAGATTTGCGGGCCATTTCACCCCCTCCAATCCGAAAACATGGGCTGTACATTTTCCGATGTTTCATTCGGGGTCAGGTTAGATAGGGCAGCTTTGTACTGTATAACCAAATATTTGCTTTACACCATAATTTTTCCACGGTAATAAGTTTGCGGAGCACGGACCCGCAGTCCCCAAAGACACACAACACCAGCACAACCGTCAGGCAGAGCTTCCTGCGCCATGGGGCTCCGCTCCTCACCGCGAGCAGCTCCGCGCCGCCCCCCCCCCGCGCCATCCCCACCAGGACCAGTCGCTATGTCACGAGTGTGTGGGCACTTCATGCTTTGCTAGCAGCGATAGCAGATCGCTGCGGTCTCTGGCGAGCGGTGCACCGTGACTAGTGCTGGTGTTGTTAATGAGAGAACTGGGTGCTGGCTCGTGCTCATGCGCATGTTACCCCTGCTACATATCCTAGTACTGTATCTACTGCTTCCAACGGTGTCACCACCTGGAGCGACAGCAACCCATGGATGACGCGGCGCGCGGTCTCCATGCCATGCAGCTCGGGGGCCATTCACCTCGCCGATTGATGATGCAATCCAGTGGTGCCATTGATCGGCTTCAACAGGTATAAATCTGTCCAAGTTGCCCCAGCTGCCCTGAGCTTTTTGGTCAAGGCAGATTGGACAGAAATAAACGACTCTGATTGACCGAGAGATTTGCCCCACTTAACCTGCCCCCGAATGAAACATCCCCTCATCGCGTCAGTTTGCTGTCAGCAAATATTTGGGGGGGGGGGGGTTAACGATTAACCGTGTTGTTGGTTATCTGGACTTCTCAATATGCAGAATTGTACACTAGCTATCATACACAAATGTAAATACTGGCGTCGTAGACTACAACGTGTCAGCAAATATTGTTATCATTGGTCAGGATGGCAGTCGAGCTTTGGTTTACTGTAGCGAATGCACACGGAAAGGGAGATTTTTTATTCGTTGCTGGCGTCAACGCAGCCATTGGACGCTGACCAGGGTGTTATGCCCACGTTAGAATCAACTAGAGAGTTCGGCTGGTAATGTTCTTCTAAAATCCTTAAAAGGATTAAAAACAACACTGGGATTTACTCAATTGTTATCCGTTATCATCGTCCATGAAACTATTCGCCGACCTGTGTACCCTCCCGGAGCAACGCTCCGGGTTGCCAATGCTTGGACGGAGCTTTACTGTAACTTACTGAAACCGGGTACTTTTATTTCCAAAAGCGGGTATTCATTAATTTACTTCTTAAAGCTACGAATTATTACATGTGGTCGTGGTTTAACTCTCAGCAACTACGACTAAAAGCTACAAATTGTTGTTAACTCGGTTCAGGGATTGTTTGCTCGATTTGTACTCCAATCCAAGGTTATCACTAAAACTACGTTGCTATTACTCTTTATTTTTCCAGGGTTTCACGATTTAACGAAGTGCTTATGATACGCATCCGCTGAAGCATACTTTACTGCTGGGTAGTGCTTGTCAATATCTCGTGCGTGCTAACCCATTATCTGCATATTGCATGATGGGTTGCGCTTCGAATGTTGTAAAGCTTAGTAAATGTACACAGTACATGTACATGCAACGGAGAGTGGACTAACTACCGGTAAGACCAGCAAACGCCGCTTCTTTTGCGAAGCTTTGACCACTGAGCACATGATCACTACTGCATGTACTCGGATAAGGTAATTCCTCTGTTGGCTATAGCGAACTGCTGGTATTGTGCCTTTCCAAAACTTTGGCCAATCTGACCTCAAAAAGGTGGTCTTAAGAAGGAGAGGGTAGGGCTAGACCTAGGATTTGCTGTTGGCCTTGCATCGGATTACGGAAGTCCTACGTAGGAGTTCCGTCTTCATCTAAAGGGTACCTTTTTGGAAATAAGGACCGAATGGCCATGTTAAGCTGGCCATTTGGGCCTTCGTAGAACTAACAAGTCCTTCGTAGGACTAGATCAGGCCAGTGCGCCTGAAAGCATCTGTGGCAAATGCATAGTTTGGCCGCACTCGTACAGGCGGAGGCTCAGGCAGCACCGCAACCAGGTCACCGTGCTCAGCGTGGAGCTACGTACGTGCGCTACAGGTATAGCGGTACTGAACGTGCTCACTTGTCGGCCTACCTTTGCAAGCCATTCGCTCAGTTTACATTAAGTTTTTGTTTAAGCATGGTTTTACTGGCCCTGGTACTAACTTTTATGAGGTCTTACGTAGGAGCAAAAGTCCTACGTAGGACCTCAAATCGGAGTGCGTTTTGCCAGATAGGCACAATACATGTACCCTGATACTGTAGTAAACCGTATGCGGTGCTCCGCATTTGTGGCGACCATACAACCGATCCGTACATGTACAAGTGCCACATAGGTACATCCGTCGTCTAAATGTCCACTGCACTGTATGCAGTGGACGTTTCTTTGGTGTGGTGAAAGGCCAAACTGGTTTTGGGCTCGGTCATTCTACTATACAAATTTTGGATGACCTTGTACAAAATACTCAGGCTTCGTCAAACTAGGATATCCGTCCTAGTGCCTATATTACCTTAATGAAGGAAGGCTGGGGACCCTTAATATAGGATGTATCTCTGCTCGATACTTAATGAAGCGGATGAAGCCTAATCAACGACTGCGCTGTGCGCTACTTTCACTAGCTCCAACTTGGAGCATGTTTCGCAGTACTTGGAGGCTCCAAGTACTGCGAAGCATGTAGCTCGTCTTCTGGCGAGAAATCGGTGAGTTGACCCCAATGCTCACTCTTCATGCGTTTCAGGACCGAGATCTCCCCATGTCTCGGTTGTTTTGAGCTTAGATAGGCTGTTTCCAAACCTTCGATCGACTTGATACTCTTCCTTCAAGCTACGATGCTGGGCCCAAATTTTCCCTACCACCGAATCGCCGTACTGCCTGGTAAATCGGTCTTCATGCCTGTTAAATGACTCGGCAAACGCGCCATGAGTGATAAGAGCAGATTCCTTACGAGTCGCCATGGCGTATACTGTGTCCTGGGCGGACAACGTAATGCCCAATAGATCCTTGTTCAGCATCACGAACTACGAGAACCAAGCCAAACTGTCTCGCATCTCTTAAATTAAAGTTCACTCGAAAACAATGACGCCTTACACTCAGTCTTCACCTCACTTAAGCATCAGGGCGGTTCTGGAGCGTTGTCACTAGCTTATTGCGGGCCGAGTACAGTACTGCTCGGATGCAGTGACATGTTTGTACTGCAGTTACTCAAATCATAACTTGGCTGGCTGCGCGAGATCCGTGAGCACAGACAAACTATCCACCTCAAACTGATCGAAAGCGAGCTACCCTTTTCTTTTTGCAGCGCAACCCATTATAATAGTTGCGCTTGAGTGTCAAAAAAACTCGCAGGAGTCATGGATAGAATCCCACCGGGTTTCACCATAGTGAAGACAGCTCCCTACACTACGTTTGGTAGACACGTGCGTATGCGTGAAAGACATCTCTGAACCTAGGATCGTGCGAAAGTCACAACAAAGCTGTCTAAAACCAAGAGCAATTGGTTCATGGCCAGGTATAAGTAGTTCATAACGGAAGCACCAATAGTCTAGATCACAACAATTGGTATGCAGCCATCCTGTTACAGACAACGACGGATAAATCCGGCATAACTGAATGACATCCTCCATAGTAAATGTGCCAGAATTCTCTGTCGGGAACGATAGAAGGCAATGACATAAAATACACGTAACGGAGCATAAAGTACACACAAATTTAGAGAAAGTACTTAAAACCATATGGAATACAAATGTCAAGTGTAACTCTCGAAGCTGATTGGCTATCTGAATTACTTGTTGTAAAAAGTACAACATATGTGTGCCGGGTTTTGCGTTGCCGTATTTATCCGTCGTTGTCTGTAATACAGGACGCTGGCAGAGCCTTAATTTAGGAAGTGCGCCCAATTTATGTTCATCCTTCCTAGTTTTACGATGCCTGAAAATACTCTTGGATTACTCACAAGCCAGAATGGAACCGTGCACATCGGCGTGCGCAGATGGTCCTTGCTGTCACATTGCCACATATGGCATGCAAAAATCTGGCTTCCGTACCACAATTATCCACAATCAAACGGCAAAATGTACGATTACTATGTCATTAGTGCCTTTGTCGATCTGCTTTCGCCGCACCAGCACTTCTCCATCTTTCCCCATGGTTCTCCCTTTGGATGTGCGTTTGCATGGTTGTATGCAACCAGCCTCAACAAAATAACACATAAGAAACTCCTTGTCCTCGTTCAGTTTCGTATTCATTGTCCACCCACCACTAACGGAATTCGGTCGGAACGATGGCGGGGTCTCTCCTGAACTCAGCGCTGGCGTTTGCCTTGCTACTGGTCGCTACAGTTCAAGCCAATGCCGTTCAAAAGACCGCGGACTGGCCGTCGCTACGCTTCCACTTCACGCTCAAGCGCGATACCATGAAAATCCACGGCCAGTCGCAGTTCGACATCTACGGCAACCCCATAGTATCAGCGAAGACGAACACTGTGCTCTACGACGCGTTCGCCACGTTCACGGAGCATACGACGCTGTACAACTACACTCTACTCCACGGAGTGGCCTACTCTTCGAGTACCCCGTACACGGGTAGTCCGGAGGACGACAGCAAGGCGAAACCTACGGTTGCGTGTCTGGATAAGGAGACGGCTAAACTTCCGTCCATCAACGCCATCGTGGCTGCTATCGGCGATGCCACCGCTGTGAACAAGGCGAGTGGCAGTAACTTCGACTGCTCCAGTGGCAGTTTGTTCAAGGTTACGGTAAATCGCGTTGAATTCGCGCTGTGTGCGTCGGGTTCGACTGGGTTTAAGCTGCAGGGCACGGATATGGACATCTCGGTGGAGTTTTTGGAGAGTCATATCGATATATATGTCCCTAAACTGGCTGAGAAGAAGAGATTGCAGTGCACGTCCGTCGCATCGCCAAGTCCAATTACCCCTGTTGGGAAGGCGCTGCTTACTGGACAACCGGTGCCTCATAGCGCGAGACAGCTGAAGGAGGAGGGAAGCTTCACTATCGGATCGAAGTCTTCGTGCTCGTGCAAGTCGAAGCCTCGGCCCTGCGTCTTCGTCCACGGACTTGGAGTGAGCGACGAATTCCCGACGAACCACGACCAGTTTACCCAGTACTGGAGCGACCACGTGAACGGCCATACTCCATGCTGTACGTCGTTGAAATTCGCCCACCTGAACACTGTCAACAGCACGTGGAACAGCCCCGAGCTTCAGGAAAAGCTCTGCAACCGCGCACTCACAGCCAGCAACACCAGCACCAACTCAGCGATCACGGACACGATCGTGGTTACGCATTCCATGGGCAACTTGATGTTCGCTGGGGCTCTTGCAACTGGAAAGTGCAGTCTGGATGCGAGCTCGACGTGGGTGGGGATGGCTGGGCCAATGAAGGGCAGTAAGTGCTCCGACTTCGTCCAGGACTCGTGCGCTGGTAAGACCAACATGGTCTGGGAGAAGATCGGCAGCATTACGGGCCGTTGCCCCGCTAACATCGGGCTCAAGTCTCTCGCGTACGAAGGCGGGAACTACAGTACTCCGGAGATGAACGCCGCCTACGCCGCTGCTCAGCAGGTCTACCGGACGAAGGTATCTGCTCTCATGTGCAGCAAGTCGTCCCAGGGACTGACGTCCAAGTATCAGGCCCAGTTCTGGGCTCTGGGATCCCTGGTCCCCCACAAGGGCCCGAACGACGGCATGGTGTCGTTCGAGAGTTGTGCCGCTGGGCTCCCTGCGTCAAAATTTGGCGACAACTACCGTGATCCCTTCTACGTGACGAAATTGAACCACTACGACATGCAGTTCCGCGGTGGAGACTCCGTCATGGACGAACAGAAGATGCCCGTCAAGTGGTTCGAGTGTCTTCTGTAGGAATATACATACAGTACGCATCTTTACGGTAATAGAATTGTTCGAGTTGGGTTTTCCTCACATCCGGAGTATTTTTTTCTTGTTGTTTTTATCTAACTGTACTACAGTAAGCACTCGAACCACCTCATAGGCATTTTGGACTTGCTGAAGAGTGCGTCACCTGATCGGAAGGTCATATCGTAGTGGTTGAGTCTTGTCACGTAGAACCGCTCGACGTAGTTGTCGCCAAACCTTCCTTCCGGCATCCCCCCAGCACAGCTCTGGAACTCCACGATGCCGTCGTTGTCATTGGACTTGTGCGGGATCGTGTGACCTAGGAGCCAGAAGTACGCCTGGTGGGTGGACAGTAATCCTGCGTAGTTCTCGCTGCACATGACGGCTGAGACGTTCGTCCGATACGCCTTCTGAGCTGCTGCGTACGCCCTCTTGAGTTTCTTGGAGCTGTATTCCCCACTCTCGTAGGACAGCGACTTGAGAGCACGTCTTGGGGGGCATTCGTTGCGCATTTTAACGACTTTGTTCACAATAAAGTTCGACTTCCCCGCACAAGAGGCTTGGACGTAGTCCGCGCCCATACTCCCGCCCATAGGCGCCGCCATGCTGACCCAGGTCGAGTTGTCGGCCAAGCTGCAGAGCCCATTCGCAATCGCTCCAGCTAGCATCAGACCGCCCATAGAGTGCGTGACGACGATAGTATCCGCAACGACGGAGTCCGAGCTGCGGGGACTCGCAGCGAGGACGCGGTCACACACTAACTGTTGGCGAGTTTGGTCAGTCCACGAAAAATTCATCGTGTTCAGGTGCGCAAACTTCAGCGACGAGCAGCACGGTGCATGATCCGGTAAATACGTCCCCCAATATCGTGAAAAACTGTCTTCATTCGTTGCAATTTCCTCTGGAACTCGCAGACCGTGCATGAAGATACAAGGGCGTGGTTTTGATCGACACGAACACTTCTTGGGCTTGTAAATAAATGAAAAATCAATCTCAGCTTTTAGCATCCGCGAGGACACCGCAGCGACTGGCTCCCCAGTTAGCAACAACTTCCCGACCGAGGTCACGTCAACAGCTTGGACTTCAGCGCTGATACAATCGTCTCCAGTATCGTCCTTCAAAGCAGTCAGACTCACAAAATTCTCGAGATATTCCACTTGGATGTCCATGTCGTTGCCTTGAATGTTGAACCCCGACGAGCCCAACGCACACAAAATAAAGTCAAAGTCACCGATCGAGACTTTGAACGTGCTGCCGCTTGAACAATGAACCGCTGAGTTGCTGCTACTTGATACGTTTGTAGCTTCGTTGATGGAGGCTATAATCGTGTTGACTGGCAGGATTTCGTCGAACTCCGCCCCAGCACACTTGATCTGCGGTGGGCTTGTCTATCTCCTGCCTCTGGTTGAGACATACGTGACCCCATCCGCGTACGTGTAGTTGGAGACTTTGGAGCCGTCGGAAAACGAAGCGAAGGCGTTGTAGAAGACCCTGGAGCCATTTTCGGACACAACCGGAGAAGCGATCATGGATACTTTGGACTGGCCGTAGATGCGCATCGAATTGCGCTTGAGGGTGAGGTTGAATCGTAGTGACGGCCAGTCTGTGGCCCCATCGAGCACAGGGGTGGCCTCGGTTGTAGCCACCCCTGCGAGGAAGAAGACAGTGAAGAAGAGCACCAGCCCCCAGCGTAGTGGTGGCATGCTGCACGGCAGGTGTACCTGATGGCTGCTTCTAAAGTGATGGCATCAGTGATGGCACCGACCAGTATGCGGACATTGTGCGCCGCGAGAAATGAGCTGATGGCTGATGACGGGGCTGCGAGACCGCCGACGCCATAGGTTGAGCCCGCATTCCCCTAGATTTGCTCACCGCACAGTTCGTTACGTCACCTCGACATCGAGCACTGTGACGTGTGCACGAATTTCACTAAAAAGCACGAAGTGAACACTGAAAAATGCGACAAGAGGAAAAAACTGGAAAAAAACTGAAAACTGAAAAGAGTTGTTGCTGCTCCAGACTTTGAACACCCACACACATGTTCGAAGCTAACCCTAGCATGCACTCTTCCTTCCAGCCAACGTACCACTCCGTTTCAAAAAGAAAGCATGATTCACCGTGAATGTTGTTTCAGAAAGATAGCACGAAAAAAGACTTGGTTTCAGTATGGGAGGGATTACTGACATCTTCAAATCACGGATGACTTGTACTTTCTTGTGCATTTCCGAAGAGAAAAGCCTACTAGCCACACGATATTCAAGTGTACAAAGGTCAATTCTAAACGGTTCAGGTAAACTAGCACATCAATTAAAAGAGGAGAATTCCGCAGTTCAAGTGGTGCAATTTTTACGCGAAAACGTTGAAAATTGATTTGGAGGGCGCATTTTGACGCCAATCGTGCTTTCATTTTGAAACGGAGTGGTATAGCGTACCACAAAAGTCGTATAGATGCAGCACCCGGATAAATGCAGCACTTGACAAGTTTCTGTACTGCATATGAACGGGTACTTCCTATGCTTAATAAGCATTGCTTATACGAAAAAAAGGACCACTAACTTGAGTTTTGTATGCAAATGATTTGAAAAAAAGTTCACTTCCATTCACAAATCGCTGATGAACTTCAGCATCGGCCAGCAGTCACACATTTTATTAGAAAAAGGTGCTGCATCTATACGGTATACGGTAAGTACAAGGTATAGAGGCCGATCGTCGATAATAATAGTGCGAAACAGCAGGGAGTGAAGGCACGTTCCTCGACGTCGACGATCGAGATGAGGCAGCGGCAAGAAGAAAGCGCCCTGCACCTGATGAAGATTGCTCCAGCACCAGTGCTGACGACGACAGCGACGATGCCTGCGTTCGGGCAGCTGATGTTGCTCGATCGGCTCACACTCCTCAAGAGTGTGACATCGACGGCAGTTTGGGGCAAGCTTTGTCGCAATCAGCTCGAAATGAGCAACAGCAAATCACCAACCACACACACGGAGGCGTACCAGTAGCTGGTGGGGTGGCACACGCCTTCGGAGGTGGTACTACGAGCTTCTTCCCCGCAGATTTCGGTGCTACAGAATTTAGCACGTGGTCGGGATTCTTCTCGCATGTGAATGCCTATCAGTCGAGGACGTTCCAGGTATGCTTTGTTTACTTTGTATTTGAACTAAGCTGATGCTAACCCAGGGTCGTGCATGCAGCGTTTCCGCTTCAGGACTTCAAAAACCGTGAAGGCTCGTAACAGTAAGGTGCATGACCCAGCGGATAAAGTCCCGGAATCGTTCGAACACTACGCAAGACGTCTCGAATGTATCCATGCAGGGAAGTACAAGTTGAGGGAAACAGGCAAACGTCTTCGACAGCAAAGTTGCCAGATAGAGTGTCCGGCTCAGGTACTTGTGCTAATTACTTTGAATGTCTTACAATGCCGTAAGGTAAGGTGCCAGTTGCGTGCCTACAACCAGTTCCGTGCCTACTGGTTTTAGCCAATTAGCATCTTCTCCTTGTTAAACTCTCGTAGTCTATTGGTAGATTTTTCCAGCGTCACATGCCATTTCCGGTGATGAGCCTCCTAGGATTTGCATAGCATACAAAAATGCTATCAAAAAGAGGCAGGAAACTGGCAGCTCACTCCAAATCAACAAGCTTTTCAAAACAATAACAAGAAGTTCTGCAAAATTTACACGGACCAGCGTGAAGTACATGAATTCAGCCCAATCGCGCAGATTTAGCGGTTGCAATCAGATTTCAGAATGGACAATTCAATGAAAAGTTATGCCACAGCAAGTCCGCAAGTTCGAAGGACGGCACGAAACTGGCAGAAGACCTTACAATCAGAAGCGAAAATGTGCTTACACAGATTGTTTATGGCATGCCCCTCGTAGATAAATGCATGCGTCCGTCGGGTTGGTACAGATCCATCACGGTGGGTGGTGTGCGTTACGAAGATTGTAGTAAGCTTAGAGCACAATCACCCCGTCAGTGAAAGCTTGTTCAAGCACCACCCACGGACAAGGCTTTCTATTCCGGATGAGGTTGTGCACACGGTTTCTATTGTACAGAAAGCGGGTGCAAAGAAGAAAACCATTCACCAGTACATTTTGGAAAACTGCGATCGTTTGCACATTCGAGCCGTAGCCCACAAGCTAGCGGGGCTCATTCAAGCCGGCCGTAGAGGAGCCCAGTCTGGAGCTCCAGGCTCGTCACGTGTTTCCCAGTCTGGAGCAGCAACACGTGCCAAAACTGAAATGGGTCAAAGTTGAAGTGAAGTGCACGAAGGAAGGAAGTAAACCCTGCGCCCGACTCACGGATTCACCTGATGCTTGCCTTTTGATCACTCGGAGTGCAGAACGTGCCATGGCAAAGCTCGTACAGTACGATCCTTATGTGGGCGATCGGACGGCAAAAGTTCACTCCGGAACGTCGAGTTCTCTCCTTGGCGTTTCCAACATGCTACCTCTCCTCCATGTTTCCCGATGCTGGGATAGATCCTGCTGATAGGGCATGCCAGTGTGCTGTGCCGACAGCTCAGGGCGCCCTGCCTCAGGGCTTTGCGCTGTCAGAGGCCACGATCATTTTACATTCCTCTTCCTGAAGCAACAGTCGCGGAATTCCTCAAGCCCGATACTTCTCCCTCTCCAGGATGCCACCCGCTCTCTTGGTGATTGCATTGCTTGCCTCCGCAATAGGGTCTTCTATCGCTACGGAGACGACACAATGGCCGTCCCTGCGGTTCCACTTCACGCTCAAGCGCAGCTCCATGAAAGCCTTCGGCCAGTCGGAGTTCGACATGTTCGCCAACCCCATCGTGTCGGGCAAGAAAGACAAGGTGCTGTACGACGTCTACGCAACGTTCACTGAAGGAACGACTCTATACAACTACACGCTTATTGAGAGCGTCGCCCACTCCTCAAGCACTCCGTACTCCGGCAACCCTGCGGACGACAGCAAAGCAACACCGACAGTAACCTGCCTAGACTCGGAAGCGGTGAAACTTCCTGCGATCAACGCGATTGTGTCGGCCATTAACGGTGCAACAGCAGTGTCAGGGACTAGTGACAAGTCTATCAACTGCTCAAGCGGCAGCTTGTTCAAGGTCACAGTGAACGGCATCGACTTCGCCTTATGCGCTTCGGGGTCTACAGGTTTTACCATGCAAGGCACCGACATGGATATCACAGTGGAGTTCTTGGAGAGCGCGATCGATATCCAGACGCCGACTACTACTGCCAAAGGTGGAGAATGCATGAAAGTGGCGTCTGCGAGCTCTATCACTTCAATCGGCAAGTCTCTTCTAACCGGTCAGTCTGTTCCAAAGCACGAAAGAAGTCTGAAAGCCGCCTTTGAGTTCTCGTTTAGGGACGAGCCCACGTGCACTTGCAAGTCAAAGCCGCGGCCGTGCATTTTCATCCACGGTCTGGGTGTGAAGCAGGAGGTGGCGGAGAACCAAGACTGGTTCTCGTACTGGGGCGAGTCCATCAAGGGCCACACGCCGTGCTGCTCTTCAGTGAAATTTGCCCAATTGAACACGGTAAACAACACCTGGACTAGCAACACTCAGCAGCGTAAAGTCTGTGAACGCGCGCTCGCAGTGAGCAACTCAAGCACGAAGGCTGCGATTAAGGACACGATCGTCGTCACGCACTCCATGGGGAACCTCATGTTCGCCGGAGCGCTGGCGACTGGGAAATGCAGCTTGCACTCAAGCTCGACGTGGGTTGGAATGGCTGGACCGATGATCAGAAGTATGGCCTCGGACTTTGTCCAAGAGTCTTGTGCTGGCGAGACGAACAAACTTTGGGAAGAGGTCGGGGATATTACTGGTCGCTGCCCCCCGAACACGGGGTTGAAGTCGCTGGCGTACCAGCACGGCAGCCACAGCTCCAAAGCAGCCTATGCAACCGCTCAGAAGGTTTATCGCGAGAAAACTTACGCTCTTATGTGCGGACGAGCGTATTCGGGCCTGACGTCCAAGTACCAGGCCAAATTTTGGGTTTTGGGCCACACGATCCCCCACAAATCCAAGAAAAATGACGGCATGGTGGAGTTCCAGAGCTGCGCGCCTGGAATTCCAGAGTCAAAGTTCAGCACCAACTATCGCAACAGATTCTACGTGACGAGGTTGAACCATTATGATATGCAGTTCTTGGCGGGAGATGGCATGCTGGACGAGGCCAAGATGCCGGTCAAATGGTTCGAATATTTACTGTAGTCAAACGAGAGTGCAGGTCCCCTGACAACCCGCAAAAAGCATAAAAAGTAAAAATGGTTGTAAAAGCTTTAACAAAGATGCATGTAAGGCCTTATTCGACGTCATTTGATATTTTTCATCCAGTGACCACCTCATCAGATCATAAGCCTGCTGTAGCTGTTTATGCCTCGCTCGGTTGACGCGCACGCGTCAAGTAGCAAGGATCCTACTAAAGCCGGCTCCGGGGGTGCGTGTGCAGCGTTGATCGCGATTAACCATTGGTGAGTCGATACCGAGGGTATGACACGTAGAATCGTCGGTGCCTGAGCGATCATTACGCCGCTATACTTTTCAAGATTGTGAAGTGGACAGTAGCTGCGTCGTTCGAGCAAGTGCCTGTAGGCAAGAAGCGGTATAGCTCACTTCGTTATTTTCCGAGTTGACACTACAAACGCCCGCCAGTGAGATGTTCTTGCGGCTACTTCGCGTTACGGTAACGTTCGCGTCACTGCTCGCGCTAGTTTTCAAGCCAGCAGACGGACAGCGAGACTTCGAGCACCGTTCTCGCGAACTCCATCAGGACGGAGACGTGAATTGGCCACCGCTTCGCTTCGACTTCATTCTCAAGCGCAGCTCGATGCAGATTTTCGGACAGTCAAGCTTCTCAATGTTCGCTAACCCACTCGTCTCGAGCGATGGCGCCAGCGTCATCTACAATACCTTCGTGGCGTCTGCGGAAGGCTCGACATTGTACAATTACACTCTCGTGCATGGAATTGGCCTCATCTCGAAGAGTTCCGTGGACAACAACACCGACAATTCCATCGTGAAGTGCTTGGAACCGGAGTCGGGGAATCTCCCACCGATCAACACAATTGCGAGCGCAATTAACGCAGCAACAGCTACGTCAGGCAGCGGCAACAGCAAAATCCGATGCTCAACAGACCACCTCTTCGAACTTTTGATAAACGGTATCGATTTTTCGCTCTGTGCGTCTGGTTCGGGTCTCAAAATGTACGGAGACGACATGCATATCGCAGTGAGGTACATGGAGAGCCCGGTGAATATTCCCGCACCTGATGCAAGGACCAACACCTGCAGATTGACAGCGTCACCGATCTCAGTGACGTCGATCGGGAGGTCCCTGCTCACTGGAAAACTTGCATCAGCTGATGCCGAGAGGGAATTGAGATCTGAATTTGACTTTACGTTTTGGTCCGACGATTCTGACGATGAATCGCAACATTCTTCATCTAGCGATTCCTCCCGTGAGAGTGAGCGCCACGGTTGTACGTGCAAGTCCACTCCGCGTCCGTGTCTCTTCATTCATGGCATGGGCATCGATCACGAGGAAGCTACAAACGTCGACTCGTTCTCCTACTACTGGGGGAATTTAACCGACCACGCGCCCTGCTGCTCGTCCATAAAGTACACTGTGCTGGACACGGTGAACAATTCCTGGACCGACGACACTCAGCAGCAAAAAGTCTGCGATCGAGCGTTGGCAGTGAGCGACACGAGCGTAAATTCGACCATCACCGACACAATTCTAGTGACCCATTCAATGGGGAACCTCATGCTGGCCGGGACGATCGCGTCGGGGAAATGTAGCTTGGATTCAAGCTCGACGTGGGTGGGTTTGGCTGGCCCTATGAAGGGGAGTATGGGGTCTGACTTCGTCCAAGCGTCTTGTGCTGGCGAGACCAACGATGTACTGGAAAGTGTGGCCGATATCACTGGAAAGTGCCCTCCTACAACTGCATTAGTGTCTTTGGCCTACCAAGGTGAGAGATTCAGCTCCACAGAGCACAATGCGGCGTACACTGCGGCTCAAAAAGCGTACAAGTCGAGTGTGTATGCTCTCATGTGCAGTGAAGGGTATTCAGGGCTCGTGTCGAAGTACCAGGCGGAGGGGTTCCAGAGCTGCGCGGCTGGGATCCCAGAGTCCCAGTTCGGCGATACGTGGAGATCTCGCTTCTACAAGACCAAGCTGAACCATTACGACAGCGAGTTCTTGTACGGAGACGGACTTCTGAGTGAGTATCGGTCTGTATTGCTTGAACTTTCACGAGCGGACAACTGGGAAGGAAGATCGTCGATAGATTTGCCTGGGAATTGTGTACCCGAAAGTGACCCGAAAGTGTACCATAGTGTAGTGTAGCACTACCATTCAGCATAATCCCCATCTTGAGATCACCAGTTCCGTTCCGAATGTTAGACGACGTAGATTGGTTGTGGGCCACAAGTTGTGGCCCACAACTTGTGTGGGGTCTGTACAGTAGCGCATTCCGCAATTCTCTCCGACCCTCCCAAGTTCTCCGACGCTCCAGCGAATCGGAATGCGGGCATCCTCCGTGCTGCTCCTGTGTGCTGCCATCTTGGCCAGCGGCTGCGCGCAGTCGACGGCAAGCGAGGCGGCGATCTCGACGATGGGGTCTCCGGATTCGGTTCTCTCGGGCAAGAACAACGTCAACCGACACGCACGGAATCTCCGAGCCCAGAAGGACGACGAAGACGACGACGAAGACGACGACGAAGACGACGACGAAGACGACGACGAAGACCGGGTCTTGACGGGAATGAAGCATGGCGGCGGGCTGACTTGGCAGAAGCTCGAAGATATCTTGACAAACACGGGCGAAATACAAGCGACGAAGTTCGCAAAGTGGGCAGCCAAAAAAGTGACAGTGGCCGACATCATGGGCAAGGTTAAAGCCTTCGATCCCGTGAACGAGAGACATTGGGGGATTGCTACGGCGTACAAAAATTATCTAAAGGACGGTACGGTAACGAAGCCCAAAACCATTGCACGCATGGACGAACCTCCTCCCCGACCTGCCGCCGTTGAGCATGTGCCAAACGAGAACAGCTTGATACTGAATGCTCTCTGGAGGTGGGCCACTGGCACACGATAGATTAGACTCATGGCAGAGGCTCACGATGATAACGTGCAACGTGAAAATGGACTTTGAGAACTTGTACTGCTATTGTCTGGGATGTGTCACGGAAATCATTTGTAGACCCAACAACACCTAGACTCCACAACCTATTAAGCCTCCCTGTTGTCACTGCTGAGGCACATCGTTGCATTTGCAGTCTACCGCTACGCCGAGCTGGCTCCCAATGAGTATTTGTTGCCTCCCAGAGAGCGGAAGAACGTGGCTTTTGTCCCCAGAACCACATTACAGTTGTAACTGTAGTAGGTTTCGGAACACTACGAGGGATGCTGGCGCTTCCGGGCAAACCAAAGCTCTGTTGATGGTTTAGATGTAAATCTCAAAGTGATCTCTGTCTGTGTCTCTGCTCCTAGCTGTCGGCGGCTTCATGCCGGCGACTCCTGCTAGCGCCTTCTGCCAGCGTCTTCTACCAAACCGACCTCTCTGTCGGTCGCATTGGTTTCGCTGTTGTTGAAATGAACAGTTTACACAGAGTAGGTAGCTCACTACAATGTATTACTCTTTTGGTTATCCTCTATTCCTATGCCTACTACTCTAGATCCGTGCTCGGTACCTGGAGGCAAAAGAGGAAGCGAGCTCGTCTTCGAACTGCGTCCTCGACTCCTCACTCCTCGGCCTCGTGTTGTCATCGCACTATGTATGGTTGGCACTATCCAGACCACAGCTGGCGATCTGAACTTCTCTCGTACTTGCTAAAACAATAATAACATGTTTGAGAGGGTTTGCTTTCGGTTGCAAAATAACTCGACTGGCAGACAGGCGAAGCCTGCTGCCACTCTGCGAGCGGGGGGCTCGGCGCGCCTCTTCATTCAACACTCCCACTAAGTACTAGGGTAAAGTTTCAGACCTCGCACTCCTAGTTTCTCTCTTAGTTTCAGGAATTGTTTTGTGGGGAGAGCTTTAGTGAGAATATCCGCAGTCATCTCTGTTGTAGAGCAGTAAGCTATCTTGAGGCGGCCAAGTTCAACCAGGTCCCTCGTAAACAGGTAGCGGATCTCGATGTGTTTGTTTGCTTTGTGATTTCCAGGATTTTTCACAATGCTGATGGCAGCGTTGCTGTCACACCATACCTGCACTGGTACCTTTTGAGGAAACTCCATTTCTCCCAGCAAGTGCCACAACCACTCACTTTCTTTAGCTCCCTCACTTAGTGCGATGAGTTCAGCTTCAGCAGTAGAGAGCGACACGCTCCCTGCTTGCTACTACACCATGACACACTGGCTCCGGCCATTTGGATTACGTACCCTGTTACGGATTTACGTTCTTTAGGTTGACACGCGAAGCTCGCGTCAGTGTACACTTCGTAAGTCACGTCTCTCGTTTTTCCATCGAGAAACAGACCGTACCTTGACGTCCCTTTCAAGTATTTGAGTACTCGCCTAGCCGCTTCCCAGTGCGTGCGGTTGTAACAAGACAGAAATTTGCTCAATTCTCTAACCGTGTTGGCGATGTCTGGTCGTGTGCCACAGACCAAATATTGGAGTGATCCAACAATGCCTCTGTAGTCGTAAGGCTGCGCAGCAATCTGCTCTGCGCTCATGTTCGTCTCTGGCTCGAGTACGAGGCCAGGTGCTTGCGGTGTCATCACCGGCGAGCTATCGACCAGTTTGTACTTCGTGATCAGCTCTGCAATGTATTTGCGCTGTGAGATCATCGTCACACGCTGGTTCCTATTGCGAGTTACCTCCATCTTGAGGATGTAGTGAATGCCGCCAAGGTCTTTCATCTTGAACCGTTTTGACAACTCGGCTTTGAGCCCATCAATTAGTCGCATGTTCCGCGACATGATCGTCAGATCATCGACATAGACCACGACTATGATCCAATCTACTCCCACTTTTTGCACGTAGATGCAAAACTCTTTGTGGCAGCGTGCAAAACCCATCGACGTCAAAAAGGTATGTAGGACTTTATACCAGATGCGCGGGGCTTGTTTCAGGCCATAGATGCTCTTCAGAAGTTCACAGACCAAGTGCTCTTGGCCTCGCTTCGCAAAACCGTGAGGTTGCCTCATGTAGATCTTTTGCTCTCCTTCCATCGTGCCGTTCAAGAACGCCGTATGGACATCCATCTGGTGGATATGACAGTCCAATATCGTCCCTATCGCCAGCACTAGGCGCAGCGACTCAAATCGTGCCACGGGTGCGTATACCTCATCACAGTCTACCCCAAACTCCTGGTGGTTGCCCTGTGCTACGAGGCGTGGTTTGAACCGCTCGACAGTCCCGTCGGCGTTATACTTTACTACTAGTACCCAGTTACAGGGCAAAGCCTTACGTCCGGGTGGCAGTTTTACGAGTCTCCACGTCCCATACTCGATCAAGGAGTCGTACTCAAGTTCCAGAGCTTGTTTCCATTGCTCTCTATGAGGTCCACTTAAGGTTGCATTGAGCGCCGTGGTGTCGGCACTTTGTGCTCTAGTATGGTCTGCGCAATGTTCTTATCTATCATCGCCTGGAAGCCCTGATAGTCCGCGTATCTCTTCGGCTTCTTCGCCTCTCTACGTGGGCGGGGTTCACGCCTCTGTGGCGTATCGACGAGTTCCACACGTTGGCGTTTCTTTTGAGCTCCCACTGCTGGGTTACTGTTTTCAGTAGCTGCTTCAGCCCCCACTGCCTCAGTAGACCCCTGTGCTCGTGATTCAGCTCCCACTACTGCCGTGGACCCGTCGGCAAGTGCTTCAGCTCCCACTGCCTCCGTAGACTCGGTGGCTAGTGTTTGGTTTCCCTCTGCTGCGGGTGGCTCGCGCGCGGCAGATTCAATTGTGAGGGGCTCTTCGGCCTGACCGAAAGCTCGCTGAACCATGGTGGCTACATTGGTCGTATCAAACAGCACATCACGCGATAAGATGTGCTTGTTGTTATACATGTCCCAGATTCTATAACCCTTCGTTTCCTCAGATATTCCGAGAAACCGGCACTTTACGGCGCGAGCAGACAGCTTTTTGTCCTTTCTTACGGTGGCAGGAACGTGCCCAAAACACCCACATCCCCACACAATAACTTACTCACGTTGGGAGGCTCCCCATACACCATCTCATACGGTGTCTTGTTTCCCAAACGTGCCATGGGTGTGCGATTCTGCACATAAGTCATGTACATGAGCGCCTCTGGCCACCACCTGTGTTCCATAGCTGCGTCCTTCAACGCGCAACGAACTCTATCCAGTTTGCTCTGGTGGTCTCGCTCTGCAGCTCCGTTTTCTTCGGAGCTGTAGGCGTTGGATGTCTGGAATACGATGCCTTTGCCTTTACAGAAGCTTTTAAAGGCTGCATTCACAAACTCAGTTCCTCCAGCGGACCGGATCCGACGAATCGTGAACTTTCCCTCACGCTCAAGCTGCGTTGACGACGCTCTCCATTGGCTCGTCTTCGTCGCTCATCGGCGAAGCGCCCTTTCCCGGCGTGTCAGGCTGCTGAAAGTTGCTTGGGGGCGGGCTCGTGTACCCATCTGGGGTCGCGGGCAGCGAATCTTGCTGCGCGTCGTACGCGTCTACTGCCACGACTTTGACCAGGCACTCAGCCAATGGGATTTCACGACGCTCCTTGGCTTTGGCCTTTCCATTGCCCTTCATCTTGGGTGTAGGCTCGTGTACTTCCTTGCGAGCCTTGCGGCTTGGGTACGTCCACACGTTGCGGCGAAACACACCCGCAGCCTTGTCTGCGCGACGCGCGGGGCAGTCAAGCATCTTGTGTGGGCCAATGCCATCCCGATCGTTGTGCGCGCCTGCGCAGTAGTGGCACTTCATGTACCCGACGTTGTAGTGGGCGTCGTTGATCGGACCGTCTGCGGTCTTTCGCTTGCCCAGAACGGATCCCTTCGGATTTGTTGAAGCCGTCTTGGCTGGGGTCGACTTGACGTGGTTGACCACCCTGCCGCTAGCCAGCGCCATGAATTCGCTCTTGGTCTTGTTGCCAAAGATGTTGGCAAGCTTCTCGCTCACCTTCTCCAGCGTGAAGCTCTCCTCCGTGAACTTGACGGAGGAGCCCCACATGTGCCTCGGAAGCACACTGAGCACCATGACCAGTATCATCTTCGCCGTGATCATGTGCGTGTGCAGAGCCTCGTGCGCGTTCACGTTGACCTGGCTGCGCACGTTGTTGAGGTCTTGTAAGAGCTGGCCAACGCTCTTGAAGTCGGCGTTCACCATCTCCAGGAACTGCTGTACCAGCCCGACGACGCCTGCCGCGTTGCTGAGGCTGTACTGTTTCTCAACAAGCCGCCAAATCACATGGACCGGCTCGTCCATTTGCTTGGTCGCGATTCCCTTGAAACCGCCCGGCAGCGTTTCACACAGCAGCCGCTTGATGTACGACGACTGTTGATTCAGTAGCGTCTCGTGCAAATCGTGCTGCCATGTCGCCTCTTTGTCCGCCGCGGGCGGGCGTGGCGGCAGCTCTGGCTGGCTCTCGAGCAGATCCTCGAAGCGCGTCAGCGGCTTTGCACGCTTGTGCTGCAGCTCCTCGAGCGCGCGTTGCTCACTCTGCGCCCTGAGGTGGATAATCAACTTGCTCTTCCATGCAGGGACTTCCCGTTGAACTTCAGCGAGTCGACCGACGACTTGTCAACCTGGGGCTTGCTCATTGTACTTGAAATGTTGAAATGAACAGTTTACACAGAGTAGGTAGCTCACTACAATGTATTACTCTTTTGGTTATCCTCTATTCCTATGCCTACTACTCTAGATCCGTGCTCGGTACCTGGAGACAAAAGAGGAAGTGAGCTCATCTTCGAACTGCGTCCTCGACTCCTCACTCCTCGGCCTCGTGTTGTCATCGCACTATGTATGGTTGGCACTATCCAGACCACAGCTGGCGATCTGAACTTCTCTCGTACTTGCTAAAACAATAATAACATGTTTGAGAGGGTTTGCTTTCGGTTGCAAAATAACTCGACTGGCAGACAGGCGAAGCCTGCTGCCACTCTGCGAGCGGGGCGCGCTCGGCTCGCCTCTTCATTCAACAGCTGTTCTCCCCTATCCTAATGCCAGCTTGGTGGCGTCGTTCTGTAGACGTCACCCGATGAGTGGGCTGGATGAAACCCGCCACTACACCACCCTTCCAAGCCTTGCCCAGTCAATCAGGTCAAGTTGTCTTGCTCGTTCTGTTGAGCCCAACTCAATCTGTTTGAGTGTCAAAGTGTCAATTGTCAAAAATACATGTCCATAATGTATGTCGAAAAAGTTGTCGAAAATTCTCGTTGTGCCGAAAACTGAGACTTAAGGTTTTGCTGGCGTCGTACCGCGGACGAGGTACATGGAACATGTCGATGGGTCGGTGAGCATCGGCTGTTATGCCTCGGAGCGCTGCTTGGTCAGTGCAAGGACGTGGCGTTCGAAACGAGTATCAACACATCGTTCTGCGAACTGTCGTAGCAACGCGGGTACATCCTTAGCTAGGGACTTGGTCGTCTCGTTGAAGTCCTCAATAGGCTCTAGGCCCTTCCAGCTCACTAGCACGTCGTAGTCCTTCTTAGCGCTGTTCCATGTGTAGTCCAGTAGTTCATTGATCGCCAGGATTTGGCCTTGGGCCGCTACATGCTCACGGATCTCTTCTGAGATCTGCAACGAGCTGTCAGCATAGAACTTCAACCGGGAGCTGTGGACGTCTGTCTCCTCCCCGGTGACGAGATGCCGCACCGTGAACGAGTGCGAGTCTGCTCGTGTGATTTGATAGGGCCCAATCCATGCCACTAGTAGCTTGTCTTGGTATTTACTGTCCACCCTCGACCTTAAAACGTAATCACCCACGTCGAAGTTGGGCTTCTTCGCGTGCTGGTGTCACCTTTGATTGTGCTCGGTCTGCTGAGTGCGTGCGTTGATCATAGGCTTGTGCATCGATCGAACGCTAGCTTTCAGTGCCACCAGCCAAGGCTCGATGTCGGCTGGTTGCTCTGGTAGGGATAGAATCTTGCGCTGCCTCGAGTCCACACAAAAGGCCAAAGGTGACGGCAGCGGCAACCCACAAAAAAGCTCCACTGGGGCTCTGTTACCCAGAGAAGGGACCGGGGTGTGATTCAGATTCCCCTGTAAAATAGGCACGAAATATGTCCAATCATGTGTGTCGACTTCATATTCCAGACGGAGTGCTCGCAGCGCCTGTATAATATCACGGTTGGCACGTTCGATGCTGCCATTGATCCACGGACTGTAAGCCAACGTGAATTCTTGACGTGACTTCAGTCGCCGGCACACTTCTGCCACAACTGCATTTTTGAAGTGCGACCCCTGGTCGCTGATCCACAGTGGCGGTATGCCATATCTGCTATGCCATGCGAGGATGGCTTCCGCAGTCACAGTACTTGTAGGAGTTGAGCAAGGTGTTAATTCGCAAAAATGCGTTGCTTCATCCTTAAGTACGAGTAGGTAGTTGTCACCGGCGAAACTCTCTCCAAGCGACAGAAAATCCCAGTGGAGTGCTCCATTTCGCTCGTTGGTTCTGTATGTTTCACCCCATGGCCTTTGGATAATCTTGCTGCCTTTCACGCGATGGCATAAAAGACAGGTCGACAGGAATTCCTCCACCCGCGCTCTCAGGCGGACCAGGTAAACAAATCTCCTAATCGACTCCATAGTAGCCTCCCGACCACGGTGTCCTTGCGGTCCACAATGGGCGACAACTAGGATGCGTTGAATAAGGCCCTCGTCTTCGTCAGGTACCCACAGTTTGCCGTTAATGCACAACCCTTCCTTTTCACCGCCAGTAGCCACTGCTGGTCGACACGTCTTATGTCGATTTTGCGATTGGAGTGTGGCGTCACGGTTTGGCCACTCGAAATCCGGGTCGTTCAAGGGCCGGATGGGGTGTGGTGTAGGTAGTACAGTATCGGTAGTTGGTTGTACTTGAGATACACGCTTGCGTCCTCGTCGAGCTCGTTTACGAGGTGCTGTTGTGCCGGTAACTGCCGCGGGAGTACGCTTACGGAGTGTCATCTGCCGTAGGTGAGTCTTCTGAGCGTGGTTACCTGCCTAACGGGAGACCATGGCGCTCCACACATTCGATGTTCCGTCGATGTGCTCAATTTCATACCGGTACTCAGCTAGTTGCGTTGCCCACCTCAGCAATTTCCCACGAATGTGCTTCTTAACTTCTGCTCCAGGTGCAAATACGTAGATCAAGTTTCTGTGGTCACAGAACAACTTAAATCCACCCGGTCGTAGCAATAGGTAGCTCAACTTATCGCAAGCGCAGACGATAGGATACGCTTCTTTCTCGATTATACTCCAATGACACTGCGAGCCGGTGAATGTGCCGCTCAAGCAGGTCAATAGTTGATGTTGCTGCCGGTGTACGGGCTCACCAGCCTTCCAATCCAGCACTTGTGTTACTACCAGGCTCCATCCGATGTCGCTGGCGTCGGTCATCACACGCATAGTTGCGTTCTCGCGAGGAAATGCGAGCGTCACACTATTTGCAAGTAGTAGTTTCAATTCATCGTCGGCCTTCCGCTGTTCAGCAGTCAAACTGATTGCAATTCCAGCTGCAACCCGTTTGGTTCGCTTTGCTGCACTCGCCAAAACTGCATCTAATGCGTCCTGCAAAGGCCGAGTCGTTTTCGCGTAGTCTATTAGACTCTCCCGCATCCAATTGGTTGCGCACAAGAATTGCTGTAATTCGCCCGCCGTGCTTGGGTAGGGAAGGTCTCGGAGGGCACGGATGCGCTCTGGGTCATGACGCACACCGGAGCCTGAGATGATCTTCCCACACCAACGGGCTTCCTTTTTGAAGAGCCGAGACTTCTTAACACTGAGCTTGAAGACGAAATAATCGAGTAGTTCAAACAATCTTTCCAACTTGACTAGGTATGTCTGCACATCGTTCGCAAACAGTAGCAAGTCATCTATCCACACAAGTAAATGGCGCCGCAAAAGCTCCTCCAAACACTACTAGATTGTAGCTTGGAAAAACAGCGCAGCATCAGTACATCCTTGGGGGACCCGTCTTGGCGTGTACACCTTCTGATGAGTCATGTAAGACAACATCTCTTGGCACTCTTCTGCGAGCGCGATCTGCCAATATCCCTTAATGAAATCGAATAAGCCAAAGAAATTGGCCCCTTTGACGGCTTCCAGGTCTGTCTGCAAGTCGGGCATGATTCCTACGATCGCTTCCACCAGCTCATTCATAGGTTTGTAGTCTGCCGTTTGGCGGAATTCTCCACCTCCCTTCCGAACAGGTAGAGCGGGGCACGCCCATCTGCTCTCTCGGTTTTCGTACACCCACCCTAACTTCACCAACCTGTTGTTGAAATCCTCCATGAAGCGACGAACTTCAGGTGGGTACTTCCTCGCCTTACACCGGTACGGTTTTGCACCAGGCTTCAGGCGGATACGCATTGACGGCACTTTAGCAGGAGGATCCGCACCCAAGCGAACTCGAAACAGGTCGAAGCGCAGCGCAATGCGAGTGAGCTCCTTCTTAAACTCACGCGGAAACCCCTCCTCAATTGCCAGGTCCACCAGCTCAAGAATAGCAGCTCGAACGTCTTCTTCATGCAGCGCCCCTTCTCCAACGATAGGTTTATCTGCATCATCAAATACATCTTCGCTCTCGTCGACTGCAAGAGGTACTGCCAGTAAGTCGATTTGCCGCTCAACGGCGATCCCCAACTTAAGCAACAGGTCGTTACCAAGTAGAAATTCGCCGGAGCTACCGGGAATGATCAAACACTCGACCGGTTCAGCAATATGAACAATACCAGCAATAGTCCGCAGTCTCACATTAATCTTCACAGTCCAACTCACCCAAACGGGTGAGCCGTCGGCCATCGTGCACTCCAGAGGTTCGTCCAACTTCACCCGCATAATGTCCGACTTTACATTTACCAATCGATCAAAACAGCTCTCATCCAAACAGCAACGGTCCGCTCCGCTGTCAATACAAAGCGGGACCTCCACTTCGACTTTGAGCACCACGAACCGATTCTGCTTGGGAAAACAGTCCTTGATTCTTTTTAGTCTAGTGGTGCCTCCCTTTGTCGGTCGAGTCACCTTTGCTGTCTTGCTTGTGGTCGGCGAGCAGCTTGTCACGCTCGGCCGGTGTGACCATGGGGCATTTGGACAAGTAGTGTGGTCCGCCACTATGAAAACACCTTTCTTTTGGCGCTCCCTTGGCGGCTGCACGTCCTGACTGCCCACCTTTCTATTGGCGGCGGTCAGAGGCTTTCCCCTGATTCACTTTCTTGACCGCGCGGTGCTCTTGTTCGTTGCGTCGTTTGTTGTACTGGGAACTGGGCTTGTGCTCTTTCCTTTCGTGTTTGTGACGCGGAGGGTTTGCCTTCTTCAATGCTCGTTCTTCAATTGCTTGTTCCTTGGCCTTCACTCGAACCAGCTCATACAATTTCCGAATATTGCACTTTGCCTCCGGAACACGATAGTCAAGCTCGTTCTGGACCTTGCTCTTCAGTCCTTTCGGCAGCGAACTCACGATGAGCTTGCACTTCTCCTTAGCACCACGCTCCTCTTCAAAGAAACTCGTGAACACATGTTTTTTATCAGCGAGTTACACAGGTGAAAGTACTCAATCACTCTCGCGTCGATGTCGGTGGTGGACATGTTCATTCGCAGCTCCTCACGAAACAACTCCTTCACATCAGGCAGTTCCTGGTTCTGGAAGCTGTCCGTGATCTCGTGGATCTTCTCCAAGAGAAAATCATCAGTCACACTGCTCTGCTCCACTCCCCAACAAACTTCACACAAGGTCTCCAACACGTTCGCGTCGAACGAACTCTTCACGCTTTCATCACTGCGGTGACGTCTTCTTTTCCGTCCTTGCAGCGGTCCTTGACGTATTCTTCATACTCCTTCCTCAGTTTCAACCACTCCACAAGCGCTTCGCGCGCCATGGATGACACCCTGGGCGGATTCACGATGGCGAAAAATGGATGCGGCATGCGTGCAGCCTGACGACTATCAGTCGATTCCGACGCCGAGTCACCTCCTTGTACTGCGTTGTCACTGCTCCGTCCGTCCGCCAAGAGAAAGGTCTCCTGCTCTCCGCCGTCCTTCGAAGGTGTCGTCGTCATGCTTCTTCTCCGATCCGTCGGTGTTGCTTGAACCGGCAACTAAAGATATCTTTGTAGTAGGTTTCGGAACACTACGAGTGCCAGCTTGGTGGCGTCGTTCTGTAGACGTCACCCACTGAGTGGGCTGGGCTTGCTTCTATGAAACCCGCCACTACAGTAACAAGCCTCATGTCGCCTGCTTGCCGGCGGGTCGTACAAGCTCAGACATCTCGATTTCATGGACACCTCGGAGACACTTAGCTTGCTCAGTGTCTGTGCATGTCCTACTCATATGAACAACACCAGATGACCGACGGAGACTCAACTGACGTCTCCGCGGCGGAGGCACCCTCGCGGGGCTCCAATTATATTGCTCATCTTCATCTCGTTCGTCACCCGATCGCCGTTCGTCCATCGACACTCGTTCGTTCGTCACCGCTCACCATCGCTCACACGTGCTCGTCCACCGCCCGTCTCTAGAACGTAAATGCAACTACTCGACCATCACTAGCAAACTACGAACTAAACTGTTGCGACGCTCACTTAGCCACCGGGAATACGCCCACACGCGCCTACCCGTACCTCGTGCAGCCATCAGCAAACTCGAGCCACAGCTCTACCGCGTGGCCCTACCGGCAACTTCGTCCATCGCCCGCACGTGCTCGTCCACCAGCCACATCCGTCTACCGTTCCTCGACGCTCGCCGCCATTCGTCCACCGTTGCCGTCGTCGTGTACTGCTCTCTGCTTGTCCAGTTCGCTACCGTCTCCCGCTTGTCCTGTCCGCTGCTCGCCTAATTCTGGACTGACTTCCATTTGGACCTCTTGCACTGCTGCTGATCCCTCAGCTCCCTCGCGTGGTCCACACTGACGTGCTCAACTTCAAGCCCCGATCTTCATACATTCTAGACCAGATGTACCAGTTAGACCTGTTACACAGTCAATCTGCAGCTTGGTCGCAAATTTCCTAATAGCCGCTACACTTGCTTCGCCGAAGAATTTTGCCCCCACTACATATCGACAGACCCCAACGACCCTGGCGCCAGCATAGCGACTTTTGTCGTGCGTCCCCAAACGGCTTCAATACCGCTTCGTCTTCGAGCACCTCCATAGGCCGGATCTACGTAAAAGGCCATTAACCTTCCGGATACACTGGGCACTGCATTGATGTTCTGCCGACACGTAGATTTTATAATTCTTCCTCTGAAAGAGATGGCCCAACTTAAATACTTGAGATTGAAAAGTTTGTGAAGAGTCCCTCGACTGAGTATGGTCATAGATTCCGATGAGAAACGAGGGAGATCGTTCCCGTTGCAGCCCGAAACTTATCATTGCAGTGGCGGAGTTATGTCCTAAAGGCGAGTGCTGGGATGGGCGAAGAAAAGTGGTCAAAAGAGTATCCGGGCCCGCCTCCTTTTCAACTTCAAAACTGCAAATTGCAAGTTCAAAACAGCAAAAGGTAAAATCAAAACAACAATACTCTATAAATGTATAGTATATCCCACCCCTCGGCCGAGACGCGGGGGAGACGATCTCCCCCCACGAGACGGGAGACGCACTTAGAAGATACGATAGTGTACTGCGTCTCCCGTTTCGAGAGAGCCATTGGTCCATAATCTATCCTATATATAATAGGGAACCAGCGTTTTAATGTATTCTGTAGGAACTTCGCGGAAAGATCGCAACATATTGCAGCCAGGCCTGTCGAAAGGCCTGCTGAAAGGCAAAGTACGCCTCAGTTTTAGGCATTGCTTTGACCAATCGCAGAAGGAGCCAGTGAGACTCTGACCAGCGCGTAAAGTACGCAGCACTCTAAAATGAGACGACGAGGAGAGACGGAAGTTTTGTCTCCTTTTCCAAACACTTTTCAAGGGGGGAGACGGGAATACCGGGAATACCGACTGGGGAGACGGTATATCGATAAAACCGTCTCTCCGCCCAAAGTCTCGTCGGAGGGGTGGTATATCCTGTATGGTATGTATCATCGTATTCGATTACATGTATAGAGTACAAATTTGCCTATTGGCAAGCTGTGGCCGACGAGCTGTGTTTAAAAGTACGAAGCTAGCCTGGTCTATGCTCGTGCAGTTTTGAACTTACCTTTTGCAGAATTGAACTTGGAATTTGCGGTTTTCAAGTTGAAAAGGTGTAAAGTCCTGTACCTAGTATGATGATAACACTTCCATTGAGAAGAAATGAGACTGCCTCGAACAAAATGATACTAAGCCACCATTTAGAGTTATCGAGATAATCGCGCTTGAGAATTGGCTGCTATTTTTCGTATCTAAGTGAAGTTTCGAGAAAGGGCCCGATTTGTGATTTGAAAACCTGAACTGTCACTAAAGCGAACGCTCTCTCAACACCTCACTCTCAAAGAAGATCTACACCATCGCCGACATGGAAGCCCACCGCTCGACCTCCGAGCTGCCATCACAGACCTCCAGCGGCACCGAGTCGTCGCCCGCCGGCACACAGGCTTCCGGCGCTCTCGCGCCACAGTCCGTTGGTGCCTCGGAGCCGCCCGGGTCCCCTCCCTGTCAACACCCCCCTCCCCCCGAGCAGCATACACCGTACGCGCCCGAGCAGCACGCTTCGGCAGCGCCTGGGCAGTAGCTTGCGCGCACCTCCGAGCCGCAGCAGGAGGAGAGTGCCTCCGAGCTGCACGAATCACCGGTGTGCACGCCTTCTCGAACCGATTGGCAGCGCAACCAGAAAAATCGACTCCGCGTGACCTCCCCGCACGTTGCGGCACATGCCGCCAGCGACGTCTCGTCTGAGAGCGAGGAGCCTGATGAAAGCAATGATGAAGATTGGAGCACGGCCGAGTCAGCTGAGGAGGATAGAGAGGTGACGGGGGACAGCGAGGGAATCGAAGACGATGAGCAAGCCGAGGATCAATTTGATCGAGGTTGATGTTCACCAGAAGGTGACAGGCCTTATCAGAGCTGATAAATGTGAGCGTCGCTGCCTTCAGAGAAAGACTCAAGAGCTGCAGTCTCTGGTTAGTTCAAAGTGTAGCAGTGTCCGTCGTCTAGCCCAGCTGATCAATCAATGTGATACTTATGTCCATGCTAATCCAAAATGATATCAATTGACAGCATGTGTCACTAATGTGAAACATCGCACGAAAGTGAAGTTTTAAGACTATTTCAATGCGAATTTGAAGAAACGAAGGGTATCATTGGATCCGCTGTACAATTTTACACCAGGGTAACCAATAAAAATTCTTACTTTTGCTCTGGGACGGGAGATAATTTTTTCGCGGGGACATATCTTTGGCTAATCTAACTGTTAGAAGTTGTGGAGGGCCTCAAAAGATAGCTAAGACGCCCCTCTTTCCAACGAGGTACCTAAATCCCAATTCGTACTTTGGTTGATTAGTATCTTTTTGTTCGACGCGGTCTCAAATAATCTAGGCCGATGACCTGAGCGTTCAGAATGGCTGTTGAGACCATTAAGACGCTCACGGATCGCACTCTCGGTTACCTCCGGATTGGATCATATACGGAACTGATCAGAGATTTGAACAGATCTCCTAAAAGGTGTTCTGGGGGTTGCACACCCAGACCTCCGCATAAAGAAAACTAACTCCGAGTTGTGGCAGCGGGTTCGTTCGCTGGAATGCTCGTCGCTGGGCCCGCCTCCGCAAATACCGCGCGGGTTTGCTATGGCCACGCTGCTCACAACCGCTCACTGCCGTAACATACGTTTTGTACATACAAAAACGAGATAAGACACGTGTTCGGAACAGGTTGGAACAGGCTGTTCCAATGGGCGCCTTCCAAAACCCATATAAAACCGTTTGACCAGTTTAATCCGTAATTTATTTTAAATTACCGAAGCGTTGGATGCGCCCCAAAACGGTTGCTGGAACGCGACCTTCTAGTATAGTGGAGTTCAGTCACTTGTTTAATCACGTTGCTAGTTAAGAGTCGCATTAGAATTGTTTGATGAGACCAAAAAGTGGTCTCATCAAACAATTCCCCGTGATTAAACTTTTATGCACGACTTTTGGTGAGGGTTTTGGAAGGCGCCCATTCACTGATCAGTTCCGCTCTCTCGTGGGTCTATACTATACACCCACGAGAGACTCTATACGCTCCTTTAAATCGGTACTTCTCTGGCCCACTCAAGAAACAACATTCGGCATTAAACTCAATTTGATGTGGACCACATGCCACATATGATTGGGTATAATCAACTGTTTCAGCTTACTATTGTCTCTGCGCATGTCGAGATAATCGCGTAGAAAAACCTCAAAGCTGTAGCCCTTCTAACTCGTCTCCAACAGGCGCTACAATTGGGGACCCGGGTGGTGGACCCGGGGGGGTTCGCATTTCGAAGCTAGCTTGCACGGATACTTGTAGAGGGAAACGATGTATTCGGGCATCTCCTGCACCTGCACCTGCTTCGCAGCCGCAGCATCTGCCTAATCTACCACTGTACAACCAAGTGTACCAAGTTTGATCGCTTCTTTCAAAAGGCATTGCCAGTCTACAGTATATATCGTCACTCCGATGGATTGAACAACGCAGAGTTTAGTTGAGTTGGTACTTCAACGCTTCGGGCTCCTCCTGCTCGTCGGATCAATATTTCACGGATTTAGTTTTAATTTTAGTTCTTTTGTAGAACGATCATCGACAACTAGCTAATCAACGTACTGTCCTTCCCACTGAAATGTGCGCTGATGCCTAGGCAGAACCTTTTTTCCGTGTTTTGCTCGGAAACTTACCGGAGGAGACAAAGAAGAAAAATCCGTGTATTGAAAGATTTAGCGCTGCCAGGCTAACTGCTCAACTGAACCTGCTGGGAAAACGGATGAAGCCAGCAATTTGTTTCAAATTTGATAAGTCAAAACTGGGGTCTAGCAGATCCCGATCGCGTGTAGGAGCAGGATACACCGGGTATTTGCCCTTCGCTTTGATACTGTCCGCTCGGGCTTCCTCTCGCGCAGGAATCCGGGGCGTACAGCGACGACGTACTTAGAAGCATTCAAACACTGTTTGATACAACATGGCGCAGTCACACACATATTTCGTCCGGGTCGCCTGAATATCTAACAACAAAACCCGTGTCTGCTTCCATTCGTCCAAGTATGCCATTGCCATTTATCAAGTATTAAGCTGGCCGTACCGTATTCATGTAGCATTAGGATGTTCTAAACTAGCATCGGTAACGATGTACTTCGAAGTTGTTTGACAAGAACAGGATCAAGTAGTGCATAATTGTATTAATACACCACCAGTAGTAAATGTGCTCGGGGAATCCCTGCTGGTCGCAATGTAGTCTCACACAAAGCAAGAATAATACCAACCAAAGTCTTTCTAGATAAAATGCCTGAGCGACAGCAGCTAGGTTTTTAATGGACCCACATGAGCCATTCCTAGCTCGATTAATTTGAACTAGGTTCCTTCCAGTTTCATACACGGTCGTCATTCTTTTTGCGCTAGCTTCTAGCCTTTTCTCCGGAGAAGACGTACCATCGGGTGCAGCTCTTTGGCCCTCTGCTAGATAGCGTTTGCGTTGGATACAAAATCGTTGAACGGAAAACTCAAGATATACCTCCCATTTTGGATCACATATCGTTAAAAATAATTGAAGTAGTTTTTGGCGAAGTCTCAGTGGAATGTTCAATCTAATACACCTAAACGCATTTCAATACGTGTGGGGATTCACACAATACCAGCCTGTCAACAATGTATGCCACAAAAATTGCACAAGATTTTCAGTTAATCTCTCTGATTAACTATCCATACAGAATAAAATCGATCGCAAGGTGAAATCCTCTTCTCGTGTGTCTGAAAGAGGAGGGTATAATAAAAGTTATGACCCATGACAGAATGAAAAGGTCGAATTGACAGTTTAAATGCTCGAGTTACGGTAGCATGGCCAACGCAAAATCGAAGTAATTCGGAAGTAGTAGTCTGCTCTGCGAAAAATGCCCCAAACCCGGGACACGATATGGCATACACACAACACGCAGTGTTGCTTTTGTATGCAACAAAAGTTTATACAGTACAACGTACGCCCAGACGTTGTGCAAACAAATTGAATTATTCATTCCCTGCTCTTCACACATCACTAGTGAAAATCACCTTTCACTGGTGTGTCGACATTTGGCGAATCTGTCGTTCGTTGGATCCCCTCGACAGGAATGCGAACGCACATGTAGTTCTTCTCGCCCAGCGTGAGCGCACGTGTTTCAGGGTGAATGCTGCACTATCATCACACCGCGGCCATGATGTTTTCGTATGAAGAAGAAGTTGATTAACTATTTTTTGACAAGCCGTGTCGCTAGCTATGGTAAACTGTAGTAATATCTACTTGGGCAACTTGGATTTTGATGTTGAACCCAAATTCGACTACTTTTCTTTAGGCAAACTCACTGGTATGGGTCGAAGCCCAGTCGTTGTAAAACAGAAATCATTGCATTCTTGTCGAGCTTCAGTGTTCGGAATTTCACAGCTTAGAAATAGCTATAATATACACAATTGCACCTTTATTATTTGTTCTAGTCGGCTTCAATATCATTTATCTATCTATGATGTGCCGATGGTCCCGTGTAGCATGAATGTCGTTCGATGTCATCCGGAAGCTACGAATGTAACGCGAATGTCGTTCGATGTCATCCAAAAACCTACAGTTCTTCGAACTGCGAACATCGACAACCGAACATAAGGGTAAAGCAGTCACTCGCGATTACGGTGATATTTTATTTTCTAATATCGCTAATTTTTGACGGCACCTCGCTAAAAAACCTAATGTTGCTTAAAACGGACTTCAGATAAAAGGCTGTTTCTCTCTTCTTTCTGCTGCTAAGTTTTTTTTTAAATCATAGCGTGAAACGGAGCAAATGCACAGCTTTCGGTTGAGGTATTGCGAGTCACCAAACGATTTTTTTATAAAAAATTATGTCCAGAAAACCGAAGTGTTGTTTCTTATGTGGGCCAGAGAAGTATGAAGTTAGTGTACTACTTCGTAAGTAGGTTTATCAAGGAACGCTTGCTGCTGAGTTTTGCGAAGATATCCACATGTATCAAAACTTCATGTCTGCGCTAAAGCAGACACTCGAACCATTTCAGCGGCATCTTTGCCTTGTCGAACAAAGCGTCCCCAAACCGGAACTGCATGTCGTAGTGATTCAGTTTCGTCCTGTAGAAGCGATCGCTCCAGGTGTTGCCGAACTTCGATGCTGGAAATCCAACCGCGCAGCTATCGAACTCCACCATCCCGTCATTGCGGCGAGAGTGATGCTGTCCCACGATTCCGAGCGGCCAAAGAAGAGGTTGTCTCGTCGATAGCAATCCGGAAAAGCTTTCGCTGCACATCAGAGCTGACACATTGGTCCGATAAACCTCTTGTGCTGCTCGGTACGCCGCATCCAATTCCGCCGTGCTGTGACTCCCTCCTTCGTTCGGCATTGACTTGATCGCGGTAGTGGGAGGGCATCGTCCACTGACGGCTGATATTGCGTTGAACATGAAATTGGTTTTACCGGCACAAGAATCTTGAATAAAGTCGGAGCCCATGCTCCCCTTCATCGGCGCTGCCAGACCCACCCATGTCGAAGTAGGGTCAAGACTGCACTTGCCCTTGGCAATTGCCCCAGCCAGCATCAAATTCCCCATTGAGTGCGTGACGACGATAGTGTCAGTGATCGTAGACTCGGTGCTGGTTTCGCTGACTGCAAGTGCGCGATCGCAGACCTACTGCTGCTGCGTGTTGTTTGTCCACGTGTTGTTGCCAGTATCCAAGACCGCGTACTTCATTGAAGTGCAGCACGGAGCGTGATCGGTTAAATTGCCCCAGTACTTGAAGTAATTTTGATTGTCTGGCAACTCGTAAGGAACGCCCATGCCATGAATGAAAATGCATGGGCGCGGCTTCGACTTGCACGAACATGAGGAGGAATCTCCCCACGAGAAGTCGAACTCGGCCTTCAGTCGTCTTGTGGCTTCAAATGGAATCGGCCGGCCAGTCAAAAGTGCCTCTCCAGTCAAAGTCGCCTCAAATTCGGACACCACTACGGGGCAGCGATGTAGCTTGTCTCCCATGAGCACGGGTGCTGAGATGTTCATGCGCGTGCTAAGACGTTCCACTGAGATATCCATATCGCTTCCATACAGCTTGAGCCCCGACGACCCAGAAGCGCACAGCACAAACTCAATATCGTTGACAGAAACCTTGAACACGTTGCCAGACGAACACTCGACGTCACTGGAGGCATTCATAATAGCCACGGCGTCATTCAGCGCAGCGGCAATGGCGTTGATCGGCGGTAAATGGCCCAGTTCTGGGTCAAAGCACTGTACTCTTGAGCGATTCGCAGCGTTATCCCTGTTGCTGGTTGCGTAGTAGGCTGCGCCGTCGACAAGCGTGTAGTTGTGAACCATCGTGTCTTGGTGGAATGAGGCGAAAACGTTGTAAGCCACGTGCGAACCATCACTTGATATTACAGGATCAGCGAACATCGAGAAACTTGACTGGCCTTGCACTGTCATTGAGCTGCGCTTGAGCGATAAGTTGAATCGGAGAGAGGGCCATTCCGCGCCGGACTTTGGGGGTTGAGGTGGTGCTGCTGTTGATAAATACCGACTTGGGTGCTCTACACTGAGAGCTGCTGGCACTGAGAGTTGAAACAATAACCCCAGCGTGAGTATTCGTACCAGTGACATCTGACGAAGAAACGGTGCCGCGTGACGTATTGTGTGTTGTTCAGCGGGACAAATGCAAACTGAGGAAACAGTGTCGATGGTGGGGCCGAACTGTACGTACCACGACAGCGGTTTTATCATGAGCATTGGCAGCGGTGACACACTGCGCATTTCCTATTTGTACTCAAAAATCTACCGACTCTCTTCTGTTTGTGTACTGCAAAACAAAGTTGGATGATGCTTGCGTACATTTGTGCACTCAAATCAATTTGCGCTTTACAGGGCTTGTAGTTCATTCTAAACGTTCGTATTTTCTAAGAGTTGGGCCCTATCGACTCGGAAACGCCCAGCACGAGCTCAATGTCGATCATGGATACCTTGAGCAGCTCGTCGTTCAAGCATCCAGCAGCTTTCAGCTGGAGTGATCGGAACCAGTTTTGGTTCGAGATACCTTACCGTCGAACAAGCCGTAGCAATACTAAAGTTGCTGGTCGTAGTAGCCGGCGCTGTCGCCAAGCTTATACCGTAGTCGTGGATCACATTTGTGTTTTGTTAGTATGCTGGTTCCGTATCGTACAGGTAACTAGGTACGTTCACTGCAGCGCATCTAGCTCAATACTTCGGTGTGCATGATTTTCAGCTTTTAAGCTTTTATAAAAATGTATTGGTGCGAAATATTCAACGAGCGCTATAAGCCGGTCTCTTGGCGCTCAAAGCGAGCATCACCAAATTATCGGCGGAAGATTTCGTCCATGAACTGAGCCAAGTTGTCTTCGTTAATGAATCGAGACATCATCTCCCTCCAGAGTAGCATATCCTGGGCCGAAATCTCAGGGAGATCGTCATCATCCTCATCGTCCTCGCCGTCGTAGTCTTCGTCGCCACTATTCTCCTCGTACATATCGGCGTCGCGGTAAGTGTCGAGCTCCGCTTCCTCTTCCTCCCACTCGTGGAACAGTTGACGGTCAAACTCGCTCTTGGGACACCACTTTAGGCTGATAAAGTCGATGCGGCTGTAGATGTTTCCTTTCCGCCCATGAATCCAAACCCCCAGCCCCAGCGACGGGTGCTTCGCCTTGACAGCGTCCAGAGTCGGCAGCAACATGTCACGCATGTATGACTCGCACCAATGCCTGTGCACTTGTGACTCGTACGGATTCTTGATGTAGATCGTGGGCTTCTGACGACAGTTCACCGCTCCCAGCTCCTCCTCGCTGATCTCCGCCAGCAGCTTCAACAGCTCGACGATCTCCGCGTAAAACCTGGGAGGGGCAACCGGCGTGCGCATGTGACCGCCCATCCTGATCTCGACGCTGCGTTCTCCCTCAGCAAAGTCCTTGTCTTGACATATACGGCGCAGGTACTCGAAAATGCCCTGGCCAGTCAGACGAGCAGGCGCCAACTCGATCGACCGCAGGGACTTCATCTCTGCCAGCAGCAGCAACGTGCGATCCGTTAGCGTTTCCTCGGACTTGATGTTAAAGTTCGCGTAGCCCGATCCATCCCACATGATAATCGACTGCAACTTGGGGCAACGCTCCGCCACTGCCTCCCAGAACTCGTCGCCGTACAGATCCAAGTTCACGTACTGCTCTCTCCCATTATTATGGAGATAGTCGATCTCGACCGACAGGTGCGTCAGCGCGGGACAAGCTCTCGGCACTGCAGTGATCTCTGAGGCCAGCAAGCCGTAACCAGGGCGACTGGCTGGCGTGTATTCCTCGTTGTTGCAAATATGGTGGCCCTCTCCCCTGAATGAGCAACCTAGTAGAGAAAGCCCCAAATAGTGCGGTGGCACGATGCAGCTTGAGGAAGCGGGAGTTGGACGGCTTGACGGACTTCGACGGAGTGACAAGCCGGGTCGATGAAAGCAGATTTTAACTTGTTTGTTGCTTAGCGGTGTTTTCTCGAAGTGAGGTCTCCTGCCTGCTGGCGCCGGAGACCATTCGCTATGGATCTTGCCGTTGCGAAACGGACTAACTCCGTCACACTCGTCATCATTGGGAGGTGGCGCCACGATCTGGCCATCGCACTCACGGAAGTAGCGATGGTAGTTCCAACTCCGGTTGGCAGACAGCGACAGCTCCGTTAAATTCGGTTTCACATGGTCGCCAAAGACGCGAAAGAACGGGTCCGCGAACGGAACGACAGTCCAGCTGAAAGACTTCAAGTTCGTGCACGTCTTGTTGAACTTTTCCCATGTTTCCAACGTGATCGACCACATGTCGTAGCACTGGGCGTCTCCGTGCACCGTCATCTTCTCGTAGTCATCCAAGAACTCTATCTGCGGACAAAACTTCATCACGGCTTCGAGAAACTCCGTCGTGCTGCGAAGCCGCTCCACCTCGTTCCCCGTCGGCACCGTGAGCTGTCGCAGTCCAGCCCCAGTCTTTCTGCCGTGCCACCTCTCCAGCGCTTGATACAACGTCGTCATCAACTTCTCGATCGGAGCTCCACGAACAGCGTTCGTGCACCCATAATGATTGTCGTGAATAAATCCTCGACTGGGCAAGATCAGTGGCTCCAGACCTCGGCAATACTTCGACGCAGCCACCAGAATATCCGGCACGTGCCGACTCACCAGCGACAGCTTGCTCAGGTCGAGTCTCTTCAGGTTGGGCAAGTACCCGAAAACCCGGTCCCAGTCGATGTCCGAGCCATCCAGAGCGCCCGGTTTCGGGTCGTAGCCGCTCTGTTCTCTCCCCAAACTCACAGTTAGACAGCGTACAGCGGCTCCCTTGTTCTCCTCCGCCAATTGATACATGGGTGGGATATCCTCCGCCGTCATGGATTCCTCCGAACCCAAAGTCAATGAAGAGGCTTTGAAATCTGCAGCGAACTGCCTCATAATTTGCAGCGACGTCATGGACACCAGTGCAACGTCCTTGAGTTGGTGCAGGTAGGATGAGAGGTAGGGCGGGGAAGGCACCACCTCCTTGTCGAAGCCGTAGACTGCGAACTCGAGGATGTGCGAGAGCAGAGAGGGCGGGAGGGAGAGGAGCGACAGCGCCATCGTGGACGTCGTGAGGCTAAACTGCTCTGTAAGTGTGCAGAATGGGTGGAGTCCTGGCACTGGCATCGTCGTCTTACTCGTCTTCCTGAGGCGCACGACCGTCAAATACACTGGCTGTGACTCACTACGACGTCCTGCTTGTCCATGGCCACCGCACATTACTGTAGCTGCGTCTCGGCGGTGTGCTTGCTGAGTTTGTGCAAACCCAATATGTGCACGTAGGACAACACCTCCGCATCAACCTGCAGGCGCTCATGGTCTTCCTTAGCGGCAGTTTGCGGGGCAATGTGGGAGAGAAAGTAAGTGTGACGGGAGCACTGGGGCGCTGAAGCACAACGGTCGTTGATGCACACGCAGTGGTTGAGCCACTGTGGCTCCGTCCTTGGAGTTTGAAAAATGCGCGGGAACCTTGACTGCTGTGTGTGCCACATCACTTTGACAAATTCAGTACCTAAATAGAGGCCCTGTGTAATTCAATATTTATGTGTTGTCAGAATTATAAGTTGTTGACCCTTTCTTATTGCCGCTACTCTCTGTATCATACCACTGGTAACCAGTGGTATGCGTACATTGGCGACTCGTAACTCGTGATACGACAGGTTCACCAGAAATAATTGGAAAGGAAGATAATTGGTCGATTTGCCTTGAAAAAATGTACCGGCACTGCCAGCGCTCATGGAATTGCTGCTGTGCGGGGTCGTCGTCACCCGCTCCATTACATATTTTTCTTTCCGAACGTCACGCGCCGTAGTCGACTGGCCCGATGCCATCACTGGAAGTAATTGTTCGCTTGTCATTACTGTTTGCACTCACAGTACAGGCTTCGGTAAGTTTGGAAGGGAACTCGAGCGATTTCCAGCAACAGCCCAACCTCCAGGGTCCGACGACGACGGAATGGCCCTCTCTCCGATTCAACTTCTCGCTCAAGCGCAGCTCCATGACAGTGCACGGCCAGTCAGAATTCTCCATGGTCGCTGATCCTGTCGTATCGGTTGACGGTTCACACGTGGCTTACAATGCGTTCGCCACCTTCCGGCAAGACACAGTGATCCACAATTACACGCTCGTCGACGGCGCCGCCTACTACGCGACCAGGAATGCCGATAATGTCACGGCCTCTCCTGCAGTAAAGTGTATGGACCCTGAACCCGACAATTTACCGCCAATCAATGCAATCGCAGCAGCGCTGAACCACGCCACACCAGTTACCAGCGTTCCCCCCGGAATGGGCAGCATCCAGTGCTCGAAAGACAACCTGTTCAAGGTAGCTGTAAATGGTATCGACTTTGCGTTGTGCGCTTCTGGATCGTCGGGGTTGAAGATGTACGGAAACGATATGAACATCGCAATGCAGTATCTGGATACGCGGATGAACATCTCAGTTCCAACTTTGAATGAAGAACAGCTTCGTGAATGCGCGGCGACTGTGCCACAATTTGAAATGACTTCAACTGCAAATGCGCTTCTTAGAGGGAGACCAAGCTCATCTGGAAAAACGCGACGACTGAAGGCGGAATTTGATTTTTCGTGGGGGGATTCTACCTCGTGTTCGTGCAAGTCGACTCCGCGTCCGTGCATTTTCATCCACGGCATGGGTATCCCCACCGAATTGCCGGACAACCAGGATTCCTTGCCGTATTGGGGCAACATGACCGACCACGCGCCGTGCTGCACGTCAATCAAGTACGCGGTCCTGGATACCGTGAACAATACGTGGACGAACAACACGCAGCAACAACAGGTTTGCGATCGCGCACTTGCAGTCAGCAAAACCAGCACAAAGTCGAGAATTGCGGATACCATCGTGGTTACCCACTCAATGGGGAACCTGATGCTGGCTGGAGCGATCGCTACGGGGAAATGCAGCCTTGATTCCAGCTCGACGTGGGTGGGCATGGCAGCGCCTATGAAGGGAAGTATGGCGTCCGGCTTCATCCAGGAATCGTGCGCCGGAAACACCAACTTCATGCTAGAAGCAATGGTCGAATACAGTGGGCGGTGCCCTCCCACTACAGCGTTAAAGTCAATGCCGTACGAGGGAGGAAGTCATAGCACCGCCAAGCTGGATGCTGCCTACGCAGCAGCACAAGAGGCTTATCGGACCAACGTGTCCGCTCTGATGTGCAGCGACAGTTTTTCAGGCCTATTTTCAAAGAAGCAAGCTCGGCTTTGGCTGCTCGGACTGATGGGGCAGCACAACTCTCAGCGGAATGACGGTATGGTGGAGTTCGATAGCTGCGCGGCAGGAATTCCAGCATCAAAGTTCGGCAACACTTGGCGTGATCGCTTCTACAGGACAAAAGTTAATCACTACGACATGCAGCTCAAGTATGGGGACGCTTTGTTCAACAAAGCAAAAATGCCGGTGAAGTGGTTCGAGTGTCTGTTGTAGTTCAATTACGACAGAGGTCCTGGATCGTGTGAATACCTCACCAGCAGTAGATAGATCACCTACCTTATAAGCGCCATCAAGGTATTGAGTTCATATGACCATCAAACGTCTCGTAGCTAGAAGTAGCGTCCTTCTCCACCCAAGCCTTCGGCCATGATGTCTCTCAAACTGTGCAGATTGTGGACCGTAACTTGTCCCCCTTCGCCCTCATCGCCGCTGCCGAGACTAATTGTCTCGTTCATACTGGCAATGCGGTAAATCTCGTCGTCCTCGTCGTCCGCTGGCGTATTCTTGAATAGCTGGCGGTCAAACTCATCCTTTGAATTCCACTTGAGCTTGATGAAGTCGATGCGGTTGAAGATATCCCCATTGTGCCCACAAAGCCACACTTGCAACGCTAGTGAAGGGTGCCTCTCTCGGACCGCTTCTAGAACCGGCATCAACCTGTCGCGCATGTACGGCTCGCACCAACTGCGGTCCACCTTCGACTTGTACGGATTACCAATGTAGATCTCAGGCTTACGACGACAAGCCGCCGCTCCAAGATCCTCCTCGCTCGTTTCCGCAAGTAGCTTCAACAACTCAACTATCTCGCCGTAGAATCGGGGAGTTGCCTGCAGAGTGCGCTCGTGGCCACTCACTCGGATCTGAACAGCAAGGTCGTTCTTGAGAAACTCTTGGTCTTTCGAGATACGCAGGTACTCGAAAATACCCTTGCCAGTCAGACGAGCAGGCGCCAACTCAAGCGACCGTAGCGACTTCATCGTTGCCAGGGAGATCAAGGTGCGATCAGTTAGCGTATCGATGGACTTGACGCTGTAGTTGGCATAGCCCGAGCAATCCGACATCGTAATTGTCTCCAAATGTGGACAGCGATCCGCCACTGCCCCCCAGAACTCGTCCCCGTACAACCTCGTGTTCACGTAGCGAGACCTGGCATTACGTCGATAATCGATCGCAATCGATAGCTTTGTCAGCGTGGGACATGCTCTCAGCACCGCAGTGATCTCCGAGACCAGCAAGCCGTAACCAGGGCGACTGGCCTCAACGTCTTCCTCGTCGTCGTTCGGAGGTGGAGCCACGATCTGGCCATCGCACTCACGGAAGTAGCGATGGTAGTTCCAACACTCGTTGGCAGACAGCGACAACTCCATCAAATTCGGCTTCACGTGGTCTCCGAACACTTGAAAGAACGGATCGGCAAAAGGAACAACCGCCCAGCTAAACTTCTTCAAACTCGTGCACGTCTTGTTGAACTTTTCCCACGTATCCAACGTGACCGCCCACATGTCGTAGCACTGGGCGTCCCCGTGCACCTTCATCTTCTCGTAGCCATCCAAGAACTCTATCTGCGGACAAAACTTCATCACGGCTTCGAGAAACTCCGTCGTGCTGCGAAGCCGCTCCACTTCGTTCCTTGTCGGCACCGTGAGCTGTCGTAGTCCAGCCCCAGTCTTTTCGTCGTGCCACCTCTCCAGCGCTTGATACAAAGTCGTCGTCAACTTCTCGATTGGAGCTCCATACACGGCGTTCGTGTACTCGTAGTGGTTTTGTAGACAAACCCTCTGCTAGGTAGAACCAGCGCCTCCAAAGAGCAACAATACTTCGACGCCACCTCTAGAATCTCCAGCACGTGTCTACTCACCAACGACAACTTGGTCAGATCGAGTCTCTTCAAAGTGGGCAAGTGTCTAAATACTCTGTCCCAGTCGATATCCGAGTCGTCCAGAACGCCCGGTGTTGGGTCGTAGCCGCTCTCTTTCCTCCCCAAGCGCACCGTCAGACAGCGTACAGCAGCTCCCTTGCTCTCCGCCAATTGATACATCCGTGGGATATCCTCCGCTGTCATGGAAGCATCCGAGCCTAAAGTCAGCGAAAAAGCGCTGCATTACTCAGCCAAAACTTTGACAGTTTGTAGCGATTGCTTGGACACGGATGCAATGCATTGCAGATGGTAGGGCGACAGGTAGGGCGCGTGGGGTACTACCACTTCGGTGGCGAACCCGTTGACTGCGAACTCGAGGATGTGGGAGAGCACAGGAAGCGGGAGGGAGAACAGCGACGGCACCATCGTGGATGCCGATGCCTCAACTCGAGGAATCTTGAGTGGCATGAGCAACGGGTTGCTGGTGGCGCAGGTAGAAGGCGGGTAGTCCAGCGTGCGACCTTGAAGTGCGAGGTTGAGTGGTGCTAAATGCGTATTTCTACGAGTTTAGAAACATTTCTGTAGAGGCGGTCTGTACATTCTACGTTCAGTTAGTGTAATATTACAAATTCAAGTAAAGAGATACGCTTTCGTTTCCTGGTTTCTCTGTGAATCATAAAGAAGCAAAGAGACTTCAGAGACGCATCTCCACAGTCGTTGATCTCTTCTTCATTTGTTTTTAGGTCGGGGCGCATCAAGGCCCACAAAATGTGGTGGTGCAGTGCAACATTTGCGCGCATTTGTACTGCAAATGCCCTCCATAAGGAATAGCGCAACGCGTTTCGCCTATCTCCAGCGAACTGTACGGCATCGATTCCATACATTCTCCTTGAGTAGGCAAAAGTTTTGCCGCAAAACAAAGCCAGGGGCTCCAATCGTGTGCACAGCACCTGGTGAAAACATGTACCGCGATTCGCGGTACACATCACGGATAGTACACATCACGGACGCGGTCCGCGATGCGTTCGCGATCACTGTCGCCGTCGGCGATTCGCCGATCAACAAGACGCAACAAATAGAGTTGTATTTTAGAGGGAAAAAAGTGATATTAACGTTAATATCAGTTAATCACAAAATTGCGCGCAGTTATTAATAATTAAAAGGCAAGATTTAGCTGAACCCATTTGAGGCAGCTATTCTGTATTTACAGCCATGTACTCAATTCTCAAAGGAGGACTCTATCAGGCCGACGAAGTACTCCGCGCAAGCGTAAGCCCCGCGAGGACCTGATGCAGAACCAGCGCCCCAAGGGCTATCGTCTTCGGTGCAGACGTACGTCGGCGCCGCGGCCTTACGACGTCACCTCTGATCCCGACGTGGACGCCGCCCCCTCGATCCTGACCTGGACGACGACGACTCTACCATCTGCGGCTAGCGCCATCTTCGCGCAGTACCCGTTGCACTACGTGCTGCCCCCCCCCCAAGGCACGGAGTTGGCCGAGATGAAGGAGGTGGGGCTGAGATCTGTGGATGGCCAGACCGAAGGACCGTGCTTGGGGCACCGCCGCCGTGGGCACAGCGACTGTGCCAAGGTGATCATCAGCGCCACGCGTGAACGCTACGTGGAGATGCTACTAGTCTGGTTTGGACAGTGCATTCTCGCCCGTGCTGGACATCGCGCTCTCGTGGCGGCGTCAGCACGCTCTAACAGTGCTGAACATGCTGTTTGGTACGCTGCTGCTGCTGCTGAAAGATTTCTCGCTACTACGGTGCGGCGGCTGTGCATCACCATGTGCTGCGACTTCTTCCCGCTTCTGGTCGGCGTGGAGATGCCCATCCGATCGCTCTCGCAGTGCCTGCTGCGCGGCGGCCACAATGTCATCCCGCTCACGTATACCGTTCCCGGATCCAAGGTCAGAGTGGCCCCGACGGCGCCGCCAACACCCCACTCAGCGCGCGGGCGTGCGTTACATGACAAGCTGTACTACCTGCCGGTGATGCACTTGCTGGACATCGTGACGTACATGACGTTCGTGGGCCACTTGGCGTTGTTCCGGGCCATCCGCGTCCGCGAGCAGGTGCGGATCGTGCATGGCCACCAGGCCACGTTCACCCTCATGCACGAGTGTCTGCTGTAGACCAAAGCGCTGTACCTGGACGTCAAGACCGTGTACACGGATCACTCGCTCTTCGGCTTCGTGGACGCTGCCAGCGTCCTTCTCAACAAGATCATAAATTTCCTCGTGTTCTCGGTGAACACGGCCATCGGAATCTCGCACACGTGTCGCTAGAACCTCGTGCTGCGTGCGTCATTGCGCGAGGGGCTCGAGAGTGGGTTTACACGGTTGGTGCGTGCGTCATTGCGCGAGGGGCTCGAGAGTGGGTTTACACGGCTGCTGCTCGAGGAGATGCTGGAGAAGCACCGACGGCACTACTGCGTGACGCTCTACGGCGCCGTGCCCGGCTTCAAAGTGCGCGACGTACTGTGTCAAGACCACATCTTCCTCAACCGACAGCTCGCTGGACAAGAGAGCCTCTACTTTACGATTCTGAAGGCTGCGAAATACGAGCTTTCCGTGGTAAGTACGCACGTGGGCGTAGTGTGGGAAGTGCTACCCCCCTGACGTGGTGCAGTTCACAGCGGACATCACGCCTGAGGCGCTCGCGGAGGCGGCGCTGGCCGCGGAGCTTCGACTGGCGGGCGTGGACCGACAGGACTTCCAACGCGCTTGAAATGCAGCTCGTGCCATTCCCCGATTTGCGTCGTGATGGCGACTCCACTGTACGACCGCGTGACGGTCGGTGCCGGCCTCATAGGCAGTGCGGCTGCCTACTACGCCACGAAAGAAGGCAAGTGCGAGCTGCTGCTGGAGCATTTATGAGCTGATGCATGACAAGGGCTCGAGCCACGGCACCAATCGCACCTTCCGCGTGGCCTTCCCCAACGACACGGACACAGAGCTGTATCTGACGTCGCTGCAGCTGTGCTGTGCGATCGAGAAGAGGTGTCTTCGCGTTCGGACGGCTGGACGGCCTCGTCCTCCTTGAGAGGGCTTTGAAGAAGTGCAAGGTGCCGTTCGAGTCGCGGACTGGCGCTCAAGTGAATCAACGCTTCTCGGCTTCTCATTGCCCGACAACAGCCACGCGGTGTACAACGCGCGGACGGGGGTGCTCAATTCGTTGTTGTCAATGGCCACGACGCAGACGTTGCTGGGCGCGAGTATTCGTAAACGCAGAAGAAGGTGTGTGCCCTGCCCGACACCTCGCTACTCCACCGTCTGCAGCTGTATCATGGAATCGGCTCAGTAGTGGGGGTGTTGGCTTGCGTCATTGCTGTGGATTACATTTGAAATCTTAATCTAGAATAGCACTCTACATGTGATATCAGTGTGTGTTAGCAAAGCGTGTGTTATATTGTGAACGTTAGTGCACCTTACGCTCAGAAGCAAAGCGTTTATTGTTGTGAAGGCAAGGACTAAAGAAATCGATTACTGCGAAATGTCCACACTCACGACTGCGTCCAAGAGATACTCGAACTCCATGTCGTTAATGTCAAACAGAGAATCTTCAGCTTCTTGCTCGTCACTGTTGCTGTCACTGTCGCTATCGAGTTCTATCGGCCGACGAGAAGTCTTGTACAATGGCAGTCGAGTTGGTTTCGCATCTCCGTTGTTCGTGTAGATGAACGACAACTTCTCGACTGTTGCGACCTTGAGGCGGTTTCGAAGCTTGCTGTATGTAAATCCTTGCACACTCCACAGGCGCTCACTTGCTGCAGACGAAGTCGGGATGCTCAAAATTTTCTCTGCGAACTTGTGAAGAACAAGAAATTGGTCGTCGAGTGTCCACCGGTCCAGTGGTGAGTCCTCACTAGCAGCCTCCCTCTGAGCAGCAGTCCAGTTCTTCTTCGTCTTTACAAAAGATAGCAGCGATGCGCGAAACTGAGCTGAGCTCACGTCGGGTGGGAGGCCAAAACGCTCGGCAAGCTTTACAGCGGAGCGTACCGCCTTACGAAGCGGACTGTCTTGAGGGTCGGGTATAGCTTCGTTGATAGGGCAGCTTCCGTCAGAACTGTCTCCGCTCGATCCGACACCACCACTGCCGTCAAGGCTACCGCTCGGTAAGTTAGAGATGTCCTTGGACGGATCCAGCAGGTATGGAACCGTCGTGGAATCGGACGGTGGACGAATGAAGTCCCATCGACTAGCAATCAGCTTGCGAATTTCATCTTGGACGGAGCTGCCGGCTAAAGCTGCGATACCTTCAGTGTACTCTGGCGCCTGATACAGCCGAAGAAACTCGTGCAGGATCCTTGAGTTCGAACAAGCATCCGTCTCCAGGACAGCTAGTGCTCGTGTAACCGGTTTTGTCAGCCGAACGACAACCTTCGCCTTGATCCAAAACTGCTTATCGTTGACAATACCTTGAACTTCGTCCAGCTTCACCTGACTCTCTTTGTCCGTGTAGTGCTTCATAAGCTCCGAGTCCGCCAAAGCTGCCTTCAGCGTTGTCTTGTTGCGAACGACGCTCTTGATGCATTTTTCTTGAGCGTACCATCTCGTTGACACAGGGACCGCTAACTCGCCTGCCCTTCTTGCTTTTTGTAGCTGGCGCCGGTAACGCCGAACTCGATCGAGCAGCAGGTGTCTAGCGCGCACAAACTTGACGATGTTGATGGCCTTCTTCAGCACGTCTCCAAACAACTTGATCTTGAAGATATCCTTCAGGAGCAGGTTCATGGCGTGCGCCGAGCATCCGTTGAAGACCACGTTTGGGTGCTTAGCTTCAACCAGACGGCCAGCCTTTTTCATGTTGGCTGCGTTGTCCGACACAATGGCGGAGACTTTGCCAGCGCCGGCCACGCCTTCTACCTCAGCAATGACTCGCAGAAGCTCCGATGCCATGTAGTCCCCCGTGTGTGCCTCAGAGCCCGTAGTACCCGATGACCACATCATTGGACGCATGGCGGGTGACCACAACACGTAGTTCACGATACTCTCGCGGTTTACGTTGGACCAGCCGTCAGTGATGATAACCAGAAACGTTTGCTTTGAAAGAAGCTCAGCCAGGTTGGCCTTCTCCAGTTCATAGGCTTTAACGAGCAGGGTGGTCGCTAGCGCCTGCCGGGTTGGGAGCTTCAACGCAGGAGTCAGACGCTTAAACAGCTTGCGCATGTACGCATTCTCGATCGCGCGGAACGGGATTCCAGCAGTGTAGAAGACCATCGCGATGTCCAGATGAAAGCTTGATTCCTCCTCCTTGCTGAGTACGATTGGGGAATTTGTTGCTGGAGAGCCACTGTAGCTTGTGCGACGGCTCTTCGACGGCGAAAACATCCCAGGCCTTGCCTTACGCTTCCTCTGCGCGTCGTACGTTGCCCAGGTGGCCTTCGTTGTCGCTGGGGCTCTGGAGCAGAAGCGGATATGTGGATAGAGATGACGGCCGGGCTGGACATTCATGATCAATGCACCGCAGTGACGGCACGACACATCGGGGTGGGGCTACGTCGGCTTGGACTTCGGGACGACGACATCGAGCTCGCCCCATACAGGGTCCTCCTTGCGGCCCATCGGAGTCGCGGCCCAGTTGTAGAGGACTTGTGTAGCCCGTAGGAAGTTGACTTGTGAAGCAAAGACTTGCGGGGATTTCGAGACGTGCTGCGCGCAGCGTGCGAGTAAGGAGAAGATGGTGGATGTGGTCGAGCAACCTAAAGTCTACACTGTATGCCATTGGAAGCATTCCCCTGCACTCGGTCAGACAGCGCGGGAAGCCTTAAGCGCGGCCCACATCGAGGTATTCGAAGCGCTTAAAAGTGGAGTGTGTGAAGGTCAACTTCAAGGGGATAAGTACCTCGATAATTACGAAAGTGACCGCACCATTTTTCCTATCGCAGAAAATATTTAACGTATTTAACGTTAAAAACATTGTTTGCAATCATAGCTATTAACTCATTTTTAGCAGCATAACAACTCTAGCAACAAAGTTCCAGGAGAATGGGAAAGTTGAGCAAGAACTGATTTAGTACATCTCTATACTAAGCATGAGATAAAACCACCAATGCATCAATAGATGCTGCATACCAAGCTGGGCCTGGGTATGATGTCACCAAGGCTGCACTAATTAAAGCAACATTGAAATGTTGGCGTTGCGTAACATTGAGCGCAACAATGGTGCCTCTGCCTAACATTGCACAATGTTACGGTATCTCTCGTAGCAAAATATTTGGTTTACCAATGTGACAATAGTGGACGCGCGTCGCCACGACAGCTCGACAGCTCGACATCTCGACAGCACGACAGCGAAGCACGCTGTATCACTCGGGGCGTGCGCCAACAGCTTCCGCCGCTACGCGGCAAGCGCGTCATGGTGTACGCGCCGACACATGCAGCAGGAGAATGGGCTCTACGGGATCTACGCGCAGCTCTACCTGGGCGCCACGTGTTGTCTATTCCTAGTTGGCAGGACACTCTCGCGTGGGCTTTCGCCTGCGGACTTAGCGTAAGGCACGAGGGGGTGGGGCAGGCCGCACAGCGGCCCCCCCCCCCGAGCGAAGCGAGAGAGGGGCGGGCCCCCCGAAGTGCCGTCGCTAAGTCCTCGCCTCGGCCAGGCGCGGTGTCTAGGAAAAAAAATATCGGGTAGCAGCGCAGACCCGCCCCCGCCTGATCGGCGGGTGTTGACGATCGGTGAACGCGCTCAGCGAGGCTCGCGCTCGCGTTCGCTCGCCCTCCCTTTTTAACCTAACTGCGCTGTTGGCTAGAGGCGCATTAAAAGCGCTGACGACTGCTTGGAAGATAGCGCATTCGATTGCATGCAACACGCATCGCGCCTAACGCAACGCAACGCACTGGGAAGGCGTTTGCTCCCGCATACGTAGTACACACATGCATATAAGCACCGCAGTAGGACATGCACACATTAGAATAAGGTTGAGCGGGTGACCGCTGCAGACGGACGGTCGCACGACGCGGAGGCGGAGCGAGCGCTTGCTTCCTATCCGGTAGATTCTGAAATGAGAGCTGTTGTGAGCCAGTCGCTCCAAACATGAAATTTCACGTCTGGAAAATTTACTTTGCGTCAATGTTAGCGATCACGCAACATTGGACCCCATCAATGTTATTGATCCCACACATTGAGGCTGATTTTCAATGCTGCTTTAATGACTCTCCTGCTTCTTAGGCTCTGTCTTCCTCTCTATGACGCACTGTTGCATAGACCTCGGCTATTCACAGCAGCATCTTTGAGGAAAGTGGCCACGAAACAGCGGTGACACATTATTTCGCTTTTTCTATTCGACCGAACAACAGGAAAGTCATTCACAGAGAGAGGTCGAATGCCGTCCTCTCTTGCCGGCGTGGTGGCGCTCGTAGCAGTCATGCTGCATGCAGCACTCGCGACGACCGTGGTTACAGCGTCTCACGGCAGGATACAGACTCCGCACCAGCAGAAGAACTCCCAGAATGAGACTACGCCCGACTGGCCGTCACTTCGCTTCCACTTCAGTTTCAAGCGCAAGTCTACCAACGTTTACGGTCACAACGAGTTCGACATGATCGCCGAGCCCACCGTGTCTAAAGACGGCGCCAGGGTGCTCTACGACGTCTTCGCCACGTTCGCAAAGGGCTCTACGACGTTCAACTACACGCTGGTCGACGGGACCGCCTATTTGTCAAGCAGTTCAGGCACGACCACCGCTCCGATGACGAAGTGCTTGGAGTCAGAGTCTAGCTCTCTCCCTCCGATCAACAATATCGTGGCTGCGCTGAATGGAGCTACAGAGGCTTCAAGTGATCCCCACGGTGTACAGTGCTCGACAGGTCGACTGTACAAGGCCTCAGTAGGGGCATCGACTTCGCGGTGTGTGCCGCTGAGCCATCAGGTTTCACGATGCGAAGCAGTGACATGGATATCGAGGTGGAGTATTTAGAGGCGTCTATGAACTTCGGTGTGGAACGTGAATGCCCCAAGACGGCGCTACCCATTTCCGTGACGTCGGTGGGGCAGGCTTTACTCACTGGAAAGCTCGATGCTGATGCTGTTCGTGGCACGAGGAAGCTGAAGGCTGCCTTCGACTTCTCGTGGGGGAAGAAATCGACGTGCTCGTGTAAATCTGCCCGAAGACCGTGTATTTTCATCCATGGGCTGGGCATCAAGGAGGAACTTCCACGCAGCCAAGACTCCTTTGAAGACTACTGGGGGGATGAGGTGCAGGAACACGCGCCGTGCTGCTCGTCGATTAAGTTCGCGGTCTTGGATACGGAGCACTACGCCTGGACGGATGCTGCACTGCAACGGAAAGTCTGCAATCGAGCCCTCGCAGTGAGCAACTCTAGCACCAAGTCTGTGATTTCCGACACAATTATCATCACCCACTCAATGGGGAATCTCATCCTGGCTGGAGCAATTGCCACTAAGAAGTGCGGCCTCGCTGCCAGTTCCTCCTGGATGGGTCTAGCAGGACCCATGGGTGGGAGCATGGCCTCCGACTATTTCCAAGCCTCATGTGCCGACAACACCAACGCTATCATTGAACAGTATGCTGATGTTTTCGGGATGTGCCCAATTCAAGCCGCGATCAAGTCGATGTCGACAGAGAACGGCAACTGCAGCTCAGCCGGTCTTAATGCTGCGTACAAAGCTGCTCAGAGCGTGTACCAGAAGAAGGTGGACGGGCTAATGTGCAGTGAGAGCGACGTCGGTCTGGTATCGTTCTACCAGCCCAAGTTCTGGGCGATGCACCACTTGATCCCGTACAAGACCAAGCTAAATGATGGAATGGTGGAGTTCGAGAGCTGTGCGGGCGGCTTTCCAGCCTCAAAGTTTGGCCCCACTTGGCAGAATCGCTTCTACAGTACAAGACTCAACCACTACGACATGACCTTCCGGGAGGGCGATGCGCCGTTCGACAAGGCAAAGATGCCTCTGAAATGGTTTGAATGCCTGCTGTAAAATGGATGTAAATGTGGTTATACTAGCGTCTCAAGAGAATACTTCGAAGCAATAGAGATAACTTAAAAAATATATTTGCAGCTGCATCTTTTCGTCCACTGTTCCGAATAAGTGTGGAATATCTTCCTGCTTCCCGAAGGCAGACGCAACCTGTAAGCATGCTAACGTGAGCTTTACTCAAGCGGATCAATCTCTACGCTGTCAAGTTGTACCGAGTTCTGCGTGGGGTTCCTCAAGACTGCTCACCCAGTGAAGTTGTTTATAAGCCAAACCACGAGAAAATCTTCAACGTGCCTCCCTCCATCTGATCAGACCGGAATTCCCTGCAAGCGGTACACTACTGTACCTACCTGCATAATATGTGTTTAACTCCTCGATTTATGTACATAAATGATATCTACCAAAAAGCTTCATTACAACTTGGCAATTCGATCGTGGTGTGTGCCGATACTTCGACGCGAGCAAAGTCCGACCCCTTTTGGCTTTTCTTGCGGACATTTCTTGCTCGGGTATTGAAAATCCTCTGGTTCAGGGGGTTTTCATGCCCCCCCCTACGGCCACCGTAGTCACTACACTACACTACACACACTGTGCGCATGTAGGCCACCTTACATATTTCATGTGTATTGTGCCGGTGGTATATTACCTATGTACTGTACACCGTACCGGTACGGTACGTGTAGGTGCAGTCCATCATCAAAACCCTGGCCAATCTTACAGGAAAGCCCTGGCATAATACACAATTCCTCAGCTGACATGCGAAATATACGGAATCGAGGTCTGGTCGGCTGCGCGGAACTGATCTGCTTAAACTTAGGGCGATTGGTTCTCCATTGAACTTCGGCATGTAATCATGCAGTCCTACGCTGGTCACTGCGTGCCGGTACAGCGAAGGGCTTCCCATTTGCTGATTTCCGTCGCTGCAGCTCGTGGCGGTCGGTGGCCAAAATGCCGTCGATGCTTGGCTTTGTCGTCTTGGTGATCTACTTGACGCTCTCGGTGCCGACAAGTGCGACGCAGAACGAAGAGAATTTGATGCTTCAGGCGCGTAAGCTTAGCTCGTCTGCATCGGAGACTAGAGACTGGCCTTCGCTGCGTTTCCACTTCAAGCTCAAGCGCAACACCATGGACATCTACGGCCACGATGATTTCTCCGTCTACGCTAACCCAGTCATGGCTGCTAATGGAACCAGCGTCCTGTACGACGTTTTCGCCACTTTCCAAGAAGACGCAATCGAGTACAACTACACTCTGGTGGATGGAGTTGGGTACTTGAGGAGCGGTGGTCTCGAAGCAGGCCCTGCGGCATCTTCGGTGGAGTGTTTAAGCTCGGACATGGACGACTTCCCTCAGATCAACGCCATAGTTTCAGCATTGAACGAAGCTACGGCTCTCTCAAGTGTTTCCACAAGTGCGAGAGCTAAGATCAACTGTCCTGTTGGCAACGTGTATAAGGCGTCCGTGAGTGGTTTCGACTTCGCTGTCTGCGCTGTCAGCGACTCCGGGTTTCAGATGTACAGTCGGGACGTGGATATTGACGTGGAGTATCTCGAGAGTCGAGTGAGTATCGTGTCTCCAAAGACTGACAGCTCGGAAAAGTGTGGAGCCGAAGTGGAGTCGAACGCCGTGACGGCAACAAGCAAGTCGCTACTGACGGGAACCTCAGTGACGGTGAATGGTTCGCGGAAACTGGCAGCTGACATCTCTCTCTGGTATGACGACGATCCTGTATGTTCGTGTAAGTCCACTCCACGTCCGTGCATCTTCATCCACGGTCTCGGTGTTAAGGATGAGACTCCGGACAACGAGGATTCCTCGACATACTGGGGGAATATCACCAACCACACGCCGTGCTGCTCCTCGATCAAGTATACGCACCTCAACACGATCAACAACACGTGGATGAACGTTACTCAACAGCGGAAAGTTTGCGATAGGGCACTTGCAGTGAGCAATACGAGCTCGGACTTCCTCATTAATGATACGATTCTGGTGACACACTCAATGGGAGGGCTCATGTTAGCTGGAGCGTTGGCGAATGGACTGTGTGCGTTGTCTCCAAGCTCGACATGGATTAGTGCGGCAGCGCCGATGCGAGGCAGCATGGGATCCGACTTTGCTCAAGACACCTGCGTCGGGAGCACGAATTTCCTGGCGGAATTACTGGCGGAGTACAAAAGCCAATGCCCCGTGAGTGTTGCGTCCAAGTCGGTGGTATACGAGGACGGAGCGTACAGCTCCATCTACCTGCGAATGGCGTATAAATCCGCTCGAGAGGCGTATCGGACAAACGTGTCGGCTCTCATGTGCAGCGAGAGCTTTTCTGGGATACTCTCAGCGTACCAAGTCAACTTTTGGGTCCTGGGCCACCTGATCCCGCACAAATCGAGCAAAAATGACGGCGTAGTGGAGTTTGAGAGCTGCTCGGCAGGGATTGAGGCGTCCAAATTTGGAGATACGTACACGGACCGCTTCTATCGGACGAAACTCAACCACTACGACATGCAGTTTCGAGGCGGCGACGCATTTCTCAATAAGGCGAAGATGCCACTGAAATGGTTCGAGTGTTTGCTCTAGTCAGTCAATCGAAAGACTATTATAAAGCACAAACGGCCACAACTTGACGGTTTCTAGCTGCCTGAATCAACTCAAAATTAGGCTTCGAATGGTCCCCTGCCACAAGCATACATGCTATTATTTGCTCTAACATTAGTCTTCATCACTCCAAACAATGTTTTGGCGGCTTGTTTGGGGCGTCTACGACGCGTGCTGGCGGACATGGTACGCGGTGCACGTCGAACACAAGGGCGCGTACTCGCTCGAGCGACTGCAGGTATTGCACCACTTCCTCGACCATCAGAGCTCCAGCATCACCTCAGCAGTACTCAACGTCGTTGTGGCGGTAGCAACCCCAGTACCGTGCCTTATTATCGCGCTGGCCTCCGACGCTATCCCATTAGCCCCGCCAGAAGATGGGCCGCGAGCCAACGGGATGTTCTGGGTCCGGTGCTGGCTGATCATGGGCTCGTTCACCCTGGCTTTGCTGCTGCCAATGCACCACCCGCCATTCCAGAACGAAAAGTGTGGCTCTACATCATGTCGGCGGGGATTTCAGCAGTGTATACGGGCTTCTACTTCGCCGTAGCGTTAGCGGTTGGATTTCCCGTCCCATTCTCGTACTTGACGCTGGACATGGTGTGGATCTCGCTTATCGTCGGAGGACTCTGGATTTACATTGGCCCCACATGTCGCGCGAGCGCCACTGTCCGTCAATGCCTGAAAAAGCACGCCATCTTCATCTACGCAGCCTCCAGCTTAGCGGTCGTGTATCCGTTGTTTTACTACGCCTTCTTGTGTGCTAGAGAATACGCCAGCGTGCAATTGCTGCTCACTTTTGCGCTTCCGATTATCAAGATGATGGAAAAGTTGCTCCTGTATCGTACCACAGCGCACGCGTCCGACCTGCAGCCGGTGTTTATCGCTTTCAACGTCGATGTGTTCAACGCGCTCTTCGTGTCGAGTTGTATGCGCAACTCGACGTCCATGTCGGTGACTACGACGCTCATGATGGCCGACTTTGTTGGAGCCTGCGCGGCGCTCTACGGACTTCAGAACACGATCGTGCATATTGATGCGCTAAATTCAAAGTTGGGGAGAGCTACGCGAGTTCAAATGGTGGAAATCGCGGCGCTCATTGCATACCGCCAGCATCCCGATACCCTAATTGAAGCAGAAGGTACGCGGGAGCTTCAAGCTACAGCAGCCGTCACGCCGTGGCCTACCCACGAGGCCAATGAAAACAGTGAGAACGTATTGGACTCGCCTAGTTCGCCGTCAAAAATCTGGATGAAGAAAGCGTCAGTCAAAATGAACGCGATTGTACCGGCGGTGACAAGCTCACTTTCCCCATTCCGTCGCGGTCCTAGTGTTGATGAGATGGCTTCCCGTACGTCCTCTATTCGCATCATGGAGCAGCTTTCCCCTAAAGAACGGCAGAACTTCGTGCATCAAACCTGCCGCCTCCTACGTCGAGTTGAATTTTTGCTGCTGGTTGAGTACACGGAGGTGATGGTGCCAATGGTCTATGGTAAGCCCAAAGATAATGCTTTATTGCTGTTTTCTTTCTGCAAACTCGCTAACGATGGCTATTCTTTCAGTGATTTACATTGCGACAGTGTACCACCTGCCAAACCGCAAGTATTTCCCGTATCTGCACGAAATGTCCGAGACCGATCTGGCAAACACAGTTCGCAGCGTGATGATTTACGGGCTGCTGCAGTTGGTTTCCTTCGTGCTGCTCTTGGTTGTGCTTACTCGACGATTTCAGCTCACTCCAGGAACAATACTACGCTTCGTTCTGCACAAGGAGTGGCGTGTGGTGCAAGGTCAATTCGTACTATGGATCATTTACGTGCTGCAGTCCTCTATCGAGCATGTTGGTACGAAAACGAAAACGCTTTTGTCAGCTTTTCTTGTCGATGCCAGTTTGTCTAACAACCGCACCGAATACATTTTTTTGGTATACGTACAGGCACCGACTACACGTTCAAGTTCAAATGGCTGCATCAGTAGCGACTACAACTCGTCCATAACTTTTCAAAGTATTTGATTATTGTAACATTTTTCGAGAGGAAGACTCTGACTGAAATAACACCTCAATAGTAGCCTCTCCTAGGCACTATCAAGAAGTTTGTATGGAAATAGCCCGAACCCTATATAATGATTTTCGGCCGCCGTGAGACGTTGTTTCAGTCCGAGGAAGTCGAATCTCTGTATTAGGAATTTGTATGGGCCGTCATCGGAAGCAACTTCTTTGTGCTGAAACAACAATTGAGGTTTATTTGGTGTTATTTGATCAATCAGGGCATGCCACACCAAGATTACACTTTTTCTAAAAAATATATGATCGGCAAATTTTTTTGATCTGGGCGAATTACGAAGTGAATCATACTAAAAAAGTACGAGTTGATACCAAAATGTACGAGTACGATCTCGTATGAACGCGTATTTTTTGGTATGACTTCCTAGTGCTTATAGGTATGAACTCGTAGTTAACGGTAAGACTAGTTGTTTCTGGTATAAACCTACATTGGCTGCACGGGTGGCATAGATATTGAATGGAAAAATATCCATCGTCTCGAGAGTTGTTTTCATTTCACCTGTTCGACCTTGGTGAATTTTACTATATGTATAGAGTGTAGCAGTATTCTGGTCGTTATAGTTTTGGCAATAGGTTAAATTAGAGTTCCTAAATTGCTGCACAAACGGAAACCAAAGAGCGAATACAGTTAGTAAATTGCAGCGCCATATTATCTCGTTTGAAAAAGGTAAAGGGCTAAATATCATAGGTGGACTTCGCTTTACCTCGATCTCTTATATGATTGGCTTAACCTCGATCTCTTATATGATTGGCTTAAACAAAATGTTATTTGGGCAATCTTAAAACCTCTTCAAAGTGATATCCTTTTCACAATATTTATTTGAATCATTTCGTGGGGTATCTTCCATATCCGTCGGCAACAAATGCTGCAGTCGTTGCCTCCGCCCCTACTCGCGTCCATCCTCCAGTATGCCATCAAGGACCTGCAGCCAGACCTGGGCCCTCACAAGCGGGTGCTCCCCATGAAGCGTCTGCAAGAGCTGGCGCTGGTGTGCAAAGCCACCCACGCCCTCATCGCCCCCATGGCGGAAACCCTTCAAGATGGAATATTTTATCAAGGTCTGGAGGATTTCGCGGGTCCTGAAGACGTAGAGGAAGTCCTAGAAGAAATAAAAGAATACGGAGCTCCAGTGCGTGACTTCCGACTGCGGTTGGGTCCGTACGAGCCAAGTCGCGGGCCGCACGACCCGAGAAACTTTGATTTCAGCGACCCTGAGCCCCAGAGTTAGACGAGCTGGACATCGACTGGGAAACGTTGTTCGGCTACATGCCAGGACTCAAGAGACTGGACCTGACTGAAGTCCCACTGCTCAGTCGCCACATCCCGCGAATCCTAACAGCGGCCTCGCAATCCTGTCGGAGCCTGGAAATCCTCATTTTGCCGAGTAAAATTGATCTTTTCGGCACTGTTACGGAGGTGATGGTTAGAAAATTATTGGTGGCTCTAGTTCCTGCGCTGGAGAAGTGGCACTTGAGCTGTGGAGGACTGCGGCAGCTGACGATGCCGACTTGTGAGGAGGACGAGGAACATGTGAGATGCTGCCCGCAATATATCGAGGCGGTGACGAGGTTCTGCCCGAGAATCGAGTACGTGGACGGATACGAGCAGGCGCTGAAGATATAGCGTCGTGCGAAGAAATGTGGTCGATTTCGCTGGAGACGTGGAAAGCGTTTAACGCTTCGTGCACGGCGCTACGGGCGTTCAACTGGAGTGTCGTCCCGTTCGGTGACCCATTTTTCCGTATATTTGGAGAGTATGTGAAGCCGCAGCTGACATCGCTGTCGCTTTCGGCGAATATGAAGTGGTGGTACGAGAGCTACCTCCGCCACTTCACCGCATCGGTCGTGAGAGTCGATCGATATGACAGACACCCGGGATACGGCAATTCGGCTACAAGCCCTGGCGACGCGCTGCGAGCATGCCCTGCCCTGACAAAGCTCTACATTGAGATTGATCATTGCGCCAACGAGGAAGGAGAGGAGCGATACGTGGACCCCTTTGTGTACAGAGATGAATTCTGGGAAGCCGCGGCTTGACACTGCTCGCTGTTGGAATGTATTGAAATGGTGGACGCGTCAGATGAGCAGCTCGACAACATGAGGCCCATCGACACGGTGACGGTCTGCACACTCGAGGCTCTTGCGGGTCTCAAGTGGCTGCGAAAGTGTATGTTGGAGATCGCAAGAGCTGGCGCCACCTGCGATGAGTGCAGTGGCGACGATAACGGCCTGCGACGACCACAACGACCCCTCCAGCTACACAACACGAAACTACCGATGCATATTAGCCTAGCACAGACATCCTAGCATCATCCAACCTAACTCATTCTGCAATACACCAGGTGTGAGGCACCACTACAAGGAGCAACCCGTGCAGGATCAACGAGTGCTCCCTTCAGGTTATGAGCCCAACTGGCTCGCCTTCTGCAGCGACCAGTGAAGTCGCGAGGCGACCACGAAGACCTTGAAGAATACTCGGAGGCGCGAGGTGCTAACGAGGCTGACGAAGACCACCAAGATGGAAGGAATACTCGCCTAGGACTGCCAGACGACCTGCACTTCGACCCTTCGGACCAAGAGACAATGGAGCAGCACGACCAGCTCCAGCTCATCCTTCGACTGCAGCCCGAGCTGGCAGAACTGAAGAAGCAGCTCGCGACGCGAGCGCCCCGTGCCCCCTCCATGTCGGATACTAGCATGGAAACCGCACCTCCATCACCGAAGAAGCCTAAAATCAAGGACGTACGCTGCTCGAACTTCAAGGGAAACGAGGTTTACCCTGGGTTAGGAGCTGGCTTCGAGAATTTCATCCACGAGTTCGAGCATGCAATAAGGACGGAGGAGCTCGTGAACGGATCCACCTGGACCGGCGACATCAAGGCTTCGGTGATTGTCAACTTCCTCGAGGGGAAAGCGTCTAGGTACTATCACAAGAAGAACTCAGAGTGGCAGCGCCGTCATAATGGTGACAGCATGCCGTACTCAGATGTGAAGCGCGCGATGCGTGCAGAGTTTGGCTGTAAACTAAGCCAACTCGAACTCAGCACGAAGATGCAGCGTAACAAGCGTGAAGGCGATACGTGGCATGACTACCTGGAATACTTGAACTTCATCGAGAGCCTCATCGAAGGTGATCAGACCAAGATGGTCATGGAGGTATTCGGAAACAATGCATGCCCCGAGTTAGCGCCCACGCTGTTGTCTTCAGTGCCCGACGACGCAAGCGATTACGTTGCGGAAACCGATCGCATGAAGCGACTGCTATACAAGCTGAAAGGTGACGGGCGCAGATGTGGTGCGAAGCGAGATGAACGCAAAAACCGTCATGCTGACCGCCGGAACCCGAATTTTCATGGCCACCGCAGCGGAAATCGCCACAATGACGATCAGCATTGGCGTAACCAGCGAAACAACAACGACAACTCGGATCGACGTCCGCAGCAGCAAAATAACGGCCAAGCCTTTGCCGCCGCTGGTCATCGTGGTGAAATACATTGCCATGTGTGCGGGAAGCCTGGTCACAAGATTTTCACGTGTCCACTCGTGGAACAGGCAAAACAACTAGCCACCAGAGGAAGTGCGAACGTAGCCGCTGCTGATGATGACGACACATCCAGAGATTCTGATGATGAAGGCTATGTCTGGGTCGCTGCCGACGATGCCGAGCGCGGCGCTTCTGCCACGAGAGGAAATGTTTGGACAGTGGATTCGGGAGCAACTCACCACCTTTGCATCGACCGTGACCAACTTTTCGCGATAGAGCCAGCATTCCTGTCGGTGCGAGTGGCGAATGGAGATCTTGTCGCCGCTACTGAGAAGGGAAAGACTGTCATCACGACGATGGCAGAAGGAGTGCCTCGTACTGTCCTGCTAGAAAACGTGTACTTCGCAAAAGGTATTGACCGCAACCTGATTTCAGTGGCTCAACTCACCGCTCGAGGCTACACCTGCACCTTTGATGAGGAGCAGTGTACAATTACGAACAAGACGGGCAAGATTGTTGCCGAAGTGGGTAATTCAGCCTCGACTGGGCTTTGGTCTGTTGGAATCGAGCAAGGCGCGGCCTCCTTCGCAGCAATGACGACCTCTACGCTTCAGCAGTGGCATGAACGCCTGGGGCACGTGAACTACCAGGATCTGGTACGCATGATTGACAAAAACCTCGTTGAAGGCATGATTGCCTCTAATCGGAAGGTGGATTTCTGCATGAACTGCGGTGAAGCGAAATTAGCTCGACGCGCGAAGAACAAGCAGGATACTTCTACATCTGCCCCAACGGACGAACCGGGCGCTACCTTGTGCGTTGACCTGAAGACGGACATGACCCCGGATCGGCTCGGTCACAAACACATTTTGACCATTGTAGACCACGCTACGAACTACAATCGCGTCTACTTGCTCCGCAAAAAGAGCGACGCGGAAGGGCATTTGGAGGACTTTGTTAGCGAGTTTGAGCGACAATACGACACCAAGGTGAAGATGATTCGCTCAGACGGTGGTGGTGAATTTGGCAGCACCAGACTCGGCCGCTTCCTCCGCAACCGGGGTATTCTCCACCAAGAAACGGAGGCGGGCATGTCATCATCAAACGGAAAAGCAGAGCGTTTTCACCGGACTGTCATGGATTCCGCCCGAGCGATACTCTGGGCCTCGGCGTTGCCACAGCGATTTTGGGGCGATGCTGTTCTGTATGCGAGCTACATTCGCAACTATCTGCCGACTCGAGCGAACGCCGACCATGCGTCTCCCATTGAGGCCCTCTCCGGAAAACGACCCAGTGTCTCGTACATCCTCAAATTCGGCTCGAAGTGTACGAGCCACATCGCTCATGCAACGAAGCGATCAGCAAAAAAGCGCGCTGAAAGAGGAGTTGTTATTGGCATCGACTTCAAGAAGAAAGCGTACCGTGTTCTCATCCCGCGAACCAAACGTGTTATTTCTACAACACACATCCGGAATATTGACCGTCTGGACTCGCGAGCCGTGGGGCGATACATGGACGCTGTCGACGCAGACAATAGCGGCAAGGAGGAGGAAGCTGGCGATCAACAGCACGAAACCAACACCCCACATGACGCTAATGGTGAGGAAGCACGGGCTGGTAGCCCTGCAGAGCAGCATCAACTTACGTCGCGTGCCATCCAGCGCATCTTTGGCCTGAATCGAGGTACACGAGCACTACCACGCGATGACGTTCGGCTGCCCCAATCGTTTCTCGAAGAGTTCGCCACTCCGGCATCTGTCCTGCTCACTATCGTACTCAAGGAGGGTACTGCCTTTGCGGTACTACTAGAGCGTGACGGGATCAAGGAGCCAGTAACTATGGGGGAGGCAATGAACAGCCCTTATTGGCAGGAGTGATGGCAGGCAATCGAAGAAGAGCTTCGAGCAATATCGAAGAACGCTACCTGGGAAATTGTGGACATTCCTACTGATGGAAATCTGTTAAGTGCAAAATCGGTGTTCAAGCTCAAGTTTGACAACAAAGGCGAATTGGAACGGTTCAAAGCGCGGCTGGTAGCGCGCGGCTTCACTCAAAAGTTTGGCATTGACTTCGCACAGACCTTTGCGCCCGTGCTCAAGATCGCGAGCCTGCGGTTCATTGTGGCCCTCGCATCTCAGTGGTATGCCGTCATTCGACAAGGAGATGTTGCTAACGCATACCTGCGAGCAGACCTCGATCGACCCATCTACATGCGCGCCCCTGTTGGACTCCAATTACCCATGGGCAAATGCCTACTGCTGCGAAAGGGTCTCTACGGCCTTAAACAGAGCGGTAAGTTGTGGAACGACACTATACACCGCTACTTACTGGAACTTGGCTTCAGGAGGAGCCAGCTTGACCCGTGCTTGTATTTTCGTTGGCATGATGGCAAGCTAACTGTACTGGGCCTCTACGTCGATGATGCGGTGGTCGTCAGCCAGCGTGAGGGCGATTCCGACTGGACGATGCAGAAGCTCGCCAGCCAATTTCAGATCAAGGACATGGGTCCAGCCAAGAAGTGCTTGGGAATAACATTGAGCAGAGCGACTGCGGCATCTACCTCCACCAGACAGCCAATATTGACGGTTTGCTGGCGAAGTGCGGCATGGAGAATAGCCGCCCCGTGACTACGCCGATGGAGTCAACTCGGGATCTGAGCGGAGAGGACAGCGAGCCCTTCTACGACACTAGCATCATGCGGGAGACCATTGGGTCACTACTATGGATTAGCAAATGCACTCGACCAGACATCACGATGCCTGGCGCGTTTCGTCTCAACGCCTACGTCGACTCATTGGACTGCAGTCAAACGTATCCTGCGCTACTTGCGCGGCACGCGCGAGTTGAGGTTGCACTTTCCCCGGCCGCAGGCACCTTACACACTATTGAGACAGCCATCTTCAGCGATGCAGATTGGGCCGGGGGCAAGGACGCAAAGTCGACTTTAGGAGGACTGCTCACCATCAACGCCATGCCTATTTCGTGGTACAGCAAGAAACAATCTACGGTCGCCCTCTCTACAGCCGAGGCTGAGTACATCGCTGGGGCGACGGCAGTGCAGGACTGCTTGTGGGTGAAGCAGCTCCTGAATGAACTTGAGCTGCACGGCAAAGATGATAATATCGACTTGTACATCGACAACCAGAGCGCGATCAAGAACATGGAGAACGACGTGACGACTGCACGCATGAAGCACATCAACATAAAATTTCACTTCATACGCGACGCCATTCGCAAGAAGGAGGTCAGCGTGACCTATTGCCCTACGACTGAGATGAAGGCCGACATTTTCACGAAGCCCCTCGGCGCAACCCTACACGGGCGCAACCTGGCCATGATCAAGTTTATGAACCCGCACAACGAGAAGATGTAGACTCGGATCATCTTGGTCGAGGAGGACTGTTGGAGATCGCAAGAGCTGGCGCCACCTGCGATGAGTGCAGTGGCGACGATAACGGCCTGCGACGACCACAAAGACCCCTCCAGCTACACAACACGAAACTACCATGCATATTAGCCTAGCACAGACATCCTAGCATCATCCAACCTAACTCATTCTGCAATACACCAGGTGCGAGGCACCACTACAAGGAGCAACCCGTGCAGGATCAACGAGTGCTCCCTTCAGTGTACGATTGGACCCGCTCGGTTGACGGGCAATGATATTTTCAACTACTTGCGTTGTGCAGTGAACACGGGTGGGTTCGTCTCTGAACGTGAATTCAACATCAGCATCGGCGGCCACGAGCACAACAGACTCGCAAAGTTTTACGCGGTGATAGTGGCATTTTTGAAGTTGCTTTCGGAGACAAACGAGGACGCTCTAGGCGCTGCGGTGTGCTCCATGAAGCCTCATCTGCGCATCACAAACCCCTACAACTCGAGAGTGCGGCAGAATTGGGCCGAGGGGTATATGCGCGACGAGCTAAAGCCTTGCTTGCATCTGTCCGGGAGAAGCACCCTTCAATGGTCATGGAAGTGTCAATTGGGGGTCGCAATGGAAACAAGTTCAACCGCATCAATGAGTCATCGCTGGCGTGGCGTCCAAAGAGCAGTCGTCGTAGGCTGTTTCGAGATATCGAAGCAGAAACAGCAGGACGCGATTCGGACAGCGACGTCAGTATCTTTAGTGGTGGGGAAAGTGGCGAGAGTGACAGCGAAGACGAAAACATGGAGGAAGACTAAGGGTGCGTACTGCACAACAAAATTCCAGCGGAATGGGCCCAATTTCAGCGGAATTTGCATTACAGCGGAATGGTCGATCAGCTGGCGCGTACTGCATACAATTCTAGCGGAAATTCGAGTATATTCCAGCGGATTTCATCCGCCCGAATTCGGGCAGACAGCGGATGGATCCAGCGGATGGATCCAGCGGATTGAACAGATGGCACCTGGCAAAGACACTTTTTCGTTAAGAGAGTGGGTGGACTCCATTCACAAGCGCGTCTCTGTGGCTGCCCGCGGCATACCGCTGGCGGAGGAGATGGCAATGCCGAAGACAGTGAAGAGGGTTGACGTGGCACGACCGCGGAGTTATGGAATGGAAGCTGTCGCCGCTGTGGTAGGAAGGCAGCCCGTCATTCAGGCCGACACTCTCTCAGGTAGTTTGGGCCACGTCCTACAGTAAGCAGGGCACACGGGTTTGTCCCCTCCACAACTCAATACCACTATACGTTTGCTTCTGATGCACGCTCTGTTTCCAATATTTGACAGTGGAAAATAGCAACAACAACAAAAATCCGCTGGACAGCAAAATCGCGCACTGCAACACAAAACAGTGGATTGGTCATTCCAGCGTGTGCTTCAGTTCCAGTGGATAGAGTTATCCGACGTTTTATTCCAGCGGAACTGCAGTACGCACCCTTAGCATTATGTGTGGATTGAGACATTGGGTTGCAGACTTGTAACCCCCTGACATGGCTACAAGTGGGGCGTGCACTACTGGTAAGGGGATCGCCGGCTTTCAACTATTAATACCAGTCCAGCACGCAGGACATTGCTTATTTGATAGCGAGCGAGATCTACGTTGAAAACCAGTAACATCCAGCTGACTCTTAACGATTTCGTTCAAATGCGTCAAACTCCCTGCCACTAGCAACAGCAAGGCGATGTCGTCCTTACTTGAAAGTTGCATACATGTATTCAATCAAAGCTAAGCAAGCATACTCCCCACAAGAAACAGCCTCTCAGTGATGTAAGAGCTTGTTGCTCTACCACCACCAAAGGTTTGAATTCTTCCTGAAGGTACGCATACCATAATAAGCGCTCATTTTCAACGTATTTCGAGTTGAGTATATGTAGAATAGCTGTCTGCCAACACCTGAGTAGCCCTAAGCTTCCTCAAATATGGTTAGAAGTAGCTGGCTTGGTGGTAAACCTTGACGGTGAATACTCATAAAACTCGCAGTCTCCCATGGTAATACAAATATTCCGCTTAGCACCAATCGATTATAGACGCTTGAAAGGCCTCATAATTTGCTGCCACACAAGTTTAGTGAATACCGAAGTATTAGCAAGACTCGTGAAGGCAACCAGCGTACAATCTGTGCCTAAACTTACGTTCAACCTCATTTTGACGCGGGCAGCACAATAGGTGGCGTCATCCTCATCCTCTTACTTGTTCCGCGAAGGATTTACATGAATCGGCTGGCGTCGACAGAACGATACATGTAGTCCAGCCAGCGTGAGATCCTAAATACTTTGAACCTGTCGCCTCTCCGATCGTAGATTAGCCCTTTACCAAGAGAGACAGATGTGCCTTAAAACTACTAAGCTTACCTACATTTGTACTCAGTGAATTAAGCTCAAATAGAAGGCCACTTTACCACATTTGTACTCGACGGCGGCTTCAACTGATCTCGTCAGAAGCTCCAAAACGTCGATGTAGCCTCCAGAATCACTTTGGGCAGATGCCTCATTGGATTTTAGCAGACACCAACTCCTCAACGATACTACACAACGCTGCGGCTTTCAATATACTTGCCGTACTGAAAAGCGACCCCCATCCATGGAATGGTTCGCACAAATTTTCTTCGTGTTTCAATATTTTTTCTTTCCAAGTTGCATGATTCCTCGCTTGCATGTTGTCACGTTTGTGAAATTGTCTTCAAGCATCTCCAGGCATTAGCGGTAAAATCCTCTTTTAGATTCGATGTTTGTCTCGTAGACAGAACTCGAGGATCTTCCGATGCCAACGATTGTCATTTACTTGAAGTACTAAATATTGAAACTGAGAGCTATGCTGGCCAACCAGCAGATACGAAATACAGCAAGGACTTGGTTGTAGTTCTAACTCCAAACCACGCAACTCCGACCCCAGAAATGGTTCAAGCACATAAGACCTCTGGAATTGGTTCCAATCTAACTTTGATCCAATCTTTCGTACTTTCGGTGGCTTGGTTTGTTCAAGGCCGTTCGGGGCGCTGCAAACGGCTCTCGGCATGAATCGCACTCCAAATATTGGCTTCGTGTAGATGTTAGCTGCACCTGTAAAACAAAACTAGGTAAGATTCTTAGTCTTGGAAAAGTTGGAAATGGAAGAGTAGGTGATATTACCTTCGGTCAATCATTGATATCTTTTTTCAAGCTCCTTTTTGCATTGTTTCATTATTTCTCTTCGCCGTCGACTCAAATGCCGATAATGCGACGTGCAAGGGCACCACTCGGCTGCTCGAAATCAGCCGTTTCGTTTCTCGAAAAACGCTCGCAGTCTTAAGTGATAAAAAATCATGGCTCCTGAATCCGACGTGCATGTGAACGCACCGCCCCACACTCCAAGATTGAAGACGCGGAGAAGCCTTAGTTTTCGCGTCTACTCTCACTATAGCAGCAGTAACTATTCCTTTTCGATCGAATCTTTCGCCAATCGATTGACGAACCCATTTCAGGGTCCATCCCCTCCTGCTCCAGCATTGCACATCAAAAAAGCGACTTGCTTGTGGTCTCTCCCACTGCCGCTTGATCTCTGCCTCAGGATGAGACCTTCACTGCGAATAAGTCGCTGATCAATTGAAGATGCGGCGGTAACCCTCGCGGCGCCTTCAGCTGCGCTTGGCGTCCGTTCTGGAGTGGGTGCTTCTTCTCAAGCCATTGACCAAGCGACTTGTCTGGTTGGGTTGCAGTCGTCTCATAATCCAACCGGACAGCTAGAGGCCACGATGATCCCGCAGCAGTGCGAGCATTCGCCCGAGTGGATGATGGACACGGCGCTGCACTTGTACGCGCGCTGCGGTCGGGCCGACGCAGCCAAGATGCAGCTTCGCCACGGCGCCGACACGGAGATCTGCAACGCACAGGGCTTCACGCCGCTGCTGCTGGCCGCACGCTACAACCAGCTGGGAGTACTTCAACTTCTGCTTCAACATGGGGCGCGCGTGGACGCGTTGGCTCCATTGGAGATGGATTTGGGTCAGAACGGAGTTGAATTGGGCTCTTGCGTCCACTTTGCGGCCGAAAGTGGCCACGTTCAGGTGCTCAAGTTCCTCGTCGCGGCTGCAGCACTAGACCCCGACGAGTACACTCGAGGACGACAAGGGATCACGCCGCTGCACTTGGCGGCGCGTCTGGGTCGAGCGGATATCGTACGATTCCTGGTGACTAGGAGTGATGTGGACGTCAACGCCAGAGACGCTCGAGGCATGACACCGCTGCACCACGCGTGCGACTACCCCAACGCTGAGGTGGCGCTCCGTTCACCTCCACAGCTTCTCCATGACGCTGCGCACGTGGAAGTCGTGAACGCACTGATTAACGCTGGGGCGGTAGCTGACGCCCGACGTACCCAAGACTGGGCCACGCCGATGCGGTGCGCTCTGCATCGAGGTCATTTCCTAGTCGCCAAGGCTCTCGTGGACCACGGCGCGTATAGTGGAGTGACCTGGTGGCTACACAAGATGAAGACGCTGTTATCCCATGATACAGCAACGTACGCCACGTTATCATCGAGTCGATCCAAGACGAAGATGAAGCGACTTCACCGGGATTCGAGCATTTGGGACACCGAACTATCGACTGGGAACGAGCCTATCACGTCCTTACAAGGTCTTGCTCGACATCATGAGACGGCTCTGCACGAGGCTTGCAAGGCTCAAAAGCTGCGACGGCTTCGGGTAGTTCTGAATAGACAAGGAGATGTGTGGGTCAATGCGCGCGTGTATCCGACTAGCTCGGACGATTGTGCGGGGTGGACGGCGCTACACATTGCAGCGGCCGGTGGATGGCAGGCTGGACTTGCGTTGCTGATCGCTCACGGTGCCAACGTAAAGCTGACGACTGAAGACAGCGATGTATCAAGTGGAACAACAGTTCTCCACCTAGCGGCGCAGAATGGCCTGTGATGACACTGCTGGACGCTGGAGCTGACATCAATGCACGCGATGACTTGGGCGACACGCCATTGCTTCGAGCACTTCGCAATGGACGCTCGCGTACGGTCAAGCTGCTGCTCCGTCATGGAGCAAAGTGTGGCTCGCAACAAGACCCCACGTTTGAGCTGGACGCGCCACGCTTCGGTGCAAGTGAGTCGATGATTGGGTCTTTTGACCCGCGGAAGACGACGGCCCTGCATCTCGCGGCTTTCTTCGGACTGCTTCCTCTAGTGAAAGAGCTGGCGAAATCCTCCACACTCTTCTCATTTGATGCTGTTGACGACGACGGAGCCACACCGTTGTGGCTCGCAGCGCTCATGGGGAACTTAGATGTGGTGGACTATCTGGCCCAACAAAGTGCGAACTTGCATCACCACGTTGGTGGAGATTCAACGACTGATTGTGCAGCTGAGTTCGGTCACCTTGAAGTGCTGGAGTACATTTCGACGTCTTCACCTGGACGACTAGGCTGGGGGTGCAGATCACTCACCCGCCTGGCGTTGCTGGAGAAGAGAAGACGTATCCACCGTAGATCTGTATAAATTGTACTTATTAATACTTCGAAATCATAAAAACATCGTAGAGTTGTGTTAGTTTTCGTACATTAACTAATAGTGCAATCCAGTTCAAGTGGAAAAAAAAACATTTTCGTTTATGCGAGCCCCTTAGTCTGCTACAGTAGATAGTAACCAGCTCAAGCTGCTTGATTTATCCTACGCGGACACTCGCTACGCCCTTTTGGTACTGTAAAAAGAGGTCGAACGCCTTGAAATTCCTGTGGACCTTCATCTGTTCCTTGGACAGCATGGACATCCCCAGCTTTCCGGCGACCCACGCCTCGGATTTACCTTCAACAGCCCACCGCGCCATCTGATCCGTTGCCCTCTTCTTATTGTAGTAGCGCTTACCAAACCTCGCGAAGCGGTCGTCTAGCAGCTTCTTGTACTTGACAAGCGCCTTCCAGTTCTCGTGCTGGCTTCTCAAGGCCTGCGGGACGCTGGAAATTCCGAGTTTCGCGGCAACGGAGGCTTCGGATTCTCCAGTCTTGTACCACAAGTTGAGCAACTTCTTCGTCGCCTTATTGCCACGAAAGTGCCCCGCGAAGTTCATGGTGACTCCCCTCTCTTCATCGTCTCGCGTTGTCTCCAATGCCGCCGTCCTCAAGAACCGGGTCCCGCGTGCAGCGTTCTGGATCGACAGCTTGGCGGAGGATTCGGACGAAAAAGCTTCGCTGGATGCGAGCAAGAAGCCTGCGGCAATTACGAGAAGAGAGGAGACACGCATGCCTGGACCGGGGACGCAGTCGAAAGCTGAGGATGCGAATTGCAGAATGAACGGCCAGGTGCCATTTCAAATCGGCAAAAGCTGGTGGCTGTGCTGCACAGCTTGAAGCTGTGTTGAGCTGTACTGTAACTGAAGTACAACCACAATCTTAGAGAATCTTAGAGACACTGGATGTCGTGCATAGATTCCCAGTGCAGGCTCGGGATCACCGTGTACGAAGCATTATTATTATATGAACTTAACCATTTGCAACTTTTAGTTTACCTTATCAATCAAGAACACGATTATTTATGTGGTTTTGGTTTATAACGGAAGATGAAGAGCAGGTACAGAATGAGATACTCAAACAGTCGATTGCTTGAGGCTTCAACGTCGAGTAGCGGGCAAAGTACGATCAAAACATGCATCTGCCCATCTATACGGTTTCATACTAGTTAGATGATGCTTCAGACTGAAGCCTTCAGTACTGTCGATGCTTCTGCCGATAGTTTGCCATAATCAGTTTGCATCGCTAGGCGAAGAATACAATTAGTGCTAGCTTCACTTTGCACCGAGATGGACGCCTAAATTCTAGGCAAGGCGGAGAATTCGTTGCACAACTAAGCAAGATCGCCCCCGAAGCGTTATCAATACAGTAGCTTATTACAATATTCGTGCATGCGACTGATAGAGATCGATGATCTGCTGAAAGGGTATCCCATGGCAAAGCCCCTCGTCGATCATTGCGTCCAACATTGAAGTCAATGCATCCCAGATCGCGTGCGCAATTTGCAAAAAATAGTCTCGCGTTCTGCAGTCGACAAGCTTGGTTTGGTTCTTGTTTCGCAGCAGAGGCCGACAAATTGTGTACTCCGTCTCCATAACAAGTCGTTAATTAGAGGAGCGGTAGCAACATGAAGGTTCCTCTTGCCTCGTGTAGCCTTGAACATGGCTTCGCACCACTTTCGAATTCAGGTCTTTATGACATTGGAATCGGTCGCGCCCACCTTCAATTTTTTTGTATCGTAGTCACTTAGAGATACTAACGACTTCAAATACAAAGTTCTCGCCTTCGCTCGTTTACGTCGCTGGCAAGCTACCACTACATAGCGTTAATGCGGTGAACTACACCGTCGTGAGCACTTACCGTTTTGATATGCGCCCATCCATCCAGTGTTGTAAATCCCCAGCCGCGAATCGAGCTGCGGGTCTCCACATTGTTGCGCTGCGCGCATTCTCATGTAACACGACCTGTCCGCTGCACCCACCTCCAATTTTTTGAAGACCATCAGCTTTACTCCATTTTATTGTCTCAACCAGACCTTTGACACTTCAAATTCTCGTCTTGTTGGAGTCGCTGTCTTCTTTGTCGACCATACTGTATTAATACCACATTGAAATGAAAAGACTTCAATTTGCTTAGATTCAGCAGCTGTCGAGGCTACCAGTAAAGCGAGAGTCGCCAAGGCACAGCGTGGACAAGTCCTTGGGGAGGTTTGCGAGTTATTTTAAAGCTGAAATACTGTCACAACAAGTTCAGAAGTGAATTTGTATTTGAGTAGACCGACAGGACGTTCTCAAAGATAGAATTCATGTATCCTTGTGATAGCATTGTAAGCGCTTGAAGCGATCGAAACTCAGCTTCAAGATCCGGATTGTTCCCAGATCATGTAGAGAAACTGCTTCTATCTCAGCATGTTCATTAGTGCACGAAAGGGTTGTCGAATTGTATGCGCTTGAAAGTCGCGAATTCGAAATCGAAACCAAATACTCGTTCACAAACCATATTTTACTACTAGTAATATGGTAAAACTTAAAAAAAATCATCATTTATCGTGTGGGCTCATGAAATGCTTGTCCGGAGAAAATAAGTAAGCAACGATCACGAATGCTGTTGGCATCTTGTGCTATCGCTAGCTCCTCTGATACAACGGATTGACACTTTGATTGAGACCTTACTCCGATTTGGCAATGCCACCATCTATCGCCCGAAATTCATCCACGAAGATACAAAACTTACCCCACTCATATCTACGTTTTACGTGTGGATCTCTGTACACTACTACAGTAGAAGTAATTTTAATTACAATTATCTGCAACATTCACTTCAACTTCACTGGAACTCTCATCTTCTTCCTGTACGCATTGACATTAACTTCGAGGATTCAGGCTAAGAACCGACTCCTCGGCGTCAGATAGTCTAGCTAGAACTCAGCTAGATCGCCCTGGAGAGAATCGCGCGATGGCCTCTACCATTTCCACCACGCGCCGACATTGTAGGCGCACTGCTCACAATGGCGCTAGGCCGACTCAACACCACAGAGGCTGGAAGAGGCCCGGCCCAGGCCCCCGTGAGTGGCGCACTCTTCACTGGAGTGGCGCTCTTGGCTGGAATCACCTGCACCTTGTCAGTCGGAGGTGTATTCTTGCGCTGATCGGTCTTCACACTCACAGGGACTGGCGGAATTTGCGTCCACATCGCAGCCTCCAGCGGCAGATACTTCTTCTCCAATTGGCTCGGTTCGTTGACACGGGAGTTCTTGGCATGCTGCCCCTTGCGTCGTTCGGTCTCCTTCTGCTGCTTCATGCCCTTCTCCGTGGGGTTTGAGCGAGGACGAAGGTTCTTCGCCTGCAGAGCAGGTTTGTCCTTGCTGGCATCCCACGCGCCACCAATCTGCTGGAGTTGCGTACGAATACCGTCGTAGAGGTGTTGACCACCGAGTTGCTGCATGGCCTCCTGGAACTTGTCCGACTGCGCTTGCTTCACCATGTACTTCAGCTTGTACTGGTTCACCTTCGTCCATTCCTCAGCAACCTTGTTGGAGGTCGGCGTCAACCCTTTCGCTGTCGGTGCCAGCACTAGGCGCTGGTGGCTCATAAGTTCCAGAATCTCACGCAGACTCTGGCATGCAGCACGCTTCTCGGGTGCCAAGCCCAGCACTATTCGCAGCACAAAGCTGACACCTACGGCTTGCTGCTTGGATTGGAGTCCTTTGGTGCCGAAGCGCGCGCCGATGACGGTGTCCATCTCGCCGAAGCTGTTCTTTCGGACCAACTCCGGTTCGCCGTACTTGGAGAGCGCGGCAGACACGGTGATCAGTGATAACAGCGCCTGCTGAGTCTCCTGCGTACCCTGGATGCAAGCAAGCGTCTTCGAATTCAGGACGCTGCGCACCCAAAGGTCGACGTCCTCACGCTTGGCGTTCGCCTTGCTGTTGATGGGCCTGGCCACGGCATCGTCCTTGGCTGTGAAGTAGTTGTGGAGCTTGGCGAACCGCTTGAAGTCCGTCTTTCGAATCTCCCGAGCGCGCTGCACGCTCCACGTCGTCACATCATTGAGCGTAAATGGCTTTGAACCATTGGCGACTGTGGTCTTGACGACGTTCACTTTGATGCCGTTGAGGTTCTTCGTCGTCGACTGCGTAGTTGCAACGGTTGTGGTCATTTGGGCGTTCTTTACTACTGTGGCACAGGCAGGCTTCACCTGTGCGCTGGCGGGGGCAGCGGCGGTGACGTTCTTGGCGTTGTTGGCCTTCTGACGCGATACAGCGTTGGTCATTCTTGGAAGTTGCTTGGGAGCGCGGTGGCTCTCGTAAGCCTGGTTCCGCCTTGTTGGCTAGCTGGTGGGATTGCAGAGTGTGAAAGTGGAAGCACTGCATAAGGCAGTTAAAACGAACGTGACGAAGATAGGATTCCCATTATGAGATACCCACAGACAGATAAGAGCTTGACGTCTGTCGGATCATCAGGTGAGGCCAGCAATAACTAAGACGCCGAAGCAGGACACGTCCAGTAGTAATTAGTACTTTTGCACGTATCAAAATATAGTACAGGTACTACTACTGTAACGAGAGCTATGCGTAGGCTGGGATAGCTAAGGAACTTGTAAGTAGGGCATCTCCCTGCCGCGCCGTCGATAACGAGCTTCGAAATTTACTACTTCAGTACAGTATGTGCTGTATGTAAATCTGTGTTGCCCATTGCAGCGCGTCTCTGAGCTCCTAACAAAAAACATCTCTGGTGTTTCCGTTCACACCTAGCTGGGGATCAACGGTCCGCTCTTCAAATTCGGCCGAAGCTTCGTCGTCAAGGGAGCTGACACCCGCCGAGCTCATTTCATTCAAGCTCTCATAGCAACATGCGGCGTCTAGAACTGTCTTTGATCTGTATACCTTCATCTTTGAAAATATTGTTAATTACTAGAGGAATTGTGCTGGCAGTGCGCACCGCCGGGGATTTTCATTGAAAATATAGTTAATTAATTTTCAAGTAGATGGGTGGAGAACGCGTCATCCCATAGCATCAACGCAAATGTTCAGTATATTTCAGTTCGTCGGCTTCAGCTACCGTACCGGAGCCAGCGACGCCGAATTAATCTGTGCTGGGCCGCCCCTCCGGGGTACTGCTATCCCAGAAAAAACGTATAAATGTAAGCTTAAGTTACTACTGTAGTACAGGTGCGTTGTAGGTGAAATGAGTCGGTAGAACAGAATAAACATGAAAACCCGTAGCTCCGCGGAGGCTGGAATAGGAAATTTTTGGTATATTTCCCCTGCTATTACTACGGATTAGCTGCGAAGCAGCCGCAACAAGTAAGCAAAAAAAAGAAATGAAGTCATGGTTACAATCTGTTCGAGGCTTGCACGAAATGCAAAATGCCTACCTTTGCGTCAGTGCTATGGTAGAGTAGGCCATCCACCTCAAGCGTTCTCTTTACTTAACTCCATCAATACATACTTCTACTGAAACATACCAGTTTCGTCGGTAGTATACCGGTTCAAACTGACCACGCATAGGACCCAGTGTCACACCGGGGTCATACCGGTTTCCACGGAGATGTACCGGTGGAAGGTCAAGAGGGGTCATTTTTTTTTACATGTACCACCGGATGCAATCCGATTTGGTCTGGGATAGCAGCACTAACGTTGCCCAGTAAAAAGCTAAACTTGTTCGTCATTGACTACTTACTCACCCACAGCGACAAATGATGCCGCGGAAAGTTTTAATGAACAGAAATTTTCAGCTTACCATATTTACCACAAACAAGGAAGATCCTCCACACGGACAAATACTATCTCTATAGTATTTTAATTATAACTTCAAAGTAAAAAAACTATATCACCTTACCGAGCGCTGTTGTGCCCCCGGCCTTCCAAATTTCGAATTTGTCGGTAGTAAACCAAGGTAAGATGAAAGGCTAGGAAAGTGCCGTGACTCAAAGTGGGTACATACCGGTGCATGTACATTTTCCACGTTTCTTGAAGGCACATAGCTTGCGCATTCGCACGCAATGGAACTCTTCCAAAACCAACACAAAAATAAATGTGTCATGAGCACAAAAATAGGGCTGCATACCCAGTACAATATGCGAAGACGCAAATATCGTCTCCAAAAAATGTGTCATGAAGAATTGTGTCAATTTTGGAGCAGCTCCAATGTATGAAGATATACATTAGGCTTTGCCATGGGTACCTTGCAAACATCTGGTAGCACATCCGCGATTTCTACGAATTGTCAATACCGGCTACAGTGTACTGTAAATGCAATGGATGCTAAGTTGTTGATAACGCTCTATGTCAGGGTAATACACGTACATGTAGCACTATGGACCAGAACTTTATGTTACCCGTATTAGCAAAAATACTACACTATACACAGAAACGGATATTGGCAAGAAACTTTGTATTCCAACACCGACAAATGCAATGCCTTAGCAATGCAATCTCAATTTGGACCCTCTAGCTACAGCTACTGTATACATTGCCCTGTACCCTGTACTTCGGACATGTGTATGAACTCCATACACACAGTCGTGTGCTTGATACAGTACTATGAAGCCGTACCCGAAGGTCGATCCCATTTTCCAGCATGCACACCGCTATCTTCAAATACCCCGTCTAATCGAGTTAAGTATAGAAGAAATTATCGGCCAATGAAAAAAACTTGACATCTGTTTTGGATCGGTTTTTTCAGGTTTTCGCACGGTTTCCTCGTGAAATCTGTTTTGGATCGGTTTTCCAGGGTTATACGACCCGGGAGGTTTTTTAGCGCGAAACCTGCGACACTCGATGGTATCGAGCGATAAAATTTAGCGAGCAATGGCTGCTGCGGTCACTTTTCGACGAGCATGGAGTCCGAACGGTGTTAGTAGCTAACAATATGTGAAGTGGCGTGTGAGTGTGGGAACTAGTCTTCCCTATCATTAATTACCTCTCAAATCGCTTCAACATCTCACCGCGCTGAATTGATTATAAATGCGTATGATGAGCACAAGTCCATACCGTCAAAATTCCAACGCTCCAACCAAGTGTCCAACATGTACCGGTACTACAGCAAATCATTTTAATGACATCTATTTCATTTTAATGACATCCTAACTAAATCCTATTCATTCATTCGTTCAGCTTCGGAGCGGGCCCCCCGGCCAGCAGCACCGAGAGCAAGACGGGCGTCGGCAGCGAGATGGACTGTGGCTGGGCCTCGGGCTGGGTGATGGCCGCCGAGGTCAGCAGCACCTGTAGCAGGGCGGCGACGGCGACAGTGGCTGGGCCTCGGGCGGGGTGATGGCCGGTGAGGTCAGCAGCACCAGGACCAGTGCGAAGAGGCGGGTTGTAACAGGGTTACACGCTCAAGTGGCTACAGTCACTTGTAACTCTAACAGATACGACGTCTGTTAGAGGTTCGAAAGACTTTCTCGACCTTGGTGTAGACACACCAAAGGCTACATACATTTACGACCACCACAACAGGTGGTCCATAGAGACTTAGGACTGCTATTGGCTGAGAGCAGCATCTCTTAGCCAATGAGCGACATGCATAGCATTAGAATTCTGCCAACCAGCCGTTGGCAGATTCCTATCTTAGAATATTACATTTAGAGGAAGTCAGAAACATAATACAAAAATAGCAGTTCTCATTTTAACCCAAAAACATTATTTGGATCGTTTGTTTAGATTAATCTATACTCGGAGGCCCGAGTATAATTAACTCTAAGTTAAACTAAGCTACGCTTCCTCACAGACACGCGCACACGCGTAAGCTAAAGTAGTGAGCCAAAGTAGGCCCATTACACCTGGTAGCACTTTGTAGTCCGTCCAACGACCGACTACCTGAGTTCGTACGTCACCGCACGAACGCGGAGCTGAGAACCTTCCCATGGATACGGAGGTGTCCATGGAAAGCTCCACTACGCCTGCAACTCACGTTGCACGCGCTGACTGTCCCCACCTGTCGGACCCAGAGTGGGAAGTTCTCCAACGACTGTCAACAGTCATTGGTGAGGCGGCTGTAGCTACGATGCTGCGTACGCTAACGGCGACAGAGCAACATGGTGTTGCTCTGGGATTCATCATGAGGGAGCAGCGAGATGCTGCTTCGTCTACCACGGTGTCGTCCCCGACGACACCGCGCGCGTAATCGCTGAAGCTCAGCGTGAGCAATTAAGTTGGAAGAGAGGGCGAGCCTCTCCTCCGTTGGCTTGTCGAACTCGACACTGCCATTGCGGCTCGACGCATCGTCGACCCGTTGTCGAAGGTCGCGTTCGCCATGTCATGTCTTGGCGGACGTGCAAGAAGTTGGGCGTATGGACGCCGACTCTCGGATCCTACGTGCTTTAGCACGTACGAGGGTTTCAAGGAAGAGCTCAGACAAGCGTTTGAGCCACCGCAAAACGAGTTCCGGTCGAGGGCGGAGTTCCGCGACCTGCAGCAGGGCAAGCATGATGTCCATGCTTACGCTCAGAGAGCACGGTACTTGGTCTCGAACATCGTGACCAATCCGATCGACGAGGCGACCAAGGTCGTCACGTTCATAAAGGGGCTGAGAGATGGGCCTGTCAAGACCTATCTCTTCCGCGAGTACCCGAGTACTCTCGAAGCTGCAATTACTCTTGCAATGCAGGAGGAGTTTAGCCTGCAGCAGGCTAAGCTGCATGCACATGTACCGAGGCGACAGCCACGCCCGGTAGTGAGGACAGGAGGCCCAGAACCCATGGACCTCTCGAGTGCTGCAACTGCTGGACCCCAGCAGTCGCAAGGAAACAATGTGCGATGCTACCGATGCGGTAGAATCGGTCACTTTGCTCGGGAGTGCACGGCCCCCGTGAACCAGCAGGGTGGCTATTGCGGCGGTGCCAGGCACCGTCGCAACCAAACAAAAAACGCTGGACGCCAGTAGGCGCGGGGCGCCCTACTGGTAATGCAGTTCCGCGTGTCGACCTTGGACACGCGACACTGAGGACTGCAGCCCCCAGTGAGGTTCATTCTCACTGCAAGAAACAAGATGACAAGCCTGACCTTGTCATCCTGAATGTGAACTCGATGAGAGCAAGCGGCTCTCTCCGTGCTTTGGTAGATTCTGGCGCATCGAAGAACTTTGTTCGACTGCGAAGTCTATCAAGGCTTGACTTCGAGAATTTAAAGATACCTCGAAGTATGTTGGAAGTACGACTGGTGGCAACGGGTGCCGTCGTGAAGACCGAGAAGCGCATGCTACGCGTGCGCTTCACGTATGAAGATCAAGAGTATGTCGAGACCTTTATCGTCCTGGATCTGGACGATAAGTTTGACATTGTATTGGGCATGCCGTGGCTTGCACGACATGATCCGGTCATCGATTGGGAGAAGCGCACTCTCGTGCGCTTAGGTCGCGACAGCGGAACAGTGAGCGATGGTCCTGTTGCCGCTACGCACGCACCTGTCGGTGCGTGCGACTCCCCACTCGAGACAGCGCCTAATGCCGCTGTCCCGAATCATCCTGGGGGCGCGCGAGCACGCGCGCAGGGGAAGCTAGCGTCGGTGTTGCCGCCGACAGCTAATGAAGAAAATGTGTTGACCTCTGAGCGCCCTGGGCGCGCGCGAGCACGCGCGCAAGAGCAGCAAGCATCGGGGTCGCCGCCGACGGCTGAAGGAGAATATGTGTTGATCTCGGAGATCGACACCCGCTTTTCAGCGAATCAGGAAGACTCTCCGGTCTCAAGGGGCACGGATGACGCAGGCGAGTCACACGCCTCAGCCGTGGAGGCTGACGCGAATCTGATTGGACCAGGTCTGGCCAATAATAAGAGCCAAGGTGACGGAACGCCGTCGACTCCGGGAGTCGATGGCTTGGGTGAATTTGATTCGTCGGCTCGGGGAGCCGACGCTGCAGGCGGTGCGGACGGTTGCAAACGTTTCGCACCGGAAAAACTTGCATGCTGTCGTGCAGTCGGGCTGCAGGACGAAGCGCCGGGCGACCAAGCCGGGCTTGAAGTCGCTCGCCCGCGGGACGAACCCGCCGGCGGTACTGAAGAAGAACACCCGTCCACGGCTGGGCCTGGACGAGGTCCAGAACCAAGCGGAGCCGGGCTCCGCAAAACAAGAAGACGGCGCATGCGAAGATCGCTGCGCAAGTCTCGGCCTGGGGCCGAGACGCTACAAGGAATGTCTGCCGGGCAGACGGAGGCTGAAAAGCCGGACGTCGAGACGTTGAACGTCTTGACGCGTACCTGTGCCGGGTTCCGGTACAGGGAGATGACTCTCGCTAACCCTCCGACGCAAGCGTCGGAGTTGACTTCGCTTCCAGTCATGAGCTGGAAGCGCTTCGCGCGTGACTTGCACGATGGACGCATCGAGCAAATATGCATTCTCTCGGACGCCGAGAGAACGAAGCGCGAGAATGAAGAACTGAGGCAGTTCTTCATGGAGACCACCACTGAGAGCGAGGACACGCTCAGTGCGAAGACGAAGAAGGAGCGCTTTGAAGAGCAGAGCTGGGACTCGTTGAAAACGAGTCCCTACTACGAGATCTTACGGGAATACGCGGACGTACTTCCGGAAGAGATTCCTGCGGATCTTCCGCAGGACAAGGGCATCCAACACGAGATTGATCTCGTGCCGGGAACGAATTACTGTGTCACGCGGCAGTGGCCACTGCCGCGAGAGCAGGTCAAGGCGATCGACGACTTCTTTGAGAGTCGTCGCAAAGCTGGACAAGTGCGGGAATCGAAGTCCCCGCACAGTGCTCCGACGTTCTGTGTCAAGAAGCCACAGGGCGGCTGGCGCATCGTTCATGCGTACAACAAGCTGAACGATGCGACGATACCGGCGCAGACACCGATACCGCGAAAAGATGTAATCATCGATTCGATGGCCAGGAGCACTATCTACAGTGCTCTTGATCTGCACGATGGGTTCTATCCGATCCTCATGCGTGAGAGCGATATCCCTCTCACGGCTGTGAGCACGCCGAGCGGCATGCTCTGGGAGTGGCTTGTGACGCCACAGGGTCTGAAGAACGCCCCTGCGACCTTCAACAGGTGCGTGACGCACTTGTTGCGCTCAGTGCGCGACTTCGCACCGAGCTACGTCGACGATGTGTTCGTCCACAGCCGGGCTGCGGACGGGATGAGCGATGTTGAGATGCACAAGGTGCATCTCCAGAAGCTGCTTGCGCTTGCGCAAGCACAAGCTCTATGCGAACTTGAAGAAGTGTATCTTCGGGGCGAGCGAGGTACCCGTGCTCGGGTGTCTCGTTGGGAGGAACGGTGTCCGCCCTGACCCTGAGAAGGTCAGAGTAATCAATGAGTGGCCGACGCCGTCGAACGTCAAGGAACTGCGGCAGTTCCTTGGCTTGGTCACGTACTTGTGCAAGTACGTGAAGGACTACGTGGGCATGATACGCCCGCTGTCACAGCTCCTGAAGAAGGACGCCGAGTGGGTTTGACTGCTGAGTGTCAGCAGGCCTTCGATGCAGTCAAGCGGGGCTTGACTGAGGCGCCGATCTTGGCGGTGGCCGACCAAGATCGCCCATTCCACGTAGTGTGTGACGCATCCGACTTCGCAATCGGATGTGCGTTGATGCAGCACGATCACGAGGGTCGTGATCGTGTCGTCTACTACCAATCTCGTCAGCTGAAGCCAGCTGAGCGCAACTACCCGGTACATGACTAGGAGCTCCTTGCCATGAAGTACGCACTCGCGAAGTTCCGAGTGTATCTACTCGGAAGCAAACCGTTCGTGGTCTATACGGACCACGCGTCGTTGCGGACGGCTGTGAAGTCGCCGCACATCTCGCAACGGATGACGAGGTGGATCTCATTCTTCGCAGAGTATAACTTCCGGGTTGAGTACAAACCCGGAAGACTCAATGTGGTGGCCGACGCGCTCTCGCGTCGACCTGACTACGCCACAACTGATGCCGAGGTCAATGCCATTGACGCCATGCGATCGAGCACCCCGACGTCGTCACTGCTGGACGACGTGAAGGTCGCGTCCGCGCACGACGCGGACGCGAAGCTCTTGCTGGCCTACGGCTCAGCGCCTTCTGACCAAGCTCGTCAGAAGCTGCCGAAGCATCTTCGTGCTCGTGCACACCGTTCCCGGGTGCACGAGGGGTTATTACTCTACAGTGCAGTCGACGACAACGCGGACCGCGTTGTTGTGCCCAATAACCATGACCTGCGACTCAGGATCATGTACGAGTATCACGATGCACCGACTGCGGGGCATCCGGGCCGTGAGAAGACATACCTTCTTCTCACGCGAGACTTCTACTGGGCCCACCAGTATAAATGGGTGCGCAAGTACGTCCGTGCTTACGAGGTTTATCAACGTCGCCTTTCGCGCAGGCTCCCTTGCAGTCACTACCAACTCCACGGGAGTGTTGGCAGTCCATGTCTTTGGACTTCGTGTTCGGTCTTCCCCCGGACAGCCAGGGGAACACGGGCGTTGTGGTCTTTGTTGACCGCTTCAGCAAGATGGTACATCTTGCTGCAGTACCCGCTGAAGTGACTGCGAAGCAGACGGCGCGTCTATTCGTTGACATGGTGTTCAAACACCATGGCATGCCGATCGACATTGTGTCGGATCGGGACCCGCGCTTCACTGCACACCTTTGGCAAGAAGTGTTTACACTTCTTGGGAGTCAACTTTCGATGTCGACTGCGGACCATCCGCAGACGGACGGGCAGACCGAGCGCGTGAACCGCGTGCTCGTAGACGTGCTTAAGAGCTACGCTAACTCGTTCCAACACTGGAGCGAGTGCCTGCCGATGGCGGAGTTCGCCATCAACAACTCGGTGCATGCCTCGACCGGGCATACACCGTTCTACGTGAATGCCATCAGGCACCCACGCCTCCCGAGTCAACTCGGGATGGTGGCTTCATCCTTAAGTGGGGGAGGATCTACGACTGCAACGCAGCAGCCGCAGAATGCCGCTGACACTTGCACAGTGTCAGCCGCGACTACGCGCAAGAAGAAGAAGAAGAAGCACGCGTCTGTGCAGGGCACAGACACCGCGAAGACGAACGCAGAGGCCGGGCCTACTGCAAGAAACGAGCTGAACGAGTTCAGCTCGGACGCAATCAACTTCGTGCAGCGCAGACAAGCCGTCATTCGGTTTGTCCAAGACGCTATCGCAGCTTCTGTCGACCGACAGAAGCTGAACGCAGACAATGTTGGTAGGGGCAACACTAATGAATTCAAGAAGGGCTCATTGGTTTTGTTAGCAACTCAAAACCTGCCTAAACATGCAGTTTCCGACTTCGGGGCGAGCAAGCTCGCTCCGCGCTTCATCGGGCCGTTCACGGTGTTGGCACGGCATGACAACGCCTACACGCTAGATATTCCATCTAGCAGGCGCCTCCATCCGACCTTTTACGTCGGGCGGCTGAAGCCATACCGGCACCAGGAGCCACCTAGCTCGGCTGGCCCGAAGCGGAAGCCCCAGCGGGAGCGAACCTCTGCTCCAGCGCGTGAACGCGCTGGGCCAAGCGTGCGACGCGACCTCCCACGTCGACAGAGATGTCCAATGCGGTCTGCGAGGCCTGAGCGACTTGAGCCCTCAGGATCACCACCTCCTGCTTCAGAGCGGTGAACTCCCGGCTCTGATGCTGTTCCACAGCAGCGACCCGCTCCTCGAGCGTCGGGCCAAGGTCAACCCCAGGTAGACCATACCCGGGGCGTGTTCCCACCACCGCCGCCTCCGATCCGCGACGCCCGCGGCTCAACACGCTGGATTGTTGAGCGTATTGTGAACCATAGTATCCCTAAAACGAACCGGCAGCCGGTTCGTTATCGTATCCGTTGGAGAGGGTTTCCGCCCCACCAAGATACATGGGAGCCGCGGGACGTCCTGCTGCAGGACGTTCCGGAAATGGTGAGGGCGTACGAAGCTCACCACGCACTGCCGACGCGAAGGTAGTGCGAGCGCTGTGGTCGCCTACAGTGCCCGAAGCCCCACGATCGTCGCGTTCCTCGCGTGCCAAGAACTTGGCACGGAGATCCTTGAGACTCTCAGGTACACGAATCGTCGTGTACCCGTTTAGGTCGCGGTCGCTCAAGCGCACCGCACCCGGAAGACACAACGTGCACTGATGGCCTTCGGGCACAGCGCATGGAATACCAGCGCCCACAGAGGATCTGTGGAGCTGCTCCAGCCTCCCGCGCGTCGAGAATGTCTCAAAGCGCTCACGGTAAGCAGCCTGCTTCTTGTTGAAGTTCTCAACAAAAGCATTCCAACTTTGACAAAGTGCCTGCAACTCAGGCACTTTGCTGCGAGAAGAGGTCTTCTAGCTGGAGAAGTATCGGAGCTCGTAAAAGAGTCCGATATATTAATCGCGCCTTTGATTCGTTAACGGATCAAAGTGCTGCTCCTCCGCCACAGCATCATCGTGGATCCCGCTGCATACGTACAGCGGAATTTCATTTGGAGGTACGGTGTTGCCCACACGGTCTGCGATCTCTGACGCAGACGGCATCCACGGATCGCGCGCTGCCTGAGCAGTGCGCGGAGAACTTGAAGACGCCACCTCACGCGGGGAGCTTAAAGCCCCAGCAGCGGAGAGCGGAGTTTCGCTCTCGCCGCGCGAACGCTTCGAGCTTGAAGCGTCCGAGTCGTCTCCTTCACGAGGGCGTCTCGACCCGGCATGCGGGTCGAGACTATCACTGTCGATAGACTCCTTGCGCTTGTTGGAAGAGGCCTCGCCCTCTTCCATCTCTACGTCGTCACTCCCGTTGTCAACGGCGTCGTTGACTACAGAGGAACCTTCGAGGACAATCTCCGACTGGGTTGTCCCCGACGCGGCGTTTGCAGCGAGGGCGTCGCGCTTTGCCTGCTGGCGCTCATGGTACTGAGCAACAGAGAGGTTACCCTCTGTTGCGGCGGCGGTCATCTTCTGCGGCGAGCTCATTGCGGAATGAGCTCGAGTTTTCTTTCTCCCAACGTGAAGAATTGACGAATGGTCAATTTCCTGATTGGCGTGCCGTTGAGGGGGGGGGGGGGGTGTAACAGGGTTACACGCACAAGTGGCTACAGTCACTTGTAACTCTGACAGATACGACGTCTGTTAGAGGTTCGAAAGACTTTCTCGACCTTGGTGTAGACACACCAAAGGCTACATACATTTACGACCACCACAACGGGTGGTCCATAGAGACTTAGGACTGCTATTGGCTGAGAGCAGCATCTCTTAGCCAATGAGCGACATGCATAGCATTAGAATTCTGCCAACCAGCCGTTGGCAGATTCCTATCTTAGAATATTACATTTAGAGGAAGTCAGAAACATAATACAAAAATAGCAGTTCTCATTTTAACCCAAAAACATTATTTGGATCGTTTATTTAGATTAATCTATACTCGGAGGCCCGAGTATAATTAACTCTAAGTTAAACTAAGCTACGCTTCCTCACAGACACGCGCACACGCGTAAGCTAAAGTAGTGAGCCAAAGTAGGCCCATTACACGGGTGACTCGTGCTGCGGCATGGCCTCGCGCGGGGTGATGGCCGGTGAGGCCAGCATCAGCAGCAACAACAGGACCAGTGAGTGCGGCTGCAGCGACACTGCCGGCTGGCTGGTCTTGCGCAGATTGATGGTGGCCGAGAACTGCAAGACACAAGGCAAACATGTCATCACTATGAATGTCCTATGCTAACGTTATGTTTTGTGCAGTGTTGTTTATGATGTAGTAATGAACAAGTGCAAGAAAATACACGAAGAGGTTTACCCAAATATGATGTTGTTCATGTATTCATGTGATGTCGGTGGTATTGTCCCTTGATCAGCGAGCCTGGTGTGCGGTGAGTCGCTTTAACTTTTGAGTTTGTTCGTGTATTTTGCTATGTGTTACAGTAGCAGATCAACCTTGCGCGGGCTTCAGTCGAGTGAATGAAGGCAGTGCTGAAGGTGGCGTCGGATCGACAATGACACCTTGGTCAACGCGTTCATGGAATTGGGCGATGAACGCGTCGAGCTTACCAAGCTTCTGCATCTGACGAAGAGCCTTCAACGCCGAACCCGCTGCAACCGCGGAGGAGCCGTGCGATTTCAAGAAGGTGAGTGCGTTCTGCTGCGCTTTATCACCAAGCTCCAGGACCTCGCTTTTGTATGCAGGCGACGAAGTGTCAAGCGCGAAATCTTCAGGTAAGAAGAGCATAAGGTACCCTGCGATGTGCCTGTACTCGTACAACGCTGTCTTCTTTAAAACGCGACACCTACGCACGAGGCTCCGCTGTAAACCACTCGAACCAGATTGTCGACAACGACTGGGCTCCCTTCTTCTTCGGGCGTGTCGTCGTAGCTCCTATTGGCGGTGGTTGCTCGGGAGCAGGAAGTGTGGTGTCGGTGTTGGCTGATCGAGTTGCGGCTGTGTTGGTAAGTGCTTGCAGGTGTGCTTCAACAGCTAATATGCGCTCGTCGAGTCGTTTATTCTGCAGTATTAAGACGTCGATCTGATCGGACTGACGCTTGATGAGGTCAATCAACGCAGGCGACTGCTCCTCACCAGCACTAGCCGAAGCCTCTGATGCAGGAGGTGCCACGAATGCCTGGTTAATCGTCACGCTCCACACCAGCAGCTCGGACTCACCGATGGCTCGTTGTGCTAGGAGCTCACGTATCTTCGTGATAAGCGGGCGGCTTGGGCAGAGCACTAACATTTCGGGGTAATGCATGAACAGGGTAGCCGTAAGGGCATCAGCAACGTCGTCGTCGAGGTTCAAGGCACCGTCAGCGAACGCTATCGTGCTGAAAAAAAGAAGCTGCTGCATCTTGCGAGCGCGGACCAAGACTGGCGTGTCCAGAGCGGCTAGCGTTGGTAGCCGCCCGTCCTTGGGCTTCCAGCCACTCAGGACGCGGGACACCTTTTGGTCGGCTTGGGTTGTACCAAGCATGTACCCGAAGGCCTTGTTGACGCGGACCAACTTCCAGCCGCCACGTTCAAAAATCCAGTTCTCGGCCAAGGTACCGTCGTTGGCATGCATGGCTCCACCACATCAAAAGGAATGGGAGATAAGCTGCGGCGTCATGCGAATGCTACGCAAATCGGCGAGCTTCTTAACACTAACCAGCAACCTGTTGACGTATGCTTGTGCACCAGGAACTGGCTGCTTTGTCGAAGGTGCTTCAGATTCCTCCATAGAAGACTGGTCATCATCAACTTCCAGTAGTTCAATCAATGTAAGCTCCTGTACATCATCAATATCATCTGATCTGTGCTTTCTGGCGATGAACTGAGGGAGCATGCGCTGGCTTGGTGCCTTCTGCATAATCAGCGCCACAGCCAAAGCTTGCAGAGGACATGTCAAGCAATTTGTTGGGTCCTTGAATAAGGAGATGCCTTGTAGTAAAGCTGTTTTAACCCGCTTAAATCGAAGAAATAAGACGCCACCTAGCATAAATGCCCTCAGTGTTAAAATGATTCTGCTAAGCACATGATAATTAATTACTTACCAGGCAAGATGGATAGCTGGCTCTTCTCGACTGCTTCCGCGTCCGAGCTTCGACCGTAAAGGTACCACATCATCACGACTAGGGCCGCGTAGAGGTATTCACTCTCCGTCGCAGCCGTTGAGTACAGTAGAGACACCATAGCTTCTAAGTCTTCTTTAGAGCACGGGGGTGCTTTCTTCTCGTCGCCGAGCTCCTCTCGGTTACTACAATACTTACCCAGCCCTGATAGAATGTTTTGGAGCTGAGATTTAACCAAAGCTCCTTGCAGTAGGTACTTATCTACTAGCCAATTCTTGACGTTGCCATAGTATGCTATACACGTATTGGTTGCTATAACCTTTTCGGCTGATGTGGCTAACGAATATGCATACTTGTCTAGTATAATACGCAATACCTTACATGTCTTATCCCCGTCGATAAGGCGGTGTGTGGCTTCGTGTGTCAAGCTCTCCGCGGCCAGGAACATCGTGAACGAGTTGATCGCCGTCGTCCTGGCCTTCATGCTGTTGGCAGGAGCAAGCGATGCGATCGGCATGCTAGCCTGCCTGCTCTTTTCACTCTGAACGAAACACTGTGTACCGACCACTCAGGTTGGAAACTGAAGGATATTTTTGGGATATGCATTTATATAGACAGTTGTATGGCATTAAAAATATTCTGACAAAATTCCAACCAAATATGGTTGGAATGGTGGAAAAATACCCTACTTTAGCGAAGCTTCCGATTGGCCAAAATTCATCGGACTTAAGGCATTCATTGGGTGAGACTCGTCAAGTACGAGCGTTTTGGGATTGCAAAAAATAGCGGTTGGAACAGAGTGGATATTCATCCATATCGCGACGGTTCCGACATCCCTACATTTTCCGACAACTAGGGAATTGGTCAAAGCCAGGGCAAAATCGGAAATATCGTGAAAGCGGAAATCAAATCATATCTACGGTAATTTAGGTCTAGGGGGCCACTTGACCGATTTCTAGTCGACTTTCATGCGGCCCTAGGAAATCGCCTCTAGAGACCCCTGGGCCGGGAAAAACGACATTTCCACCCGCGAACTGGTTGGGGCCCCCGCTCTGCTCGCTCGATCATCTTTGCGAAAAACTGATCATTTTTTGTTTTGAGGCATTTTGGCCTCGGAACAATGTGCACCGGAGCCAAGTAAGTGAGGCCGGCATCCAGGCAGGGGGCCACAATTAGAAGCATTCCAGTAGCAGCTATTTCCTCCAAACGATTACCATTAGCTAATGCATTGTTTTTGGTCGCGTCCGGGAAGCCTTTTCATTCGAATCGCCCGCCAAGCCCTCGATCCAGAACGATGCACGCGAATCACGGCTCTTGAGCCAATCACGGCTCTTGACTGCGAGAGACGATGAAGAGAGGGTGATCCCTCCAGGAGTGACCATGAACTTCGCGGGGCACTTTCGGGACAGCAAGGAGACGGCCAAGTGGCTCAAGGCTTGGCCAAGAAGGGAGAATCCGAAGCTATCGTCGCTGCAAAACTGGGAGTGTCCAGCGTCCCGCAGGCCTTGAAAAGCCAACACGAAAACTGGCAGGCGCTTGTCAACTACGCGAAATGGCAAAAAAAGTATTTCGCACAGTTTGGTACGGGTTACCAAAATTTTAAAAGGACCCAGAATGAGGTGGCGCGCTGGGCTGTTGAAGGTCGAACCGACGAGTGGGTCGCTCGAGTGCTGGGAATGTCGAATCTGTCGAAGGACCGGTACAAGTTTCACCGGAACTACAAGGTATTCGAGATGTTTCAGGAGCAAAAGAAGGCCTTCGAGAATTTACTCAAGAGGCACGTGGCGAGGCGGAACGGTCGAGCATAAGTTTTCCTTTCGTCCGCCTATCAGCTAAATAGCGAGTTAGTTCAAGAGGAGCCACACATAAAACGAAAAGAGCGCTTTCCAGTCCAAAGCAACGCTCAAAGTTACTCAAACCTTCACGCTGATTCCACAAATTCACATTGCTTCCCGTTAGGCAAACCCCGCAGAACTGACTCGCCACACGCTGATCTTGGTTCATTGACTGAAGCGATAACTTCTTTCATTCGAACGCCGTCGGAGCAAAACATGGTGATCGCCTGAATGAAATGTGTACTAATACCGTAGAATTGTTCACCGTACCTCGTTCCTCGTGGTCATCGTAAGTTGCTTCAATCCATTGCAATCTCTTGCGGTGTACCATTTCTCCAGTACGAAGAGATGGGTGGATGCTCCAAGGACATCTCCAAGTAAGCTTACAAGGCGTTCGAGGGGCTGCATACGAGCCAACATAAAAAAAATTAAATCGTGTCTGGCGCCTTCGAACGTGCTAGTGGGCGTCATTTGCTACGCTGTAATGTATGCACCAACCCAGAAGGCTGTAGAATGGACGGCAGTGTGCCGTGAGCTGAAATCCGCACTGGATCCGTCCTTGAGTTTGCAGGTCACGGTATTTGGTCTCGATAGGGACAAGTTCAGCCGCATCGATGCCATCGAGTTGGACTGCAGCCCGAACTAGCGCGAGAGTGTTCTTAAAAATGGCACTTGAAATTTATCACGACGCTTGAATAGAAGAAGTTATCTGTGACCGTGAGGGAAATGGTCTCAATGAAAACGGAGAGCCCGATGGACCAAGATCAGCGGATGCTGCGGAGACTACTGAGCCAGTTCTTGCAGGAGCGGGGTTATGTATAACGCGGGCTAACTTTTGAGCAACACAACGAATTGAATCCGAGACACCTTGCACACGCTTTTCAGTTTGCGTAGTGAAAGTGAGTGCTCTGATGATGCCAGCTCTTGGGTGAAGCCGGGGGTAGCGAATCGAGGATGTGAGAGAGCACGGATGGGATTTTAGCGAAATACCTCTTTTTCAACTCGTGCACGGCCTTATACACTGAAAAATACCTTTGAGCATTGGTGGCGTTCTTGTACAAGGTTAGCTTCAGATTGATGTACTACTTACATTTATGTCCAAGCTGTCATTTCATCACCCCCAGGTCGTATCCACGCGTACGCTTTCAGGGATCGCAATCGTGATTTTCATTGACGCTGCGTCGCTGGCGTCCACATCGCGACGACAGCTCCAACCCGCAGAGCCCCCTCGCTTCGAATCGTTCTTCTCATGCAGCGACTCCAGTAGCATCAACAAGTTGGGCGGAGCATTTCTCTGCTCGGCGATATCGAGGATGGCACCGTAGCCGATAGCGCTTGCGTCGACCATACCCTGCACCACCGTGTTGCCCGCAGGAGCTGATGTTGGAGGCGTGGCGTTTGACGAGGTAGATGACCGGCTGGAGGAAGGTGCTGGATCCGTGCTGTTCGACCAAACAGAGTAACGAGATGGCGCGGGGGCTGGCGTCGAACTCCACGCTGATGAGGACGCGGGTGCTGACGCTGTAGCGAGCCTGCTGCTGTTACCGCCGGGGAACAGCGAAATGATCGTTGACTTAGCGCTCTTCGGCTGCACCAGCGCTTCCATGGTCTTCCAATCGCGCACCAGCGCACAGGTCACAAGAGCCGAGAAGAGGTAACGCTTCGGGTCAATGTTGAACTGCTCGCGGAGCGGGCCTGGCTGGCACGAGCTGTGCCGCGTGTGCGACTTTTTGGTGTCTCCGTGGTAAAGCATCGAGTAGCGGAGGAACTCGCCCACAGTCATGCGATGTACACATCTGCGCGGGAACGCCAACCAGCGCGGATCCAGCTCCAGGCGCTTCACATTGGCCGTGATAGCAGCGACCCACTGGCGCTGGACCTCGGGCGTGAATGCGTCCAGGATCAACTCCTCCGATCCCGCCGCGTCGCAAATCTTGACACAGTACGGCCGCAACGAAAACTTGCCGCGGTAGTCCAGCGGCTCGATCTGCATGCCTCTGGCGAGCGCCAAGCTGCCCTTCTTGTTGCCTTTGCCCATCTTGTCGTGGAACGGGTTCCTGGACTTCTCGAGCTTGTCGCCGTCGTGCTTGAAGTACACGATCTCCTTCTCGGTGAGCTGCATGTACCGCATCCTCCAGTTGGCCTGCAGGTTGCCCACGCCCCTGGCCCGCTTGTCCAGGTACGCCTCCATCCGGCAGACCTCGGGGGCCGTGCTGGCGTCCTCCTTCTCCGTCTGGATCTGCAGCTTGGACAGCGTCACATACTCGTGCAGCAGGTCGAGGATCCACACGGGCAGCCGGTGGCGGTAGAACTTGGCGATGTCCAGCACGTCGTCCGTCGTCCTGAGCGAGCGCTCCAGCTCGCGGTCGTAGAAGACCAGGGACAGCAGCATGGCCGCCAGCTCGCGGTACCGCTGCGTGGCGGCGTACAGGTCCAGCAGGTTCTTGAGCGCGCCGAGCGACACCGTCTCATTGGCCACCATGCACTGCTCCACCAGGTAGTGCACCCATTGGCTCAGCGCCAGGGGCAGCGCCGCCAGCTGCTTGCGGAACAGCGCGGGCGCCATCGTCTCGGACACGAAGAGCAGCACGTCCAGCATCACAGCCGCGCAGCCCGAGGCCTCCGCGGCCGCCAGCAGCGCGCACTTGTCCGCGAACGAGCGCAGCGGCAGGCGGTACAGGTCGCGGAAGTCGCGCCCGGCGTCGGCCGCCAGCTCGCCCTCGTCCAGCAGCCCCAGGTGCACGCACAGCAGCTGCGCCACGGCGTCCTCCGCCGCCGCCGACATGATACGTCAATTCGTCAAATTGAGCCTGATACCTCTGATGCAACCCCTTATTGTGGGTATGGCACACGAGTCGAACTTAGCACTAACTTCGCGTTGTGTGTCACGAGCGGCTGTGGCTGTAGAGAGCTGGAGTTGTAGATCGTAGTAGCCATGCCCGGAGCTGCGGACGCCAAGGCGCTGGCCGCGGCCATGCGGCAGACACTGAACCTGCCGGCCACGCGCTTCCCGATGCGGGCCAACGCGGCCGCGCGCGAGCCGCAGCTGCACGCGCGCTGCGTGTCGGCGGCCTACGCGGAGCAGGCGGCGGACGAGTCGCGGCCGCTCTTCGTGCTGCACGACGGCCCGCCCTTCGCCAACGGCAGCCTGCACATGGGCCACTTCCTGAACAAGACGCTCAAGGACGTGATCAACCGCTACCAGCTGCTGCGCGGCCGGCGCGTGCGCTACGTGCCCGGCTGGGACTGCCACGGGCTGCCCATCGAGCACAAGGCGCTGACGCTGCTGCAGCTCGAGGCCAAGGACCTGTCGCCCGCGCAGGTGCGCGCGCTGTCCCGGCAGCTGGCCCGCAAGGCCGTGCAGGAGCAGCAAAAGGACTTCGAGCGCTGGGGCGTCCTGGCCGACTGGAGCGGCGCCGACGCCGAGAGCGTCTACCTGACCATGGCCCCCGAGTACGAGGCCCGCCAGTACGACGTGCTCAAGAAGATGGTGCACGACGGCCTCATCTTCCGAGGCTTCAAGCCCGTGTACTGGTCGCCCAGCTCCCGCACGGCGCTGGCCGAGGCCGAGCTCGAGTACCAGGACGATCACGTGTCCCAGGCCGCCTACGTCAAGTTCCGCTTCGCCTCCATGGGTAGCAATGCTAGTAAGGAGATGGCCAGTGTGCTGGAGAAGTATGGAGACAAGTTGTCGGCCGTGGTCTGGACCACCACGCCCTGGACCATCCCGTCTAACCAGGCTCTGTGCGTCAATGCCGAGCTGGACTACGTTGTGGTGCGGCCCCGCGGCGCCGATTCGGACGCGTGCTATTTGATTGCGAGCGCGCTGCAGGAGAGCTTTGCGACGATGCTGAAGGGAGACGCCGAGACGGACGTGGAGCTTGAAGTGCTGGAGACGCTCAAGGGTGCCGATCTGGAAGGCGCGCACTTCACGCACCCGCTCGTGAACCGCGACGCGGTGGTGCTGGTGGGCGAGCACGTGACGACGGACGCTGGTACAGGTGTGGTGCACACGGCTCCGGGACACGGTCAGGACGATTACTTCGCCTGGATGGCTCACCACTCGAAACCGGGTGAGCACCCGGACATTTTGTGCCCTGTCGACGCTGACGGCTGCTTCACTGCCGAGGCGGGACAAGGACTCCAGGGTTTGAGTGTAGTGGGAGAAGGCAACACGGCGGTCATCGATCTGCTCAAGAGCTCTGGCAACCTGCTGTCAATCAACGAATACCATCACCGATACCCGTACGATTGGCGCACGAAGCAGCCTGTGATCCTTCGTGCTACGGCTCAGTGGTTCGCGCGACTGGATGCGCTTCACGCGCGCGGCAAGCGCGTGCTTGAAGACTCGGTGCAAATGGTGCCACCGAGTGCTCGTCGTCGTCTGGAGGCTACGCTGTCAAGCCGTCACGAATGGTGTATCTCCCGTCAGCGCGCGTGGGGCTTGCCTATCCCGGTGTTCTACCACAAGGTCACGGGCGAGCCGTTGATTACAGAAGAGAGCATCGAGCACCTCCAGAACATTGTCAAGTCGTACCGCGTTGAAGGTGAAGACGGCGAGGTCGAGCGTGAAGGAGCTGATTGCTGGTGGGATTTGTCAGTCCGTGAGTTGCTGCCCGAGTCGCTTCAGGACCAAGCCGACCAGTACGAGAAGGGCACCGATACGCTCGACGTGTGGTTCGACAGTGGCAGCAGCTGGCACGCGGTGCTGCCGAACCTGCTTGAGCCAAACGAGGAGGGACAGATTCGCGCCGACGTGTACCTGGAAGGTTCGGACCAGCACCGCGGGTGGTTCCAGTCGTCGCTTCTTACGTCTTTGGCCATGCAGGGCACGGCGCCGTACAAGAACGTCATCACTCACGGCTTCACGCTGGATGAGCGCGGCAGTAAGATGTCCAAGTCGCTGGGCAACACCATCGTGCCGAACGACTTCATTAACGGATGCACGATGCCTGTGCCCGTCGCCGATAAGGGCTCAAATGCCAACAAGAAGAAGAAGGCCAAGAAGAACAGTGACATGCCTCAAAAGTCTCCCAAGGTCAAGCAGATGAAGGTGCCGGCGTACGGCGTGGACGTACTTCGCTTCTGGGTGGCGACGACCGACTACACTGGCGACGTCAGCATCGGCCCTGGCGTCGTCGGCAAGGCGAGCGACGCGCTTCGCAAGGTCCGCAACACGGCCCGCTTCTTGCTCGGCAACCTACAGGACTTCGATCCGGCGCAGCACGCCGTCCCGCACGACAAGATGCAGTTCTCGCTGGACCGCTACATGCTGCACGAGCTGAACTCGCTGGCCGAGTCGGTGACGGCTGCGTACGACGCGTTCGCGTTTAACCGCGCGCAGCACGCGCTGTCGCACTTCATTTCGACCGACCTGTCGGCGTTCTACATGGAGGCGACTAAGGACCGGCTGTACTGCGATGCGGCGGACTCGCAGACTCGCCGCTCTGCGCAGACGGTGTTGTGGCTGTCGCTACAGGCGTTGACTCGCGCTCTTGCACCTGTGGTGCCTCATACGGCTGAAGATATTCGCCTTCACTGGGTATCGCAGCTACAAGGCGAAATTCCACTTGAGGAGGTTCCTGGTAGTGTCTTCCTCGAGGAAGGCTGGATGCCCAGCGCCGAGCAGTGGAAGAACGACGAGCTGGCCCGCGACTGGACTGCGATCCGCCAGCTGCGCTTCGAGGTGAACCGCGTCGTGGAGCAGATGCGTCAGGCAGGCCGCGTCGGCAGCCAGCTCGAGTGCAACGTGTACGTCGTGGCCTCCGAGTCCGATCCGCGCGTTGCCGACTTTTTGGCTCCGCTGGCCAACAGCTCGTCGGAGCTCGAGGACGTGCTGTTGTGTTCCAGCGTGGAGGTGGTGGCGTCCGAGACGGAGATCGAGAGCGCGGAGCAGTTCAAGGCCAGTTGCCAGCTGGCCATGGGCCCCAACGATGCGCCGATGGAAGTCAAGCTGGTGCTGACGCCAGCCAAGGGCCACAAGTGTCCGCGCTGCTGGAAGTACGCGCCCGAGGTGGATGCGGCCGAGACGCAGCTGTGTCTGCGCTGCGCCCAGGCCACGGACCTGCGCAGCGTCTCGGATCTGGCCAAGTCGCTGATCGAGGAGGACGCATAAAGGCCGTCAAGCCACTGGCTTGACGTCGCTCGTGGCTGCCACGAGCTGGGAACAGTGTTCCCGGAACACCACCCACTCGGTGGCGTGGTTCGCTAGCATCTTGTATGTAAGGCGATCGTAATAGAGCAACAATGTGCATATCGATTAGGTATTTTTCTGGTAGAACATTTGTGTGTGTTTTCTAGATCAGCGCAAATTTTCGGCCTAAAACTGAAGTGTCATGGTATCGTTTGGACCTCACCTCAAATTCTGAAGCGTGTTGTGCCAATATTGGGGCCTAATCTGGCATCGTTACCTCCATCCGTGATCTCTCACATCTCGAGTTCGATACCTCGGCTTCACGAAGAACTGGCACCAACAGAACGCTCGCTCCCACTACGCACGAACTCGAAATGTTTGATTATCAGTGGCAATAATGAGGGAAATGGTCTCAATGAAAACGGAGAGCTCGATGGACCAAGATCAGCGGATGCTGTTGTCTACTGAACCAGTTCTTGCAGGAGCGGGGTTACGTGTAACGCGGGTTAACGTTTGAGCAACACAACATATCGACTCTATGAAATGTCACTTTTCCGTCCAAAGACCAACTCTCAAATTTTCCCAAGCCTCCCCACCGAGAGCCCACAAATTCACGTAACGTTAGATTCCCGTTAGACAAACCGCACCTCTGCAGATCTGACCCACTACACGCTGAGCTTGGACCCACTTTCAGCATAACTTCTTCCATTCGACTGAGTTTAGGGACTAAACACAGTAATGCATTGTGTTCTACCGCGGAATTGTTTTATCTCGTTCCTCGTGGACAGAGTATGTTGCTAACATTAAAAAAATGTATCGTATGCCTTCTTGACCTGCTACTTTGCACCATTTGCTACGGTGCATCGAGCCAAAAGGCTGCGAGGCAAGAATGAACGATAAGGCTTTCCGGTCCAGAGACTAACGTTTCATTGGAGATTGAACACCAAGTTTCGTCTATGCTTGGTCCCTCTCGAACTAATTTGCTGGTTAGCTGATAGGTGCGCGAGAGTAATGCTCATGCTGCAGGTTCCGCCTCGCTGCGTGCTTCTGGAGTAAATCCGCGAACTCCTTCTTTTGCTTCTGAAACATCTCGAACGCCTTGTAATTCCGGTGAAACTTGTACCGGTCCTTCGACAGATTCGACATTCCCAGCACTCGAGCGACCCACTCGTCGGTTCGACCTTCAACAGCCCAGCGCGCCACCTCATTCTGGGTCCTTTTAAAATTTTGGTAACCCGTACCAAGCTGTGCGAAATACTTTTTTTGCCATTTCGCGTAGTTGACAAGCGCCTGCCAGTTTTCGTGTTGGCTTTTCAAGGCCTGCGGGACGCTGGACACTCCCAGTTTTGCAGCGACGATAGCTTCGGATTCTCCCTTCTTGGCCCAAGCCTTGAGCCACTTGGCCGTCTCCTTGCTGTCGCGAAAGTGCCCCGCGAAGTTCATGGTCACTCCTGGAGGGATCACCCTCTCTTCATCGTCTCTCGCAGTCCTCAAGAGCCGTGATTCGCGTGCATCGTTCTAGCTTGGGCGACGATTCGAATGAAAAGGCTTCACTCGACGCGAACAGCAGGTCGGCAGCAAGTACCAAAAGAGAGGAAACACGCATTCCTGGAGTAGAAGTGGGAGGCTGAAAAGTAAATTGCGGACTGAACCGTCGGTGAGCATCAGAAGGCGGCACTCCTAACAGTGACAAAGCTTGAGAACACCAGATGTTGTACATACCACATGGTACAAGATATTGCTGGCAAGTCACAATACTTAAGTAGTTTCAGTTTTGTAATTTTTTAAATTTACCAAACTGCTTGCTTCGAGCAACCTAAGCCTGATAAATCAGAGGTATGCAGTTTTTGCATGCATTCGCGTCTGCACATGGATTAGTTTCCACCATGTATATATACGGTCAAGCTCGTGCCTTCGACATTGGGCAGGGCCGCCGATTATGGCATTTATATTTATGATGACAGAATCGGCAAATAAATAATGTCGCTTGCAAGAAAACCCCACTGCATAAATAATGACATGAGTACCATCCCTACATAAATAGTAGAGGATGTTAGCAACTTCGTAAATAACGACTCAAATTTACGGTCAACATTTTTATATGTTTAGTTAAAACGAAATCGTCGACAGTGTTAGCATACACGAGATCCCTGCATCCGATGCCATGCTGCTTCGCGCTCTGAGCGCCCCGAGTGACTGATCATCCCAGGCGTTCGAGGCTCAACGAGCACAGCGATGCGTACTGCAAGAGGTACTTCCGCTTCACCGAGGATGCGATTCGCGCGCTCAGCGCAGCACTACATTTCTCGACGTCATCACCCGCGATAGAATCAAACGCTACAGTATCGAGGCGCTGTGCATCTTCTTAGGTTGACATCCCCAAACCAATAGTACGATCAGGAACTCGGATATCACTACTCTAAGCAACATATTCTACTTTATGCTGCTCTTTGTGGTCAATGGCTGCCTACTCTACTTCGACGCGCCGTTCAGACGCGCAGCCGAATCGTCGTCATCCTCGTGTGCCTCGCTGGGAGAGGCAAGGACGTCACACGGATTAGGGGGGGGGGGGCACTTGAGACTGGATGAGGTGGTTCGAGTGACTCGAACCACCGCGACTCGAATCGAGTCGGGGCGCTACATGTACCTGTAAGCGCCATGGGGCCATGGTGCTCGAGGGGGAGATGCAGGATGAGAGTAACGAGCCAATCAAGGCTTGTAGACTCGTGAAAAAGCCTTACGAGTTTCTCGGGAGATTCCGTACTAACACGACGCCCCTCTTACGAGTTCGGGAACATAGACAGCGGTGGTCGAGTGTCTTTGTCCCCAACTCCTAAAATACCAATTTGCTAACATCCTCTAATGGTGCTGTGCAAGTGCGCAACTTTGTATTAACGTAGCTACGCAGACCATCTACAGTACCTACGTTCCAATAGCTCGCGTTCTGACGCAGGAACAAAATTTGTTCCAGCGTAATCGGGTGCAGTCCGTTGCGCTCGTGCCCAAGCGTGATGCGGGCAACACTGAAGAACCGCTCGACGACATTGGACGTCGGAGGGATACTGCGAAGCAGTTTATACTGGTGCTGGTGCTGAATGAGACGTCTGCGTTTCTGCAAACGCTCCACGAAGGAGCCTTGAGAGCACGGTTGTAAAAGTTCGGTTTTTGCTTAATGGAACTATGGGTAAATCCAGCATATTTGGGTTTTGCAGGGGTTTTTTTTGCCTATAATGCAGAGTTAAAGTGCAAATATTAGGACAAACAGTCCAATAGTTGGCCAAGGATAAATTATTTTATGATTTTGAGACCAAACGAGCCAATCAGAAGCCTATATTGTCGATTTTTTTGAAAAATAGAAAACCCACCTTCTTTCACCCAATCCCCCAGATTCAATCACACGCCCAACTTTGTCGAAAAAGGTGGGCTTTTAACAACACTGCTTGAGAGTCGTCGTCAGCCGATAGATCCGGTGTTTTTAACCCTATCGTGATCAAAAGGATACTTGAAGTATCTTTTAGTTCGGGCAATACTGGAATGAAGATATTTTACCGTCGCATTTGGAGAAGCCTACGAACCGTCGTCTAAGTTCCCACCAATAACCTAGCTGTAAAAGGTCTATCAGTAACGGCCAAACCTCACGAATTTCCATCACACTATTATGTCTCTTGGAGTACGTACTTTTATGGCTGCTATTTAGCACTGGCGCCAGCGAACCAGCGTTGAGTGCTACCAGTAAGCCATCACGAGCGTGGCCATCACGATGCCACAAGCAAGGTCGGCAAACTGGGCATGCCAGAAGAGTGAGCATGCACATATAATTCATAGCTAGACGTCTACGATGCAAAAGGAAGAAAGTGCCGAGCCGTTATTTATTCGTCGGGAAGTTTCGCCGTAGGAAGAACATCGTATGCTAGACCTTCGGGTAGCTTCTGTAACCAGCTAGGCGTACGATGATAGGTACATCTAGCGCAGCGGCATATTGCATCCTTGGCATGAAAAGATAGCAAGTCAGCCATTTCAAGAAGCTTTGCTACCTTCGGCCCAATCTTCTCCAGCTTCTCGAGCTCCTCCTTTCCGACGAAGTCTGCTGGTTGGAACCTCTTGATGCCGCCGTTGGGGTTGCGACCAGGTACGCATTCTTGTGGCGTACTGAGGAAAACGCGGTTCTCGTAGATATAGTGCGAGAGAAACCAATCTCGGTCCTCCGGTGTCATATCTTTTTGATCCTTACCTCGGACAGGTCCATGCAGTTCTCAAGCCAATACATCAACCATATCACGTTGTGTATGTTTTGCTCTTCCATGCGATGAAGGTTAGACTCGCGAAACATCGCGTGCATTTCAGAAATGGGCAGTATGTCGGCAAAGTCATCTATGTCGGAGCTCGATCCAAAGCGGGGTTCAAACACCTTGTACACAAAGGTAAGATATCGACGGCCATTATTACTGAAAAGCCAAACGAAGACTTACTCGATTCTGCGCCGGCACAAACACAGGAAGGAGTGTGTCAAATGTGAGCGTCGGTGCGGAAAGTTCCTGTGTCTGGTTGTTGTCCTTCTCCATACTTATTGGTGCTCTGCTGGTGACCGCGAAGATTTCGAGATGAGGAGAAGGGTCGCGCTCGCACGGCCAGAGCATGCTCCCAGGCCCAAGATCGCATGACCCAATATCGCTAGAAAGGTCGCGATCGTTGGGCTCGCAGTGCTCGCAAAGGCTAGAACTATCTATCTCACGTGGGTTGATCGAGAAGAGCCCCCCATGCCGATCGCCAGAAAACCCCAGGGATCTGAAGGTGAGGTGCCGTGCTGAAAGCCTATCACTACATTCAATGTGATGTCGAGGACTACGACTGTATTGATAAAGGTACAAATAATATATTGCAAGTCGCAAGGCAAATCGTGCTCACGACCTGAACTAATCCACGGATGGTGTTAGCATTAGCAGCGCCCGCCGGTGTAGCCTTAGCGTCGTGCGTTGTGCCCCCGCCCCGAAAAGCCTTCCCTACCCTCTGTGTCTCCCACAAATGGTACCCTATGTAATGGGCATATCAGGCACAGTAGTAAGCTAAGTGGTAAGTATAGTTTTACGCCTGGGTTTAGTGAGACCGCTGCCGTGTGTAAAACTATACTCATACTTACCACTTATTAGTTCCTCCGATCGACACACGTTAGCACCTAAATTTTGTTAAACCTGTTGTTGATGGCTTGTAGCTTACTACTGCCCATTACATAGGGTACCATTGTGAGGAAGAATTTGCGTTAGATTGATCGATAATAGTCGCCACGGCTCCGACCGTTCTTACTCATTCCACCAATAGACTCAGTACATGATATTTTCTGTGTCTTCTTTGTCCCGGTTGCTACGGTTGCAGGCGTCGTCACGACCGGCACGCCAACGTGCGGAACCCAATAACAAGGAGACTATCTCACCTTAGCGTTGGCTAATTTCATGTGAGGAGCTACATACTACATTCAAACACCACCAATGGACACCCGACCGCCTAAAGCTCTGCTGTACCGCCAGTACTACCTGCCCAATTTACGGCGCTGGGACAGAATTGATCGAGATAGGCATGAGGTAGAGCATGGCTGCAGTGCATTGGCGACGCTGCCAGGCCACCCAATCCCTGAAAAACTACAGCTTACTTGTATATACTTTGTCAATTGGTGCGTGCATTGGCACCCGCGGGGCATCACTACCATTTACCGTAAATGTAAACGATGCTACTACTAATACCTGGCTTCATCACCGGCATGACCAGCGTGGCGGTCGCCGTGGGCACTGGTGCAGTGCTGTATCCATTTGCCATCGCATGAATTACCATGCCAAAACACCAGCTCCTAATACATACGTCTTGTTACATAGTATTGATGCGTCTTCCTTTCTCCCTCGACTTATCGACCCAAGTGCGACAAACTTCGACTTCAAGTGAGCGAGTTATCTAGCCGTCTCGGACGACTTACTCGTGGTTGAAGTCAAAGTAAGCTTGCTCTAGCTGAAGCGCGAGGTTTTTTCCTTGGGCTCGCTTTAGCCAATCACGCGTCGACCGCGTAAAATTCCGCCAATGACAGTACGACCGAAATACACGGCTTCGTATGATTGGGTAGCGCGTAGATCCCGCCAAAAATCCTCCCTGTGTCGCGCCGTGCGGCGCGCGTTTTATAAACTCGCAGTTGGAACTCATTTTCCGATTTGCGTGAAGCCGAGCAACCCACCTATCTGGGCCGTCGAGGTGCTGCTGCTCACAATGCCGCCAGCCTCACCAGCACAAGAGTCGCATCGAGGCCACGCTGGCCAACGGCGCCGCTACCCGACCCCATCAACTGCGACACGACGACGCTGGCCCATAAGAGCCGACGACGGGACTGAATGGGCGACCTGCTGCCCGATTGTCCGCCGGCGTCAAGTTCGGCTCGGCCACTGAGGCGTCGGCGGATACACGGGTGGGACGCTAATGACGACGTCAAGCGTAACGCGGCCTCGGAAGGATCGGCGAACACATGAGCAGCACGCTGGCCGGCCACACCGTGGACGAAACGGCTACGGGAGACACAGAGGGTAGGGAAGGCTTTTCGGGGCGGGGGCACAACGCACGACGCTAAGGCTACACCGGCGGGCGCTGCTAATGCTAACACCATCCGTGGATTAGTTCAGGTCGTGAGCACGATTTGCCTTGCGACTTGCAATATATTATTTGTACCTTTATCAATACAGTCGTAGTCCTCGACATCACATTGAATGTAGTGATAGGCTTTCAGCACGGCACCTCACCTTCAGATCCCTGGGGTTTTCTGGCGATCGGCATGGGGGGCTCTTCTCGATCAACCCACGTGAGATAGATAGTTCTAGCCTTTGCGAGCTCTGCGAGCCCCCTTTCATGATGCTAAGATTCCACGAGCCCATACAATTGCCAGTGCAAGGTCATTTGACCACCTTCTTAGCTCCACAAGAGGTGAATGTCGGGGAAACGGAAGTATCTCGATCAATGCTCTAGCGAGCGGACTTCTAAGTGCCGGCAGCCAGTACAAGCCACGCACTCAGTTGGCCATGCCCCAGCTGACCTCCGTACGGAATAGTTAGGCGCATACATTGTACGTTCGGGGCGGTAACAGTGATGTGTTGGTGTGATTTAGATGTAGATTTGGCTTCCGATCGAGTAATGTTCGGAGCTGTGTGGCGAGTGCTACGTGAAGCTGGCTGGACATCCAAACGTCCAAGTCGGAACAGCCTTTGTGATCTGCATCGTTACATCGCTCCAAACGGTGACGTGGACAGCGTGGAAAGTAAGGACTTCTTTCTAGGAGAACGGTCTCTTTTGGAGTACTACAGGAGCACGTGCAGTGCGCAAAGTCAGTCAAGTGCTATGGAGCGTTCTGGCGTGGTGAAGGGCGGCAGAATTGAAGCTGTTGACATTGCAGTAAGTTCGCAAACCACTACTGCACGCGCTCCTGCTAGTCCTGCAGGTGCTTCGAGCTGTCAGATTGTTTCCCACCGAAAAACACGACTGCAGCAAGTGAACAAACAAGATGTGCAGTGTGCACGGATGAGTGTAGCACTGAGTGCAGTTGCACATGGTGCAAAAAGTTTATTCACCACTTCTGCTCGCATGATGTATGCGCGTCGCTAAGCCTTCCTGCTCCCGGGGGTGGACTTCTCGAAGATTTTGGAGATAGTAGCTATTGTAGCAAATGGTGCTACAAAAAGGCTACGGAAGTGAACTTGGGCACAACTGGAGCTGGTGAGCGAAACCTGCATCAGGTATCCAGTACCCGAGAAAACGCCGCCTCTGCATCTGGACCGTCGGTGATGGCACCGTTAGCTCCGTCCGCTACGATATCGAACGCGACAGCGACATCGAAACCGAGACGACGCATCAACTCTCGACCGAAAGGGCCAACCCGTTCAACCTCAAGCGTGACACAAGTTGCCAAGTCAAGCAAGAAAGGGAAGGCCCCCCTGCAGAAGCACGCTAAGAGGAAGACTAAGGCTACAGCAATGAGAGCAGAACTGATTCGTAGAGCCCACGCAGCAGCTGACAAATTTGTCGGCGCTAGTGTGGCGTTTGCCCCAGCTGACGAGGAGTGGATGTCGCTGAGCTTTTACCAGGGCGTTGGCTCTACCTATCTGATAGGTGTTGTGACCCGCTACAGCTTAGCCACCGAGAAAAACAGCGACAACATCGGTGTACCTGTGGCCATGTTCGAGGTACAATGGACTTGCACTAGTTTTCAAGGCAAGGACCATGTTCATACCGTACCTGAAGACATTATTCTCCGGGGAATTCGCCAGTTTGCAAAAGCACATCAAGGAGAGTTACAATTTGGAGAGTCCTGGACGCAGCTGTGCAGCATGATTCCAAAACTGTCAAACATTCCAGCACTTACTGAGGAATTTGAGGAGATGGATGAGGAAAACTACCGTGAGTGGTCAGCCTTTCGTGGTCGAAAAGAGTTGCAAATCGCATTGAGCCCTGACGAGGTTGAGCAAATTGAATCCATGTCGTTTTCACCTACCGCATCGTTGGGACAGCCGCCGAGTTTATTCAGCCATCCTGATGGATCGTCGACTACGAAACTACGCCAGGAGAGCCAGCATCTATTCGGTCACTCAGCAACCTCGGCTTTCTTTGCCTTTTTCCCGCTGTCGTTTTGGAATCAAGTCGTAGTTTTGTACGAACGAATATGCAGACGCCGCTGGTAGCCCTTCAGCGAGGCCAGTAACGATTGATGAGATGATGAAATTCTTGGGCATTCTGTGGTACATGACCTTGGTCGACAAAGGTGAGATGAACTATTGGGTTGACGACGAGGAAGCAAGTATTTCCCCTGGTGATCGCGCGATTGGGTTGGGGTCGATTATGACGTGGCGTCGATTCCTCTACATTCGCCGGAATTTGAGTTTTCGTTCAGGTGTTACCACCGCTGACCTGCAACGAGTCCCTGCTGCTAGAATACGGCCTCTTATCAGCATTCTCAAATCGCGGTGCTTGCGTCATGTGGACGTTGGTCGAAATGTGGCTGTTGACGAGGCTAGTATTGCTTGCCAGTCGCGATATGCACGACACATCATCGTATTCAACCCGCAGAAGCCTACAGGAAAGTATCACTTCAAGTTGTACGCTTGCTGCTGTTCAACGTCGTGGTACATGGTTAGCTTCAAGCTGCACTGCTCCAGCGATCTAGTAGACAGACTGGATGGTGTAGTTCCCCACCCAGAAATTCATCGGCACGCTGATCTCACTGCGAAGTCATCGGAAATTCGCTCCCATGTCATGGAAGTCACGGCGTCCTTGAAAGGCTCTAGCAGGATCGTAAACACAGACAACTTTTACACCTCCTGTTTGCTGTTGGAGAGTCTAAGGACGGTGGGCCTCTATGGGCGTGGCACAGTGCGCTCATCTAGCAAGCATTTCCCCCATTTCACGATGGTTCGAAAGAAAGATGATAAATCTCGAGGCTACATGAAGCAAGGTGTTTGCCTAGAAAAGCACATTGTCGCGGCGAGTTGGGTGGATGGATCTATCGTGAATGTCGTCTCGAATGCTGATGCGTCTAGTACATCTGCGGTCTATCGTCGACTCAAAGATACACCAGTTGAATTCACTGCACCTACCTGTATCGGTGAATACAACAAGGCTATGCAAGGCGTCGACCGGGTTGATCAGTTGCGCGCGCGGTTTTCATTAGCCGATGGCCACAGCTTCCAGAAGTGGCACAAAAAACTCGCAATGGCCATGATCAACATTGCTAGGTGTAATGCCTATATTTGCCATGGCCTAGCGCGTGATCCCAGCGGTGAGGGTTCTTCGCCAGATCTCAACGATCAAGCAAGCTCCAAGTCTCGTGATAGCCATCGATCATTCGTGGTGTCACTAGTACGAGAGTTATTCAACGGGGACTGGAAGAAGTGCATCAATACTGACTGCGGTATGGTGTATGCTACCAGCACTGCAGAGGCGCCAGCGCCATCCCAAGCACCAAATCCACCAGTGTCTTCAGCTCAAGCTGATCCACCACAGATGTGCGTCGAAAAGGAATCATGGATGGTGCTAAAAGGGAGAAGCCGCTCGAAACGCAAATGCACAGTTTGCAAATTTGAATGCAGAACTCCCACCCAAAAGACCGATTACTGCGAAAAGCATGGAGTTGCTCTGTGCAAGCGTTCATACCCCATCGACCCAGCAAAACCGCATCTGTGTCAGCAAGAATCTTGGACGTGCTGGCAGAAATATCACCTATTTTACCTGCCCAAGCAAGTCTACACAATTGACGGCAACTTGAAACGGACGTCTTCGATTTATAAAGCGCAGCATCAGTTCTTGAAAGAGCGCCGGGAACAGTAGGAAGCGAATGGCCATGAAGCGTAGTTGTAACAGTCTATCTCATTACATATGCTAACCATCACAAAACCACAGCTTTGTCATTACAGTGCGATAAGCTTGAGGTCCGGCGAAAACAATTCATGTGCTCATCTTCGTCAACTTGAAGGTCACTTGCACAGCCTCCTGTAAACGACAAAGGCACAACACACGAAGCCACAAAAACGTATCAGTAGAGCGATAGCTTTTTATCTTTCCAACAGTCAGCTTACCATCCTGGATCAAATCAACTCCGTCACTTGGAAGCACTGTGCGATGCAGCGTGCGTGTCTGCCTTCCCTCTGGTGTCATCATCATCCGTCTTCCACCTCGTATGTGTTTGAGTCAGCGTTGATCTTGCCGATGTCAGTCATGATCCACACGTCGTGGCTGCGAGTCACTTTGGCTGCAAAATGGCAGCCGATTGCAGTATATATCCACCATTCCCGGCACCATCATGTCGACGTAGTCGCCCTTCCCACCCGCCGCTGCAGGGTCAGTAGCCAACAATCAACGGGTGTCGATACTGCAGCTGGAGCGGCCACTTCATGTTGCTGTCGGCCGCTCCGCAATCGAAGCCTCGCATGTCGGCGGTCACGGGCAGCAGCACGCGGGCATCGCCCAACCGCCAGGGACGTCTCGGCCAGAAGGACGAACGTTGTGCCGGCGATGGCTGCCTGCTCGGCCGGTGGGAGGACCACGGGGAGGTCGATGAAGGACACCTGGGCGGAGGAGGATCTGCTAGAGCAGCGAGGCCACGAACGAGGCGTTCTCGAATGACTGGAGACACAGCAGGCGGAGCGTAGCAGCACAAACGCTCCGAGGCGCACGGGCAGTGAGGCAGGAGAGGGCGACAACGATGAGAACAGCAGCGGTAGTTTCTTGCTCTCTGGATGTTTATCGAGCCTGTGATAAGCAGCGTCGGGCGTCGGCAATCAACAACAGCAAAACAGTAATCCATCATCAGCACAACAGGATACCACCACCACAAGCGTCCGCTAGCGTTGGAAAACTCACGAAAAAAGAGTCCAGGATTGTCTTCTGCAGCACGTGCTCCGAGCGGTGGTTGTATTCCATCGGTATATAATGTCGTCCTACATCAAACACACCCGTCAGTCCACGTCCAAAGGCAAAAAGTATGCTACCTCCCGTCTTACCGTCTCCTTCATGACCCTTCAGAGCGCGCCGCCAGGGCCGAGGTGGCCAGAAACATTGGGCGTTATGACGATTCCCTCGCCACCGCTCGTGAGCGTGAACTTGTCCAAGTACTTGAGCTGCATGAAGTGCTCGAAGACGACGTCCAAGTCGTCCGGCGAGAAGAGCGAGAAGTCGCTGTTGAGCTTAGTCATTGCCTGGAAGGCGCCATACAGTGGAATCTGCCCCATGCGGTGCATCGGCCGCATGCCGTAGACGGGCGCGTTAAGCCCCAGCTTGCGATGGCGTTGAGCAGCGCCCCCATGCGCGCCAGGTCGATGCGGCCCACCACGCGCTGCAGCGGCTTGAGCAGCTCCACGTCGTACTCGTCCGTCCAGTCCCAGTACAGCAGGATGCACACCTCGTCCACCTCAAGCAGGTACGCGCGCGAATACACCCTACACAGTGCCGTGAACATGCAAGGCTTCCCCGGTGATCCCCACGGTACTGCTCATGCTGCAATTGTTGCGGTAGGATCCCCACGGTACTGGTCATACTGCTATTTTTGCGTCTTATCTGCCAATCAAAACGTATCCGTGCAATGGTACCTGATGTATTCTTTTTATCGAAAGGGCGCATAGAACCTATCTCTTTTTATATATTCACGAAGAAACCTCTGTCATCTTATAAGCTAGAAGGGTACTTCAAGTACCCTTTTAGCGCTCTAAACTTGAAGTTTGTATGGTGTCTCTTCAAACAGAAATGTATGGCGATAATGAAAGGGTTAATGTAAAAACGATGATACTTAGTAGGATTCCAGATAAAAAATATGATATTAAGTAGGGTATAATTTGTAGTCATAAATTATGACATTGGGTAGATTCGCTGCATAAATTATGATATTGATATGTGCTAGGTATTCAGTCCACAATAAATTTATTTATGTTATGATGGCCCATTATTTTTATGGTCATGCTATTTTCGGCGGCCCTGACATTGGGAGGTTATCAGCCTTCTAAAAAGGAATATATACATATATATAAGTGCGGTAGAGTGAAATCGAAAGCGGTTGGTTTCTTGCTTTCACCGGGAATGCACTGTGAAGCTGTAGGTCGCTCGAGGGTAAATTGAAAAGTGATATTCGCAGTGGAAACTAAGCCATGTGCAGACGCGAAGTGCATGCAAAAGTGCAAAAGTTTTTACTAAGCACATCTGAGTTATCAGGCTTGGCTTGCTCGGGTCAAGCAGTTTGATTGTTTAATTTAAAATTGCAGAACTGCACTTTCTCCGTGCACTTTTGTATCCTAGACTAGCTACTCACTTCATGCCCACCCGTTGCAGTATGCAATTTGCGAGTCGGGGGATTTGATCGGGCTTGCCTATACTCAATTGCAGTCTTGTCAACCACGTGACGGGATCCCAAAAAGTAAATCTGGAGCTGTATCCTTTTTACCAGTTGCCCGTCCAGCAATCCGTCTCGTAAACTATCCATAATCATAAATTACGGCTTCCGTAATTAACTAACGCATTGCGTTGACGGGATAATATCCCAAAACGTATTGTGGCTTTCATCCGTTTTGACAAATCGGGTGGTCCAAGATCCGATATATCGGGCCCGATTTGCAGGAGGGCTCCGATTTAGCAGGAAGGGCTGAGGGAAGCAAACTATATCTAGCCCGATTTGCGCCTGGGGGCTGCGAGTTGCGAAGTAGGGGCCAGAAATGCCGCTTTTTGCCGGCAAAAGGGACCGCCGCGAAAACATGTCTGGGGCCCTCTCAGATCGGCGTGGCACGAAGTTGTAGCGGCCGTAGATGTTCACACAGGTGATTTAGATGGCCATAGTGCTATGAAGTGGCTATATACAGTGTACTATTGTCCCCAATGTCTTGCAGTTCTAATGCGTCATGAGAGGTGGGGAGGTATGTCCAACTGGGAATGCCTCCCCTTTGAGCCTTATGCTACTAACTCAGGTCAGATATAGCTAAACAAAACCGTGCTTTGCGCGGGGAAGCTCTGGATTTTCGAGCCTTTTTTCATTTTTTATTTACACGTATTGTGCTTTGCAGACTTTTGGTACTTCGGACTGTAACAGAAGCGCTGCTCGAGCCTCTTCGAGCCTCTTCGCGCAAGATATCTCTCAGCTCACTAAAAGCAAACAAAAAGCAAATAGCTTACTTCTGGTTTTGTGTAAGCTAGTGTATGTTGAGAGCTGCACCCGCTTATGAGATGCACCTACATCGACCAATCATATGAAGCGATCTACATATTTTTATCCAATCAGACCAATTATTATACCCGGCAAATAAGATATAACCACAATATTACAGTTGTGACTTATACAACATGTTGAATTTTGTATATGATACTTTTTAAGTACGAATACAGATCAACATTACCGGGGTGAACATAGGGTGCAGCTCTCTACATGCGAATTGCGGTACAGCCCCTGTTCACCTGTCATGAGCCCTGTTCTGCTGTTGCTTTCTGTTTAACCTGCTACTTTCTTCATGGATTTCTCCTGAGATGTGTGTGGACTGTGGATTACACTCCCCAGACCCCAGCAATAAATCTTACTCCTAGTTGTGGGGGCAGGCCGATTTGTATGAATGCTCGGCAATGGTTTCCGCCTCTGGAAATTCCGGGCGGCCCTAATTTGTGAGTACAGTAGGGTTTTCTTCGGCTACGTGCCCTTGCAATCGCTCACTACCTCCTGCTACATGAATTTACTTAAGTACAGCGCTATTGTTTTACTTCTGTATCCTACGGATCCTCAATAGCAAAGAGCAGTCCATTTGCAAGTTACTAGCTATGGGAGTAACCGATGTACGTTTGACTGAAGTGCTTTGGATGAAGTGGTTTTGAATTATCGAAGCGAATCGCAGCTTGAGCCCGCAACTCGCGTTTAATCTAAAATACTACGTAGTATTTGTTGGAAAACAACAGCAGACCAGGGTCCTCGACAGGTCAGTAGGAGCTGTACGGTACCAGCAGCTCGACAGTGCTGGAACAACAGGTATTAATTATTTTACGCGCTGTACGTGCTGTTGGCGTAGAAGGACGACTCGGCGTAGTACTGCGAGTACTGGTTGTCAGCGTGGGCTGGTGTTGGTCTGTGCCATGGGCACCAACGACATGTCGGAGTGCGCAAGCAGGCCATTCGACTCTGCGGCGTCAAGTAGTCGTCGTTGTACGGCTGGCTTAGCCGTAATGGTGGCCGTATTGGTCCCGGTTGTACTGACCGCTGAGGTGGGGCTGCTGGGGGTTCGGGTAGTCGTCGTCGTCGCTGTGCTGCTTGGTGCACATGTTGTCGTTCTCCTGTTTGTTGGCGTTCAGCGTGGATGTCTGGGCGGTTCTCTTGCTCGCGTCGTGACGGGCATCGGGCACGGGAGTAGTCTGCTTGAGGTAGGGTGACCTAGTGAGGGTGCTCTTCTTCTTCTTGGGACAGTAGTAGTAGTAGAATCCCCTGACGCGTCGAGAGACTTTCTCCGATCCATATTCATCGCCAACGCATATGCCGATGCCGACTCTTCTCGGCGGCGGATGAATCAATCAAAGCCTTTGATTAGCCGAGTAAAAACACCACCCGCGCATACAAAAACCAAGCTGCTGATGGTTTTTACTCGAAGGGCGCCTGAAACTGTCACCCGGTGACAGCTCTGAGGGGTCGCCGTAACAAAAGTAGGGAAACCTGCTGGCTTTCCGCGCAGTCGCATGGCTTTTATTTCTATTTGGATGAGTTCACCTTTCTAAACCATAGTGAGCTCAAGTGAGCCCGGAATCCATATTTGCGCGCCCCCTTGATTGGCTGCTGACGGGTCGGCAACGCAACTTAAGTAAGGAAGTTTCCGCGACCGCACGTTACCGCTCAAGTTTAATGTCGGTGGTGCGATGCTATGTCGAGTGCGGAGCGCATGAACTTGAGCGGGAGAGTACCGTTGTTGCCTGTTCAAGTAGGCAAAAGTATCGAGTACCTAACCTGGGAAATGTTGACACGAGTCTACGTTTCTAAATTCTGTCGCAGATTTTTTTTCGCTGTCCCATGCGAGTCGCCAAGTATAGCGGGGGCAAGTGAGCGCGATGTGGTGTAGATGTTTTTTACGTTAGAAATTGCGAAAAGCATAGTGAGGCTAACTGAAGCGCTTCGATCGCGACCACAGTGTTTCTTTCATAAAAAAACATTCACAAATTTGCCGAACCGACTCTGCGAACACCCTGTGCTCTCAGCTTAAGAGCTGAGAGATCTTGTACGACTTATCGAGCACCACTTATTGATAAATCGTACTCATGTACGAGTTGCTAAAGTCGTGGATGGTCAATCAGCACTAAGTAGTGCGCATACGCCATCTCCTGCATGGTTTAGCACATCCAGCACCTTTTGGCAATTTTAGAAAGTGCCATTGCCGAACCAAACCGGGTTCGAGACTCGACTTAGCAACTTGCATTCAAGGCCACTATGATTTACCGCTAAGTGCGAACACTAAGTAGTGCACTACATAGAAAGGCAAACTGGATGCAAAGCACAATACTTGGATCGCACACTGCTGTCTACAGGGCCGCTCGCTAGATATGGGTCATGATGTTTTGATGAACGTTTACAGATACAGTATTGCCCCACTTGTGTTATTCACTAAACTTCGTCTTCAATATATTTAATAAAGTAAAAGGGATTGTAGGTTTCATCAAGCGCACGTATAGTTGGCGTTTGTAGTAGGTGGCGGCTTTCTTGATCGACGTCTTTGGCAAAGACTCTTTGCTCAATGAGGCCACCCAGTTTCACCGTTTGTGCCTTGTCGATCGTTTAGATTGCTCGTAGGTGATCCTCGTTCCGCGCAAACTGATTATCACGCGGTGTTTGAGGTGTAAACCACTCACTACCAATAGGAAACCGGAGAGCACGCCAAGCAAGGTATCATTAAATATGGTATTGACGTGACATGGTGTTCCGCTGAGGTTCGACTCGTCGATCTTAATATTTAAAGGGTTAACGCGAGACTCTGATTTGTTTAACACAATGATATAAAACATATCATGGTTATTGTTAATCTATTGGAAGAGTGGGGGCGTCGGCTTGTATAGTACAGGTTGTAGTGAAAGCTCCACTGCAGCGTGTTCATTTACAATATAACTCATCAAAGCAACGCGATTGAGATCCTCCAGCACTAGTCATTGGGCGAAAGCCCCATGATGGCGAGCTTACTTTCAGTGTTTCCGGCATCCTTGCCGCTCAAAATTTTACATGAGGGCACGCTAGCAAAATGCACGTATATATTGGTGTGCTGATGAGGCATTCATCTCACTTATATCACGTTCTGCTATTTGCTTCCACAGTTTAGCAAAGATCCTGCTACGGTTTCCGAATTCGTTTCCTTTGGTAAGTATACCTCTAGTATTTAATACTCTGATATGGATATTACAGGTACATATGGTTGTTGCTCGAGTGAGTGCGTTTCATTACCATCATTATGTTCGATGTGTATTGAGGCACAAGCAACATTCAGTTTTGTCGTGAAATGATTGCATCGGTTTAACGCAAACATAAATCTTTTATGGTGCTATCATTTCAAAATTGGTAAGGTTTTTGGGATTCACCCAACAACTCTGGATTAAATACAGTGAAACCTGTTTATATGATCCTCTCTATTTGAGCCATGCCGTTTATTTGATGCAGGCTTTGTCGCTACCAAATATTTCACTTAGTTTTTGTATGATCTCTGTTTATATGCATACAAGGTATATGAGTTACATTTTTGGGGACCAAATTAGGTCTCACCTGTTTATTTGATTCACACTGCTCACGGCCACACACTCTTCAAAGCACCACTGCTCAACACTCAACGCCTACCGCAAGCCTTCTTCGCTCGCCATGTCTCCTCGCACCTGTCTGACGCTAGAACAAAAGCTCCAAGTGCACCTAAAGCTCAAGCAGAATCCTGGCATGAACAACCCCATGCTCGCCGAGTGGATCTACGCAACTTTCAAGGCCCGGGTCAGCCGTGCCACACTCGCCCGACTGCGCAACCTGCCTTCTTCCTACTTCAGCCACGTCGACCTGAGTTCGACCAAGCGGCGCCGAGTGAAATTCCCTCAGTTCGAGCGGGAACTGAGGGAATTTTTCTTTCAGAACGAAGCTAAAACGGCGATGGCGGACGACGTGCTCCTGCTGACGGCGCATGAGCTGGCGGAGCGCTTAGGCATCGATGCCACGCAGCTCCGGCTAAGCAACGGCTGGCTTGAAAGCTTTAAGAAGCGCAATGGGATCCGCTCCCATACGCTACACGGCGAAGGTGGCGCTGTAGAAGCTGATGAAGTGCGAGATGCGAGGCTAGAGCTACAAGAGTTGGTGGCGCAGTTTACACCCGAGAATGTGTTCAACTTCGACGAAACGGCGCTTTTCTATCGCTTAGCGCCTAATCGAACGCTAGCTACGACTATTCGCAAGGGCAAGAAAAAGGAGAAGCAACGTTTGACTTTGGCCTTCTGCTGCAACGCGACTGGCTCCGACAAGCTCGACCCAATAGTCATCGGTACGGCCAAGAACCCGAGGTGCTTTAAAAAGGGAGCGGCGATTAAAGGTAAACCTATATTGTACAAGTCCTCCAAGAACGCCTGGATGACATCCGTCATTTTTGACGAATGGCTGCACCTCTCCAACATGAGAATGGCGGCCGCCAATCGCAAGGTCCTACTTCTAGTCGACAATGCTTCATGCCACAAGATTCTACGAAACCTGACTCATGTGACTGTTCACTTCCTCCCTCCTAACATGACATCCGCCGTACAGCCGCTGGATGCAGGTAAATATTTTATCTATATTGTGGTGTAGCCTAAACTAACCAACTCTATTACGGTGTTATTTTTATTCAGGTATTATCCGGTCGTTCAAGGCTCGGTACCGAAACTATTTTGTGCGGTGGTGTTTGGATGCACTTGAAGCTAACATTACACGCAAGCTCAACGTACTGGAAGCTGTCCAATTCTCCATTGATTCTTGGGCGGGTGTGAGGCCAACGACAATTACAAATTGCTGGGTCAAGACTCGCATTTTGGGAGGAAACATACTAGAAAGGACCCGTGCTGACACGGATTACATTGAGGAGGTATCCAGCAACGAGATGGAGGAGTTAACGGCGATGCTATCGAGGTGGGAGGGCGCTGTTAGCGCTAGTGAGTATCTGGCAGTGGACGAAGACGTTCCTGTGCACGAGCCAGATGTGCTAGTGGACGAAGCGGTAGGAAGTGATGCAGTTTCGCAGGACGAGCAGGAGGAAGAGGAGGAACAGGAACCCGCAGTTCAACCTGCCATTGCTCTGAGACACTGCATGGAGCTGGCTACATTGCTGCTGCAATGCGGAGAGCAGACTGACAGAGAACGAAGAGCTTTACAGACCGTGACCGCTTTGGTTCGAGAGACTACGGTGAAGGCAAAGCGGCAGCGAACTATGCACGATTTCTTTACGTGCACCACATAATTGTTTTAACTGAGTCCATTTTATATGAGTCATTGTAGTAGATGGTCACCAACAGGGCCTCATATAAACAGGTTTGACTGTAGTTTTCTCTTTTTCAGTTTTCTGTTACGCTACGACTTTCGATTTCAGCTCGAGTTCGTTCACTGTTTAAGTGCTATTTTGTGTAGGTATTACCTAAATTGAAGGAAGCAGTTCGACATCGCAAGTCAAGAAGTCTAGTAGAAGCTTGCGGACATTTATTCATTGAGAAAAGGGTGCTCCCCTGCGCTTAGCTACGGTAGCAAGTCTTGATTGAGTGTCCACGTGGCTGCAACTCCTCTCGGTTCTGAGGCCGCGAGGAGCCGACTGCAATGCAAGTCTTCGTCTCTCTAGTTGGAGGAGGCGTAGGCCTTCTCCAGCGGGTGCGGACGCGTGATCACGTCGAAGCGGTCCGGACCCACGCCGATCCACTTGATGTGCGTGCCCAGGAGCTCCTCCACGCGCAGCACGTACTTCTGCGCGGCCACGGGCAGCTCCTCGAACGTCTTGCACTTGGAGATGTCCTCGGACCAGCCGTCCATCTCCTCGTACTCCACGACGGAGTCCTGCAGCAGCTGCAGGTTCGACGGCATGCCGTCCAGCTTCTTGCCCTTGTGCCAGTACGCCACGCCGATCTTGACCTTCTCCAGGCCCGTCAGCACGTCCAGCTTGGTCAGGTTCAGCTCCGTGAAGCCGTTCACCATGTTGGAGTAGCGCATCTGCGGGATGTCGAGCCAGCCGCAGCGACGGGCGCGGCCAGTGGTCGTACCGAACTCGGCACCAACCGTGCCCAGGTGCTCGCCGACCTTGTCGTGCAGCTCCGTCGGGAACGGACCCTCACCAACACGAGTGCAGTACGCCTTCACGATGCCGATGATGCCGTTCAGGCGGTTCGGAGAGATGCCGCCGCCCGTGCACACACTGCCGATGCTCGGGTTGCTCGACGTCACGTACGGGTACGTGCCGAAGTCAATGTCCAGCATGGTAGCGTTGGCGCCCTCCACCAGGATCTTCTTGCCCGCCACGTAGGCGTTGTTCAGGTACGAGACCGTGTCCACGGTCATGTCCAGGATCTTGTCCTTGATGTCGCTGTACGCCTTGATCTCGGCCTCGGCGTCCGCCTCCAGCTCCGGGTAGTTGTCCTTGTAGAACTTGACCAGGTCGCGCATCTTCTCCGAGAAGTCGTCGAAGTAGCGCAAGTCGCCCACGCGCACGCCGTTGCGCAGCATCTTGGACGAGTAGGCCGGACCGATGCCCTTCTTGGTCGTGCCGATCTTGTTGCGGCCGCGGCGCAGCTCGTTGATGCCGTCCACTTCCTGGTGCAGGTCGAGCACCATGTGCGCGCGGTCCGAGATGAGAATGCGGCCTTCGTAGTCCACGCCCATCCTCTTGAGCTCCTCCAGCTCCTCGAGGAAGCTGGGAAGGTGCACCACGACACCGTTGCCGATGATGCAGATGGCGTTCGGGTTCAGGATGCCCGAGGGTACCAGGTGGAACTTGTACTTCTTGCCCTTGTGCACGATGGTGTGGCCAGCGTTGGAGCCGCCGGCCACGCGCACGATCACGTCGTACGACTGGGATAAGCTGTCCACCAGCTTGCCCTTGCCTTCGTCGCCCCACTGGGCGCCCAGCACCACGTCCACGCCGGCGTTGAGGCCGTCGGTGCGGCGGTGCGGGTTGGCCACGGCGCTCTCGATGCGGTTGAGCTTGGCCACCACCTCCTTGAGCATGGCCTGCGTGACGGCCTCACGGCTCACAGGCTTGGCCGCGCCCTCGCACTTGGCGGCCGAGCCGTCGTCCATGCTGGCCACGCCGGCCGCGCCCACCAGGGCCATGGCGGCAGCCACGGGCAGCAGGCTGGCGAAACGGCCGTTGCGCTGCTGGGCCTCCACGGCCAGGGCGGCGCGCACCGCGGCCTTGGTGTGAGCCGCGCGGAACTGCTGTCCCTGGCACTGGGCCGAGAAGCGCGTGGCGCCGCGCACAGCCTTGGACACGACGTCGAGACGCATCGAAGCGGGTCTCCCTCCGGTCTCCCTGCGGCGCGTGGATCCGGAATGAGCTGGAACTTCGGCGTGTTTGTGGTGGCTCAGAGCCGCCAGGCGGGTCGGGTCTGGGAAATGGGCCACGATGGTGAGCTCGGCCTGTCAAACCAAACCCAGGCTGACTGACCAATGGCACGGCAGGCATTTGTAGTCACGCAATCTGCCACCGATGGCGTGGACTGCCTGCGTTGTACCGGTAGATGCACAGGGTTTGACTGGCGCTCGCTTCGCAGTACTGCGCCAGCGCCTCTCTGGGCTGCATGAACTCTGGCGGGCGCGGCGAGTGCATGTACAATGCATGTATGTAATGCATTGCATCTCGCTCGAACTCAGGGCTACCTGAACAGTATCATCCGAGAAATAAGCCTACAGATCACGACGCCGTCAAGGCGGCCAAGATACGCGACGTGAACATGAGTAAGCTGCCTTCGTTGAACACGCACGTGGCCACCCGATTGCTGCGTTGGTTGGATGCTGCTTGGGTGGCGACGAAGGCCTAACATCTCGAGCTCACATCTCGACTCACGGGTGACAAGGAGGGGAGAGAGGGGATATGCGCCTCGACGTGGTGTCCAAGGCTGCGCGCGCGGCCGCGCGCTTCTCATCCTCGGCCCGGTTCCAGAGCCAGCAGTTCCGCACGGCCCATGCCTCGGCCGCGCTCCGCGCCGCGCTGGTCGTGGAGGCCGGCCAGTCCCAGCACGCAATGACCGCTACGGGCGTCTACTGTCTGTAGCCGCCGCGAGTGCAGCCGGCTTCGACAACGACGCCAAGTGCGACTGCGACTGCGGATAAAAGGATGAGCCGGAGGAGAAGGCGTGCTGCGCCAAGAAGGACACGAAGCCCGTGGACCCACAGGTGTCCACGCTAGCCACACTCAAGGAGGTGGTGGCCAAGCTCAATCGCATCGAGAGCGCCGTGGCTAACCCGCACCGTCACACTGACTGTCTGAACCCTGGTGTGGACGTGGTGCTGGGGGCTCCATGGGGGGATGGAGGCAAGGGTAAGCTGGTGGACAGCTTATCCCAATCGTATGATGTCATTCTGCGCGTGGCCGGTGGTTCCAATGCTGGCCACACCATCGTGCACGAAGGCAAGAAGTACAAGTTCCACCTAGTGCGGTCAGGAATTCTCAACCCAAATGCCGTGTGCATCATTGGCAACGGCGTCGTGGTGCACTTGCCGAGTCTGCTACAAGAACTGGAAGAGCTGAAGCAGGCCGGCATCGACTACGAAGGCCGCATTCTCATCTTGGACCGCGCGCACATGGTGCTCGACCTGCACCAGGAAGTGGACGGCATCAACGAGCTGCGCCGCGGCCGCAACAAGATCGGCACGACCAAGAAGGGCATCGGTCCGGCCTACTCGTCCAAGATGCTGCGTAACGGCGTGCGCGTGGGCGACCTGCGCTACTTCGACGACTTCTCGGAGAAGATGCGCGACCTGGTCAAGTTCTACAAGGACAACTACCCGGAGCTGGAGGCGGACGCCGAGGCCGAGATCAAGGCGTACAGCGACATCAAGGACAAGATCCTGGACATGACCGTGGACACGGTCTCGTACCTGAACAACGCCTACGTGGCGGGCAAGAAGATCCTGGTGGAGGGCGCCAACGCTACCATGCTGGACATTGACTTCGGCACGTACCCGTACGTGACGTCGAGCAACCCGAGCATCGGCAGTGTGTGCACGGGCGGCGGCATCTCTCCGAACCGCCTGAACGGCATCATCGGCATCGTGAAGGCGTACTGCACTCGTGTTGGTGAGGGTCCGTTCCCGACGGAGCTGCACGACAAGGTCGGCGAGCACCTGGGCACGGTTGGTGCCGAGTTCGGTACGACCACTGGCCGCGCCCGTCGCTGCGGCTGGCTCGACATCCCGCAGATGCGCTACTCCAACATGGTGAACGGCTTCACGGAGCTGAACCTGACCAAGCTGGACGTGCTGACGGGCCTGGAGAAGGTCAAGATCGGCGTGGCGTACTGGCACAAGGGCAAGAAGCTGGACGGCATGCCGTCGAACCTGCAGCTGCTGCAGGACTCCGTCGTGGAGTACGAGGAGATGGACGGCTGGTCCGAGGACATCTCCAAGTGCAAGACGTTCGAGGAGCTGCCCGTGGCCGCGCAGAAGTACGTGCTGCGCGTGGAGGAGCTCCTGGGCACGCACATCAAGTGGATCGGCGTGGGTCCGGACCGCTTCGACGTGATCACGCGCCCGCACCCGCTGGAGAAGGCCTACGCCTCCTCCAACTAGAGAGACGAAGACTTGCATTGCAGTCGGCTCTTCACGGCCTCAGAACCGAGAGGAGTTGCAGCCACGTGGACACTCAATCAAGACTTGCTACCGTAGCTAAGCGCAGGGGAGCACCCTTTTCTCAATGAATAAATGTCCGCTTGGTGTTGAATTTGCCTTTTGCCGTATACATCTTCAGTTTAGGTGGCGTACACAAAATTACGGGTTCAAACAGTGGTGAACGATCGTCGCAACAGTCGGCACCCTTTTGTCGATCTCAAAGCGAAAGTCTTAGCGTAGCTACAGAACCGTAAAAATGGCGGAGCGGCAGTTCAAGATCAAAGTGGGCACTCTGCGCCGGTGCGTATCAGGCCCCAGAGTGTGATGGCAGTACGTATCTATGGTATGTATTAATAACACATTTTATGGTGCTTGACAGGGTGAAGAAGGACCTCGAGTACTACGCCAAGGAGCACGCGGCCCAGCAGACCAAGATCGAGAAGATGCGCGCGGACGGCAAGGACGAGCACGACATCCGCAAGCAGGAGGAGGTGCTGGTGGAGACGGAGACCATGCTGCCGGACTGTCAGAGTCGTCTCAAGGAGGCGGCCACCGACGTCTCCAACTTCATCGAGGCAAACCGGGAGGAGGTCGAGTCGCTCGAGACGTTCAAGGAGGCGCAGGAGCTGCTGGCCGCCATCCCCACGCTGCTCCAGTAAAGTAAAGTACCTACTCGTGGAGTAAGCACACAGTCTAATTGAAGCCACCCCCTCAGATATCCGCACTCTTTTGCTGAATTAAACTCGCGTGACACCAAACGCGAGCTTGTCCGGTGATCCCTTGCGCTCGGGAGAGCAGCGGCTCGACGGCTTCTCGGGGGATAAGCTTGGCAGACTGAGCTTGGCTAGTGACCCGCCCGACGGGGTGTGCAAGTGGTGGGCACTGCGAGGAGTGCCTGGTGCAGACAGCACGCGCGGTGGGAGCGGGTGCACGCTAGCGTCGCTGTCTGTAGCTGTGTTGTCGGGTATCCGAGCGGCGGCACTCAAAGGAGGTCCGTGCGATGACTTGGTTTTAACGGGGGATAAACTACGTGGCTCGGAGTGCGAAGCTGAAGCTGGAGCTGATGGTGCTGAGCAGGGTAATGATGGACCGTCGACGGCGAGCCACGAGTGAGCTAGCACCTGATTTATTGAGAGCCGCTCGGACGGATCCTCGCACAGCATTCCGAGCAGCACAGTGCGCAGCTTCCCTGAATACTTCCAATTGGGTCCGTGGCAGAAGTCACGCGTTCGAACTAACGCCTGCAGCACAAGAGGTATTAGAACAGAGCCTTTGACAAAGCTTGCGTGAAAATGGCTTGACTGAGCGTACTGACCTCTTTGACACACTCAGCGAACTTCTTGGGCTCCTTCAGGATCGAAATCTCGTACATGGACATCCAAATCGACGAGAAGAGCGCATTCCCCAGCACCAACTAAACGGGCAATTTACGGCGTCAATGCAAAGGAAGACGCTGAAATCACTCATAGTTCGGAACGTACCTCAAGCAAGATGCACCCGATGCTCCAGATATCCGCCTTGAGCCCGTCGTAGCTTTCATGCAGCAGCAATTCGGGAGCAAAGAAGCCGGGGCTACCACAGAAATCGTGGAGCGCAGATGTAGCCTTAGTACACAGACCAAAGTCGATAATCTTGACCAGGTGCGCATCATCAGGCGAATACAGGACATTTTCCCTGCACACATAACTTTTGGTTAGTCCTGTTGCATGACTCTAGCATAGCTTGACTCAAACTGTTCAGCACGTACGGCTTCAAGTCTCGGTGGCAGTAGTTGCTGCGATGTAAAACTTCCAGTGCCTGCGCGAGGTGTAGGAACAGCGGACGAATCGTGTCCTCTGTCACCCCATCCAGATGCGCCCCAAAGAACTCGAACAAGTCCTTCCCTCCACGCTCCGTCACCAAGTAGATATGTTTGCGCGTATGGATGACGTCAACCAGCTCCAGGACGCCTACGTGTCGAATGGCAGGATCGCTCAGTGAAGCGATTTCGGAGCTGATACGATGCAGCGAGACGAGATCAATCAGCTTCTGCTTGTCGATTGCCTTGATCGCTAGCTGTGGTCGCTCGAGAGTGCTTGAAGTGTACACAACCGCGTACTGACCGTAGCCCAGAACTTGCTCTAACGGGTACTTCCCGACTGCTGTTGGTGTCTCCGGTAGCTGCGTCGTTAGACGGGGAATGGCTCGCAGGCTTGGGTCACGCGCTGGAAGGTACTCCCACATCAACTTCCGGTGGTTTTCAGCGAGCTTATCGAACTGCGCCTTCATCTCGCGCACGTCGTCGAAAAACTGCTCCTGCTCCATCTCGAGGTGTTGGGCCTTTTGCATCGCATCTTGCGCCTTGGCCTTGAACGAGTCGACCTGCTCCGTCAACAGCTTGATCTTCTTGCTCTTCCTGTCAATCTTTCGTAGCAAGTGGCTGGTATCACCGGTGGCAAAGGCGTCGGTCGCTGAAATTTCTGTAGAGTCCAAGCGAGACGTGTCTGCGTTGTCACTATCAGGCGAAGTTTTGCTGCCTGCTTCGTTCCCGATAATGGCAGACAGGGAGTCTCTGTCCAAACGCTTCCTAGAAACAATCTACGCATCACACCGACTCAGTTGGATTGCGCTGCATCAAACGACAGTATGCTGCAAGACGGGCGTCATACCAATTGGTGATCTTGAAGTTCGGCTGAAGCCTACAACAAACAATTGCAGAGTCACAACTAAATACTCACGATCCAGTTCCGTTTTCACAGTACGACTTGACCTTACCGCAGGCAGACTGGAGAGGATTTCAACCGGTGTCGCCGAAGCTGGAGTGACGGTAATTTGCGTTGGCAGCAGCACAAGCCAGATTAGCCAAGCTGCGTACCAACCCCGGTTTATTCAGGTAAACACGTACTTTGGAGAACGCTCAAAACTACGTCGAACAGGGCTTCGGCGCCGCCGTTTGCAGCAAGCACCAGCACTTCCATCGCGCTTCACTTTGATCAAGCCGACCGACACGCTTGCACTGGGGTAAGAACCAGTCCAAGAGGTGACAAAAGCGTTTCTGCCTAATGCAGGCTCTAAACTTACCCTCACCCATGTATCACTTGGTGTCTGCGCAAGAAATACTGCCTTCGTCACAAACCCGTTATTAGCACACGACAACGAGTTGACACGATACCGGCCCCGTGTCCAGCATACTTTCCACGCACACACTCACGCCATCGCTTATCGCCGGTCCAAAGTGAGGGATATAGTTCCGTCGCCACCTCTCTTTCGATTGAATTTCATTTCAAAGCAATAGGATGCAACCTCAACCGCTGTCGCTACCTACCTTCTTCACTGGCGATGCAGCGCCTGTTGCTGGTAGAACTCCTCCAGCTTGGCCAGGATATCCATCGTATTCTGCTTGAGGATTTTCCGGATGGCCATCACGATCTCTTTGCCGGTGAACTCTGTGTCTTCGTCGAACGCGTCCTGGAAGTGGAAGTAGATATCGTTCATGAACTCCTTGAACAGCTCGCTCAGAGCTGCATATTCCTGGTCGTTCTTGGCAGACTGTAGCTGAGTCATCTCTTGCTCTTTCGATGCCAGCAACTCTTCTAGGTGTTGCGCATCAGAGTGGAACCCTTCAGCTTGTTGTTTCAGCACCCTGGATTCACTCTCGAGCTGCTGAACACGGACCATGAGCTCTTGGACGCGCGAGTTCTGGACAGCTTGGGATTTGACTGTTTCGTCTTGAAGCTGCACCTGCTGGCTTTGCGCTTGACTCAGCCGGTTGTTCATCATCTCACGCTCGACGTCCCACTGCTTCTTCTGGGCCGTCAGCTCCGCGACTTGCGCCTCCAGCGCCGCCTTTTCCGTCGCCATTCTCTCGATTGAGTCCTTCGATCCTTGACGGACCTCGTCCTCTACCTGGCGTTGAAGATGCTCCAGCTGTCTGTGTGTGTCTTCTTGCAGTTTGGCCTTCTCCTTCGCGAGCTGCTCGTCCTTGGCTGCAAGCTCAGCTCGAAGCTGGAAGTTTTCTTCCTGGTACACCAGCATTTGCTCCTGTGTGTGGCTGAGCTGCTGCTGGACGCTGCGCAGCTCCAAGCGAAACTTCTCCTGTTGCAAATGGTTGCCGTTCTGTAGTTTATCCAGCAGCGTTCGGTTCTCCATCTGAAGCGACTCGTGTTGGCTCTGAAGATCCTCGACACTTGATTCAAGCTCACCATTAGCTACCTGAAGACGAGCATTTATCTCTTGGAGCTGGTCACGCTGGGCCAGAGCCTTTTCCAAATTTTTCAGCAACATTGATGAAGACGAAGACGACGATGAAGAAGATGACGTAGCAGGCGAGAAGGACGCGCCGCTGCCGTACTTGCCCGAACTGGTGGAAAACTTCGTCGACTTGATCGAGCTCTGCATATTCAGAAGCCTGTCCATCTTGGATTGAAGATCCTGCAATGTCGACTCGATAGACGTCGACGAGCGCTGCAGGCGGATGATACCGTTCTCCACATCCGGTGACGATCCGGGTCCTGTTCCCGCCGGTGCTGACGAGTACGACGTGAACGACCGGTTGGCATACGGCGTAAGCGAGGAGGAGAATGGACTGGGGGCCGGAGGGATCGCTGGCGGGGGCTGCGACGGAGGGGCAAACGAAGACGAAGAGAAGGACGGCACCAGGTCTAGCTTGGGGGGACTCCACCTATTAGTCGTCGAACCATAAGAAGCTGTGGTCCCGATAGGCGGTGCACTTGACCCCATGAGTGCAAAGGAGGAAGGCGTGAAGGTAGGTGCGGGCTTCTCCTGTGATGGCTTGTACTCGGTCAGGCTCGAATGAGTTGCAGTACCATTCTTCAACGTCGACGATTGAGAAGCTGGCAGTTCACTCACGCTAACGTCCTCAGATTGAAGCTTGCGCTTGCTCTCCTCCAGCTGCTCACGCAGTCGCGCCAAGTCCGACTGCTCTTTCATCAGGCGCTCCATATCACTCGACAACGCAGTCAAACTCGAGTTGCTGCTGCTGTCGCCAACGCCCACATCAACTGCTTCGGGGGAATGTTTCAGAGGCTCAATCACCTTTGCAGCCAGCGACGTCGCATGCGTAGGGGGAGCAGTAGCCTCTGTCTGGATTTCGTTCTGCAAGTTGCGGAAGGACCCTGGCCTCTCGCCCGGGAGTTGAAGACCGGCCAATAACACCGGGACGTAACCTGCCGGCGGATCTCCCGACTGGATAACAGAAGCAGCTCGGTGCAGCGAGGCGTCCACCTCCCCATTTGGCTCCATAGACGATCGGCTGTCTAGCTTCGTCTTCACACTTGCAATGAGCCCGGAGCTCTGACTGCCCATGCGGGACAAACTCGCCATGCGCTTCACCAGATCATCATGAACTCCCTGTGCCTGTGGGTCCTCAGCTTCAGTTCCAGCAGATACCGCCTCCTGCTCTACGTGCGTCAGCGTGGTGCCAGCACTCGCCCGCGTGTTCTTCTTGACCTTGACCAGCTCCACCTCCGCGATGACCCACTCCTGCGTCTGCGGGAACGCGGCCGCCACGAGCCTCTTGGCCGCCTTCTGCATGCTCACGAGCGCCTCCGAGGCCAAGACGGCCACGAACGGGCCCGCGTCGGCCGCGGCGTCTCCGTCCACAAGCTTGATCCTTCTCACCTCTCCGTCCTGCGTCTGCTCGGCCGCTGGCTGCTGCGTGATCTCCAGCGGATTGGCCGAGAAGAAGCTGCTTCTGCTGTCCACGGAGCCCTGCCACTTGCGGAGCGTCACGCCCGCCACGTCACCGAACGTGAGGGGCGCGGCGTCCTCCTTGCCGACAGCCAGCTGGTCCACGAGCACCACGGGCCGCGCGCGCTCGTAGGACTTGCTAGCCTGCACCAGGACCTGTGCGCGGGCCAGCGCCACGGCGCGCAGGAAGCTCTCGCTCGTGGCCGCGTCCTTGAAGCGCATGGCGTAGTTGCGCTGCGACTGGCGCTCGTAGAAGTTGACGTAGTTGTCCTTCTGCGGCACGAAGCGCGCGCCCCCGGGCGCCACGGGCAGCTGCAGCAGCGGCGTCTTCTTGGTGTCGTACAGCAGCAGCGAGAACGCGTCGCTCGCACTGCCCAGCAGCGCGCAGCCCACGGCCGCGTCCGTCTGCTGCGCGTACGAGCCGCTGGCGTCGTCGTACAGGTACAGGTACACGGCGCACGAGTGCAGCAGCGCGCCGTCCGCCATGCTTGTCTTCGGAGGGGGGTGCCGGATGTAGCAATGTGCAGTGCGCGACACTACGGTTGAAGCCGTAATACCGTCGTCGGCGCTTATAGAGAGAACGGATAGAAGAGCAAATCGCTCCCAAACTGTGGTATTCTAAGTAATCATACAGATTAGGAGCGATTTGCTCTAAGGAGCAGTTACATGGTGTTTTGCAAATAGATTCTACACAACCAGCACCCCAACGTATCTGATACGGAGTCGGGGTCAAATCAGCAGACGCAAGGTGCTCGTTCCCTTCGGCACTCGGTTCGCACGTGACGAGGCTGGAGCTGGTCATCACTTTCGAGTAACGCAGACCAGGGGTCTTGGACGCACTCGCCCCGCGTCGACGATGGTCGTGCGCGCCTTGGAGTGAGCGGCGCGCTCGCCTCGGAGTGAGCGGCGCGCTCGCCTCACGCGTTTTTCTCAGAGGTGGCGCCATCCCGGCGCCGGGGCTGCTCCGGTCGCTCCGGGGCTGATTTCCGCTGGATACTGTAACTTGCCGCAGCGGAGACCGAGGGGATGACTTCTGCCGTCCATGCCACTGTGGACCGTGGCTTTGCTTTGGATGGGTACATTGCGCGGGAAGCGTTTGAATTTTGAAAGGGCGCATGGCAGCGATATACACTTGGCGCTGTCACGTTTTGCGGAGCTCGTCGCGGCGCCTCGCCTCGATGGCAATTGTAGCCCCGCTTGGCGTTGCAGAGCTCCCTTGCAGGCCTGCAAATTGCAGTGCAATGCATCGGCTGCATGCTGGACCAAGTGCACCGTGCATGTAATGCAGCAGCTTCAACGCCCATCCGCCACGGTATCAAGCTGTGATTCGCAGCGTTCGCTGCTACGTTGGACCAGACCGATGGGTCCACTCGAGCAGGAAATTCCTGCCCGCCGGAAACTTGGCTGCAGCGAGATAAGCTGCAGTTTGAACGACTAAGTGAAGGTCGTTCAGACCTGGACATTTACGTAGGCAAAATGCTGGACATAGTACATGTACATGTAGATTTTTTTAGTGAGAGCGTCCTGCACGCGTGTCGAGACTAAGGATAATGGCCACCATCACTACAACGGAGCAGACACACCGGACTCACGCCCGTGGGATATTAGTCCGCCCAAGTCTTATCCAGCCGCGCTCCATGGATATCGATTGACGTAGCTGTAGGCCTGGCTCCTGCCTGGTCTCACTTCGCAGTGTAACAGTGCCCCCGGCTGGTGCTGCCGTAGCAGGCTGGTGTCGCCGCAGCCGACTGCTGTTAATTAACATATCGACGCTCGCCACCGGGTGCATCTTCCGAGACACCCTGCCAGGTTTGCAGCCTCGGAGGCTTCATACAGCCAGTGCGCTGCACCCTGCCGATCGGTGAGCAAGTTTACGCTCGGCAGGAAATGATGGCCATCGCCGGTCAAAGCGGCTGAGCCGCTCGGCCGGAAGTGGGCGAGAGTACACCGTAGAGGCTGCGAGCCAAAAGTTTGGCCCGCTGGCCGCAAGCAAATCGCGCTGCGTACAGTACTTTTGCGGCCAGTTCGATCCGAAAACCATAAAAGATCCATTGTGCAAGACGGGCGCCATACAAATCCCCAGTCACGCCGGCTTCTCTTCGAGAACAGCCCGACGCTCGCCACCAGCAGTGTGTGTGTGCCTGAGTTCATCTAACAACGTGAAAGGCCAGGTCGGAGCGACATCGATTGAACGCTCGACGCGGCAACAAGCGGCCGTGGCGCACTCTCTCACTCTCCGCGCACAGGGCGGAAGAACATCTTATCGGTACTGTAGCTAGCTACTCTCGCTTCTGACAGGCAAGCCGCGCATGGCATGGGCCCCGACTAACGACCCCTCTCTCCTCGTGTCCTGCCGCCTTCAGAGTCGAAACTTACAGCCGAGCACCGTGAGGCCCTTGGAGTGACCCAGCGACCGCCATGTTCAAGTCGCTGTTCCGCTGCATCCGCAGGTTCTTCAGCCGCATGAAGCCCAGGCACAAGGACCAGCTGCAGCGCAGGACCGAGTACGGCGCCGACATCGACATCGAAGAGGCGCTGGCCGAGCAGCTGGAGATCCAGAGGCGCAGCGGCCGCGTGCTGTCCTCCACGGCCAGCATCGCGGCGGCGCTGCGCCAGCGGCCACGCGAGGAAATCCCCGTGTTCTCGACGCACCTGGGCAACAACGAGCACCGCGAGCCCTCGGACCCGGCCATCAAGGCCGCAGTCGAGGAGATGCAGAGCCTCACGCCCGGATACATCGGCCAGACCGGCGAGAAGCCCGAGTCACTAGTGAACGGCGGCGTGAGCAAGAGGGTACCGTCCAGCAGGATCTCGTCCAGCGCAGGCTCCTCGTTCAAGATCCCGTCGCCCGTACCCGAGGACGGCGAGCCCGAGATGGAGACGGACGACAAGGAGAAGGACAAGTCGTCGCCTGCAGCGGAGCGAGCATCCGAGACGAAGCCGCGCCGCTCGTCGATCTTCGACATGCGCTCCGAGTGGATCTAAGCGCGGACGCCACTAAGCAAGATGTGGGAGATCACGACACGAGCACATCGAGAGCGGGCGGAGCAAACGCGTTGACGGGCCGACGGACAATCACACAAATGCCCGGTCGTGTTTTTTGTATATAGAGGGATGGCAGCACCCATTGCGAGCGGAAGCAAGTCCGGGGAGGCTAGAGCAAACCATAGACGACGCCACTAGGAGGCGGGGGCGGACGGCGCGCGAGGCGAGGCGAGGCGAGGTAGGGAACTTATTATTGCCCCTAATATTATAGTTGGCTCGACGGCAGGCTCATATTGAGGTACCATAGCATGGGACGATGTTTTGTTGGCTTCGCATGTTCGTCAGCCTCGTAGGACCAGGTAGCTGGCCTCGGAGCTAGCCAGCTAGTTCATCCGCAACGACCAAGCGCCGCCACCACCGCTCAGGAAATAGCAACAAGTCCATTAAGAAGTAAGAAGGACGGGCGTGTCGCCCGGAAGGATCTGCCTCCACCGATGGCTCAGCAAGGTGACGTCCGCGTCCACCGGGCTCAGTCGTCGTTGCAGGCAGACGCAACCGCAGACGGCACGACGGAGCTCTGGCTGCATTAAGTATAGTCAAATTTAAGCGTAGATACATACACGTAGGTTTCATTGCAGTGTCAGAAGCAAGTTCAGTCCATGGCCTGCCAGAGCTGCAGCGCCACGATTGGCGACAGTACTCGTCGGACCAGCGCGCTTCAACGGCAGGATTCATCCACATCCTGAAGCTCTGCGGCCTGCGCTTTGTCCGTCGCGCGTCGTCCCCGTCGTCGACTGTCGGTCCACCTTCGGAAACCAAGGTGGGAAGTTGGGCAGCGCCAACGCAATCGCTGCCTTCGCTTCACTGTCAGCAGCATCAGCCACCGTCACGTTGTAATGTAGCGCCGAGCCAAATTGAAGCTGTACACGTGGCGCCTGCAGACGGAGAACACGAACCGGAGCAGAGCAGAGCTTGCAGATGGAGAGCGCGAACTGTGAGCTGCGCACCGAGAGCGCCACATGCTCCGTCATTTCTGCACCACGTCACAGATTTCGATAAAGACTGACATGTCACTCTTCTACCTCCGCACAACGGTACCAAACCACTGGTACGCCTTCCAAACCGGTATCTGTACCGGTGACTCTCCCGCTTGAACTGCTTTTGGCGGGAATCGAGCTTTTGGTTTGGCGCCTCGGCATTCAAGCGCCCGGCCGAGTGCATTCCGACAGTCAAACAATCCGCCAATAGCCCATTGCCCCGACAGCCATGCTGGACCACCTGCTGCCGCTCATCTACCGCGAGTTCGAGTACTTCGACGAGGCCAACAAGGAGAACTTGGGCTACGTCATCCGCCGGCGCGCGCGGCCCGTATCTTCCTCCGCGGTCTCCGATGCGTCGCCACGACGGACTCCGCCGCGGCCCCCAAGACGCAGCAGCCTCAGCCCCGGCGCCCGAATCGCAGGCGGCGTGGCCTCCAGGCGCAGTCTCAAGCGCCGACGAGAAGAGGATGACGACGTTGACGACGAGGAGCGACCGCGCGCCAAGAAGCAGCAGCGGAGCCAGACGCCCGTAGCCGCGACGGAGACCACTACAGCTACGGAAGGTAGCGCAGAGCAGAAGCAGAAGCAGGACAAGGAGAAGGAAGAGAAGGAGATTACAGCCGTCGCAGCTGCAAAGGTGGAGAAGGTTGCAGCCAAGACGGAGCAGGAGCAGGGAACACAGGAGCAGGAGGAGACAGTCATCATAGCTGCGAAGGAGGAGAAGGTTGAGGTGAAGGAGGAACCGAAGCAGGAGCAGAAGGAGGTGGGGTCTCCAGTTGATACAGCAACCAAGAAGGAGCAAGAGCAGGAGTGGACGGAGTTAGCAGTTGATACAGAGCAGGAGACGGAGTTTGTGACCCCCGTGAAGAAGACGCAGGAGCCGATGATCTCGGCGAAGAAGGCGGGCAAGAAGAAGAAATCGGGCAAGGTGAAGAAGACCAAGAGGCAGACCAAAGTGTCGGCGGAGGAGAGGAAGCAGCACAAGAAGACGGTCAAGGTTTCCAAGAGCGCGACACCCAAGCGTATCCCATTACAGGACATCACCCACCTCTACGTGAACGAGCACACGCGCTCGTACGAGTCTCAGCAGCGTGAGCGCTTCGTGGCCGGATTTACGACGTCGGTCGCGATCCGCTTTTTCTAGGTACTCATGGACTTGGTAAGTGTCTGAGGTGGAAGGTGTTGCTGATATGTTGTTACTGTTGTTGCGATGATGCCAAGACCGCAGCTCGGCCGATGCAGGCTGCTTTGCAGCTCAAGTCCAGATTCTTCATTTCGTTTTCGTGTGCCCCGCGTTTTCTCCAAGCGAGGCTTTAGACAAGCCTATTTAGCGTCTTCACTTGCGCGCCGCTCCTCCCTCTTTTTGGCATGGATTGGGTGGAGGGTAAATGGTGATTCCACGTTTCAAGACCCCACCTTCAAGACCCAAGTTTCTTCACTGCGTGTATCTGCTTGCATGTGCGTCCGTTCTACTCTTCAAGATCCAAGACCTCCGCGCTATGCGCACGCCTCATTACGCGTGTTTGCTCACGCGGAGCCTTGGAGATGCTCTTCAGGTCAACGCCTTCTCTGATGCAAGGACTGCATCCCATTTCATGCGGACCCCAGCACCAAATCATCGCGAGTACATCGACGGCCAAGGTGAATCGACGACCCTCAAGCAAGGACTCCCCGTGAGTGCTTCACTTCAAGCTACTGCAAGTTCCAGTTTGCCACCGCGTAGCACACCTGGCCAATGCTGCACCTCATCACGTGCGCTGAAGCATTCGGGCCAGTACGACGTGGACAACGTTCTCAGCGGACCCCAGCGCTGCACCTCATTTCGTGTACGCTTGGGGCATTGGGCATCTGACAGATTCCAGTTTTGCAGTCGATCTCTGCTGCTTTGACGGACATGGTCTAGGCCGCACCTCATTACGTGCGTGCCGAAGGCCGACACGTCCGTCGAGCGGTGGAGTCGATGTTCGAGTTTTCGGTCCGATTGATCGCATCCCGCGCCTGAGCTGCACCTCATTACGTGCATGCTTGGATGCAGGATCAGCCTTCGAGAGGACTGAAGGCTTGACACGCAGACCTGGATCCAGATGAATGCCCAATCTCCGTTGGTTGCGTCCCATGTCGACGAACTGGAATGTCCAAGGATCACCTGCAAATCGTCTGGATCTAGGCTGCACCTCATCACGTGTAAGTCTTAAGACTAGGCCTTCAGAACCTGGACAGCAAGCTCAAGTCGATGAAGCACCCCTGCCTGCAGGACTGTACCACCTCGGCCTTGACGGATCCAACCCGCATGCACCTCATTTCGTGCAAGCCATCCCGCGATAAAGGCACAAGCATCCCACGATTTTGAAAGCCCGGCATCACCGCCCTGTACAAGTAATGCGCCCACACAACGCAAGTCAAGGATTTCGTCATGAAGAATCTCATCGATGCTTTCTTCAGTCAAGTGTAAACTAATGCATTTTCATTCATATTTTTCTTCCTGGAGTCTCCATTACTGGGTCGCGTTGAGTCGTAGTTGGCCTCGAAGGTGATTGTTGTGAGCAGGCAAAGATGCATTGTACCGAATTATTTGCTTTTTAGTACAAGTGTTGAAGCACAACATACATAAGCGTGCAGAGTCTACCGTAATTTACCAGCTCACGCTGCAGATTCGTGCGGCTGCGCCTTCGTAGGCTGCGCACTTTTCAGTCCCAGCACCTCCATCCATTTACCGGAGGCCTTCGCTTCCTGCGCCCACGCCAGACGCTGCGCTAGCATCTTGGACGGGTTCGCCCATTCACCCCAGAAGACTGTCATGCCACCAGATCCCTTGGTTTCCTGTTCCGCAAGCGCCTTGGTGATACGCTGCGCCAGCAGTTGAGACGGATACTCAACCAGGTGATACGACGCCGTGGCCAGCATGCACAGCAGCCCGAAGCGAGAGAAAATCCTGCAGTAGTAGTTGGGCTGCGAGTTGACAGTCTTGTTGTACAGCACGAAGCTGTGCAGCAGGTAGACCGAGAAGCTGATCTTGCCCCAGTAGCGCAGGAAGCTCCACTCGAAGATGGACGAAAGCGGCGAGGGCAGCAGCATCTCGCACACGAACACCGTGGTCAGAGACACACTGACGAACGGGAAGCCGGGCGTCTTGGGCGCCGTGTTCTCGTGGACCCAGATGAAGAAGAGACCACGGAAGGCGATACTCAGGAACACAGCCAGCGCCGAGTACTCGATGGTGCGTAGGAGCAGTTTGGGCAGCAGGCGGAACTGGAAGCCGCTGGCCTTGATCCAAGTGTCGAGCTTGACGAAGATGACGGCGGCCATGGATCCGGCCAGGAACGTCGGGATGTGCGGACGCAGCACCGAGTGGCTCGTGCGGTAGTCGTTCCAGCCTTCGTTGACCACCCAGTAGTAGGCCGGGATGAAGGGCACCCACCAGAACTTGCGCAGCATGAGCGTGCCCACGACGAACACGGGGATGAAGAAGTAGTACGAGATCTCGAGCGGCAGCGTCCAGAAGACGAAGTAGCGGTACTCGAACTCGAACGTGAGCGTCTTGTACAGGTCGAAGTTCTCGGGCTGCTTGATGAGGAAGTAGCGCTCCTTGGCCTCGTCGTCCATGAACCAGAGCGCCACGCACGTGAGCGCGAACAACGGGTAGACGCGGCAGAAGCGCTTGCAGAAGTAGTCGCAGAGCGCGAAGACCCACTTGCGCACGCCCGCGCCCTGGTTCATCATGCGGATGGTCTTCTTGGTGAAGAGCCACGTCAGCAGGAACGACGACAGCACGAAGAACGAGTCCACCGCGACGGCGCCCAGGTTCAGGTCCTGCATGTACTCGTGCGAGTGCTGCGTAACCACGAGCATGGCCGCGAGCCCGCGCACGCCGTCCAGGAACAGCACCTTGGTGGGCGGCGCGACCGCGACCGCCGCCTTCTTGGCCTTCACGGGCTTCTTGTCCTTGTCCTTGTCCTGCTCGTCGTCGTTCAACAGCGGCTGGTCCTCGGGCGTCGACTGCACGTGGACGGCCACGTCCTCGGCCTGCGTCTTGCCGCTGCCGTCGGCATCGGGTCCGTGCGAGCGCAGCATGGGGGCGACCTAATTAACCTTCGGGGGGTTTCAGCAATGCGGCTTGGCCTGGCGCGGGACGAAATGCCCGGTTGCTGTCCGAGCACCCAAGATGACCACAGGTGGCTTCAGATATAAATCCCGGGATTGGGACTCATACAAAACCCAAGTGCGGGGCCGCCTCTACCTCAACCAGACGACGTCTTTCGCGTGCATCTGCCCGCATATCTGTGGCTCGCACTCGGCGGCGCTCTTGCTCGATCCTTCCTGCGCTGATGGGCACCGGACAACCGTCGTGCGTGGCACTGGAAAATGGACAGCGCACAATTGCTTCAGCTCACCCAGCCAAGATGACACCGCCCTACTGAACAGTACACTCCACGCGGACGCTTCCTGCGACCCGCGACAATTAGTCGATTTCGACACAAGTCCGGCGCAACATCGGTACCGGCTCACGCTACGGGTGACTTACCGCCGGGCTCCGCTACGACGATAGCGAGTGTGTTCAACTGCGTCTTGTTGTCTTTGCTACAGCTACACGTCACGGCGGCCAAGCTACACTACATATATGTACACACACGCAGACGCTCACGCCGTGGACTCGTGGGGCTTGCCCTGCACCAGCGACATTGAGCTGCTTCTGATCCGGAGCACCGTCTTGATGACGGCCGAGGACTTGGCCTCCTGGGCCCAGGCCACTCGGTTCGCTAGCACTCGGGCCGGGTTGGGCCACCCTCCCATGCAGGCCGAAGCTCCGCCGGAGCCCTTCTTCTCCTGCTCGGCCAACGCCTTGGTGATTCGCTGGGACAGCAACTGGGACGGATACTCGACCAAGTGGTAGGAGATCGTCGACAGCAGCAAAATCAACCCGAAGCGGGAGAACACCTTGTCGTACCAGTTCGGCTGCGAGCCGATCACGTACGCGTACGACACGAAGCTGTGCAGCAGGTACACGGAGAAGCTGATCTTGCCCCAGCAGCACGCTCCACTCGAAGATACTGGATACGCAGGACGGCAGGATCATCTCGATCACGAAGAGCAGCGTCAGCGGGACACTGATAAACGAAAACCCCTTCTCGTTCGGGGCCGGGTTCTTATGCACCCAGTGGAAGAACAGGCCGTGGAATGTGATGCTCAGGAACACTGCAAATGTGATGTACTCGACGACACGGATTGCGAGCACGTGCCACCGACGGAACTCGAAGCCCGTCGTCTTGATCCACGTGTCGATCTTGACGAAAATGACCGCAGCCATGGAACCGGCGACGAAAGTCGGGAAGTGGGGACGCAGCTCCATGTGGCTCGTTCTGAACTGGTACCAGCCTTCGTTGACGATCCAGTAGTACGCCGGGAGGAACGGGACGAACCAGAAGTGACCCAGCGCGAGCACTCCGAGCACGAACACTGGGATGAAGAAGTAGTACGTGATCTGGAGCGGCAGCGTCCAGAACACAAAGTACCGGTAGTCGAACTCGAACGGGAGCACCTTGAAGAGGTCGAAGCTCTCGGGTTTCTCGATCAAGTAGTAGCGCTTCTTGGCGTCAGCGGGCAGCAGCCAGATCACGACGCTCGTGAGTGCGAACAGCGGGTAGACTCGACAGAAGCGCTTGGAGAAGTAGTCGGCCAGCGTGAACATCCACTTGCGGACGCTCGCGCGCTGGGCTAACAGTCGGATGCTCTTCTTCATGAAGAGCCAAGTCAACAGGAACGAAGAGAGCACGAAGAACGCGTCTACGGCGATGGCGCCCAGGTCGATGTCGACCATGTACTCCTTCGAGTGCGACGTGCAGACCATGAGCGCCGCGAGCCCGCGCACGCCGTCGAGCAACAGGACCTTGGTGGGCGCAGACGCTGCATGGGGCTGCGTGGTGCTTGCTGCTGTCGTCGCTGTCGCGCGCCACTAACGGCTGCGCCTCGGCGACATCGTTTACGGATAGTGCCACGTCTAATGCGGGGACGTCGGAGTCCGAGGCTTTGGCATTCCTCAGCATTGCGGGAATTGCGACAGTGGGGAGCTACGTTGGGGCTGTGGCGGCCAAGTGGCGACTAGTGATGGTTTTGGACGACTTCAGAATAGTTCAGAATACTTTGGAAAACGTCCAAAATTCCGTCCAAAATCCAAATGTATCCAAAACTGTCAGAAAGAATACTCGGGATTGATTCTCAACCAGAGGCACAACTGCGCCTTCGCATCCGAAGAAGCCACCGCTGGTGCCCAATTCGAACGAGACGCCGCTGCAGATTCCCTCTGCGGACGAGCCCATGCCAATTACAGCTCCGTTAGCTGCTGAGCACGAGCCCCAACATCGACAGAGACGCCCGCGCGTTAGACCTGTACCGGAAGGCCCAGCCGAGCCACCGTAAGCGCCCTGAAGACGAGCTGGACACCAGCACACGAAGGTGACCGACGTCGAGGAAGAACGGACGACCGGCTGCAGGGCGACCGCGCCAGCGACAACGACGCGGAGAGGCTCTCTCAGTGAAGCAGCTTGCCGAGCGCCAGAAGGAGGAGACCCACCGCACCGTCGTGGGGAACATCAAGCTGCGCGGCATACTCAAGCGTGGCTTAGGCGTTGACGGCCGTCCTCACGGCCAAGGATGGCACTGACGTGCTCGTGCTCATGAAGAGCAAGTAGTACTATTACCCCGCAGGCGCACAGCGCGACATTAGGAACGCTGGCTACACTATGTTCATCGTGGGTGACGGCGCTGTGGTTGTCGAGGTGGTCGGCGACACGACGTCCAAGCGCCCGAGGTGCACTGTGACGATCCTCGAGGGAGAGACCAAGCGGGTCGCGAGTGACGAGTCCGCGATCAAGCCGTCGACGTACCTCAAGCACCTGGCCGTCAACGTGGAGCTGAGCGAGCATCAGACGAAGTATCTCAATGGCAATTACTTCGAGAAGCGCAGGCTGCGGGCGGACAAGGCACAGATATTGAGGCGGACATCCAGACCTGTGCGGTGGCTTCAGCCGAGCTTATCCAGAAGCAAGCGCGTCGCTTCGTCAAAGACAACCGAAAGCCGCAGCAGAACAGTGCGTAGTACGCCAGCAGCTACGTGCAGGCCCAGATCAATACCACCAAGAGTTCTATGTTGAAGAGAAGGTATATGAAGACCTAAAGTAAAACCAAACACACAATGTATTAAAGATTAGTTGTCGACTTCTACACTCTCTGGGCGCGATTGATGACGCGCAAGATCGAGTTCATCGCTCTCAATGATGCCATAATTGATGTAGATGAATGCAAGCATCTCGACCTTTTCTACGGAGAGTCTATTCCTCCTTTTGGAGTGAATGTGATCAAATATGCTCCATGCTCTCTCGCTCGCAGCCGATGAAGTAGGAATCGCGAATACAATATCAGCTACGGGTACCGGAAAGACTTCTTCTCACTCTTCGAGCCCCAGTAGTACTGCGGACTTGACTCAGAAAACTTTACCCGCTCAGCTTCACCACCACGCCGTTTTTCAGTCTTGAACTCAAGAATCTCCGCGGTTAGCTTAGGTATATCCACTGCCGTTATGATGCCGCAACGTACCGCCATTTGGCAGGCTTGGTCATCTACCTTCTCGCTGTCCATGCCAACAAAGTCGTCAAGATCCGTAGCAGGATCGAGCATGAATGCAATGCCCATTGCGTTGGTGTGCACGTACGTCCAGCGCTTCTTGATCTTTTCACGAAAGCAGCCTTGCAACTCGACGAGCGATAAAGTTGCAACCTTCTTGTAGTCATCTCCAGTAAGGATGCTTTCATCCTCTGCCAATACACTTTGAAGCTCATTGTCAGCGCTGCTGGTGGGAGTTATGCGCTCTACTGTGTCGCTCAGAAGTTCGATTCCATCTCGCGCAGGTCCATGCGCTTCTCTGTTGTTCTGCCGCTCCACCACGCGATTCTGCGGCTCCGTCGGTGGACCCGCCGCATCATCCTGCTGTTCTTCGTCGGGTGACGTGACGCCGTAAGCCGAATGATAACGAAGCCACCGGAACCACCGATACACACCCGACACAAACGTATTGTCTGTTTCTAATGCCCGGAGCGCCGTAATGATGGGATCGAGAAGGCGTACTACTGTCCTCAAGCTACTCCAAAACCCGTTATCGCGGATGAGCTCCGTGATATAGCGAAGCTTCTTCCGACTTGCCGCGGTTCCACGATAGCGATCAAGAAATCGATCGTACTCAGGACTCAAAAACAATTTCTCGAATATGTCCTGGCTGTTCAGCACACTCCGCATACAGGCATGCACTGAGTACCATCGCGTCGGCATTGGTAGCACGAGATTGCGCGTTTTAATCCCTGATTCGCGGGTTTCTTTCTTCAACTGCTTGAACTCGTCATGTAAGGCAAGGTGGTCTCGAATAAAGCGTGTCAGGGTGACAGCTCTCGACAGGATCGCTTTAATGGCAGAAAATTGGCACACGTCTTGCACCAATAAATTCAGTACGTGTGCCGAACAGCCACCGCTCACCACATTTGGGCGTCTGCCCTGTACGCTAGCCGACGCGCTCCTCATATTTTGCGCGTTGTCTGTTATAATAGCAACGACTTGGGCTGTAGTATCACGTTTAATTTCCTCGATAACTTTGTCAATTTCGCCAGCGATATATCTTGCCGTGTGCTGCTCGGATCTGGTAGACCATGACGACCAAAAGACGGACGGTATCCCGGGTGCAACCACCATAAAATTGATTATACTCGAGCTGTTGGTGTCACTCCATCCGTCGGTGACGAGCGAGACGTAGACTTGTTTATTGATCAGCTCGATGACATGGCTCCGGCGAAGCTGATCTCGCACCCGTTTCAGCAACACTCCGCTCACTTTATGGCGCGATGGTATTTGCATTGTAGGTGCCAACATAGCGAGAAATTCACGAAATATTGGGGCCTCCAGGAGAATAAAAGGAAGTGCGCAAACAAAAAAACTTTCGCCAGCGCCAATTCGAAGGCGTCTTGCGTCAACCCGCTTTGAGTAGATCGGACTGTCTGGTCGCGTTCTTGAGCCTGAGCAGTGGCTTGAGCAGGGGCTTGAGCAGGCTCGGGAGGTGCGGGACGCAGAGAAATTTGCACATCACGGGGGACACGAGGGCACTGCTTGGGCTGCGTTAGATGCTTTAGCAGGTTGCCGCCGGGCTTGCCATTTTTCTTCAAAGTACCGCAATACTTGCAACGACCGTGTTTTTTCCGTTCTCTCTCTCAATGTCGTAATGCTGCGAGATTTCATCTCGAGGGCGCCCCATTCGGGTTGGCGAAGCTCCCGTTCGTCGCAACGAAGGTGGTGGCGAGAAGTTAACGCGTCTTGTTGGCGTAGGCGATCGCATGTGCCTTAGAGACGGGCTGGAGGTAGAAGTTCCGCCATGGTAGGGGCTGTAGCGAGGAGAACGTCGCAACGCAGAGCCGGAACGGATCCCCTGCGCACTACGCGTGGTTACTTGCGGCGATGTAAAGTTGTCACTTGATGCTGGTGTTGCTTGCCGACTGGAAATAGGCGCTGGGGAGGCGTTCGGCAGGTTCGCAGGCAAGATGCAGTTTCAGGAGCGCCGTCGGGTGGCAAGGTGTTCATGGAGGGGAATGTCTTGCAGTGAGGGAGATTTACAGAGGGAGGGAAGAGGGAAGATCGCACATCAAGTTCGAGGTACTGACTTTTAGACACTTTTGGACATTTTGGACACTTCTAAAGTGTTTAGAACGTTTTAGACGTTTTGGACGTTCTTTACTCGTCCAATTCAGAACCATCACTAATGCCGACACTGGACTAACGGACCTCCAGCTCCGTATCCGGCATTGCGGATCCCGACATATCTTCGCTGACTTGATTGGGATCACGTATTGACCAATCAGAGGACGGTATTCAGTACGTACCGCCAATCGTCCACTTTGAGTGAAGTGGCCACCTTTGCTGGACGATTCGTATGGATGCGAGCAATGACGCAGTGATCCTTTCCTCTCCTCTCGGTGAGAGGCTCTCGCTACTCGCAGTGGATGCCGCTACTCTACGGATCTCCTGACTGAAGTTTAGGCACATGACATCGGGTCGACCTTTTCATGGTGGCACAATCATTGGGCAGCGCGACCAAGACGATTTCAACACCGGCACCAAACGCGGTGGCTGCTATCTCTCTATGCACTGGTGGCACGCATTGGCATTAATCTTGCTGGAGACAACACCTTAATTCGCGGAGGCTTTTACAGTACAGTGTATTGAGCCCACTTTGTGTCTCATCGTTCTCCCGGCGTGATGCGGTACTGCCCACTTAACCAAGGCGCACGGTACAGTTTTCCCAAATATCGGAAGAAAAAACAGCAACTGCCCACCTTGTTTTAGTTTTAACTAGCAAAGTAGTGCTGAATTCGTTGGTAGCGTGCAGTTCGCACCGAGTAGACACTCTACAAACGAATCAGTGGGTCCAGAACCTTCGACTTCTACCACGACACAACCCCGTGAACTACGTAGTGATAACCGAATTGCCCAAGTGCTCAATCCCGGATCCCCACATACGTAGTGCCCTTGTCGTGACTCACGAGTCGTGAGCCCAAAATAACAAAACAGCTAGTAAACTTCAACTTGTAGCTATTGTAGGCAACTTCAACTTGAGGCTCCAATCAAGTGATGTGGGTACTGGCAGCGGAAAGACCAACCGAGCACATCCAACTACGGGCCTGCGCCGCTTGTGAATATTGGATACGATAACACGCGCAAGTCAACGGATCGATCTTTTCAGTTGGCAGAGTTCCGATGATCGATATGCGTCCTCACACAGCGCGCAAAAGCAGACAAGCATAGCTAAAAAGTGTTGATTGTATCCGTACAATTGGAAGCAAAGCTAGCGCTGCACTCGGAAACGCGGCGGCCGCAGGTGAACAGACGGATACGAATGCATTCGTAGACTGGTGTGTCCATCAACATTATTAGTTTTTATATTAGCTTTACGGTCAAATAAATGCTACGTGCGCCCCCCCCTGCAATCAAGCGGAGAGTGGCAACACGAGCACATACGACGTCGATGGTAGCTCATTTTGTAAGTCGCAGCCCAGCACCCCCATCTCTACATGGCACGACCGCGGGAGTTGCCAGCGCGACCGGTGCGCACGGCGGCAGTGGGTGTAGCGCTGCTCACGATCGCACCCGATCGGCTCTGTGCGATAGTGCCTGGTATCGGGCCGGCCGCGGGAGACACATTCTTGACAGGCGACGCGTTCTTCACGGGGGACACATTCTTCACTGGTGCGGCGTTCTTCACTGGAGCAGCGTTCTTCACGGGCGAAGTATTCTTCACCGGAGCGGCCGTCTTCTCCGGGACTGCACCCTTCACCTGCTGCGCGTTGGTCTTGGGCGCCGCCGCGTCCTTCTTGATCTGGACGTTGTTGGCAGCCGCCTTCACGGCCACCGGCGCCGGGGGCGGAACGTGCGCCCACTTCTCGACCTCCACGGGCAGGTGCTTCTTCACAGCCTGGATCTGGGCCTTGCCGCCAGCGTTCTTCTTCGCAGGCTGAGGCGCCTGCTTCTGCTTCTGCTGCGGCTTCACGGCTTTTTCGGCCGAGTTTGAGCGAGGACGGACGTTGTTCGCCTGCAGCGCAGGCCGGTCCTTGCCGGCCTCCCACACCGCCGCGCCGCCGGCCTGCTTGAGCTGCGTGCGGATCGCGTCGTACAGGTGCTGGCCGCCGAGCTGCTGCATGGCCTCCTGGAACCGGTCCGACTGCACCTGCCTGGCCATCTGCCTCAGCAGGTTCTGGTTCATGGTGGCCCAGCCGTCCGCGTCGGCGGCCGCCGCGCCAAACGCGGGCTGCAGGCCCTTGGTCGTGGGCGTCAGCACGAGGCGCGCGTGGCCGTCGTAGTTCAGGATCTCACGCAGCAGCTGGCACGCCGCGCGCTTCTCCGGCGCGAGGCCCAGCACCAGCCGCAGCACGAAGCTCATGCCCACCACCTGCGGCACGTGCTGCTTGGAACGCAGGCCGCTCGTGCCGAAACGCGCGCCAATCACGTTGTCCATCTCGCCGAGGCTGTCGCGCCGGCCCAGCTCCTTCTCGCCGTACTTGGTGAGCGCGGCCGACACGATGAGCAGCACGAGCAGCGCCTGCTGGGTCTCCTGGATCTCCTGGATGCACGTGAGCGCCTTGGGGTTCACGGCGCCGCGCACCCACTGGTCCACCTGCTCGCGCTTGGCGTTGGCCTTGGCGTTGATGGCGCGCGCCGCGGCCTCGTCGTTGGCGACGAAGAAGTTGTGGAACTTCTGGAACCGCTCGAAGTCCGTCTTGCGGATCTGGCGCGCGCGCTGCACACTGCTGGCAGTGATGTCGGTCAGCGCGAACGGCGTCGCGTTCTTGGCGCCGTTGTCGTTCTTGTTGGCGTTCGGCTTCTTGCCGGCCGATGCCACCTCGCGCGTCGGGGCTGCAGCGACGGTGACCGCGGCCTTGGGTGCCTGCGTCGCCGCAGCCGTGGCCTTGGCGCTGACTGGCTTCACCTGCGCGTTAGCAGGAGCGGCGGCGGCGGCGGCCGGGGCGTTCTTGGCGCTGTTCTTGCCGTTGTTGGCCTTCTGTCGCGATGAAGCGTTCGTCATTCTCGGGGTGCCCAGGGAGCGCGGAGGCTCTCGAAAGCTTGGTTGTGTCGCTTGTTGGCTTGGTAGTCGATTGCAAAGTGAACGTGCTCGAGTACAGCTGAGCTCGACGCGAGAGGACTCGAGCTCAAAGCTCGGACCCAAACCGCATTGGAGCGTGCGTGAGTTTCACGAGCTGGCCGGGCCGGGCCGGGCCGAGCCGAGCCGAGCCGACAAGAGCGGTGACGTGCTTCTCACCTACGCTGGAGGGATTCGACTAAGGTGGCGAAGCGAAGCCGTGCGAGGGCGACCAAGTAGGAAGCACAACGCCGCACTATTTTCGGCTTCAGCCTGACGTAGTCACCATCTAAGTTGGGGTGTGTGAAACTCGGGATCTCGATCGTGGGATGGCGATTAGATCGGATCCTCTGCTAACGAGTGTCTGTAGTGCCTTGTCGCGAGCGTTTGTGTTGGGGACCAGCCCAAAATAACAAAACAGCTACTAAACTTCAACTTGTAGCAATTGTAGGCAACTTCAACTTGAGGCCCCAATCAAGTGATGTGGGTACTGGCAGCGGAAAGACCAACCGAGCACATCCAACTACGGGCCTGCGCCGCTTGTGAATATTGGATACGATAACACGCGCAAGTCAACGGATCGATCTTTTCAGTTGGCAGAGTTCCGATGATCGATATGCGTCCTCACACAGCGCGCAAAAGCAGACAAGCATAGCTAAAAAGTGTTGATTGTATCCGTACAATTGGAAGCAAAGCTAGCGCTGCACTCGGAAACGCGGCGGCCGCAGGTGAACAGACGGATACGAATGCATTCGTAGACTGGTGTGTCCATCAACATTATTAGTTTTTATATTAGCTTTACGGTCAAATAAATGCTACGTGCGCCCCCCCTGCAATCAAGCGGAGAGTGGCAACACGAGCACATACGACGTCGATGGTAGCTCATTTTGTAAGTCGCAGCCCAGCACCCCCATCTCTACATGGCACGGCCGCGGGAGTTGCCAGCGCGACCGGTGCGCACGGCGGCAGTGGGTGTAGCGCTGCTCACGATCGCACCCGATCGGCTCTGTGCGATAGTGCCTGGTATCGGGCCGGCCGCGGGAGACACATTCTTGACAGGCGACGCGTTCTTCACGGGGGACACATTCTTCACTGGTGCGGCGTTCTTCACTGGAGCAGCGTTCTTCACGGGCGAAGTATTCTTCACCGGAGCGGCCGTCTTCTCCGGGACTGCACCCTTCACCTGCTGCGCCTTGGTCTTGGGCGCCGCCGCGTCCTTCTTGATCTGGACGTTGTTGGCAGCCGCCTTCACGGCCACCGGCGCCGGGGGCGGAACGTGCGCCCACTTCTCGACCTCCACGGGCAGGTGCTTCTTCACAGCCTGGATCTGGGCCTTGCCGCCAGCGTTCTTCTTCGCAGGCTGAGGCGCCTGCTTCTGCTTCTGCTGCGGCTTCACGGCTTTTTCGGCCGAGTTTGAGCGAGGACGGACGTTGTTCGCCTGCAGCGCAGGCCGGTCCTTGCCGGCCTCCCACACCGCCGCGCCGCCGGCCTGCTTGAGCTGCGTGCGGATCGCGTCGTACAGGTGCTGGCCGCCGAGCTGCTGCATGGCCTCCTGGAACCGGTCCGACTGCACCTGCCTGGCCATCTGCCTCAGCAGGTTCTGGTTCATGGTGGCCCAGCCGTCCGCGTCGGCGGCCGCCGCGCCAAACGCGGGCTGCAGGCCCTTGGTCGTGGGCGTCAGCACGAGGCGCGCGTGGCCGTCGTAGTTCAGGATCTCACGCAGCAGCTGGCACGCCGCGCGCTTCTCCGGCGCGAGGCCCAGCACCAGCCGCAGCACGAAGCTCATGCCCACCACCTGCGGCACGTGCTGCTTGGAACGCAGGCCGCTCGTGCCGAAACGCGCGCCGATCACGTTGTCCATCTCGCCGAGGCTGTCGCGCCGGCCCAGCTCCTTCTCGCCGTACTTGGTGAGCGCGGCCGACACGATGAGCAGCACGAGCAGCGCCTGCTGGGTCTCCTGGATCTCCTGGATGCACGTGAGCGCCTTGGGGTTCACGGCGCCGCGCACCCACTGGTCCACCTGCTCGCGCTTGGCGTTGGCCTTGGCGTTGATGGCGCGCGCCGCGGCCTCGTCGTTGGCGACGAAGAAGTTGTGGAACTTCTGGAACCGCTCGAAGTCCGTCTTGCGGATCTGGCGCGCGCGCTGCACACTGCCGGCAGTGATGTCGGTCAGCGCGAACGGCGTCGCGTTCTTGGCGCCGTTGTCGTTCTTGTTGGCGTTCGGCTTCTTGCCGGCCGACGCCACCTCGCGCGTCGGGGCTGCAGCGACGGTGACCGCGGCCTTGGGTGCCTGCGTCGCCGCAGCCGTGGCCTTGGCGCTGACTGGCTTCACCTGCGCGTTAGCAGGAGCGGCGGCGGCGGCGGCCGGGGCGTTCTTGGCGCTGTTCTTGCCGTTGTTGGCCTTCTGTCGCGATGAAGCGTTCGTCATTCTCGGGGTGCCCAGGGAGCGCGGAGGCTCTCGAAAGCTTGGTTGTGTCGCTTGTTGGCTTGGTAGTCGATTGCAAAGTGAACGTGCTCGAGTACAGCTGAGCTCGACGCGAGAGGACTCGAGCTCAAAGCTCGGACCCAAACCGCATTGGAGCGTGCGTGAGTTTCACGAGCTGGCCGGGCCGGGCCGGGCCGGGCCGAGCCGAGCCGAGCCGACAAGAGCGGTGACGTGCTTCTCACCTACGCTGGAGGGATTCGACTAAGGTGGCGAAGCGAAGCCGTGCGAGGGCGACCAAGTTGGAAGCACAACGCCGCACTATTTTCGGCTTCAGCCTGACGTAGTCACCATCTAAGTTGGGGTGTGTGAAACTCGGGATCTCGATCGTGGGATGGCGATTAGATCGGATCCTCTGCTAACGAGTGTCTGTAGTGCCTTGTCGCGAGCGTTTGTGTTGGGGACCAGCCCAAAATAACAAAACAGCTACTAAACTTCAACTTGTAGCAATTGTAGGCAACTTCAACTTGAGGCCCCAATCAAGTGATGTGGGTACTGGCAGCGGAAAGACCAACCGAGCACATCCAACTACGGGCCTGCGCCGCTTGTGAATATTGGATACGGTAACACGCGCAAGTCAATGGATCGATCTATTCAGTTGGCAGAGTTCCGATGATCGATATGCGTCCTCACACAGCGCGCAAAAGCAGACAAGCATAGCTAAAAAGTGTTGATTGTATCCGTACAATTGGAAGCAAAGCTAGCGCTGCACTCGGAAACGCGGCGGCCGCAGGTGAACAGACGGATACGAATGCATTCGTAGACTGGTGTGTCCATCAACATTATTAGTTTTTATATTAGCTTTACGGTCAAATAAATGCTACGTGCGCCCCCCCTGCAATCAAGCGGAGAGTGGCAACACGAGCACATACGACGTCGATGGTAGCTCATTTTGTAAGTCGCAGCCCAGCACCCCCATCTCTACATGGCACGGCCGCGGGAGTTGCCAGCGCGACCGGTGCGCACGGCGGCAGTGGGTGTAGCGCTGCTCACGATCGCACCCGATCGGCTCTGTGCGATAGTGCCTGGTATCGGGCCGGCCGCGGGAGACACATTCTTGACAGGCGACGCGTTCTTCACGGGGGACACATTCTTCACTGGTGCGGCGTTCTTCACTGGAGCAGCGTTCTTCACGGGCGAAGCATTCTTCACCGGAGCGGCCGTCTTCTCCGGGACTGCACCCTTCACCTGCTGCGCCTTGGTCTTGGGCGCCGCCGCGTCCTTCTTGATGCTGGGTCTCCTGGATCTCCTGGATGCACGTGAGCGCCTTGGGGTTCACGGCGCCGCGCACCCACTGGTCCACCTGCTCGCGCTTGGCGTTGGCCTTGGCGTTGATGGCGCGCGCCGCGGCCTCGTCGTTGGCGACGAAGAAGTTGTGGAACTTCTGGAACCGCTCGAAGTCCGTCTTGCGGATCTGGCGCGCGCGCTGCACACTGCTGGCAGTGATGTCGGTCAGCGCGAACGGCGTCGCGTTCTTGGCGCCGTTGTCGTTCTTGTTGGCGTTCGGCTTCTTGCCGGCCGATGCCACCTCGCGCGTCGGGGCTGCAGCGACGGTGACCGCGGCCTTGGGTGCCTGCGTCGCCGCAGCCGTGGCCTTGGCGCTGACTGGCTTCACCTGCGCGTTAGCAGGAGCGGCGGCGGCGGCGGCCGGGGCGTTCTTGGCGCTGTTCTTGCCGTTGTTGGCCTTCTGTCGCGATGAAGCGTTCGTCATTCTCGGGGTGCCCAGGGAGCGCGGAGGCTCTCGAAAGCTTGGTTGTGTCGCTTGTTGGCTTGGTAGTCGATTGCAAAGTGAACGTGCTCGAGTACAGCTGAGCTCGACGCGAGAGGACTCGAGCTCAAAGCTCGGACCCAAACCGCATGGGAGCGTGCGTGAGTTTCACGAGCTGGCCGGGCCGGGCCGGGCCGGGCCGAGCCGAGCCGAGCCGACAAGAGCGGTGACGTGCTTCTCACCTACGCTGGAGGGATTCGACTAAGGTGGCGAAGCGAAGCCGTGCGAGGGCGACCAAGTAGGAAGCACAACGCCGCACTATTTTCGGCTTCAGCCTGACGTAGTCACCATCTAAGTTGGGGTGTGTGAAACTCGGGATCTCGATCGTGGGATGGCGATTAGATCGGATCCTCTGCTAACGAGTGTCTGTAGTGCCTTGTCGCGAGCGTTTGTGTTGGGGACAAGCCCAAAATTCACAGGTCGAAGACCTGTGCTTGGTCCCGGCAAAAACTTGTAACTTTCCAAAACCGGGTGCCAAACCGGGTCTCTCTTTCTTAATTGTAATGTTTAAGCTAATATCTGCCGGAATCGGGTACCCGTCGATAATTATGCACATTTTTTACCAAAGGTTGGTACTAATCGTTCATTCGTTACCAAAACCTGCGGTCAAACACTTACGTACGTTCCAGTACACTATGAGAGTGTCATGGCCTCGCTGAAGGCGTATCAATTTGCGCCATAATCGACCAAGCTTAGCTGAAGATGACCAATACGACTTTTCTAGCTGCAGGCTGCATTTTTTACATGTCAATTTGCTCAATACTCAATCACTTAGCCGAAGATGCCCAACCTCGTGTCTCTCGCCAAACCAACCGCTCAACTCGACGGTGACACGAGCATCGTTCGTTTGAATTAGGGTTTCTTTACCTGCGTTGAAGCGCCCACTTCCAAGGACTTGGCACATTAACGTATTTTTCATTCCGCAATTTACCCTCAAGTTAAAAGGTCAAGATCAGCGCACCATGCATCTCTCCTTCGTTCCGCTAGCTCTCTCATCTGATCGTTAGCAAACAACACAGTACTAAATGAGCACAGTATACCTTACCTGCAAACTGAATGAAATAGCTCTCTCGTTGCTGGCGTCAACGCAGCGATTGGACGCTGACCAGGGTGTTATTCCCGGGCAGATGCTGCGGCTGCGAAGCAGGCGCAGTAGATGCCAACGTTAGAATCGACTAGAGAGTTCGGCTGGTAGTGCTCTTTTAAAATCCTTACAAGGATTAAAAACAACACTGGGATTTACTCAATTCTTATCCGTTATCATCGTCCATGAAACTATTCGCCGACCTGTGTACCCTCCAAGAGCAACTCTCCGGGTTGCCAATAACAAAACAGCTGGTAAACTTCAACTTGTAGGCAATTGTAGGCAACTTCAACTTGAGGCCCCAATCAAGTGATGTGGGTACTGGCAGCGAAAAGACCAACCGAGCACATTCAACTGCGTGTGTCAGCGGGCCTGCGCCGCTTCTAAATATTGGATACGGTAACACGCGCAAGTCAACGGATCGATCTTTTCAGTTGGCAGAGTTCCGATGATCGATATGCGTCCTCACACAGCGCGCAAAAGCAGACAATCGTAGCAAAACAAAGTTGTGATGATCTCTCTGCTAAGGGAAGCAAACCAATCATAAACGCATGGGACACGGGCCCTACAGACACTCGTTAGCAGAGGATCCGATCTAATCGCCATCCCACGATCGAGATCCCGAGTTTCACACACCCCAACTTAGATGGTGACTACGTCAGGCTGAAGCCGAAAATAGTGCGGCGTTGTGCTTCCAACTTGGTCGCCCTCGCACGGCTTCGCTTCGCCACCTTAGTCGAATCCCTCCAGCGTAGGTGAGAAGCACGTCACCGCTCTTGTCGGCTCGGCTCGGCTCGGCCCGGCCCGGCCCGGCCCGGCCAGCTCGTGAAACTCACGCACGCTCCAATGCGGTTTGGGTCCGAGCTTTGAGCTCGAGTCCTCTCGCGTCGAGCTCAGCTGTACTCGAGCACGTTCACTTTGCAATCGACTACCAAGCCAACAAGCGACACAACCAAGCTTTCGAGAGCCTCCGCGCTCACTGGGCACCCCGAGAATGACGAACGCTTCATCGCGACAGAAGGCCAACAACGGCAAGAACAGCGCCAAGAACGCCCCGGCCGCCGCCGCCGCCGCTCCTGCTAACGCGCAGGTGAAGCCAGTCAGCGCCAAGGCCACGGCTGCGGCGACGCAGGCACCCAAGGCCGCGGTCACCGTCGCTGCAGCCCCGACGCGCGAGGTGGCGTCGGCCGGCAAGAAGCCGAACGCCAACAAGAACGACAACGGCGCCAAGAACGCGACGCCGTTCGCGCTGACCGACATCACTGCCGGCAGTGTGCAGCGCGCGCGCCAGATCCGCAAGACGGACTTCGAGCGGTTCCAGAAGTTCCACAACTTCTTCGTCGCCAACGACGAGGCCGCGGCGCGCGCCATCAACGCCAAGGCCAACGCCAAGCGCGAGCAGGTGGACCAGTGGGTGCGCGGCGCCGTGAACCCCAAGGCGCTCACGTGCATCCAGGAGATCCAGGAGACCCAGCAGGCGCTGCTCGTGCTGCTCATCGTGTCGGCCGCGCTCACCAAGTACGGCGAGAAGGAGCTGGGCCGGCGCGACAGCCTCGGCGAGATGGACAACGTGATCGGCGCGCGTTTCGGCACGAGCGGCCTGCGTTCCAAGCAGCACGTGCCGCAGGTGGTGGGCATGAGCCGCCGACGCGGACGGCTGGGCCACCATGAACCAGAACCTGCTGAGGCAGATGGCCAGGCAGGTGCAGTCGGACCGGTTCCAGGAGGCCATGCAGCAGCTCGGCGGCCAGCACCTGTACGACGCGATCCGCACGCAGCTCAAGCAGGCCGGCGGCGCGGCGGTGTGGGAGGCCGGCAAGGACCGGCCTGCGCTGCAGGCGAACAACGTCCGTCCTCGCTCAAACTCGGCCGAAAAAGCCGTGAAGCCGCAGCAGAAGCAGAAGCAGGCGCCTCAGCCTGCGAAGAAGAACGCTGGCGGCAAGGCCCAGATCCAGGCTGTGAAGAAGCACCTGCCCGTGGAGGTCGAGAAGTGGGCGCACGTTCCGCCCCCGGCGCCGGTGGCCGTGAAGGCGGCTGCCAACAACGTCCAGATCAAGAAGGACGCGGCGGCGCCCAAGACCAAGGCGCAGCAGGTGAAGGGTGCAGTCCCGGAGAAGACGGCCGCTCCGGTGAAGAATGCTTCGCCCGTGAAGAACGCTGCTCCAGTGAAGAACGCCGCACCAGTGAAGAATGCGTCCCCCGTGAAGAACGCGTCGCCTGTCAAGAATGTGTCTCCCGCGGCCGGCTCGATACCAGGCACTATCGCACAGAGCCGATCGGGTGCGATCGTGAGCAGCGCTACACCCACTGCCGCCGTGCGCACCGGTCGCGCTGGCAACTCCCGCGGCCGTGCCATGTAGAGATGGGGGTGCTGGGCTGCGACTTACAAAATGAGCTACCATCGACGTCGTATGTGCTCGTGTTGCCACTCTCCGCTTGATTGCAGGGGGGGCGCACGTAGCATTTATTTGACCGTAAAGCTAATATAAAAACTAATAATGTTGATGGACACACCAGTCTACGAATGCATTTGTATCCGTCTGTTCACCTGCGGCCGCCGCGTTTCCGAGTGCAGCGCTAGCTTTGCTTCCAATTGTACGGATACAATCAACACTTTTTAGCTATGCTTGTCTGCTTTTGCGCGCTGTGTGAGGACGCATATCGATCATCGGAACTCTGCCAACTGAATAGATCGATCCATTGACTTGCGCGTGTTACCGTATCCAATATTCACAAGCGGCGCAGGCCCGTAGTTGGATGTGCTCGGTTGGTCTTTCCGCTGCCAGTACCCACATCACTTGATTGGGGCCTCAAGTTGAAGTTGCCTACAATTGCTACAAGTTGAAGTTTAGTAGCTGTTTTGTTATTTTGGGCTGGTCCCCAACACAAACGCTCGCGACAAGGCACTACAGACACTCGTTAGCAGAGGATCCGATCTAATCGCCATCCCACGATCGAGATCCCGAGTTTCACACACCCCAACTTAGATGGTGACTACGTCAGGCTGAAGCCGAAAATAGTGCGGCGTTGTGCTTCCAACTTGGTCGCCCTCGCACGGCTTCGCTTCGCCACCTTAGTCGAATCCCTCCAGCGTAGGTGAGAAGCACGTCACCGCTCTTGTCGGCTCGGCCCGGCCCGGCCCGGCCAGCTCGTGAAACTCACGCACGCTCCAATGCGGTTTGGGTCCGAGCTTTGAGCTCGAGTCCTCTCGCGTCGAGCTCAGCTGTACTCGAGCACGTTCACTTTGCAATCGACTACCAAGCCAACAAGCGACACAACCAAGCTTTCGAGAGCCTCCGCGCTCCCTGGGCACCCCGAGAATGACGAACGCTTCATCGCGACAGAAGGCCAACAACGGCAAGAACAGCGCCAAGAACGCCCCGGCCGCCGCCGCCGCCGCTCCTGCTAACGCGCAGGTGAAGCCAGTCAGCGCCAAGGCCACGGCTGCGGCGACGCAGGCACCCAAGGCCGCGGTCACCGTCGCTGCAGCCCCGACGCGCGAGGTGGCGTCGGCCGGCAAGAAGCCGAACGCCAACAAGAACGACAACGGCGCCAAGAACGCGAACGCGAATGCCGCCGCCAAGCCAGCGAAGACCAACGCAGACAACGGCGCCAAGAACGCGACGCCGTTCGCGCTGACCGACATCACTGCCGGCAGTGTGCAGCGCGCGCGCCAGATCCGCAAGACGGACTTCGAGCGGTTCCAGAAGTTCCACAACTTCTTCGTCGCCAACGACGAGGCCGCGGCGCGCGCCATCAACGCCAAGGCCAACGCCAAGCGCGAGCAGGTGGACCAGTGGGTGCGCGGCGCCGTGAACCCCAAGGCGCTCACGTGCATCCAGGAGATCCAGGAGACCCAGCAGGCGCTGCTCGTGCTGCTCATCGTGTCGGCCGCGCTCACCAAGTACGGCGAGAAGGAGCTGGGCCGGCGCGACAGCCTCGGCGAGATGGACAACGTGATCGGCGCGCGTTTCGGCACGAGCGGCCTGCGTTCCAAGCAGCACGTGCCGCAGGTGGTGGGCATGAGCTTCGTGCTGCGGCTGGTGCTGGGCCTCGCGCCGGAGAAGCGCGCGGCGTGCCAGCTGCTGCGTGAGATCCTGAACTACGACGGCCACGCGCGCCTCGTGCTGACGCCCACGACCAAGGGCCTGCAGCCCGCGTTTGGCGCGGCGGCCGCCGACGCGGACGGCTGGGCCACCATGAACCAGAACCTGCTGAGGCAGATGGCCAGGCAGGTGCAGTCGGACCGGTTCCAGGAGGCCATGCAGCAGCTTGGCGGCCAGCACCTGTACGACGCGATCCGCACGCAGCTCAAGCAGGCCGGCGGCGCGGCGGTGTGGGAGGCCGGCAAGGACCGGCCTGCGCTGCAGGCGAACAACGTCCGTCCTCGCTCAAACTCGGCCGAAAAAGCCGTGAAGCCGCAGCAGAAGCAGAAGCAGGCGCCTCAGCCTGCGAAGAAGAACGCTGGCGGCAAGGCCCAGATCCAGGCTGTGAAGAAGCACCTGCCCGTGGAGGTCGAGAAGTGGGCGCACGTTCCGCCCCCGGCGCCGGTGGCCGTGAAGGCGGCTGCCAACAACGTCCAGATCAAGAAGGACGCGGCGGCGCCCAAGACCAAGGCGCAGCAGGTGAAGGGTGCAGTCCCGGAGAAGACGGCCGCTCCGGTGAAGAATGCTTCGCCCGTGAAGAACGCTGCTCCAGTGAAGAACGCCGCACCAGTGAAGAATGCGTCCCCCGTGAAGAACGCGTCGCCTGTCAAGAATGTGTCTCCCGCGGCCGGCCCGATACCAGGCACTATCGCACAGAGCCGATCGGGTGCGATCGTGAGCAGCGCTACACCCACTGCCGCCGTGCGCACCGGTCGCGCTGGCAACTCCCGCGGCCGTGCCATGTAGAGATGGGGGTGCTGGGCTGCGACTTACAAAATGAGCTACCATCGACGTCGTATGTGCTCGTGTTGCCACTCTCCGCTTGATTGCAGGGGGGGGCGCACGTAGCATTTATTTGACCGTAAAGCTAATATAAAAACTAATAATGTTGATGGACACAGCAGTCTTTAAGTCCATGCGATCGTACAGGCCATTGTTGAAGTGGTCAAGTTCTCGAATCTGATTGGCAATCAACTGCCCTTAATAGAGGCCCTATTGAATGCAAAGCGATTGCCCCCTCATTTCGGTATCCGATATCTCATCCGAAGAGCTCTTTGAATTCCTCCATGGCTTCATCGGACGCAGCAGAACACGCGCGCGTGAGCGGCCTCTTCGCCGAGGTCGTGGGCCGCTCCAAGGCGCTCGTCGGCGGCTTCCTCTCCGTGGACGCGGCCTCCGACAGCGCGTCGGTGCAACTGGTCTGGGCCAAGACGGACCTGGTCAACAACGTGACGCACAAGTACCAGGTGCAGCACCACGTGAGCCACTTGACGCAGACGCAGCCAAAGGTTCTCGGCACGGGCTTCCCCACCCCTTGGTCGGCCGACTACACGAGTGTCTCGCCCTCCGGCAAGCGCGTGGTGACGCTCAAACTCGACAAGGGGAAGGGGGAGGGCGCCCCTGAGGGGCTTTTCTCTGGTAGGCTCTCAACCATTGTTTTTAAGTATTTCCTTGCTGTTTTGTGTGACGTTTAAGCCTTTATTTCGCTGAATTTGAGCAGTTTTTGAAGATCGCAAGCTGGTGTCGGCGTTTAAGGCGCCCAAGACGCTGCACGGGGCCATCTACCTGGGAGAACGGGAGGGCGGCATCGCCTGGTCGCACGACGAGAAGACCATCGCGTACGTTGCTGAGAAGAAAGTGGCCGAATCGCCGACGTTCTGGGAGAACGTGAACAGCAAGAAGGAGAAGAAGGAGAATGACGAGTCGATGACCCCTCTCCCTGGTGCCAAGTTCGAGTACGAGGACGACTGGGGCGAGCAGTACGAGGGGAAGAAGACAGCGTCCATCTTCTTGGCCACGTTGGCCACGGGGAAGATCGAGGAAGTGAAGGGGGTGCCGGCCAACTTGACGTGTGCTGATGTGGCCTTTGTGCCCGGAGATAACGAGCTGGTGTTTGCAGCCACTGAGACGGACAACCCGAAGCGACTGGGCATCATCTACTGCTATAACCGCCCGATCGCGCTGTATCATGTGGTGCTAGACAGGGAAGATCAATCGAAGAACGTGGTGAAGAAGCTGGAATTGACCCCGCAGGACGAAGAGAGCAAGGAGATTGGAACGATGAGGAACCCTAGGTTCTCTCCGGACGGCAAGCAGCTCGCGTTCCTCTCCACGCGAGACATTGCCACCCACGGAACGTGCAGCTTTCTGTGCGTGACAGACTGGGCCACGAAGCAGACGTCGACGGTGATCTCCATCAAGGACGAGCCCGACGCATCTGCACTTGACGTCACGAAAGTGTTTAACGGACTGTTCACTGGCTCACTGGGTGAAAATGCCTGGTCGCCAGACGGGAAGTACATCTACGTGGTGTCCCAAGTGGGCTCGCGTCAGGTGTGGAAGTACGTTGAGGTCGCGACAAAGCGATTGATCTCTCCCGAGTACGTGGAAGGTCTTGGCGTCGCCATTGAGACGGTGCTTGACCGCAAGGGCGACTACTTCTTGGTGATGGTGTCCTCGCCTACGCGCCCTGCGAGCGTGTTCCTTGTGCACATTGACACAACGAGTGGTAAGCACATTGGATCTTCGATCTCGATTGAAGACCAGAAGGGGGCTACGGACTACATCAAGCGCTGGGAGGTGTACTCGATTCCTGCGTCTGTGTCGGACGTTCCAGCTACTGAGAAGAAGCTCCCTGAGACGCCTGCTGTGCTGACGAATCTGCTGATCCCGTCGGTGTCTAGCTCCAGTGACTACGAGGCAACAGTGATGCTGCCAAGCAGTTCCCCGCCTGCCGACGGCTACCCCGTCATTCTGGAGTTGCATGGAGGACCGCATGGAAACTCGCCAGTCATGTACCGTGGCATGTGTGACTTCTGGGCTGCCTTGGGTTTTGCCATCGTCACTGTGAACTACCGAGGCAGTACCGGGTTTGGAATCAAGGCATTGGAGTCGCTGATTGGGAAGGTGGGCACTCAAGACGTGTACGACTGTCACTACGCGCTGTGCTACCTTCTGGAGAAGAGCTCGAGGCTTGGCCTGTCGCTAGATAAGTCCCGTGTCCACTGTTCTGGTGGAAGTCACGGCGGGTTCCTCGTGACGCACCTCATCGCGCAGTTCCCTGGATTCTACAAGTCCATGGTGACGCGCAACCCCGTCACGAACATGTCGAGTGTGTTCTACACTTCAGACATCCAGGACTGGGGCCTTGCCTGTGCTGGTATCCAGCGCTTCGAGTCGATTCACACGTCGCAGAAGCTGCAGAACTCCAAGGACGAGCTCCCTCCTCTCACCCCTGAAGCGCGTTTGGCAATCCTCAGCAAGTTGTGGCAGCACTCGCCCGTGAGCAACGATCTTAGTAAGGTCACGACGCCGTCGCTGTTTGGACTGGGCGGGAAGGACAAGCGTGTGCCACCTAACCAAGGTTTGGAGTATCGGGCGACGATCGCGAGCTACGGAGTTCCAACACAGCTCCTGTGGTATCCCGAAGACTCGCACCCGTTGGGCTCCGTGGAGGCTTTTGGCGACTTCTCTGTCAACTGGGGGCTGTGGCTGCTCAAGTATAACCCCAAGTAATTTCCTGCCGGCGTGAATTGAGCATCGATGCGCGGTAGAAGGCTACGGTGAAGTCAACGTTGATGCATTAAAGGTAAACTTTCAGTCGAAATGTACGGTGACGTGCGATTCAGTGTCGATTTCAAAGTATCAGTTCGCTGTAGCCAACTTCTTGGCGACTCAACGTTACTTGTAGCATTACTCGGCGTCTGTCGGCTTCGAAGGGGGCGTCACGAGGTCCGTTGATCCCGAGAATTTCTGCATGTAGAAGTAACACAACATCAACCCAAGTTAATTCACAGCTTGTTCCCAGTGAGTCACCGGGCCAACGCACTTCCGCGAAATCGGCGAAGCCTCCAGCGAGCACTCGAACGTGCGTCTTGACTCCAGCAGCCTCAGCCCGCTCAATGAAGCGCAACGCGCACGTGGGGCCGCGCGTGTTGCTGTGGCCGCAGTGGAAGACGATGTTTTGCTTGCTGCCGAACTTGGCGACCAGCGCGTCCACGTCGGCGTCTTCTTTGAAAGTGGCCGAGGGCAGGTGCTCGGCGTCAACGATGTGGCCCAGCAGCTCGTAGTCCTCGTTGCGGACGTCAACAACAACCGGGTGCTCGGCGTCCGATCGCAGCGCGGCAGCCAAGTCCTCGGCCGAAATCCGCTCGACGGCCAGGAGTTCTTCAGGAGTCGGCATGGTGACGGGAGGGGAGTAGCTTGAGTGGTCCGGGGCTAATCTGGATATGACGGATAAGGCCCAAGCACCAGTCTTGACTCCTTAGTTGAAGTGTAGCGTTAAACGCCGCTGTAGGATGCGATCTCTGAACAGGAAGGCGGTCTGGCCCCATATGAGCACTGAACTGACCTCTCTGCCTGTACGCAAATACTGATGAAGGCCAATCGGGGCTGTAGCAGCCTCGTTCGTGTCAACACAAACAGCTCGGGCTGATCTTAGTGGTAATTGCCTCGTAAACGAACGCCTGTGGTGGACTGCCAGAGCGTCTGCGTGCCGTGTTGAAGACTCAGGTATCGTAAATCCCAATCCTACCTCACGCGTAGTAACGTACAACTTTATCCACCCGCTCGTACTTGCAAGATGACCGTGTTGTTTCTCTAAACTTTTCATCGCTTTTCGGTAGCATCGTTTCCTTCATCGTCCTGCGTGGCTGTCTACAGTATTATTCATGCCCCGATCGTGATAGGAAAGCACGAGAGGTCCTTGAGGTCTACGAGCACGATGGTCGATGTCTCCGAGAAGGAGGGTACCGTGATAAGTCGCACTTGCTGGTCCTTAGCACCTATTCAACCAAGACCAACGTTAGAAATACTCTCCAGGCCATGATTTAATAGAGCTTCACCGTACCTTTAACAAGACGCGTGCTGAAGCGTGGCTGGTTGCCAGAGAAATACACGTGTGGGCAGGTTTCGAGGATGAAAGGGTCCTCGTTGGCCATGGGGAAGCAAGCCAAAATGTCCGGAGCAGTCGGAGCCGCGTGGCGCCACTCAACACACCGCTCCAGATAATCCAGCGAGCGCTCCTGCTCAGCCTTCTCCTTGTCTTCGTCTGTTGTCAAATCAGCGTCGCCGTCCCCGTCGCCCTCACCCTTTGGCAGAGTGCACTGCAGCATACTGTGCAGCGGCTGCCCAGCGTCTCCAAAGAATTGAACTCCTCCAACCTGTGCCTCGTACGGGTTCGTAACGCATCGGAAGGACTTGAAGTGCGAGCTGCGCGGGAACAGGCACGGGTGGAAGCTCTGCTGCGGAAGCGTGTAGTTGCTCGGATCCGACGGGCCGGGCATCACATCGACACACATGGCCGCCGCCAGCGTCGACACCAGTTCGTCGGCATTCTTCAGTGGCTCCCCCTCCAGGGCCAGCTGCTCCGCCGTCTTGCGCTTGATCGTCGGCACCTGGACCTCTCCGTCTCCTGCGGCTTCCACGACGTTGCCCACCACGACGGTCCGAGCGATCTTCGAGACGAACTCCTTCTCCTTGTCATCTCCCAGGCGGCCAGCCAGATAGTCCACCAGCACGTGGTTCTTCAGAGGCTGGCTGTCCTTGTTGCGGCCAATACTCAGGCCCGACACCAGCGCCACATACTCGCTCTCCTGCCTCTCCGGCAGCGGGTGTTGCGGCGGGAAGGACGGCAGAAAGACCTCCTCCACGAAGAACTGTCCTCCTCCTCCGTCACGCGGCACGCGGCCACGCACGCCGAGCACCACGCCGGTCACGAGCCTGGCCACGTCGATGCCGCCCACGAGCTGCACGCGGCCGCTCTCGTCCTCGAGCAGCAGCTCGTCCTTGTCGGTGGCCAGCGACTTGTCGATCTTCTCGATGGGCGTGACGCCCGTCTCACTCGTCAGCGCGTCGAACAGGTCCGGCTTGGCCTCCAGCACCTTGAGCAGCGTGCCGATGAGCACGCATTCCCGGCCGTCGGCCTTGAGGTCGATGACCTTGGCCAGCACGGGCACGCGCCCGCCCGTGCGCTCCTCCACCTGGACGCTCACCACGTCGCGCAGCTGCTGCAGGCGGCTCACGTAGATGTGCGAGAACTGCTGCGCGTACGACTTTTGCTTGAGCACGAAGCGCTGGTAGGTGGGCGTGTACTCGACCGAGCGGCGCGGGGTCTGTGGGGACAGTTAGGCGTGGCCACAGGTAGCAACATGGAGAAGAAGACGTCAGCTATCTGGTGAGCCTATGGCCGCGAGAAGGCCGGCAGTAGGAGCCGCAGGACACGCGTGTCCAGCGAAGGATCGAGGCTGCGGACGCACCATTTCCGTTGGCGCCATTTTCGAGGATGGCCAGATTACTGGATTTTAACAAAACTTCATTAAACTTTACACAAAATGATTGTGAATTTCATAAATACTCGATCGATAAACTTTACTTTTGTTGCGATATACTTTTAGTTCTGCTGGAAATGTTTTTCATTTTTTACTTAGCTGCACGACTCTGAGTGCGCCTCCACGTCCTTCAGCTGCATCTGCTGGCGGCATTTCGAGCATCGCACCATCACAACTGTCGGTCGAGAGCTTCGAAGACTGACTTTGGGCGACGTGTTAGGAGATTCCGTTACTGGGCGAACGGTGTGGTGCACCACCGCTTGTAAGATGTGCCAGTCGACGCGAACGACGTCCACCAATCGTGCACTCCACGGGATCATAGGCTGGTTCTTCTTGGTCGAGTCGTAAAACCCCACCACTTCAGCTACTGTCGATAGTTCCTCTTCTTCTTCTTCTTCTTCTTCTTCTTCTTCTTCAAGTTCGTGGAACGGGACAGCATTGCAGCGCTGAGCAATTTCCTCTCTTAGCCACTCGAAAGTCGAGTTCTCAGTGAAGTAGACGCGTAGCCGAAGAAGGTTTGGCGTAACTGACTTGTCCGCTGTGACTGCATGCAGCTCAACGAAGCAGTACCGAGACCGCTCGATACTGCTTTTGATCACGGGGCGCAACAGCGGATACCGATCAATTTGGTGGGATGTCGGCGTCAATGCTGCTGAAAGCGCCTTCCACAGGTCCACAATGTTCTTGTCTTGAGTGTCGCTTGCTTTCCGAGGCGACAGAGCAAGACCGAGCTGGTGGATGTTATTGTGAAGCTTCATTTTCCCAACCACGTCCAGAGCGTTAGTCGGCATCAGCCGCGCGGCTTCCACCAGCAACGACCTCGCAGTGGTTATTCGTTGCGTGCTAAGGCGAAGCAAGTCTCCGCAGCACGCTAGAGACAACGCCAACTGAAGACGCAGCGAATGCTCACGCGAGATTTTGATGGCATGCTCCAATTGTGACAGCGCCAGCTTCGTCGATCCGACCGGGGTGGCCATCAGCGCACGCTGCAGGTTGATAAATCCGCTGGCTAACCACGTGAGCGCGTACAAATCCGGTTCATCCAGCACACGTGACAACTCCATAGCTGTGCCCAGCAAGAAGTGGCAGTACGGGTTGTCCAATTCAACCTCGCTGGACAACTGCAAGGCCAATTGAACTCGAGTCTCGATCGCTTTGCGAAGAGCTTCCCGTCGGAACTCAAAACTCAAAAATGGCTGGCCGGAGTTGGTGTACGCCGTTGACAGTCCCCCAGTGACCGCTGCTTCATGCTCCGTCTCGCCGTACAACGCAACGTCGAGATCCTCGGCGTCGATCTCGAGAGCAAGCATCACGGCCAAGCGAGACGCCGCTCGCTGGAACTCAAACACCATGCGTGGCGATACCTGTTCCCAAGAGGGTTCTGCTGGATCCTTTGGTGATACATCGCTGGGCTTCTCGCTCTGGTTGTCGGGCTTTGCCAAGTCAGTATAATCCAGGTCAAGCGTGATATGAGGAGCTGATGCCGCCATCAATGCGTCCAAGAACGCGCCCCGACCCAAATTATGCTCGAACTCGATCCACAGTTTGCTCCCGTCCTTCATGACCACCACCAAATCCTTCGTCCGAGCTGCCAGGCCATTGTTTTGTCCCGATGTACTCACTGTTCTGAACGTGAGCTGCACCTGCATGATATCGGAGTACTCGATCGCTGCCCACTGCTCGTAGTCGTCGTACAAATGCACGTGCGGACACTGGAATTCACTCGCCAGTCGCTGTTGACTGCTGCATTCCAGGGTGAGCTCGGCAGGGGACATGCAAGCACAGGCGCGGGTGCGTTGCTGTCTCCTCCGAAGCGCGAAGAGATGCGACTCCCCCAATGCAAGCAGCAGGTCCTTGTCGGTTCTGTACGGGGCCTTCTTGTTCCGCTTGAAGCAGCTCTTGCTGAACTCCTCATCCTCGGTCCATTCGTCTTGTTCGACGTAGACGCGCGCCAAAACGCCGTAGTGGCATGCGCTCGGGTTTGTCATTGATCAAACTAAAGCTTCGAGAAATGCTTTAAAGACACAACGCCAGAGAACGAAGGCAACACCCGCCAACCCAGCAACGATCATCCCGAAATAGGAGGTCATGCGATGTGTTGGTGGTGACAACGATTTTTCCACGCAGTATCTTTATGCTATCCTATAGACCATGAATGTAGAGAAGGGAGGAGACTTTTCTGGCTGCGATGTAGCGCGAAGACTGCAAGGATAGAATACTTTCACATTTCGATAGTATCCTATTCAGTCATTCTGTTTCCTCGTGACTTTATTTCAATCGCCCTCTCGTTCTTAGGTCGATACCAAGGACATGAGGGTGCTAGGATCACGGCCAATTCCCACTCGTCAAATTGCAGCGCAACAAGTAGCAGTCAGCCCCGCGTTTAAAAAGCCGATCCAATCAGCCCAAGATGGCATCACGCCAAGAGCCGAAAGCTCCGATGAAGGCGTCTGCCAAGATGGCTGCACCTAAGACGAAGCGTGGGGGAGCACCTGCTCGGGACCTTTTTTCGACTGGTAGCTTTGACCTGAGTGAGTTGAAGGTCGAGAAAGTCGTGAGGGCCCTAGAGCTCGACAGTGCCAACCACGACATGTTCATCTGTTACTACAACTTCTTCGCCGCTCACAACAGCGGGTTATACAAAGAGATCGAGGCAAAGCACAGCCTCAAGCGCGATGACATGGTTGAGTGGATTGCTGAAACTATGGGCTCCGAGGTTCTGTCATGCGTCAACTACAAGCCAAACAGCAAGAAGGAAGAAAAGGGGGAAATGCCCGACCCATTGGTCGTGGCCATCGCGCTGAGAGTCTACGATGAGGGTAATCTCTCTCTCATGTACCAACTTGGCGAGCTGACGGACTATGTCACGAACCGCCACCGCCCACACGCTCTGCGCTCGAAGAAACATCAGGAGAGACGTGACAACAGCGGCTTGCCTTATCTGGATGAGAAGCAGGTCGCGCACACACTCGGCCTCGGCTTCGTTCGAAAGTTGGTGCACTAGTTGCCCCCTGAAAAGCGAGTTGACGATCAACAGCTCAAGGAAATACTAGCAACATGCGCCATGTACTGGTTGGCACGAGCCAAAAGCTGCACAAGAGGGTCGACAATATCCTGAAGTCTCCAGTGAATCCAGTGAACCGTACGCTTGGACAGCAGAAGAACGCGGTCGCCTGAGGCAAATCGCCAAGCAAGTTCAGTCGGATGAGCTCCAGCAGTCCATGATCGACGTTGGGGGTGATCACCTCTACGATGTCATACGAACTCGACTAAAGCAGGCTGACCCCACCGTCTGGAAGGAGGAGAAGGACAAGGTTGGTTTGCGGCGCGAGTATATACTGAGACGGGATAGATATGCAGCTCAAGTCAAACCGAAGAAGCTCTCGGAGCGCAGGAAGGAGCTGCATCTGAAAGTAGATAATACGCCCGACCTACGGTTCAAGGAGAACAGGGAGCTGCGAGTAGCTGCTGACAGCAGGAATGGGAGCTCTCCACCGCCAGCTCCCGTAGTTGCCACGCCCCGAAGAGGCCGTGGCTCGAAGACTACACCAAAGCAGCCTGATAGTCGAGAAGCACCGAAGGACTCCGTCAGAAGCGAGAACAAGGCCAAGTCAAACACAAGCAGCTCTCAATTGAGCTCAACCCCAGCACGCCTCAAAGCTGATGGAACGCCGGACATGCGCTTCCGCTCCAACAAGACGCAGGCGGCCAATGCAGCCAGCTCTTCGACTACGAACCCTGATAGTAGTGAACGCGTGATCCTGACGGGCCCTCGCGGTGGGAAGTACTACATCGACGCCAAAGGTAAGAAGAGGTACATCTAGTAAACCAGCACAGACAATAGCCGCTCATCGTCTCCGTAAGGAGCTAGCGTGCATTTGGATAAAGCAAACCCATTGTACAGTATCCGCTTCGATAAGGATCACCTTTTTGTGCGTTGTGATCTCTGTCATGCCATGAAGTTCGTCGTCTGAGTCAATACAGTGTGATAGTCTCCGGCGGGTGAACCTTTGAATTTGCCCGTTCCGAATTTCGATTTGGGGATCAGCGTGAACATTGCCAAGAGCTTGGGTTCGCCAGGCACTGCTGGTTTCCGAACAGGATGGTTGTGGAGATCGGCCGACAAGATTTCTGAGCGGCGGCCACCATGACCGTGACAGCCGCGACGGCTCTATCCTGCCAAGCAACCAGCACACACGGGTGGGCACAAAAGAAACTCGAATCTATGCATTCCGACGCACGACGTGGAATCCATTCGAGTCAGATGTAAAGCCCCGTAATGGATATGGATGGCCCGAAACCTCGACGCAGGAGGGGCACACACGCCGGCTTTAACAGCCACTTCCAGCGAGAGGACTTGCATGGCTCCAGGCCTTTCGAAGTGCATTTAGTTGTGGCTTCATGAACCTCGTGCTTCATGGCCTCACGTCGCCACGAAAGAGTTGTGTACGAACGGCCGGCCACTTGCTCGCCGGTTGTGGCGCCGAAAGCTGGTGCTGCATCGTTCGGAGACCGCGCCTGGCCGACTGGTTGCTCGGCGATTGTGGGGTCCTCGAAAGCGTGTGGCGGGGTAGCGTTGTGCGATGTAGGCCAGCTGGAGGAGCATGGTCAGCAGCAACTTGGCATGCGGATAGGCTCCGGGAGGGCTGCGATAAGACGCTCAACAGGTGGCAACAGTCCACCGTAGCGTGCTCTCGCTTGTCAGAACGCCATTCGCCATTCAGTCGGAGAGTCGCGATGAAGGTCATCGCCGACGACGACGAGGCCTTCTCGGGCATTCGGCCGTCCTTGCATCGGCGCCACACTATGGGTGGTAACTCGTCGGTGGCCTCGGACTCGGCGCACGCTCCGATCGTATGGAGACCGGTGATGCCGATGGGGCGTCGGTCAACGCTGGTGTCGTCGCCATCGGAGGACGTTGGGGATATGCGAGCGACTATCGACGGCTCCATGAGGACGAAAAGGTCCATTAGCGACGTCACCAGCCACAGCCGCCGCTCCGGGGACAAGGCCAACTTCGCCCTGCACGACGTGGACGCCTTCAGTGTGGAGCGTGCCAAGGTGATTCGTCGTATCAGCGAGGAGCGCTACGCCCGATTCCTCAACTTCTTCAAGGGCAACGAACCGGAGCTGGCGAAGGAGATTCAGGCGAGGAGCGCCTTCTCGAGGGAGCAGTTGGACGCCTGGGTGAACTACATCGTGAGCCCCAAGGTGCTGCGCTGCATCGTTCGTAGTAAAGACACCCAGCAGGAACTCCTGGGCCTGCTGATGGTGTCTGCCGCGATCTCAAAGTATGGCGAGAGTGAATTGATGGCCAAGGACAGGAGGGGCGACCTGAGTGCCCAGCAGAATATAAAGCTTCACCCTTACGATGAGTACTCAAGTAGCAACCAGGAACCACCTGCACATGTTAACAACAAGGGTGCGGTCGCCATGGAATTCGTGATACGAGTCAACGCGCGGTTGCCGGAAGACAGGCGTGTTGGTGGCGTGGTGCTTAGAGAGATTTTGGCCTATGCCAGCACCACGCATCTCAGCAACGAGACGAACGAGCAAGGTGACGACAAGAGTCTCAACAGAGAGGAGGAGCGAACGAGGCAGATCGTCATGCGCGTTCAGTCGGAATGGTTCCAGGACGCCATGATCAAGGCAAACGGACGATATCTCTATGATGCCATCCGACAGATCCTCTGCAACGTGGACGAAGCGTTGTGGGATGCGTCCAAGGACAAACTTGAGCTGCAGCGCGCCCAGAAGAGCGATCGACTCGGGGCTGAGGTCCTGCAGGTCGAGCGGACATCTGCGTCTGAAGTTCAGATCCGACCCAGAATGCCTCCACCGCCGCCACCTAGCGGACTAAGACAAAGAATGCTTCCCCCGCCACGTCCAGATGAGCCGACGAGAGATGTCTCGATGATGAAAGAGGTTCCTCCTGTTCCGACGGCGATCAGCACCCCAGGCAAGGTCATGCGCTACACTCGATCCTCGTCGATGCCTGTCCAAGAGATCCAAGAACGTGAAAGTTCGCCAATTGTCGGAACAGTCAAAATGCGGCGAAAACTGCAACCGCTCGGAGCTGCCCCGCGCCCCCGCGCGCTTCCTCCCAGGCGTCCTCGGGGCAAAACCCACGACGTCATTGCCCACGTGTCAAGCACGTTCGTCATCAAGGCCCAAGAGCTCGAGTAAGCAGTATTTGTGTCATATGTGTCACCAATTTGCCTGAAATCATGGCGAACAACGAGTACAGTACCAATCCAGAACCTCAGGCTAGCTAAGACCTGGAGAACAACAGCTCAGAGAGAAGCAACACAGATTAATATAGTGCGCTTTTTGTGCTCGATTCATCCCGCCAACAATGTAGTTCTAAGGCAACTGCTGCGGCGCTGGTGCAGCCTTCGTAAAACAAACGCCACACAAATAATTTGAAGTCTCGCGAATTCATTTGAATGCTCTGCCTCAAAATCAATTCGGATTTCTTCTCGTACCTCACTACTCAATCGCCCTCTTCTCACACGTGAAAGATCTTCACTCAGTGCGCCTAACTCTTGGGCTACAGCTGATCTGGTGTGATCGGGTGCTTCAGTGGTATGATGGACTTCTTGTGGACGTCTCGAGGCAGCGCCTTCCTCATATCTACACCAACCGACAATAAAAACAATGAGAAAAGATACGAAGCAACTTCCTGGATGCTAGCAGGGCTATACCGAATGCGTCTTCCCCGTCGTCTGCGCTTGAGTAATACCCGAGCACACGTCTATAGACCGAGTAGCCGAACTTCTCGTACATCCCGATGGCCAGCGAGTTGGAGACGCGCACGAACAGGTCCACGAAGTAGCCGTCGTAGAGCTCCACCGACACGTTCTCCAGGTAGTCCATGAGCTTCTTGGCCAGTCCGAGCCGGCGGAACTCGGGGGCGACCGTCACCGCCGTCACATGTCCGTGCCAGTTGGTGCCTTGGCCCTCAGCCTTGCCCATAACTGAATCAGGCAGAGCACAGCCACGAAAGGTATCATTTAGAGGTCCATACTGGGTCAATCCGAGCCGGGAGAGGCACAAAAGAAGCAGCGTCAAGGGGAGTGACTCACTGTAGCCCATGATGGTGTTGTTGGGGTCCTCCTGCACCAGGAAGTAGTCGGGCCACTTGGCCAGGTACTGCAGGTAGAACGACATGTTGTACTGGTGGCCGACAAACGGGCAGAGCTCGGTCAATACTGGCGCTACGCGGGCGCGCGTGGCGTGACAGCAAAGCAGAAAGACTCACCGTCTCCGTCAGCACGTCCAGGTTGACGTTGTTGAAGCGGAACAGGTCGTCGCAGCAGAACTTGCGCGTGGACGTCATCCTTGGTCCTCGTCTTGACTGGATTGGCGTAAATGAGACCCCAATGTGTACCCGGGTTACCCTAGATACATACTGTATACTATACGGTTACTAGATAGTGTATAGTAACCGTGCGTAACCTCGGGGTACGTCGGATGGATACACGACATGCGGGACGTCGGCGTGGAAGTGCGCGAGTCCAACATCCCTGGGGCGGGCAAGGGGTTATTCGCTACGAGGCTTCACGCTGAAGGTTCTACCGTCTGCATCTACACGGGGGTAGTGCTGCCCAACCAGCAGGCCTGGAAACTACCGGACAAGTCCTACCTCATGAAGCTGGGCGACGGCAAGTACGTTGACGCACTCAACTGTCCCGAGGTGCTGGCCCGGTACATCAACGACTGCAGAGGACACCGCGGAGGCTTCAACGTGCGCTTCGATAAGCGGCCGCACGATGACAGAGCTGACGTCGTGGCTGTGAGAGATATCCAGCCGGGGGAGGAGCTCTACGTCGACTACGGCCGACTCTACTGGCTGGCCTACAACATGATGCACAAGGACAACCCCGTGCGGTAGAACAACACCAGCTTAGAATGAATACAATGGCGTTCAGTTGATGAGATTCAAGTTAGTATTCGCGCAGAGATGCAGAGATGGCGGCTGCCACGTCTTCTTCACTCGCGCTGCGGGGCTTGGTGGGCGTGCCGTCCTGGTGTCCCGTGCTGCTCATGCTGCTCGACAGCGACAGCTTGGCGCCCTACCCAGGCAAAAGCAAGCGTGAGGAGTAGTTGATGAGAGATAATCCAAAGAGCGAGCTTACCTGTCGAGCAAGCTCGTCGTCCGAGTCGTCCCTCTCGCTCGCAGCCGCTGCCTTCTCCTCTTCCTTCGCCTTGCGCATGGCGGCGATCTCGGCCACGGCGATCTCCAGGAAGATGCGCTCGCGGTTGAAGTCGTAGTCGAACACGTCCTGAGGTCGGATAAATATCGACAGTTTTTAGTGTGAATATGGTCCATTTCCCTCTCCCTCCTTCACGTACCCGTTGCAGCAGGTTCTCGTTGAGCGAGGGCATCACAGGCGCAGTCGTGAACGTCCTGTTGAGTGTTATCTTGGTGTGCTGCAGCGTCAAGCAGCGATATACGGTAAGTTCCGCCATTGGCGGCTAACTTTTTTTTCTCTGTTGACAAGTCGCACCAACCTTCAGGATGGCCGTTTGTCCGCTGGAGTGCACAGGTGACGACGCCATGTTGATGATGATACTTTAGGTGTCTTCCCCAGTTCGGAACTGCGTACGAAGCCGAGTCTTTCACTGCTGCGCAATATATAGACAAGGAAAACGTTAGTATGTTCATGCAGGCATGGCACTCGCAGCACAAGAACACCCACGGAGCTCGCTTCCTCCGTCGCACTTCTCTCGGCCGGAACTTGCAGGATCAGAGCGGAAGTCTGAACGTGTACCGGTATTTCATTACCGCTGATCTGCATGCCCCTTTGTGTTTCGTTTGATCGATATTCTCAGGTACTGTAGCATTTAATATTAACCTGAGGTTGGCATCGACTGCTTGACCTTTGACCTCGCGTACGCCGCAGCAAGAGCGTTTTCACGCCTTCTCTATCTAAACGCGAAGACGAGTTCTACGATCCTCCCGCCATGAGCGACGCTTGCAATACTCCGCTCTTTTGGTCAGCGCCGCTTGATGCCTTCCAGGTCGAGCTTGTCTGTGCCCTTGTCGCTCTTCCAGGGCCAGCCAGTGCCCACTCGTCCCTTGACGTCGTCCTTGCCGTCTTCACCGTCCGACGGTGAGTCCATCCACGTGTCCTTTGCCTCCACCGGAGCAGCAGCAGCGGGCGCTTGCTGCTTCGAAGCGGCCCAGTCGCCCTTCTTCCAGTCGCGCTTGCTCTCGGCGCTGCGCTGCTGCGCCACCGCCGTGTCCACCAGGTCGCTCACCATCTTGAGCTGGTCGCGCGCCTGCCGCAGCAGCAGACCCACGCGGCGCTCGTCCTCCTCGTTGCGGTAGGCATCGAAGCCCGCGCGCACCTGGCGCCGCACGTCCTGCCGCACATCGTCGGCCAGCGGCTTCGTGGTGCGCAGAAACTCGCGGTACTGGTTCAGCACCGCCGTGCGGTTCAGGAAGTACTGCAGCGACTTGACCTCAGCCCCCAGCGCTCGCCTCGTGACGCCCATGACTGCTGCAGACTGCACCTCCGGGTCAACGGCTTGCAAACTGAAAAAATGTGAAGTGGTTGTAAAAAGCCAGAACCGATGTACTTTATCCAAAATCAGCAAGTTGAAGTGAATCGCGGCAGGTTTTGCTATTATGTGGTGATCACGCGGACGCCAGCACTGGAGACTCGCTCAGCCGACAGAATGTCTGGCTGCGTGATGAACATCATGTTGCGCGGCACCTTCATCGACCGCGACAGCCACTCGATCATCGCAGGACCGAACTCACCGCGCACCGACACGAAGTCCACGCGGATCTTCGGGTACATGCTGTCGAACAGTGCCGCCATCTCGCGGAACGAGGTGAGCACCGGAGCGACCGCCTCCTCGTCCGAGAACACGTGCACGATGCGCAGCGTGTGGGTCTGCTCGTTACGACGCATGTAGATGATGGCCTTGTTGATAATCGTGAGGTCGGGCACCTTGCAGAAGAAGACGATGGGGGCGTCGCGGATGCTGACAATGGTGCGGGCGATAGTGCGGCCGCCGCGCGCACCGGTGTGCTCGATCTCGGACGAGCTGTCGGTAGCGAGGCCAACCGCAGCAGCCTTGCCGTAGCGTGAGGGGGCCATCTTCTTCATCATCACCAAAATGCAGCGCAGGATCGTAACACGCTCGAACATGACAAACATCACGAACATCACGACGATGAAGTAGATGGCGAAGTACATCAACACCGACGGGTCACCGAGCAGGTTGGCGAAGATGGCCACCACGACCAAGATGAAGCCCACAATCACCGCAGCCCACGGCGCGTGGATGTCGCGCGGGATCTCCGAGCGCTTGCCCTTCAGCAGCATGCACGCGCACGAGAACGTGGCCATCAGTCCGAGGAACGCGTACGTGTACACTCCGTTCACAGTACAGAATTCTGCCCGAATAAGGAACGGGTGTATAACTAATAGCCTCACATATTTAATATTATTTTTCAGTCGATGTGGCGATAGGGGGATGTGCAAGGTACTGCAAGGTACTGAGGTGAAAAATCCAGTGCCAATCATCCACCCTCGTTTGAAAAATGGCGCGCATTTAGCGATCTTACTAGACTTCAAACTACATGTATCGTAGTGGTAGACTTGCACTTTTTCTTTTGCACCTCGCCCCACAAGCCCACCTCCTCCCCCACTCCACCCATGAAGTCCACACCGTCCAAGCGTCTCCGCCTCAATTGGTCTGAGAAAGTGGGCATCCTCGACAAGGTGAAGGGCTAGATAATCCCTACGAGGTCGACCAGTTGACAGCGCTGTTGTGGTGCGAGGATGCCTGGTCCAAGGTTAGTGCTTCGACCATACGCCACTGTTGGAATCATTCCGGACTCGTAGGTAAAGCTGCTCTTCAGTTCATTTTGAAATTACTAAATCAGTACATTGGAAAAGTATAATCAACTTAACATCAATTTATATATTCTGCGTCTTTATATATATCAGGCGTTCCTTACTCGGGCAGATTGAGTCAGTGTTCAGGATCAGAACGAGGCTTGCTGAGAGGACAAAGTAGAGTCCGATGATGTTGTGGCTGGTACCGCGCAGCTTGTTCTTCTTGGCCAAGAAAGCAGGCAACACGCGGTCATTCGACAGACGCTCAACCAATCCAACAATTCCAACGTAGGAGGTAAGCACAGCACCGCTGAGTACGATGAAGGTGTCAACAGAAGCCTATGTCTCGAACCAGCTTCCCACTGCCACACGAGCGACCTTCGCCAGCAGTGCATCACTGCTAGCATAGATACCGTCGTGGTAGAACCGCAAGGATGCCAACGCCCAGCCCCAGATTGAAAAACGTGACGAGTGCCCACATGTTGCGCAGTGTCTTGCGGAACACACCCGGCTGCTGCTCCTCCACGTAGTTGGACGATGACTCAAAGCCCGTGATACCCAGCATGGACGCACTGAAGCCGAAGAAAATGGACGTGAACACGTTGCCGTCCAGCATGGAGCCCGCGAAGTCCACCTCGGGCAGCTCGGTCTTCATGTTGTCGCTGAAGATGTGTGTGTTCTGGACACCGTAGATGACGCACGAGACGAATAGGATCGAGAGCACGATGATGTGGTGGAGGAAAATAAACACAGCCACACGAGAACTCTCGGAGATACCGATGAAAGCCAACACGGCGAACGCCCCGAGCAGGACGATGATCGACGTGACGATCGGGATGTCGATCTGGGTGTTCAGATATTTGACACCCGACGTAGCAGACACCACACCCGTGGCCACGTACGACAAGATACTCAGGCAAGCAGCCACTGCAGCCGTGCGCTTGGACGTCGTATTGAGGAGTGCGTTGTAGGTACCACCGTTCATGGGGATGGCCGTGACCACCTCCTCGTAGATGAAGCGGAAGAAGAAGAGCACCGTCGACACCATGAGCAGAGGTATGGGCATGAGCTTTCCGCACTTGGACGTCACCGACGATGCCGAGTAAAGCACACTGGACAAGATGTCGTTTCCGCAGATGGCGGTGGCTGGGAGCTCGCCTGGGAGCTTCCGTGGTTGGTCCATTTCATCTTGAATTGCCGCCAACTCTGCATCAGGCACCCTCACGTGCTCGGACGAGCCCGAACCGGGGAACTGCCACGTCGGGCCTTTAGGCGCTCCTTCCACGATCTCGATCTCGATCTTGCGGCGACGCAGATTCACGGCCCGCGAGCTGGTCAGACCCTCCGAATAAATAACTGTATTGCAATTTTTACGGTATTGTTTCATGGCAATAACTTATTTTTACTCCTTTCTAAAACAATACAGTTATTTTATTACAAATGTTGTTGTAAAAGTATTTACAACAACATTTGTAATAAAATAACTGTATTGCAATAGAACCCCATGGGGTTCTATTGCAACCTCACATCGCTTCGATTGACTGGTGGTGGACGCGGTGTCCACGAGCTCTAGCTAGCGACCACACTGTTCCCGGGGGCTGCCACGGCTCGCGTTTTGCAGAGTACACTTCTAAACCTACCAAGAAGCCCAAGACCAACCACCACTACCAACTCTACGATGTCGCTCATCAAGTTCTCCAGCAAGAGCATCTGCACCTACTTCTTCAAGGTCGTTGTGGACGAGACCAGCCAGCCCACCGATTATTTCCGCTGTCAATGTGGCACCGTGCGCAAGCAGGCCCGGGGGACGGGCTACAGCAACCTACTCAACCATGTCCGCAAGGAGCACCCCGACTACGCCACCACCATGGCCGCAAGCGCTCACTCAGGAGCGCTGACGTCCTTCGTGGACTCCAAAAGCCAAACGGTGTACAACTGGCTAGACCTGATGGTCGAGTGCAACCTCCCCTTCTCGTTTCCTGAGAATGTGACGGTGCGCAAGTACATGGCGATCCCCTCCATTTGCACGGAGACATTCTTGAAGTACATGCGCCTCGTCTGCGGAGAGGTAGAGAAAGATGTGGCCGAAGCTCTTCCTGCCAAGTTTGGCATCGTCTTTGACGGGTGCACCTTCAAGTCGGAGCAGTACGTCGGCGTCTTCCCGCACGACAACCGAGCCGAGACTGTGCTGCTCGCCATGGCCCCTATTGTTGACGACGAGGTCGAAGACCATACGGCGGAGAGCCATGTCGCGTTTTTGTCGACCGTTCTCGGCTTTTTCAATCGCACGACTAACGACATCATCTACGTGGTCGGTGACAACTGCTCGACCAACGGCAAGGTGTCGACATTGCTTGGTGTTCCGCTAGTCGGATGCGCCAGTCATCGCCTTAATCTGGCGGTGACTGCGTTCATGGGAAAACATGAGAAGGAGCTGGAAAAACTCCAAATGTTGATGCGTAAGTTGCGCACACTGAATGCTGCTGCGAGGCTTCGGTAAGTTTTGCTTATGTTTTCGCTCTTTTCAGTATTTTATTTTCCTCTGTTTTTGGTATTTTATTTTCCGCTAAAATTTCTGTACTTTATTTTTGCAGGAAGTACACCAACCTTCGACCTGCCTTACGCCAGGAGACACGCTGGTCGTCAATCTTCAAGATGGTGTCTCGGTTCTTCGAGCTGAAAAAGTTTCTGGAGGCTGACGACGATCTGTCTGAGCTGCTGCCGACGCGTCGCGAGATGAAGAAGCTAGAGGCTCTACTGGAGCAGCTCAAAGATTTTGAGAGTGCGTCCAAGATGCTGCAGCACCAGAACGGCGTAACGCTCTTGGACGTTCGCGATATCTTCGACGAACTGATCACCATCTACCCTACGGTCTCTAACTACCTTGACGCAGACGCGGATATTGTCAAGAACCCCGAGTTCGAAGCCGCATGCGTCGCTGCATTGCGCACCGGGGCCGAAGACATCACTGCGAAGCAGCGCAAGCTGCTTGAGCCGTTTGCAGTTCGTATCGATGCCAGCCGTCGCAGACAGCGAAGATGGGCTTTGCGGACCGCGTGATGAAAAAGCGGAAGATCGAGCGCAAGCAGCAGGCGACATTCCCCGCCGTCAAGTTCGTCCCGCCAACCTCGAACTGCGTGGAGAGGTTCTTCAGTCGCGCTAAGCATACGCTCTCGCACCATCGCCACGGGATCCTGCCAGTGAACCTCGAGGCAGTTCTCGTTTTGAAGGAGAATAGGCGCTTTTGGGGCGCCAACACGGTAGTGAAGGTAGTTAACTCGACTTCGTAATAAACGGTTTGGAAAGCTGGTATTTTACCAGTATTGACCGCTGACAAACAATAACTCATTGTTAAGGATGCAAGCATTTGACGCAGTAATTATTTGTAGAGCCTACGTCCGTAAATTGGAGACGGTATTATCGGAGGGTCTGGAGCTGGTGCCGGAGCTGGGGATACGCGGCGACGCCACCTCCATGTAGACCGTGGTCGGAACATGAAGGATGCCCATTGAGCTGCCTTCTCCAGCACTTGAAACCGTTGCGACTGGGATTTAGACTTTCGACTGGAAGAGGACGACTTGGCTCGAACTCGACGAAATGCGGAATGAACGGACTGAAAGCGTGTTGAAGACGTGTGTGGCTCGATTAACCGGTGATTGATTAAAAACGTGATGGCATATGGATAAATATCGTGACGGTGCCGACACATTTTTTTTACTTGATTAAAGTATAGGCAGACTGACCGCAACGCACGTATATTGACCAATGACATCTAGATTTACCCAATATCGGCCAATGAGCTTGATTAGGTGTAGGGTAAAACGATGCCGACGCCGTGCCGACGTTTAATGTAGGCACGGGGGCGAAAATATGCAGGGCGTCAATACGAGCCACCAGTCTACTGCTCATCTCTCGAATATCTGCTCTCTTGCCGACAGAACATTCGGAACCAGTATGAGCCTCCAAGACCTCGCCCCCGTCAACTCCCAGCGCGCTCTACAAACCGCAATCAACGCCTTCGGGCGCTTCGTCGCGGCCCAAGGCGTCTCCACGGACTCATCGCTGCCTCTCTCGCAGATGATGAGAGTGGGGCTGTGTTTGTGAAGCTCATGGACCGCTTTGGCGTTCACCTCGCCTTCGTCGAAGGCCGAGGGGGGAAGCCGCTGGCCAAGACCTCGGTCATGAGCTACTACCGCCATGTCAAGAACTGGCTGCTCGACACCTACCCGACCCACCGAGCCACCATCGAGAAGAAACTACTCAAGATGGGACAGACGCTCGAGCGCCATTGTCTGAAGCGCATCGAAGGTGGAATGGTCAAGAAGGCGCCTGCCTGCACGAAGGAAGACCTACGAATTCTCATGGACGGACTGTACTATGATGCCGCCAGCCCCAAGGACTACCAAGATGCCGCGTTACTGGCGCTGATGTGGTACGCGTTTGGCCAAGCCTCGGACCTGGGGTTCGTGGTGAAGGGAAACCTGTCTGTGAGTGCGGATGGCGTTGTGTTCGTCCGGCTCATCCGCGTGAAGACTTCAGACGAGCAGGGCATCTCTCTCTTTCCCGACAAGAACAGCTTCATCACGTGCCCCCTGCATGCGATTGCGATGGCCCTGGTGATGCAGGACGCTCCGTGCGCACAGCTGCTGGATCATCCGCACCTTGCCGCAAGCAGCGACGAGAGTATGACAGTCCCTGTTGACGTGCCACTAGCTGAAGCTCTTGTTGCCTGCGAGAACGACGACACGCCAAGTGAGCCGCCTCAGAAAAAGCGTAAACTGCCTGAAGAAAACATGAAGATCCACGCCTACGTGAACCGCGTTGTCAAGACAGCGTCTGCCGCTCAAGCTAAAGCGGTGCCAACTGCAAACTTGACGTCTCACTCGTTTCGACGTGGTGGGGCTCAGCATGCAAACGGTGATCCACTGCTTAGTGCTCAGTGGATTTTCGATCGTGGTTCGTGGAACATGACGGCTACCAACAAGGCTTTCGCTTACGTGTTCAACACTACCAGTGAAGACCAGAAAGTAGCGCGTGTTCTCAGCGGGTGGGACTCGAGCAAGAAGCCACCGGTTCCAACCCTCTCCTGGTTCGACTCCGCCAGCCGGTAGCAGGCACTGAGCTTGGGTAATCTTCTTTTCCAGCCAAGCGTGTGCACCCAAGACCCCGAGAAGAAGCTCAACGCCCGCGTCGCTGAAGTTCTAACTGCCGCGCTGATCCAGCATTTTCCCGAGATACTCGAGTACTACCCGATGTGCCCGTACGCTACCCGGATGCGCGAATGCCTGATGGCGTTGGGTTTACCAAAAGCTCAAGTTCTCGCGTGGAGCTCTGAACTACAGGCGAAGGTGGCACAAAAGGATCTGGAGGAATCTCAAGACGACGCGGAGGCATTCACAAGGGAAGAGAAGCTGATCAATCACCAGAACTGCATCATCGGCGAGCTGAAAGCCATGAATCGAGCCTTGACCGAGCGGGTCACCCAACTGGAGAGTCAGCGCGACGTTGGTCAGGATGACTCCTCCACAAGTTTGCCTGCACCGGTGGTGGCACCACAATCGCATTGCGAGGATTCCGCTACTGTATCGAAGTCGTGTGGAAGCAAGGCTCTCCCGAAAGGCCCAGCGGCTATTTGGTTTGAGTGGTACGCAAAAACACCACGTATGTGGGACGTGTGTGCGGATCGGCAGAAAAAATCAGCGTACAAGCACACCGTGAACTACATGAAGCTCTTCTTACCAAACGGCTTCGAGCTGGACCCGTCGGCCCCTGACTACACCGACCAAGTTGTCCGTACCGGAATTGAGGCCGAAGCCGGGATGTACAGATTTTTCGAAGAGCACGGAGTCAAGAGCAAACGTGGATCAGCTGTACTCAAGCAACTGCGCAAGTTTTTCCGGGAAAGCAAGCTCAACTCTCTAGTAGACGCATACCGTGCTCGCGTTGCTGTCGCTGGCATAACGGGCCCAGCGCCCAAGGAAACGCAAGAGCTGTTTACACGGAAGTAGTTGAGTTATAGTTTCTAACGTGGGGCTATAATAAATGTTCTGTACCGCTACACATTACACTTCGATAAATGTATAGCGTACAGCATGTAGTGCGCGTTTGACTTTCGTACGCAACTGCTGGAACGCCACAGAGCTTCATAATATCGATCTACTCTTAAACAGCTCATGCATTTGACAACATCTTGCACTGCAGCCGAGGCGGTGTGCTACCACTCTGAATCTTTACTGTAGCCATTTTAATTGTAAAAAAATAAGACTGCTCCTGTCTTAAAGGTTATTTTATGATTACCCAGAGGTTACAGATTAAACAACGGTTTTGTGTAAAAGAAGGATTTTATTGTTGGTAGTTAATCGGCTCGACCGCGTAAACACAGCCCAGATCAGCAAAGAAGTGGCGTAATCCGTCTTCGGTACTTGGCTTGTAGACGAGCTCGTCCGAGTCGATGAAGTCGCCCACCGCCGCGCGAGCGATGCAGTGCCAGGTACCCTCTTCTTGGCCAAAGGGCCTACTGATGATCACAAGGTGCCTAAAACTAGACCTAGGAATCTTCTTGAACCACCTTTGCGAACTGCAGTTGAACGTGTTGGTACTGTTCAGGTACCGCAGCTGATAGCCCTTGGCGCGAAGCGCTTCATGCAGTGCTTGCATAGAATACGCCCCGTACTTCTCATCGCCGTGGGGGGTTGGCCCTTCTTCCTCGGGTGCAGCCGCGTTAAGACGACGCACGATTGGCACCAAATCCTCCACGGTTAAAAAACCCCGGGTTTGCACCGCATTGTTGATCGAGTACAATCCACAGAGAGAATATCTCTCGGATGTACCGCTCTGATTCTCACACATTGGACCGCCCCTAGTCCGTCTACCCACAATGGATTGCATCTCTGTCCGTGGAAGGTCTAGCATATCGCCGGACGTGAAGATAGACGCGCACCAAAAAAAGACTCCCCACTCTTACTTAGCACTGACGTGAAATCGCTAGCAAATCGCCGGTGGGGTGAGCACAAAAGCAAAAGTGAGAAGGACTGTGTCGCTGCATCGATGGCGACGAGCGCTAACCAACCGTGTAAATTTCAATGCTTTTAATACAGTACAGCCAGATGAACTCTCGAAAAATGAGAAATGTATTGCGTTTTTGTATGTTACGCAGCGCTAATGCTGCTGTTTTAATAACCAACATGCAAACTCTTAAGTTGGTAACAGCGGCAGAATTGCAGGTGTCAGGCTGTTACTGCCTGACACCTGCAATCCAGGATTTGCTCTGGCACTGCAGGAGCAGTGGCGCATTTGATTGCTAACCGCCTGGGCACCATGCCCGATGTGCATGATGTGCCTGCTTTTTTAGCCAATCCCAGCTTGTAGGCACTCTGTCGGCCGATGTCGGCACCGTCATGGTATGGCGAGAAAAATGTCGCCTCTCCTAGTCGTCATCGAGGCTGCGCCTCCGGCCGTGCCATTCCTCCCGATATTTTAGAGCATCTTCGGCTTTGATGTGAGCAGTTTAACGGATCATTTGCAGCATGGGCTAATGCCGTCCGGGTGTTCTTGCCACAGGATTGGACATTGCCGTCTTTACTTGCCCGAAATGTGTGTAAGTAAATTGATCCCAAAAACCCTAAATACGAGTGTACAAGTCCTTTGGTTAATGATTTTGCGACTTCGTACTCTTTTGGTTTCGACAGCATGGCAGCGCAGTGCAGTATTGTGTGTTCTGTTCCAAATTTCCATGGGCGGTTTGTTGGACCACCCGAGCCAAATCTCCGGCCAATCTCCGGGGCCACTAGGATTGGTTATAGACACCCGTTTAAGTACGAATTGGCCTTGACATGCGGGCACTTGGACCATATGGTTTGGGCCCGGGAGATTGGGCAAATGACTTGAGTGTTGTATTTGGCGATTGGAGCGGGGTCTCCAAACCGCCACGATTTGGAAATTTTGACCGGAATTCACAATATCGTCACAGCAAGGTTTGGAATTGCCTTCAATGATGAGGACATTTGCTTAACTTATCGGAGACGGCGTCCTAGTGAAGATCTTGGAGTGGAAGTTTCCAAGTTTTGACGATATTCGACAGCAATTGTCTGAATAGTGTAGAAGTGTTGGAACCCCAAATTACGCAACAAAAGGATATCGCACACACTTTCCTCACCACCTGGCCGTCAAAGCTGAAGAACGTGGCGGCGCGGCCGTTCGGACGAGCGCGGCAAGCTGGCAGTGCGGGCATGCTCGGCTCCTGGATGGGCGAGGACAAGAGATGTCCACGTCGCCCCGCCCTCCTCCATTACACTAACAGCCGCTCTGTATGCCGCGGAGAGCATACCCGCCCCACGGACACACCAGTAGACGACATGGGTTCGGCCAATCCCATTTGACACCGTTGCCGAAAAAGAGGCGTCTGGTTGCCGGAAAAGGGGCGTCCGCTGCCTCGTCACATGAGGAAAAATCCAGAGCCCCGCGCCACAGTGACCCAGCCGGGCCTGCGTCTGCGGCTCACCCAGCCATCGCTGCGAGCGAGCGAGCAACTGCCACTGTCCTGACCAGGACAGGCAGGCCTCGCGGTGCAACTCGACTTCGCACTGGATCCAGCGAGTTGTTCCAGCTCTGGCGAGAACGGATCCGGTGGATCGGCTAGCAACCGTCTCCAGAGAACGAGTCTGGTTGCTGCTGTTTGTTGTCTGGCCGGCAAGCCTGGCCGAGCTCGATGAAAAAATTGCTGGCGGATTTGCCTCCGCTGGCTGGCTGGAAGCTCTCGTGGAGATGCTGCGAGAGATGCATCTCAAGCTGAAGTTGTCTGTGACTTGTGCAGTGTTATGAAATGCGATACGAAACATGCTGGTGACTGTGAACTTGCAGCCTCTGCACTCCAGCGCTAAGCGTGATTCGGTTTTGTCAACACAGAGTGCACAGTTTGAATACGGCAAGCGCGGATGCTGCGTTGCCAATGCGGGTCATTCAAAAGCTCCGGACCAACCTTTGTTGACTCGAGCATTGATTACATGTTGTACAACAGCGTGATCGGCAGTCCTTTGAGCGCCACTCAATGAGCGGATGAAGCAACATCAGTGCGTAGACATACTGAATGCAATCATGCATGTACATTACCATGGTACTCCTAGCTTACTCAACTTATACATTGCAAAGTAATCCTCGCTATCGATGGTGCGCACGAGGATCATGCCGTAATGACGCGAACGCCGACGGAAGACACACACGCCGCCGACACCATGTCGGGCTGCGTGATGAACATCAAGTTGCGCGGCACTCCCATCTTCTTCGACAGCCACTCGATCGTCGCGGGTTTGAACTCGCCCTGCACAGACACGAAGTCGATGCGGATCTTCGGGTACATGCTGTCGAACAGCACCACCAAGTTGCGGAACGCCTTGAGCACGGGCGCGTCGGTCTCTTCGTCCGAGAACACGTGCACGATGCGTAGCGTGTGCGTCTGCTCATTGCGACGCACGTACATGATGACCTTGTTGATGATCGTCAGGTCCGGCCGCTTGCAGAAGAAGATGATCGGCGCACTGCGGATGCTCACGATGGCGCGGGCGATCGTGCGTCCTCCCCGCGCGCCCGTGTGCTCCACCTCGGGGGTATCGCGAGTGCGGAAGTAGTTGACGGCCGTGCCCTTCGCGTACTTGGACGGCGCCGTCTTCTTCATCAGCGCGAGAATGCAGCGCAAGATCATGACGCGCTCGAACATGACGAACATCACGAAGGCCACGGCGATGAAGTACAGCGCGAAGTACATCAGCACGGACGGATCGCCGAGCAGGTTCGCAAAGATCGCCACCACCACCATCACGAAGCCCAGCACCAGCACAGTCCACGGCGCAGTGACGTCGCGGGGGATCTCGGGTCTCTTGGCCTTCAATAGCATACCGGCACTCGCGAACAGCGCCATCAAGCCCAGGAACGCATACGTGTACACGCCGTTGATGATGGTGGTGTCTGCATTGAGCACCAACACGAGACTGGACGACAACAGAAAGTAGCACCCGATGATGTAGTGGTTCGTGCCACGCAACTTGTTCGTCTTGGCCAGGAAGCTTGGCAACACGCGGTCGGTCGATAGGCGGCGCACCAAGCCGCAAATGCCGACGTACGAGGTCAGCACGGAACCGGACAGCACGATGAAGGCGTCGACACTGACCCAGGTTCCGAACCAGCTTCCCAACGACACTTCTGCTGCCTTAGATAGCAGAGCGTCTGCGCTGGCGTAGATTCCGTCGTCACCGCCGAGTGGCAGCACCGCAAGGATGCCAATCGCAGTGGTCGTGTTGAAAATTGTTGTCGGCAATGCTGCATTTCGTAGAGTTTTACGGAAGACGCCGGGAGCCTGCTCCTCAACATAGTTCGAGGAGGACTCGAAACCCGTGATACCCAGCATGGCAGCGCCAAAACCGAAGAACACGGCAGTGAACGCGTTGCCGTCCAACATGGACCCAGCGAAGTCCACCTCCGGGAAGTCCGCCTTCATGTTGTCTCGAAAAATGTGCGGGTTCTTGATGCCGTACACCGCACACGACACCACCAGAACACTCAGCACGACGATGTGGTGTAAGAAGATGGCGAGGGCCACACGGGAGCTTGTAACAATGCCGAGCAGAGCGAGCAGTGCAAACACGAAGAGCACAGCCACTGTGCAGCACACGGTCGGAATGTTCACCTGAGTCCTGAGGTATTGGACGGCCGATATTGCTGCAATAACCCCCGTGGCCAGATAGGACAGGATACTCAAACAGGCAGCAATGGTAGCCGTGGACTTGGAGATGGCATTGAGTAGCACGCTGTACGTACCGCCATTCATTGGAATGGCGGTGATCACCTCGGCATACATGAGCTTGTATAATTGCACGACAATAGTTACCATGAGAAGCGGAACAGGAGTGAGTTTCCCCGCCTTGGCAGCAACGTTGGACACGGAGTAGAGCACACTCCCCAAGAAGTCGTTGCCAATGATGGCGCTGGCAGGCCACTCGGATAAGAGCGCACGGGGCTCGTTCAGCTGAACGCCATCAAGATCTGCATCGGGAACGCACAATCGTTGGGTGGAGCCTGAGCTGGGGAACTGCCAAGACGGACTTTTCGCTTCCTTTTCCACCACTTCAATCTCGATCACGCGGAGCCTCAGGCTTGCAGTCGACGACGCCAACGAGCGCGAACGATCTCCTGGGTGTCGGTTTGCAGCACTCATACTCATACCCGATTCCTGGGGGTGGTCGAATCAGTCTTGGTACGAAGAATCGGAAATGAAACGCAGATTGACCGGAACTTGCGTTGAAAACATCACCCAGAAGCTTGAAAATCCAGGGCAACAGTCACTACTGTAGCACTCAAAACCAAACCAGCATCGAGTGCACCGCTTACCAAAAAAATCTCTACCGTAAGTTATTGGTCAGTCAGATGTAGATAAAGAAGTCTACGACGTCCACCAAACCAAGAAAATCGACTACTAGCAGCGTTTGCCAACCACGTCATGAATGAAACTCAATACGTAGCTATTCATTACAAAGTTAACCCTACAGCAATCGAAAATTACGCACGCAAAACGATCACGAGTGTCTGAAACACGGTGGAGGGGGGGGTCATGCCGTAATGACGCGAACGCCGACGGAAGACACACACGCCGCCGACACCATGTCGGGCTGCGTGATGAACATCAAGTTGCGCGGCACTCCCATCTTCTTCGACAGCCACTCGATCGCCGCGGGTTTGAACTCGCCCTGCACAGACACGAAGTCGATGCGGATCTTCGGGTACATGCTGTCGAACAGCACCACCAAGTTGCGGAACGCCTTGAGCACGGGCGCGTCGGTCTCTTCGTCCGAGAACACGTGCACGATGCGTAGCGTGTGCGTCTGCTCATTGCGACGCACGTACATGATGACCTTGTTGATGATCGTCAGGTCCGGCCGCTTGCAGAAGAAGATGATCGGCGCACTGCGGATGCTCACGATGGCGCGGGCGATCGTGCGTCCTCCCCGCGCGCCCGTGTGCTCCACCTCGGGGGTATCGCGAGTGCGGAAGTAGTTGACGGCCGTGCCCTTCGCGTACTTGGACGGCGCCGTCTTCTTCATCAGCGCGAGAATGCAGCGCAAGATCATGACGCGCTCGAACATGACGAACATCACGAAGGCCACGGCGATGAAGTACAGCGCGAAGTACATCAGCACGGACGGATCGCCGAGCAGGTTCGCAAAGATCGCCACCACCACCATCACGAAGCCCAGCACCAGCACAGTCCACGGCGCAGTGACGTCGCGGGGGATCTCGGGTCTCTTGGCCTTCAATAGCATACCGGCACTCGCGAACAGCGCCATCAAGCCCAGGAACGCATACGTGTACACGCCGTTGATGATGGTGGTGTCTGCATTGAGCACCAACACGAGACTGGACGACAACAGAAAGTAGCACCCGATGATGTAGTGGTTCGTGCCACGCAACTTGTTCGTCTTGGCCAGGAAGCTTGGCAACACGCGGTCGGTCGATAGGCGGCGCACCAAGCCGCAAATGCCGACGTACGAGGTCAGCACGGAACCGGACAGCACGATGAAGGCGTCGACACTGACCCAGGTTCCGAACCAGCTTCCCAACGACACTTCTGCTGCCTTAGATAGCAGAGCGTCTGCGCTGGCGTAGATTCCGTCGTCACCGCCGAGTGGCAGCACCGCAAGGATGCCAATCGCAGTGGTCGTGTTGAAAATTGTTGTCGGCAATGCTGCATTTCGTAGAGTTTTACGGAAGACGCCGGGAGCCTGCTCCTCAACATAGTTCGAGGAGGACTCGAAACCCGTGATACCCAGCATGGCAGCGCCAAAACCGAAGAACACGGCAGTGAACGCGTTGCCGTCCAACATGGACCCAGCGAAGTCCACCTCCGGGAAGTCCGCCTTCATGTTGTCTCGAAAAATGTGCGGGTTCTTGATGCCGTACACCGCACACGACACCACCAGAACACTCAGCACGACGATGTGGTGTAAGAAGATGGCGAGGGCCACACGGGAGTTCTCAGCAATGCCCACAAATGCCAGCAGCGCAAAGGCGAACAGGAGCGCAATGGTGCAGACCACGATCGGGATGCCCACTTGGGTGTCCAGGTAGTGAACGCCCGACGTAGGAGACACCACACCGGTGGCCACGTACGGCAGAATACTCAGACAGGCAGCCACGGCAGCAGCGCGCTTGGACGTGGTGTTGAGCAGGGCGTTGTAGGTGCCGCCGTTCATGGGGATAGCGGTGACCACCTCTTCGTAGATGAACCGGAAGAAGTAGAGCACGGCCGCCACCATGAGCAGCGAGACGGGCATGAGCTTGCCGGACTTGGCGACCACCGATGAAGCTGCATACAGCACACTTCCCAGGATGTCGTTTGCCACTGATGGCGGTGGCGGGCCACTCCGACAGCAGCTTGCGTGGCTGGTCCAGTTCGTGTTGAATGTCCGCCAATTCCGCCTCGGGCACGTGCACGTGCTGAGAGGTGCCGGAGCGGGGGAACTGCCAGGTGGGGCCTCGCATCGGGCCGTCCTCCACTTCAATCTCGACTTTGCGGCGGCGATAGTTCACCGCGCTGCGCATGACCGGCACCGGCGACGCGACTTCGAGGTAGCTGTCCGATTCCATAGCAATGGTGTTGAGTACCGTAGGAACTTGACTTGACTTTATGTGGCGTAAAGCGACTTGAGCTCGACTCCGCAAAATGGGGAATAGCGGGACTGAAAAGCGTGTTGGAAGGTGGAATCCACTGCACCATGGGTGTCGGGTGCTGGGCTATAGTAATTGGAAGAGCCCACTACAGCTACAGGGGATCCCCCACTTCAGTACTATCGTCGCCAATCCCGGCGCAGCCCTCAGAGAAGCAGAGGCAAAAGATCACGCTGGGTCACCACTCCCTGAGGGAGTCCCTCCCCCCTTTGGCAGGCTAGGTGACATTCTTCTGGAGCAGCTCGTTTGCGCGGCCTGATCCTGACGAAAAGGAGCGTGTCGACCCTCCTTCCCATTAGCGGGGTAGGTACGAAGGGGGGGGGGGCAAACAAAAGTTCTCGGCTGGGCTCACCATCGGGCAGGCAACCGCTCCCATGGAAACTTTCCTCTTGGTTCCCAAGTAAACAGTTGTCCTCCGTTGTCGCTCCAAAGAAGAGGATTGCCGGTGATGCGGCTGTACACTCGGAGTTGAGTCGAAGGCTTCGACTCGAAGCGCAGGTTTGTGCACACCCACTGCACGTCCCGCATTGCACTTTGCACTCGCAGACGTGGCAGCGGATGCCTATCTCGCTTAGTCGAGCGCGGCATCTCCAGCCAGCCAGCCAGCCAGCGGAGGCAAATCCGCCAGCAATTTTTTCATCGAGCTCGGCCAGGCTTGCCGGCCAGACAACAAACAGCAGCAACCAGACTCGTTCTCTGGAGACGGTTGCTAGCCGATCCACCGGATCCGTTCTCGCCAGAGCTGGAACAACTCGCTGGATCCAGTGCGAAGTCGAGTTGCACCGCGAGGCCTGCCTGTCCTGGTCAGGACAGTGGCAGTTGCTCGCTCGCTCGCAGCGATGGCTGGGTGAGCCGCAGACGCAGGCCCGGCTGGGTCACTGTGGCGCGGGGCTCTGGATTTTTCCTCATGTGACGAGGCAGCGGACGCCCCTTTTCCGGCAACCAGACGCCTCTTTTTCGGCAACGGTGTCAAATGGGATTGGCCGAACCCATGTCGTCTACTGGTGTGTCCGTGGGGCGGGTATGCTCTCCGCGGCATACAGAGCGGCCGTTAGTGTAATGGAGGAGGGCGGGGCGACGTGGACATCTCTTGTCCTCGCCCATCCAGGAGCCGAGCATGCCCGCACTGCCAGCTTGCCGCGCTCGTCCGAACGGCCGCGCCGCCACGTTCTTCAGCTTTGACGGCCAGGTGGTGCGCGTGTACGGCCCGACATCAGTCAGTGCTCTCGTGAGTTGCTGTGGCGGCCAAAGACGGCTGAGCGGGGACGGATGTCATGAGCCGGAAACATGTGACTTGTGTTAAACGCCCGCCTCAAAAGAAACAAGTGCACCGCGGAGGGACGACCCGGCGTGATATAGGCGTTTTTAGTAGTATCCGGCGAGGCGACGTCCATTCACGTATCGCCTGTCCTTGCCACTTTATGGGCTCACCGCCGTTGACTTGGACATTGAAGTGGCCATACTGAGCTTCATATATCACGGAATTTAAGCGCGCTCACGCACGCACCCACCCACCCGCTTCAACGCAACGGACCCATTCCGCTTTTCACCGCGTCCGAGCGCCGTCGTCTCGTCCAGTTGAAAGTCCCGACCCCAAACGTCCAAGCGCAATGGTCTTTAGCGCTGGAGAAGGCGGAAGCGCCACCGCCAGCCTCCAGGTGTCGGCCACGGGCTACATGGAGGTGGCCTCGCCGCGCGTCCCCAGCTCCGGCACCGGCACCAGCTCGCGGGCCGTCAACCTGCGGCGCCGCAAGATCGAGATCGAGATCGTCGAGGGCGCCCCCAAGGGCCCGACGTGGCAGTTCCCCGGCTCGGGCTCTTCCGAGCACGTGCAGGTGCCGCAGGGCGAGCTGCTGGAGATTCAGAAGGAGCTGGAGCAGCCCCGCAAGCTGCTCGGGGAGCTGCCCGCCACCTCCATCAGTGGCAACGACATCCTGTCCAGCGTGCTGTACTCGGCCTCGTCCGTGGCCGCCAAGGCTGGCAAGCTCATGCCCATTCCTCTGCTCATGGTGTCCACGGTGCTCTTCTTCTTCCGCTTCATCTACGAGGAAGTGGTCACGGCCATCCCTATGAACGGCGGTACCTACAACGCCCTGTTGAACACGACCTCCAAGCGCACGGCGGCCGTGGCTGCCTGTCTCAGTATCTTGTCGTACGTGGCCACCGGAGTGGTGTCGGCCACGTCCGGTGTGCGATACCTGAACAACCAGGTCGACATCCCCATTGTGGGCTCGACGATCATCTTGCTTGGCGCATTTGCAGTTCTTGCTGTGATCGGCATCACGGAGAGCTCCCGCGTGGCTGTGGGCATCTTCCTGCACCACATCGTCGTGCTCTTCATCCTCTTCGTGTCGTGCGTGGTGTACGGCGTCCAGCACCCGCACGTCTTCAAGGACAACATGCACGCGGGCTACCCCGAGGTGGACTTTGCAGGCTCCATGCTGGACGGCAACGTGTTCACGGCCATTTTCTTCGGCTTCGGTGCGTCCATGCTGGGTATCACGGGCTTTGAGTCATCGTCCAACTACGTGGAGGAGCAGCAGCCGGGTGTGTTCCGCAAGACACTGCGCAACATGTGGGCGCTTGTCACCTTCTTCAACGTCGGCCTTGGCGCTGGTATTCTTGCGGTGCTGCCGCTGGAGGGCAAGGGCGGCATCTACGCAAGCTCCGACGACCTCCTCGCCATGGTCGGCCGGGAAGCGGTGGGAAGCTGGTTCGAGACGTGGATCTGCATCGACGCCTTCATCGTGCTGAGCGGCGCCGTGCTGACCTCGTACGTTGGTATCTGTGGTCTGGTGCGCCGTCTGTCCACGGACCGTGTACTGCCTGCTTTCCTCGCCAAGACCAACAAGCTCCGCGGAACAAACCACTACATTATTGGCATCTACTTCGCGCTGTCTTCCAGTCTCGTTCTGATCCTGAACGCGGACGCTACGACGGTTAACGGAGTCTACACGTACGCGTTCCTCGGACTGATGGCCATGTTCTCGTGCGCGTGCATGCTACTGAAGGGCAAGCGCTCGGAGATCCCGCGCGACATCCACGCGCCGTGGGCTGCGGTGATTGTGGGCTTCATCTTGGTCGTGGTGGCCATCTTCGCCAACCTGCTCGGTGACCCGTCGGTGTTGATGTACTTCGCCATCTACTTCATCGTCGTGATGTTCGTGATGTTTGTCATGTTCGAGCGTGTTACGATCCTGCGCTGCATTTTGGTGATGATGAAGAAGATGGCCCCCTCACGCTACGGCAAGGCTGCTGCGGTTGGCCTCGCTACCGACAGCTCGTCCGAGATCGAGCACACCGGTGCGCGCGGCGGCCGCACTATCGCCCGCACCATTGTCAGCATCCGCGACGCCCCCATCGTCTTCTTCTGCAAGGTGCCCGACCTCACGATTATCAACAAGGCCATCATCTACGTGCGTCGTAACGAGCAGACCCACACGCTGCGCATCGTGCACGTGTTCTCGGACGAGGAGGCGGACGCTCCGGTGCTCGCCTCGTTCCGCGAGATGGCGGCGCTGTTCGACAGCATGTACCCGAAGATCCGCGTGGACTTCGTGTCGGTGCGCGGCGAGTTCGGTCCTGCGATGATCGAGTGGCTGTCTCGATCGATGAAGGTGCCGCGCAACATGATGTTCATCACGCAGCCAGACTTCCTCTCAGCCGAGCGTGTGTCGACCGTCGGTGTCCGCGTTATTACGGCATGATACAAGCAGTTGCAGCATTAATTGCTAGCGTGTGTAAATACAAGTATGAGTTCGCTATGAACTAGAGTTGGGGATCTTTGAATTATTCTGTTGTAAGTAAGCGCAGTGGCCGGATGCTGGCGTTGTTTGCTGGAACCCGCATGGATTCACCACATCGATAACTCAAAACAAAATTCACGGGCTCAGATGAGAGGGGTCTGCCCGAAGCGAGCCTTAGGAGACATTCACCGCACCCACGATTTTACTGTACGGGAGCGAGCCGCTCGTGATGATGCAACGCTAACAACCGTCTGATGCGCTTCTGTAAACAGCGCTGCAAGACTTGCGCTCCAAAAGCTCCATTCGAGGAGGGGTGACCTCCATGATCACTCGAGTGTGTCAGCTTTAGCGCAGGATGGGCGAGACATGAGTGCCCGCCTCAACTGTGACGTGCCACAAGCACAAAAACCTGAAAAAGTATCCTGCGTTCGAGAACAGCTTGAAGTGACTATGGGATCAGTAGTCAAGTGGCCCCATCAGCGACCCGGGGTCTTTTTCCCATTCGGCTCTCAGTTCTGCATTTGCCGTGTCAAGCACAAGCGCTTTAGGCGTCTTCAGTACACGGCTTCGTCCGTGGCCGCCAAGTCAGGCAAACTCATGCCGATCCCGTTGCTGCTGGTCTCCGCCGTGCTCTTCTTCTTCCGCTTCATCTACGAGGAAGTGGTCACGGCCATCCCTATGAACGGCGGTACCTACAACGCCCTGTTGAACACGACCTCCAAGCGCACGGCGGCCGTGGCTGCCTGTCTCAGTATCTTGTCGTACGTGGCCACCGGAGTGGTGTCGGCCACGTCCGGTGTGCGATACCTGAACAACCAGGTCGACATCCCCATTGTGGGCTCGACGATCATCTTGCTTGGCGCATTTGCAGTTCTTGCTGTGATCGGCATCACGGAGAGCTCCCGCGTGGCTGTGGGCATCTTCCTGCACCACATCGTCGTGCTCTTCATCCTCTTCGTGTCGTGCGTGGTGTACGGCGTCCAGCACCCGCACGTCTTCAAGGACAACATGCACGCGGGCTACCCCGAGGTGGACTTTGCAGGCTCCATGCTGGACGGCAACGTGTTCACGGCCATTTTCTTCGGCTTCGGTGCGTCCATGCTGGGTATCACGGGCTTTGAGTCATCGTCCAACTACGTGGAGGAGCAGCAGCCGGGTGTGTTCCGCAAGACACTGCGCAACATGTGGGCGCTTGTCACCTTCTTCAACGTCGGCCTTGGCGCTGGTATTCTTGCGGTGCTGCCGCTGGAGGGCAAGGGCGGCATCTACGCAAGCTCCGACGACCTCCTCGCCATGGTCGGCCGGGAAGCGGTGGGAAGCTGGTTCGAGACGTGGATCTGCATCGACGCCTTCATCGTGCTGAGCGGCGCCGTGCTGACCTCGTACGTTGGTATCTGTGGTCTGGTGCGCCGTCTGTCCACGGACCGTGTACTGCCTGCTTTCCTCGCCAAGACCAACAAGCTCCGCGGAACAAACCACTACATTATTGGCATCTACTTCGCGCTGTCTTCCAGTCTCGTTCTGATCCTGAACGCGGACGCTACGACGGTTAACGGAGTCTACACGTACGCGTTCCTCGGACTGATGGCCATGTTCTCGTGCGCGTGCATGCTACTGAAGGGCAAGCGCTCGGAGATCCCGCGCGACATCCACGCGCCGTGGGCTGCGGTGATTGTGGGCTTCATCTTGGTCGTGGTGGCCATCTTCGCCAACCTGCTCGGTGACCCGTCGGTGTTGATGTACTTCGCCATCTACTTCATCGTCGTGATGTTCGTGATGTTTGTCATGTTCGAGCGTGTTACGATCCTGCGCTGCATTTTGGTGATGATGAAGAAGATGGCCCCCTCACGCTACGGCAAGGCTGCTGCGGTTGGCCTCGCTACCGACAGCTCGTCCGAGATCGAGCACACCGGTGCGCGCGGCGGCCACACTATCGCCCGCACCATTGTCAGCATCCGCGACGCCCCCATCGTCTTCTTCTGCAAGGTGCCCGACCTCACGATTATCAACAAGGCCATCATCTACATGCGTCGTAACGAGCAGACCCACACACTGCGCATCGTGCACGTGTTCTCGGACGAGGAGGCGGACGCTCCGGTGCTCGCCTCGTTCCGCGAGATGGCGGCGCTGTTCGACAGCATGTACCCGAAGATCCGCGTGGACTTCGTGTCGGTGCGCGGCGAGTTCGGTCCTGCGATGATCGAGTGGCTGTCTCGATCGATGAAGGTGCCGTTCGGTCCTGCGATGATCGAGTGGCTGTCTCGATCGATGAAGGTGCCGCGCAACATGATGTTCATCACGCAGCCAGACTTCCTCTCAGCCGAGCGGGTGTCGACTGTGGGCGTTCGGGTCATCACCGCGTAGCTGGTCCCTAGGCATGTGATAAACAGAAACAAAGCGTGTAACGTAAAGAGACGAATGAACCAGAGCGAACGCATTTATTCCTAGATCCTCTTTACACAGCGGTAGTTTTTGCTTGCATCTTTATCTTCGATGTCACCGTATTATCCATACTACCCTGTGAACCAAAAACGGCGTCCCTAAGAGCATCTCCAGCGGTGGGTCTTATCCTAAGGCCCTGGTTTCTCCGTCGGTGTCTGGGGATATGGGGAAAACATCTTTCATCTCCGACCAGACTCCAACGTCATCGGCAAATGGTTCACCTCCGCCAGAACGGGATCTGACGGCCCCAACGGCTGCCTAGGACAGGCGATTCAAAACTTTCCGTCCCAATTGGGCACCAGCGTCCAACGGCGTCGACCAAAGCGTGGTTCTCTCTACCAGGGCGTCGCTTACTTAAAGTCGTTGTTGGCCCTGATCCCAGCGATCGTTTGCAAAGATCTCTCTTGTGTGGACTCGAATCCATTCTCTCTTTTTCCGTCTCCAAGCCAAGTCCTCCTCCAGCGCGCTTCACCTCGACAGGAATCGGTCATGACGGAGCCCAATCCTACTGGAGCGTTGTTGGCGCCGTCGCCCACGGCAGTCTACCGCGAAGCGTCTTCACCAAAACTCGCAGTCTGCTCGGTGAACAGCTCGCGAGCGCTGAACCTTCGTCGGCGCAAGATCGAGATCGAGGTAGTGGACAACGGCCCCAGAGGACCGGCTTGGCAGTTCCCGGGCTTCGGCACTTCGGAGCACGTCCAGGCCCCTCAAAATGAGCTGGCCGACATTCAAGTCGAGCTGAATCAACCACGCAAACTTCTGGGCGAGCTACCGGCGACTGCTATCTGTGGCAACGATATCCTGTCGAGTGTGCTGTACTCGGCGTCGTCTGTCGCTGCGAAATCGGGCAAGCTCATGCCGATTCCGCTGCTCATGGTGTCGGCTGTGCTGTTCTCGTTCCGGTTCATCTACGAAGAGGTGGTGACGGCCATCCCGCTGAACGGAGGCACCTACAACGCTTTACTCAACACAACCTCCAAGCGTACTGCCGCGGTGGCTGCCTGTCTGAGTATCTTGTCGTACGTGGCCACGGGCGTCGTGTCGGCCACCTCCGGTGTCCACTACCTGAACAACCAAGTGGAGATCCCGATTGTGAGCTGCACGATCGTCCTACTCGGCGCCTTCGCTCTTCTGTCAGCTATGGGCACGGCGGAGAGCTCTCGCGTGGCGGTTGTCATCTTCCTGCACCACATTCTGGTACTGTCGATCCTGTTCGTCTCGTGCATCGTGTACGGTGTCCAGCACACATACGTCTTCAAGGACAACATGAAAACCGAGCTGCCCGAGGTGGACTTTGCAGGCTCCATGCTGGACAGCAACGTGTTCACGTCCATTTTCTTCGGCTTCGGTGCGTCCATGCTGGGCATCACGGGCTTTGAATCATCGTCCAACTACGTGGAGGAGCAGCAGCCGGGTGTGTTTCGCAAGACACTGCGCAACATGTGGGCACTCGTCACGTTTTTCAACATCGGTTTGGCTGTCGGCATCCTAGCGGTGCTGCCTCTTGAAGGCGACGACGGCATTTACGCACACGGCGAGGCACTGCTGGCGAGAGTTGGCCACGTCGCTGTTGGAAGCTGGTTCGAAACGTGGGTATGTGTGGATGCCTTCGTTGTGCTCTGCGGTGCCGTGCTCACTTCGTACGTCGGCATTTGCGGTCTGGTTGAACGACTTTCGAACGACCGCGTGCTGCCCGCCTTCTTGGCCAAGAAGAACAAGCTCCGCGGCACCAGCCACTACATCATCGGCATCTACTTCTTCTTGTCGTCCAGCCTCGTTCTGATCCTGAACGCGGACGCTACGACGGTTAACGGAGTCTACACATACGCGTTCCTGGGTCTCATGGCGATGTTCTCATGCGCGTGCATGCTGCTGAAAGGTAAACGCTCGGAGATTCCTCGGGATATCCAAGCGTCGTGGGCCGTCGTCATCTTGGGCTTCTTGCTCGTTGTGGTCGGCATCTTCGCCAACCTACTTGGAGACCCGTCGGTGCTCATGTACTTTGCCATCTACTTCATCGCAGTGATGCTGGTGATGTTTGTCATGTTCGAACGAGTCACGATTCTCCGCGTTGTGCTAGCGGTCCTCAAAAGTGTGGCCCCATCGCGGTTCGGAAAGGAGGCGTTCATCGGAATGGCGGACGATGGCACCCCGGAGGTGGAGCACACGGGTGCTCGCGGTGGACGCACCATCGCCCGCACCATTGTCAGCATCCGTGAGACCCCCATCGTCTTCTTCTGCAAGGTGCCCGACCTCACGATCATCAACAAGGCCATCATCTACGTGCGTCGTAACGAGCAGACCCACACACTGCGCATCGTGCACGTGTTCTCGGACGAGGAGGCGGTCGCTCCGGTGCTCACCTCGTTCCGCGAGATGGCGGCACTGTTCGACAGCATGTACCCGAAGATCCGCGTGGACTTCGTGTCGGTGCGCGGCGAGTTCGGTCCTGCGATGATCGAGTGGCTGTCGCGGTCGATGAAGGTGCCGCGCAACATGATGTTCATCACGCAGCCAGACATTCTGTCGGCTGAGCGAGTCTCCGCTGCTGGCGTCCGCGTGATCACCGCATAATAGCAAAACCTGCTGCGATTCACTTCAACTTGTTCATTCTGGACAAAGTACACATAGTTTTGACGTTTTGCATTCCATTCACCATTTTTCAGTTTCAACAAAGTACAGGAATATCTCACGGATGAAGCTGGAGGCGCAAGCGCTCGCCGCTGAGCAACCTGCTGCCGCCAACTCGAGCCCCCACGACCCCCCAACCCGCTTTCTTCTCCATCTACAGAAGGTGCTGCTCCCTAGGCACTTAGTGTCAACAACTGCGGACGCGTTAGAACACTGCCAGCTAAAGCATGGTTTCTGATACTTTTTCCAGCAATTCCGACACCGCCGGCGCTATGAGCTCACATCGTGTCTTGCCGGACTGCTGGGCATTGCTCTGATGCTCGTGGAGTGTGAGATCGTTGAACGCGGCCAGGATCTCTCCGCACCTTCCGAGACATGGGTGCAAGTGCTTAAAAGTTGCGTCTTGGGGTCGACTGTTCTGCTGGACGTGCTGCTGGTGCTGAGATATCGCTGCGACGGCCAAGTGAACCAACTGCAGAGCTCAATCCCCTCGAGACGACACAAGTTTTCACTCTGGAGGCCTGTGTTGCTGGCGCTGGAGCTGGTTGTCTGCAGTTTCCATGTGCCACCGGGTGTTAGTGGAGAGTTTGAGATCGTGCAGCTGCATGGAGCTGCGAGTGCCGAGGACGACTCGGTCTGTGAGTCGCTGCAACAAGGCATTGATACTGTTAGGCGCGGTGATGGATGCTATTTGGTGTATCGGTACCCTGTGGAGGCGCTAGGCGTGTTCATGGCTGCGAGGCTGTACTTGCTGGCGAGATTCGTGCGCAGCTCGTCAGCCCTGCACTCGCCCTGGATCTCGCTTGTGGGATCGCTGAATGGAGTGGACGCCATGAAGCCGTTCTTCCACTTCAAGTCCATTTTCAAGCTTCATCCTTTGAATGTTTTGCTGCCACTCACAGTGCTGAACACGCTGCTGACTGCTGCCATTGTGCGCGTTCTGGAGCGGCCGGTTCAAGCTGCCTTCGACAGCTATTGGAAGTCGATCTGGTTCACCCTCGTGACGCTGGTAAGTGTTCACCTGGTTGTGTGTTTCCTCAGTGATATTTACCTCAGGCTAACCGTCTGTGTCTGTGCAGTCTGGAACTGGATTAGGTGATTATTTTCCGGTGACATGTCTCGGTCGGGCGTTCTCAGTAGCTGGCGGGATGTTCTGCGGTGTGTTGATCGTCGCGCTTAATCAATCTCTCTTCTTCAATTTTCTCGATCTTTCGCCGAGCGAGAAGAAGGTGAGGTACCTCATTGAGCTGGAGTGGTGGGAGAAGTCGACTCGCCAAAATGCAGCAAAACTGCTGCAAGCGGCATGGCGGGCAGGAAACTTGCGGCGGGGAGCCGAATTAGGCGACCAGCGTTACCTTTTCTCGATGATGCGGACCGCACGCAGGCTGCGAATGGAGAAACCGACCATTGAGCTGTCGATCGAGGACCAGATCGCCGAGATGGAGGCTGCTGTGCTGGCTGAAGCGGATCGCATAGAGGCCGAAAAGACGGAGGTCATCCAGCGCATCCAATCCAAGGCGATGCAGCTCTCGGCTCTAAAGGAGAAGCTGGAACAGGCGGGACGAGCAAGTTGACTGCGATAATTGACACATTTTTCGCTTTCGAGCCGCAGGATATGCCGAGAAGATCAGGTGAAGCTGAAGGTGCCGTTAATAGTTTTCTGAACTTTGTAGACGAGCAATTTCGTTCGAGGCGCTTCAAATTCAAATTCAATTTTGGCGCGCAAGGAGCCAGTGCCGCCGGAAACAATGCTCGCATCTCATTGGTCGATAAGACGCGAGGATTAATTTTTTCGGCCGACCTTAGCCGGCCCACTCCAGCCAAGCAGCCCAAGAAGAAGAGCAAGCCCGCGCTAAAGCCCCTCGTGACCGCCTCCTCGCGCGCTGCCTTCTCTCGCTGCGCTACCGGCTCGTCCCCGGCCCCCCACCAGGCTCCATGTCGACCGACTGGCTCTTCTCCGCGTCCGAGCTTCAGCTCACGCCGTCGCGCCGCGACGGCGTCTCGCTCGCGGCGGAGCTCGAGCGTCGGGGCGCCGCCTGCAAGCTGCTCGCGCGGCTGGCGGCGGCGCTGCGCGTGTCGCTGGCCACGCATCGTAGCGCCTGCGTGTTCCTGCACCGCTTCCTGATGCGGCGCTCGCTGGCGCAGTGCGACGAGCGCGTGGCCGCGGCGGCCTGCCTGCTGCTGGCGGCCAAGGCCGAGAACGACGAGACCCGGGGCGTGGACGTGGGTCGACTAGCCAAAGAGCTGACGAACGCGGGTCAAAGTGCTGCGTCATCAGAGGCCCAGGCCGTGCGCGACATTCTTCAGTTGGAGGGGGATGTGCTGCTGGCCCTCGGCTTCGAGCTGGAAGTGGACCACTCGTTCTGTTATATCGCGGCCGAGGTGGACAAGGTCGTGGCCCTGCCGGCCCTTGCGGCCCGCCGCAACGAGCTGCGCCTGAAGCTCAAGCAAGTGGCCTGGAGCTTCCTGAACGACAGCGCAATCACGTGGACGTGTCTCGCGGTGGACGCGCCGCTGGCCGCCAGGGCCGCGGTGTTCGCCGCCGGACTGTTCCAAGGCTGCGTGTCGGAGGACGTTCTGGCCCGCGATGGCCAGCCCTGGTGGACGGTGCTGCAGACGCCGCTGGACGTCTTGAAAGGTGCTGGAGTGCATCTTGTGTGCATGTGTTAGTTTAGTAGTGTACACTGTGAACTCATGGGGTCAGTTGTGTTGCTTTAGATGCTGCAAGACACGTGCTGTCCGCCTACATGACCCCCTTTGTGGACACCAGTGTGCTTCCGAGCGCTCTGGTCGAGTTGGTGAACGTCTTCCACTCGAAGACGGACGTGAACGAGCCCAGCGATATCTGCGTGCGTGAGCCTGAAGTGCTCATTGAGACGGAACCCACGCCGCTGGACGATGACTTCAACAAGCAGGTCGAGATCGACGCAGAGATCCTGTTCCAGAGCGTGGAGGGATCTCCGGCGTTTGTGGAGCAGACCACTGCGTGGATTGACGACTGCGTGGTGGTCGGCAAGGGAGAGCAGAGCCCGTCGAGTCCGTCCGACCCGTGCGCCGTGGAGAAGAGCCTCCCGCTCTACTCCCCGCAGAACCGCGCCATGGACCCATGCGCCGAAGGATCACTACTTCTGAAGCGCTCGATTACGTTAGCAGACAGCGGCCGCATCATCAAGAAGGCCAAGTTTGCACTATGAGGATCGCCTGAGCTTACGTCAGTCGTAGCCCTGGCGATGGAATGCAATTCCGCACCCAAGCATTTTAGAAAAGAAAACAGCAGTGAAGAACCAAGCGTGAAGCAGCATTCCGACCTGCATACGAAGCGAGTGCTTCTGTATATTGATCAACTACGTGGAACCAAACCAGTGAAGTACTACCTCTGTGCTGAAAATAATGCACCTTCAAAAAATATTTGCGCATAGCTCCGCCTCGTTTTTTTTCACCGATATAGGATTTGCAGAGGTTTAATGAAGTGCCCTACAAAAGAAAATGATCCAGGTCTGAAGTCTCAAATGCAGAGGGTAGTAGCGAGAGCTGGTGCTGGGGTATCAGCTGCGGTGGGGAGGGACGTTGTCCAGCACAACTAACCGGACGAGGTTGGGCAGCACGAAGCTGCTCTGCGTAGATCTGCTCTACAGAGAGCATTGCGATTGCTGAGTGAGCGCTGAAGAGGATCTCGGCATCACACATCAGAGTGGTGGGGAGTTGGCCAGCATTGATCAGCTTGTCCTTGTGCATGTGCGAGAGCCGGTAGTTGTTGCGCCTTCGTTGGTCATGATCTCCTTCATGACAAGTTGCAGCGTTAAGAATGTCTTGTTGAGAGTCTCTGCCGTAGTCTCTGCAAACGCGAGCTCAACGTCCTTGATGAGATCCTCCGTGGTCCGTGGGCTGGTGTGAGACTGGAGAGACTGTATGCTGCAGAAGTAGCCGAGATCAAGGCAATTGAGATCTGGGCTTTGGGCAGGTTGGTCCTTGAGTCGAATATTCCATCCGTCGGCGCGTCCAGCAGCCAGCACTTCAGCGTCCTCCTCAAGCACATGTGGCCTCGCGTTTTCTTGTTGAATGCGAATGAGAGTGGCCTTCTGATCTTGAGGCCACTTCGCCTTGATGGCAGGAATGACGTCGGTCACGAGCATGCGGCACGCCAAGGTACGGTTCATAGAGACTGGTTTCATCTCCTCGACACCTGCGGGGCGGTTGACACTCCAGCGTTGTGTAATGTAGGTTTCCACGACAGGCCAAAGCCCTATCTTGCTGTCCCAGTCGCCGCGTGGCCGCGCCACGGCGCACAGGAACATCACCTTCTTGATGTGACGCTTGCTTTGAACGTACTGCATGGGAGATTCTTCCAGGGGCGTGCCGTCCTTGCCCGTCAGCACGTACACACGCTGGCCGATCTTTTTGACGTAGAACCACTTCTCGTCAATGTGGACTACGTCGAACATTGGGTCGAAATAGTACTGCCCGTCTCCGTATAGCTTCACGTGGTTCACGGCGAACTTCAGGCGCGCCACGCTATGCGATGCCGTAAGCAGGGGCCGTGTGTGCCTCAGGGCCCGCCTCATGTAGCCCTCCTTGATCAACTGCTGGACAAGGTAGGAACTTGTATTCGTCGCCTGTTGGATCTTGCGGTGGTTCTCACGCTCGTTGACGGGCACGGCTGACACATGCTCGCAGAGGACTGCTCGGTCTAGCTTCTTTCTGCCACGCGCACTCTTTTTGGACTTGACAACTGCAGCGACGCGGTCGCCCATCGAACTAATCCCTCTCTCCCAAATGCGCGCGAAGACGAAACGACTTAAGTGAAAGTGTGCTGCAGTCTGGATAATTTCCCCAGGGCTCAGCACACCTCTGGTGCTGCGAAGGAGCAGCGTCTCCCGAAAGGCTTGCCGTTCTTCATCGGTTGCTTGCTTCATGTGCAGGAGAGTGCGTCTTGAGCGGGAGGCTGTAGATCTTCGAATGAGCACTAGAGGAAGTTGTGCGGTCCAGAAAAATGGGCGGGAGATTCGCAATTCAAACGATCGGATTTACAAGGGTATCGTTCTGAACAGGGTGCAATCTGATTGGCTAGGTGCGTTATTTTCCGCTCAGAGGTAGTAAAAACGAGAAAAAGAGTCTACCGTGAGTGAAAAACGTCGTCCGATTGCCATCAATTGTGATAAGTCTCTTTCCGAGGACAAAGTCTTGGGCTAACCTTCTCGTGAGTATCGGTAGATCGTCGTACGTACAGTGTAGATTGCTGGTGGAATTCATCAAGATCCTAGTAAATGTAAACCAACGCAAGTGTTATTCTATTCGCGACCTACAACAAGCACTCGAACCATTTTACTGGCATCTTCGCCTCATCTACGAGCGAATCGCCATGTCTGAAGGCTGCATCGGCATGGTTTAGCTGTGTCGCGTAGAACTTATCACGATACGTGTTGCCAAACTTCGATTCTGGGATCCCTGCGGCGCAGCTCTGGAACTCGACCATGCTGTCGTTTTGGTCCGACTTGTGGGGGACCGCGTTGCCCAGCACCCGGTATTGCAAATGCTCAATCGAATATATCCCAGCGTACCCTTTACTGCACATGAGGGCGGATACATTGGCCCGGTACGCTTCCCGGGTGACGGCGTATGCTTCATCAAGCTTTGGATTGCTGTACGTTTCGTTTTCGTACGCTAGAGACTGAATCCCGTCACCTGCGGGGCACAAGCCTGTGAGATCCACGAACGTCTCCATGAAGAAGTTTGAGTCGTCCTTGCAGGAATCCTGAAAATAGTCGGAGGACATACTTCCGGTCATCGGCGCTGCAGAGCTGACCCACGTAGAGCTTGACGCTAGCTTGCACTTCCCAGTTGCGATCGCGCCTGCCATCATAAGTCCCCCCATGGAGTGCGTCACGATAATCGTGTCGGAAATTGTTCTTCCGTGGCTGGTGTTGCTCACCACGAGCACTCGGTCGCACACCTCTTGCTGCTGGATAGCGTCCGTCCAAGAGTATTTTATCGTATCGAGAATCGCGAACTTCATTGACGAGCAGCAAGGAGCATGATCCGTTAAATCTCCCCAGTACCTTGGACGTTTGTTGATGTTCTTCGGCTCCGCTTTGCGAATCCCCAAACCGTGGACAAAGATGCACGGCCGTGGCTTTGACTTGCATGAGCACGAGTCATCGAGAGAGAAGTCGAACTCCGCCTTCAACTTTCGCTCTGAGTTAGTGGAAATCGCCTCACCAGTGAGCAATGATCTTGCTAGCGCTGACAACGAACTGGGCGATGCTACTGCCTTGCATCCACCTTCCGAGTCGGCATTGACTTCGGGTGCCACAATATCCACGCGGTTCGCCAAATACTCCACAGTGACGGCCATGTCGCTGCCGAATATTGCGAAGCCCGAGGAACCTAACGCGCATAACCCGAAGTTGATGTTACCAACCGAAAACTTGAACGCGTTGCCGCTGGAGCATTCAATCACACTGCCAGTGCTCGAAGATATCCCCGTCACTGGAGTTAAATCACCCAGAGCTGAAACGAATGAGTTAATTGATGGCACGGTAGATGAATCTCCACATGTCACCAACGGGCTGTCGACACCAGAAGAGCTGCGCGAACTGTACGCGACTCCATCTACGACGGTGTAGTTGTACACCGTCGAGCCCTCTGTGAATGAGGTGAACGCGTCGTAGAGTACAGTGTTGTTGTCGGCCATTTGAACGGGGTTGGCGAGCACGAAGAAGTCCGATTGTCCATGAACGTGCATTGACTTGCGCTTGATGATGAAGTGGAAGCGCAATGACGGCCACTCGGGCTGTTCCTAGAGAGTGTGGGGCTGCTGCTGAAACTTGGGCGAACCATTCTCGTGACTTGATGCGGCTAGCGTAGCGAGTGGAAGCAAAGCTGCAAAGGCAACTATAGAACCTCTAAGTACATGTACACCTTTTCGACTTCAAAACTGCAAATTGTAAGTTCAAAACAGCAAAAGGTAAGATCAAAACAACAATACTCTATAAATGTATATCACAAACTGAATGATATCTATCATCGTATACGATTATAGAGTACAATTTGCCTATTGGCTAGCTATGCTGCGTGCCAACCAATGAGCTGTGTATAAAAGTACGAAGCTGACCTGGTCTCTGCTCGTGCAGTTTTGAACTTACCTTTTGCTGTTTTGAACTTACAATTTGCAGTTTTGAAGTTGAAAAGGTGTAGTAACATGTTTTCTTGTGAGGTGCTCGCTTGACGTGGAAATTTTATAATGAGCTGGCTCACTCTAGGCGATACCAATGCATACGGGGCGACATGAGCAGTTGTTGCGATCGGTTGAACAGTTGTTGTGGTTGCTGTGTGCGAAATGTGGTCACCGTTAGTCGAGGTCAAGTGGCCGTCAGTGACGGCGTGACGGCCCATTGCGCAGCGTCGAGTCAAAAGCTGCACACTCGCCTGCAACCATTTCCCCAAGAAAATCTTCGGCTGTGCTGCGATTCCACGTTTTCCTGGATTGCTGTGCCACTGGCATGTAATAAGCTGCTCAGCTTTATCAACTGTGTCAGCGCTGAATTTCAATGCGTCAACCGGTCGCTGCCTGAACCTAAAGTTGTTGCTTTGTAGTGTCCACACTTCGGACACTTTCATATTTGCTTTATCAGCTGCTCTAGTCTATTATTTTGTGCGTGCTCTACTACAGCAGACACTCGAACCACTTGACTGGCATCTTGGACTTGTCCAGCAGCGCATCACCGGTCTTGAACGCGACGTCGTAGTGGTTGAGCTTGGACACGTAGAAGCGGTCGCGGTAGCTCTTGCCGAATTTGGACTTGGGGATGCCTCCAGCGCAGCTGTGGAACTCGACCATGCCGTCGTTTTTGCGCGATTTGTGCGAAATGACACCCCCCATGACCCAGAAGCCGAATTGGTACGACGAAATGATGCCCGAGAAGCTGTTGCTGCACATTACAGCGTACACATTGGCTCGGTACGCCTTCTTCGCAGCCTCGTACGCTTCATCCAGCTCCGGGGTGCTGTAGCTTTCGTGCTCGTACGTCAAAGACGTGATTCCTTCGTCTGCGGGGCAAAAGCCCGTGGTCTCCACAAACTTTTCCATTACCAGGTTGGTGTTGTCCTTGCAGGATTCCTGGAAGTAGTCGGCCGCCATACTCCCGGACATCGGTGAACCCGTGCTGACCCACGTCGTGCTTGAGTCGAGCATGCAAAGTCCATTGGCGATTGCTCCAGCCACCATCAGCCCACCCATTGAGTGCGAGACGATGATGGTGTCGGACACTGTGGAGCCCTCGCTCGTCTCGCTCACTGCGAGGATGTGGTCGCACACTTTTTGCTGCTGAGTCTCGTCCGTCCACGAGTTGTTCACCGTGTTGAGCATGGCGTACTTGACCGACGAGCAGCACGGGGTGTGGCCCGTCATGCTGCCCCAGTAGTCGTACGAGTCGAGGTTCTCCTCCTCTTCAGTAAGGACGCCAAGACCGTGGATGAAGATGCACGGACGAGGCGTCGACTTGCACGAGCACTGTTCTTCCAGCGAGATCTCAAAGGCCGCTTCCAGCTTCCTCGAGGTTTCAGGAGAGATCGCAGCCCCCGTCAGGAATGACTTGGCAATGGGAGACACGGTACTGGGCAAGGCGATCTCCTCGCAGTCGCTGTCCACGCCGTCGCTCAGCTTCGGCGCCTGAATATCCACGTGATGCTCCATGTACTCCACTGCGATGTCCATGTCGGCTCCGAACATCTTGAAACCTGCTGAGCCCGAATAGCAGACGCCGAAGTCGATGCCGTTCACTGAAGCCTTGAACGCATTGCCAGGGAGACACGGGATTACGGTGCCATTGCTGGTGGACACACTCGAGACGGTCTTGGCTTCACTCAGCGCCGACACGATCGCGTTCACCGGTGGCAGGATATCTGCGTCCATGCACTTGACCACCGCATTGCAGCCGTTCAGATAGCTGCCTGCAACGTAGGCGTCGCCACTCACGAGGGTGTAGTTGTAGACGATCTCGTGTTCCATGAACGCGGCAAAGGTGTCGTACAGCACCTCGATGCTGCCGTCTTTGAGCGACACCGTTGGGGTGGCCAGCAAGGAGAAATCCGACTGGCCGTGGACTTCCATGGCGTCGCGCTTGATAGCGAACCGGAAGTGGAGCGACGGCCAATTCGTTGTCGACTCATCCTGCTGGAAAGCTCGAACCGTGAACGGGAGGACGCTCAGAAGGACAACAGCGACTATCGAGCTCAGAAGAGGGGCCGACATGACTGCGTGTTCAGTAGAACGAGTTGTCGGTTCGGTGGGCGAAAAGAAACAGTGAGGCCGGCGGTGGTGTCAAGTTCTACGCGAATGGGATGCCCCCGCCCATCCAACCACAAGGTGGCCGGCCGATTTCGTGTTGCAAAACTGGCGCAGAGAGGCAAGTATTCGGTTTGCCACCGATCAGGTGTTATCTGGGGCTTTGCCTTGGAATCACGTCTTCAACCTGTGGCTTTGCTTGCATACTTTCCACCCAAATTCACTCAAAGAGGAGTGAATTTGCATGTTGCACTTGCACTGAAGGCCAGACAGACCTCGGCAAGGGCCACATTTGCCAGCGGTCTTGTGACAAAGACCTCCGGTTTCGCAGCAGGACGTGAGACTTGCAGGCTGAAATGGATAACAGGTCGGTCATTGCAATTCATCTGGTCTTGAGTTACGTCACACTTCGGTAGTTTTTGAGTTGGGGCTCCGAAGATTACTACAGCAAGCACTCGAGCCATTTTACGGGCATTTTTGCCTCATCGAACAGTGCATCGCCGCTCTGGAAAGCCACGTCGAAGTGGTTGAGTTTTGTCACGTAGAATCGGTCGCGATATCTGGTGCCGAACGTGGATTCCGGGATCCCTCCGGCGCAGCTCTGGAACTCGACCATGTCGTCGTTGTGTGGAGATCTATGAGGAACAACGCTCCCCAGCAGCCAGAACTGCCACTGGTAGTTGGAGATTAAGCCGGTGTGCTTGAAGCTGCACATTGCTGCGTCCACATACGTTCGATAGACTCGTTGTGCCGCCTTGTACGCCTGGTTTAGCTTCACCGAAGCGTTCTCCTCGTTCTCGTAAGCAAGAGACCTGATGGCTTTGCTAACTGGGCATCGTCCAGTGACATTGGCCAGCTTCTCGACGATCACGTTGGTCTCGCCCTTGCAGGAATCTTGGAGATAGTCCGAGCCCATGCTTCTTCTCATTGGGGCACCCGTGCTGATCCACGTTGAACTCGGAGCAATGCTGCACTTACCCGAAGCGATTGCGCCAGAAAGCATGAGAGCATCCATCGAGTGCGTGACGATGATGGTGTCCGAAATTGTTGTGTCCGAGCCACGGCAAGTGCGCGGTCGCACACTTTTTGCAGCTGAGTAGCCTCAGTCCACGAGTGATTCACAGTGTTTAGCACTGCGTATTTGATCGACGTACAGCACGGAGCGTGGTTCGTCATGTTGCCCCAGTACTTGGTCGGAAAGACGTCTTGGTTCTCTGGCATCTCGATCTTCACCCCTTGTCCGTGGATGAAAATGCACGGCCGTGGCGTCGATTTGCACGAACACAAAGACGCATCGTTCAACGAGAAGCCCAAAGCAGTTTTCAGGGATCTTGACTCCAGTTATACAGTCAAACCTGTTTATATGAGGCCCTGTTGGTGACCATCTCCTACAATGACTCACATAAAATGGACTCAGTTAAAACAATTATGTGGTGCACGTAAAGAAATCGTGCATAGTTCGCTGCCGCTCTGCCTTCACCGTAGTCTCTCGAACCAAAGCGGTCACGGTCTGTAAAGCTCTTCGTTCTCTGTCAGTCTGCTCTCCGCATTGCAGCAGAAATGCAGCCAGCTCCATGCAGTGTCTCAGAGCAATGGCAGGTTGAACTGCGGGTTCCTGTTTTTCCTCTTCCTCCTGCTCGTCCTGCGAAACTGCATCACTTCCTGCCGCTTCGTCCACGAGCACATCTGGCTCGTGCAGAGGAACGACTTCGTCCACTGCCAGATACTCACTAGCGCTAGCAGCGCCCTCCCACCTGGATAGCATCGCCGTTAACTCCTCCATCTCGTTGCTGGATACCTCCTCAATGTATTCCGTGTCAGCACGGATCCTTCCTAGCATCTTTCCTCCCAAAATGCGAGTCTTGACCCAGCAATTTGTAATTGTCGTTGGCGTCACACCCGCCCAAGCATCAATGGAAAATTGGACAGCTTCCAGTACGTTGAGCTTGCGTGTAATGTTAGCTTCAAGTGCATCCAAACACTACCGCACAAAATACTTTCGGTACCGAGCCTTGAACGACCGGATAATACCTGAATAAAAAAAACACCGCAATAGAGTTGGTTAGTTTAGGCTACACCACAATATAGATTAAATGTTTACCTGCATCCAGCGGCTGTACGGCGGATGTCATGTTAGAGGGGAGGAAGTGAACAGTCACATGAGTCAGGTTTCGTAGAATCTTGTGGCATGAAGCATTGTCGACTACAAGTAGGACCTTGCGGTTAGCGGCCGCCATTCTCATGTTGAAGAGGTGCAGCCATTCGTCAAAAATGACGGATGTCATCCAGGCGTTCTTGGAGGACTTGTACAATATAGGTTTACCTTTAATCGCCGCTCCCTTTTTAAAGCACCTCGGGTTCTTGGCCGTACCGATGCCTATTGGGTCGAGCTTGTCGGAGCCAGTCGCGTTGCAGCAGAAGGCCAAAGTCAAACGTTGCTTCTCCTTCTTCTTGCCCTTGCGAATAGTCGTAGCTAGCGTTCGATTAGGCGCTGAGCGATAGAAAAGCGCCTTTTCGTCGAAGTTGAACGCATTCTCGGGTGTAAACTGCGCCACCAACTCTTGTAGCTCTAGCCTCTCATCTCGCACTTCATCAGCTTCTACAGCGCCACCTTCGCCGTGTAGCGTATGGGAGCGGATCCCATTGCGCTTCTTAAAGCTTTGAAGCCAGCCGTTGCTTAGCCGGAGCTGCGTGGTATCGATGCCTAAGCGCTCCGCCAGCTCATGCGCCTTCAGCAGGAGCACGTCGTCCGCCATCGCCGTTTTAGCTTCGTTCTGAAAGAAAAATTCTCTCACTTCCCGCTCGAACTGAGGGAATTTCACTCGGCGCCGCTTGGTCGCACTCAGGTCGACGTGGCTGAAGTAGGAAGAAGGCAGGTTGCGCCGTCGGGCGAGTGTGGCACGGCTAACCCGGGCCTTGAAAGTTGCGTAGATCCACTCGGCGAGCATGGGGTTGTTCATGCCAGGATTCTGCTTGAGCTTTAGGTGCACTTGGAGCTTTTGTGCTAGCGTCAGACAGGTGCGAGGAGACATGGCGAGCGAAGAAGGCTTGCGGTAGGCGTTGAGTGTTGAGCAGTGGTGTGTGTGGCCGAAGTGTGAATCAAATAAACAGGTGAGACCTAATTTGGTCCCCAAAAATGTGACTCATATACCTTGTATGCATATAAACAGAGATCATACAAAAACTAAGTGAAACATTTGGTAGCGACAAAGCCTGCATCAAATAAACGGCATGGCTCAAATAGAGAGGATCATATAAACAGGTTTGACTGTATTAGAGACCTCCCCACTGACGTCACTGAGCTCGGTGATGCCACCTTCTCACATTTACTGGTCACGAATGAAGGCGCCACGATATCCACACGGCTGACCAGATACTCCACCTCGATATCTAGATCACTACCGTGCATCGTGAAGCCCAATGATCCCATCAAGCACAGGACGAAGTTAATACCGTTAACAAGAACCCTGTACAAGCTGCCGCTCGAACATTCAATGTTGACGCCGCCGCTTGACGAGACTGGAGTCGCTTCATTGAGCGCGGACACAATTGCGTTTACCGGTGGTACGACGTCGACGTCCAGGCACCGCACCGAGGGAGCTGCTGTCGTGTCGTTCCGAGACCCGCGTGAAATGTACGAGACGCCGTTCACAAGGCTGTAGTTGGTGACGGTCGAGGAATCTGTAAACGTTGCGAGAGTGCCGTAAAGTATTTGGGAGCCATCACCAATGGCAGCAGGGTTGGCCAGCGTGGTGAACTTCTGCTGCCCGCGAACTTGCATGGAGCTGCGCTTGACCTTGAAATGAAATCGCAGAGACGGCCAGTCCATCGTGGTTTCATTCTGTAGATTTTGCTGTTCGTACTGCAGTTTCTCCAACCCGCTGCGATTATTGAGCTTGAAAGTGAAAGCAAGACGGCGAAGCTGACGGTCAACTGCAGAAGTGGTGCCGGCATCATCCCCGCTTACCGCAGTCGAGGTCAGGCGAGCAAAATGAAAAATAATGAAGGTTGTGCGGCCGACTTTACTGGACTAGGATTGGAGTGATGTCGTCGTGACGCCCATCCGGAGGGAAACTCGGGGATGCAAGTGCAATTGAGCGCCTTTCGCCTCAAGTACAAGTACCGTGGTATTCGGAGCTTGGTTAGCCAACTCGGATGGTTTTTGCTGTTGGCAGGTTGTCCTCAACTTTGTCACTGCGTCTGATGGTATCTCTGTCGAGTCACTCATGCCAGTGGTCTGACGGTGAAAACTGTGTATGCACGAAGGTATATATTATAGTCTTCGTAAAGGGAAACAATTCCCTCTGTGAACTGCAGTGACAACTCTAATACTTTGCTTCGGAAAGTATAATAGCTGCGGCTAGAGCAGACACTGGAACCACTTCAACGGCATTTTTGCCTTATTCAAGAGCGAGTCTCCATTCCGAAACGCAGTGTCGGCATGATTCAGCTTTGTCACGTAGAATGCGTTTTTGTAGCTGTTTCCAAAGTGTGCGGGAGGAAAGCCGCCCGCGCAGCTGTGGAACTCCACCATGCCATCGTTCTTGAAAGACTTGTGAGGCACCACAGTGCCCAGGGTCCAATACCACCACTGCCGCTTGGATCGAAGCCCGGAGAATCCGTTGCTGCACATTAAGGCCGTCACCTCTCGTCGATAAACCTTTTGAGCTGCTGCGTACGCTGCATCAAGTTCCGGTGTGCTGTAATCGTCACCTTGGTACGCGAGAGAAATGATTCCATCGTCCGCGGGGCAGAACCCAGTTTTTGCAGCCAAATCTTCGACAATGAAGTTGGTCTCGTTCATGCAGGAGTCCTGGAAGTAGTTGGAGGCCATACTCCCTCGCATCGGCGCAGACAAACCCACCCACGATACGCTTTTGTCAAGACTGCACTTGCCTGTAGCGATCGCTCCAGCCACCAACAGTCCGCCCATGGAGTGCGTGATAATGATAGTGTCCGAGACCATGGTTCCCTGACTGGTTTTGCTTACTGCAAGAACCCGATCGCACACTTTTTGTTGCTGCTCATCGTCGGTCCACGAGTTGTTCACCGTGTTTAGCATAGCGTACTTGATCGACGAACAGCACGGCGCGTGGTCGGTCAAATTGCCCCAGTAATTTGTGGGGAAGACATCGAGATTTTCCGGTTCCTCTTTGGAAATGCCAAGTCCATGGACGAAGATACACGGCCGAGGTGTTGACTTGCACGAACACGAATCGTCATCGTTACCAAGTACGAAGTCAAAAGTGAGCGAAGCTGACTTCAACCTTCTGGCGTCCTGAGGAGACATCGACTCCCCAGTAAGCAGAGATCTCCCGATCGATGTCACGGAACTTGGCGATGCCACGCTGTCGCAGTTAGCTGGCACTCCTTTCGGGGCTGGAATGGTCTCTTGAGTTTTCACGTACTCCACCTCGATGTCCATGTCGTTGCCATACATCGTGAAACCTGTACGCCCCGTAAAACACACCCCGAAGTCGATCCCATCGACCGAAACTTTGAACGTGTCGCCACCTGAGCATTCGATTGCTCCACCTCTCTTCGACGTTATACTCGAAACAGGGACGGCCTCGACGAGGGCACCCACTATCGAGTTAATCGACAGCAGCGCCGTGTCTTCTTCGCATTCCACCGACGGGTTGGAGCTGCTGTCGTCCAAAGAGACTTGAGAGACGTACGACCTCCCGTCTACGAGCGTGTAGTCGTATAGTGTCGAGTCCTCCGTGAATGTAGCGAAGGTGTCGTACAGCACACGGCTGCCGGTATCGTGCTCGGACACGATGGGGTTGGCCACGACGGAGAAGTCGGAGTAGCCGTGGACCTGCATGGCGCTGCGTCTGATCGTAAAGCTGAAGCGAAGCGAGGGCCAAGTCTCCCCCGTCGCTACAGCTAGAGCGGTGGAGACGAACAGTACCGCGAAGACGGTGGCCAGGATGAAGAGAGGCTTCATCGTGTCGCTGCAAGCTGGACGCTGCCGCGCTCTTGGTCCGAGGAAGGAGAAATCAACAGTGCGATGTGTCTGCGACCGACCGCCATGTGAAAAGTAAACACTGCCACAAGTGCACACGGTCACATCCCATGATGCCCCGGGGCCTGCCTATCACACTGAAGCCTGTGTGTGGGGAATTTGCAAGCAGCTCTGCTTTCGTCATTAACCCTTGGGCGCGTTATGATGGCGTGCCTTGGCGTTGGTGACCGTCGGCTTACATGGAGTTCCGTGGCACACGTGATTTTAATCTTCTCGAGTGAAGACGCGAGTCGAGTCATTCAGAAAAAAAACTAATTTTTTGCCCACTTTTTCTTTCCACTTTCCGTTCACGTTTCGTACTTAGTAGGGAATTGGGTCCACGAAGGGTTTAGGGTTTAGGGAATGTCCACCAATCAAAGTCTACACTATCTCTCTGATTAAGTACGAGTGAAACGATTTCAAGCGTGAGTTGTGCTTGATCTAGACAGGCAACAGTTCTAATCGGCACTGATTAAAGCAACATTGAAATGTTGGCGTTGCGTAACATTGAGCGCAACAATGGTGCCTCTGCCTAACATTGCACAATGTTACGGTATCTCTCGTAGCAGAATATTTGGTTTACCAATATGACAATAGTGGACACGCTGTATCACTCGGGGCGTGCGCCAACAGCAGGCGCGTCATGGTGTACGCGCCGACACATGCAGCAGGAGAATGGGCTCTACGGGATCTACGCGCAGCTCTACCTGGGCGCCACGTGTTGTCTATTCCTAGTTGGCAGGACACTCGCGTTGGCTTTCGCCTGCGGACTTAGCGACGGCACTTCGGGGGGCGCCGCTGTGCGGCCTGCCCCACCCCCTCGTGCAGTCCTCGGCTCGGCCAGGCGCGGTGTCTAGGAAAAAAAATATCGGGTTGCAGCGCAGACCCGCCCCCGCCTGATCGGCGGGTGTTGACGATCGGTGAACGCGCTCAGCGAGGCTCGCGCTCGCGTTCGCTCGCCCTCCCCTTTTAACCTAACTGCGCTGTTGGCTAGAGGCGCATTAAAAGCGCTTAGCGACTGCTTGGGAGATAGCGCATTCGATTGCATGCAACACGCATCGCGCCTAACGCAACGCAACGCACTGGGAAGGCGTTTGCTCCCGCATACGTAGTACACACATGCATATAAGCACCGCAGTAGGACATGCACACATTAGAATAAGGTTGAGCGGTGCACGCCGCTCCGGACGCGCCGCTGGAGAAGACGCTGGCAGTCGCCGCCATCATGGACGGCACACCCTCCGGTGCCTTGCTGTCCACGACCGTGCTGCTGCAGTAGGAGAGCGTGGTGCGCTCGAACCTCGGCCCTGACACTGACACCAGGGACTTGCTGGACTCGCCAACCGTGGCCTCCCTGGGCGAGCTTCTGGCCACCAATGGCTCGCTGCGCCCGACGACTGTGAGCGAGCTGCTGGCCACCAATGGCTCGCTGCTGGTCACCAGCGCCCGACGACCGTGGGCTAGCTGCTGATCTCGCTGGACTCGCCGACCGTGGCCTCCCTGGGCGAGCTGCTAGCCACCAAGATGCTGGTGGCTGCAGGAGACAAAGAGCGTGGTAAAGACGACTTACGTGGCCATTGTAGGCACGCTGGACACCGAGGGCGAGCTGCTGGAGACCGAGGACGTGCTGGACCCGAAGACCATGGCCCCGTGGACGAGCTGCCGAAGCCCAAGGGCGTGCAGGGCCCGACGACCGTGGCCGAGCTGCTGGACCCGAAGACCATGGCCCCCGTGGACGAGCTACCGAAGACCAAGGGCACGGTCAAGCTGCTGTACACCAAGCGCGTGAAGCGCGGGACGCCCGTGGTCGAGCTGTGGTACATCGAGGGCACAACCGTGCGTGTAGGTAAATATAGCAATTCCATTTCTAGAAATGTCCAGTGTTCATGTCGCTTTGCCATTGTTTTCAAAACGCAAAAAAAGTCGTATTTAGTTGAAGGTGCAATTAGCCAATAAGAAGCCTGAACTTGAAACGTGGACGCTACTGTACTGTAAACTACATGTACTGCATCTTCCTTCACTTGATCTTCTCGTCATATCCTTCACCTCGGAATAAAAAAAATATTGGTGAGTGTTGCTGTCAACTCGCTCGTCCCGCTCGCTCCAGCTCCTCTTTTAATTAAAGCCGAGAGCTGCATCGCCTTGGCCTGGATGCGCTGGATCTAGCGTTCTCCATTTACCTGTAGGTGATTTTAGTTCCCGCTTACTTCCCGGAAGTGAGGTAAATTTACAGGTAACTGAGTAAGTGTCGATTATCACACAATCAGGTAAACATTTACCAGCGTCACGATCCAATAATTGTCGAAGGCAGCTTGAACCGGCCGCTCCAGAACGCGCACAATGGCAGCAGTCAGCAGCGTGTTCAGCACTGTGAGTGGCAGCAAAACATTCAAAGGATGAAGCTTGAAAATGGACTTGAAGTGGAAGAACGGCTTCATAGCGTCCACTCCATTCAGCGATCCCACAAGCGAGATCCAGGGCGAGTGCAGGGCTGACGAGCTGCGCACGAATCTCGCCAGCAAGTACAGCCTCGCAGCCATGAACACGCCTAGCGCCTCCACAGGGTACCGATACACCAAATAGCATCCATCACCGCGCCTAACAGTATCAATGCCTTGTTGCAGCGACTCACAGACCGAGTCGTCCTCGGCACTCGCAGCTCCATGCAGCTGCACGATCTCAAACTCTCCACTAACACCCGGTGGCACATGGAAACTGCAGACAACCAGCTCCAGCGCCAGCAACACAGGCCTCCAGAGTGAAAACTTGTGTCGTCTCGAGGGGATTGAGCTCTGCAGTTGGTTCACTTGGCCGTCGCAGCGATATCTCAGCACCAGCAGCACGTCCAGCAGAACAGTCGACCCCAAGACGCAACTTTTAAGCACTTGCACCCATGTCTCGGAAGGTGCGGAGAGATCCTGGCCGCGTTCAACGATCTCACACTCCACGAGCATCAGAGCAATGCCCAGCAGTCCGGCAAGACACGATGTGAGCTCATAGCGCCGGCGGTGTCGGAATTGCTGGAAAAAGTATCAGAAACCATGCTTTAGCTGGCAGTGTTCTAACGCGTCCGCAGTTGTTGACACTAAGTGCCTAGGGAGCAGCACCTTCTGTAGATGGAGAAGAAAGCGGGTTGGGGGGTCGTGGGGGCTCGAGTTGGCGGCAGCAGGTTGCTCAGCGGCGAGCGCTTGCGCCTCCAGCTTCATCCGTGAGATATTCCTGTACTTTGTTGAAACTGAAAAATGGTGAATGGAATGCAAAACGTCAAAACTATGTGTACTTTGTCCAGAATGAACAAGTTGAAGTGAATCGCAGCAGGTTTTGCTATTATGCGGTGATCACGCGGACGCCAGCAGCGGAGACTCGCTCAGCCGACAGAATGTCTGGCTGCGTGATGAACATCATGTTGCGCGGCACCTTCATCGACCGCGATAGCCACTCGATCATCGCAGGACCGAACTCGCCGCGCACCGACACGAAGTCCACGCGGATCTTCGGGTACATGCTGTCGAACAGTGCCGCCATCTCGCGGAACGAGGTGAGCACCGGAGCGACCGCCTCCTCGTCCGAGAACACGTGCACGATGCGCAGTGTGTGGGTCTGCTCGTTACGACGCACGTAGATGATGGCCTTGTTGATGATCGTGAGGTCGGGCACCTTGCAGAAGAAGACGATGGGGGTCTCACGGATGCTGACAATGGTGCGGGCGATGGTGCGTCCACCGCGAGCACCCGTGTGCTCCACCTCCGGGGTGCCATCGTCCGCCATTCCGATGAACGCCTCCTTTCCGAACCGCGATGGGGCCACACTTTTGAGGACCGCTAGCACAACGCGGAGAATCGTGACTCGTTCGAACATGACAAACATCACCAGCATCACGGCGATGAAGTAGATGGCAAAGTACATGAGCACCGACGGGTCTCCAAGTAGGTTGGCGAAGATGCCGACCACAACGAGCAAGAAGCCCAAGCTGACGACGGCCCACGACGCTTGGATATCCCGAGGAATCTCCGAGCGTTTACCTTTCAGCAGCATGCACGCGCATGAGAACATCGCCATGAGACCCAGGAACGCGTATGTGTAGACTCCGTTAACCGTCGTAGCGTCCGCGTTCAGGATCAGAACGAGGCTGGACGACAAGAAGAAGTAGATGCCGATGATGTAGTGGCTGGTGCCGCGGAGCTTGTTCTTCTTGGCCAAGAAGGCGGGCAGCACGCGGTCGTTCGAAAGTCGTTCAACCAGACCGCAAATGCCGACGTACGAAGTGAGCACGGCACCGCAGAGCACAACGAAGGCATCCACACATACCCACGTTTCGAACCAGCTTCCAACAGCGACGTGGCCAACTCTCGCCAGCAGTGCCTCGCCGTGTGCGTAAATGCCGTCGTCGCCTTCAAGAGGCAGCACCGCTAGGATGCCGACAGCCAAACCGATGTTGAAAAACGTGACGAGTGCCCACATGTTGCGCAGTGTCTTGCGAAACACACCCGGCTGCTGCTCCTCCACGTAGTTGGACGATGATTCAAAGCCCGTGATGCCCAGCATGGACGCACCGAAGCCGAAGAAAATGGACGTGAACACGTTGCCGTCCAGCATGGAGCCTGCAAAGTCCACCTCGGGCAGCTCGGTTTTCATGTTGTCCTTGAAGACGTATGTGTGCTGGACACCGTACACGATGCACGAGACGAACAGGATCGACAGTACCAGAATGTGGTGCAGGAAGATGACAACCGCCACGCGAGAGCTCTCCGCCGTGCCCATAGCTGACAGAAGAGCGAAGGCGCCGAGTAGGACGATCGTGCAGCTCACAATCGGGATCTCCACTTGGTTGTTCAGGTAGTGGACACCGGAGGTGGCCGACACGACGCCCGTGGCCACGTACGACAAGATACTCAGACAGGCAGCCACCGCGGCAGTACGCTTGGAGGTTGTGTTGAGTAAAGCGTTGTAGGTGCCTCCGTTCAGCGGGATGGCCGTCACCACCTCTTCGTAGATGAACCGGAACGAGAACAGCACAGCCGACACCATGAGCAGCGGAATCGGCATGAGCTTGCCCGATTTCGCAGCGACAGACGACGCCGAGTACAGCACACTCGACAGGATATCGTTGCCACAGATAGCAGTCGCCGGTAGCTCGCCCAGAAGTTTGCGTGGTTGATTCAGCTCGACTTGAATGTCGGCCAGCTCATTTTGAGGGGCCTGGACGTGCTCCGAAGTGCCGAAGCCCGGGAACTGCCAAGCCGGTCCTCTGGGGCCGTTGTCCACTACCTCGATCTCGATCTTGCGCCGACGAAGGTTCAGCGCTCGCGAGCTGTCCACCGAGCAGACTGCGAGTTTTGGTGAAGACGCTTCGCGGTAGACTGCCGTGGGCGACGGCGCCAACAATGCTCCAGTAGGATTGGGCTCCGTCATGACCGATTCCTGTCGAGGTGAAGCGCGCTGGAGGAGGACTTGGCTTGGAGACGGAAAAAGAGAGAATGGATTCGAGTCCACACAAGAGAGATCTTTGCAAACGATCGCTGGGATCAGGGACAACAACGACTTTAAGTAAGCGACGCCCTGGTAGAGAGAACCACGCTTTGGTCGACGCCGTTGGACGCTGGTGCCCAATTGGGACGGAAAGTTTTGAATCGCCTGTCCTAGGCAGCCGTTGGGGCCGTCAGATCCCGTTCTGGCGGAGGTGAACCATTTGCCGATGACGTTGGAGTCTGGTCGGAGATGAAAGATGTTTTCCCCATATCCCCAGACCCAGACACCGACGGAGAAACCAGGGCCTTTGGATAAGACCCACCGCTGGAGATGCTCTTAGGGACGCCGTTTTTGGTTCACAGGGTAGTATGGATAATACGGTGACATCGAAGATAAAGATGCAAGCAAAAACTGCCGCTGTGTAAAGAGGATCTAGGAATAAATGCGTTCGCTCTGGTTCATTCGTCTCTTTACGTTACACGCTTTGTTTCTGTTTATCACATGCCTAGGGACCAGCTACGCGGTGATGACCCGAACGCCCACAGTCGACACCCGCTCGGCTGAGAGGAAGTCTGGCTGCGTGATGAACATCATGTTGCGCGGCACCTTCATCGATCGAGACAGCCACTCGATCATCGCAGGACCGAACGGCACCTTCATCGATCGAGACAGCCACTCGATCATCGCAGGACCGAACTCGCCGCGCACCGACACGAAGTCCACGCGGATCTTCGGGTACATGCTGTCGAACAGCGCCGCCATCTCGCGGAACGAGGCGAGCACCGGAGCGTCCGCCTCCTCGTCCGAGAACACGTGCACGATGCGCAGCGTGAGGGTCTGCTCGTTACGACGCACGTAGATGATGGCCTTGTTGATAATCGTGAGGTCGGGCACCTTGCAGAAGAAGACGATGGGGGCGTCGCGGATGCTGACAATGGTGCGGGCGATCGTGTGGCCGCCACGAGCACCCGTGTGCTCCTCTTGAGACGGTTGATGCGTCGCTAGACCGATTGCAGCCGCCTTACCATACCGTGACGGAGCCAACTTCCTCAAAATGACGAGGACGCAGTGAAGAATCGTCACGCGCTCGAACATGATGAAGATCACGAAGGCCACCACGACGAAGTACAGCGCGAAGTACATCAAGACGGACGGATCACCCAGAAGATTCGCAAAAATGGCGATCACAACCATCAATAAGCCGATCACCACCACAGCCCAAGGCGCGTGAATGTCCGCCGGAATCTCCGATCGCTTGCCCTTCAGCAGCATGCAAGCGCATGAGAAGAGTGCCATCATACCCAGGAATGCGTACGTGTAGACTCCGTTCACAGTGGTGGCGTCCGCGTTCAAAATGAGCACAAGACTGGACGAGAGCAGGAAGTAGATGCCGACGATGTAGTGGTTCGTGCCTCGCGCCTTGTTCGTCTTGGCCAGAAAGCTCGGCAACACGCGGTCGGTTGATAGACGACGCACGAGACCGCAGATGCCAACGTACGAAGTCAACACGGCACCGCATAGCACCACAAACGCGTCAACGCAGATCCACGACTCGAACCAACTTCCCAGCGCTTCACGACCAATCTTCGCCAGCAGAGCATCCGCGTTCTTGTAAATTCCATTCGATCCGCCAAGAGGCAGCACAGCGAGGATACTGGCACCTAAACCGACGTTGAACACCCCACATGTTGCGCAACGTCTTGCGGAAGACCCCTGGAGCTTGTTCCTCCACGTAATTCGACGACGACTCAAAGCCCGTGATCCCCAGCATGGACGCTCCAAAACCGAAGAAGATTGCGGTCAGCACGTTGCCGTCCAGCATGGAACCCGCGAAGTCCACCGCCGGGTACTCCGAGTGCATATTGTCGCGAAAAACGTGCGGGTGGTTGATGCCGTAGACCACACTCGACACGAACAGGATGCTCAGCACCACAATGTGGTGCAGGAAGATGGCTGTAGCCACCCGCGAGCTGTCCGAGATCCCCATTACCGCCAGCAACGCGAACGCGCCCAGCAGAATAATGGTCGAGCCAACGATCGGGGTTGTTGAGATAGCGCACGCTGTTGGTGGCGGAGACGACGCCCGTGGTAGGACAAGATCCCCAGGCATGCGGCGAAGGCGGCTGTCCGCTTGGAGGTCGTGTTGAGCAGGGCGTTGTAGGTACCACCGTTGGCGGTGACTACCTCCTCGTAGATGAAGCGGAAGAAGAGACCAGCAGCAGCGGAATTTGCCCGATTTCGCAGCGACGGACGACGCTGAGTACAGCACACTGAGCAGGATGTCGTTTCCGCAGATAGCAGTCGCGGGTAGCTAGCCGAGGAGTTCAGCTCTCTTGCGGAACACACCGGGCTGCTGCTCCTCGATGTAGTTGGGCGATGATTCAAAGCAGTAATCGTAGTTCAGGGAAAAAAAACTCGTTAATTTAGCGCTGTTGCTCTCGAAGTCATAGGTAGATTTTGCTCTCAAAGCATCATACTGACGGCAAACGCAGCTTTCTAGTCCGTGATGACGCGAACACCGAGTGCTGACACGCGATGGATGTTGTCGTTCGCAGGTTGACGCATGAACATCATGTTGGTCGGCACATCCATCGACTTGGACAGCCACTGCACCATGGCCGGGTCGAACGCTCCAGTCACAGCGATAAAGTCGATCTTGATCGACGGGTAAATGTGGTCGAATAGGTTCACGACGTCTTCAAACTCGCGCGGCACGGGGGCGTTCGGCTCGCACACGTGAACCAGCCTGAGGCAGTACGTGTGCTCGTTCTGCATCACGTAGCGCACAGCCTCGTTGATCTTGGGTAGATTGGCCACTTTGCAGAAGAAAACCACGGGCGTGTTCTTGATCGTCTCGATGATCTTGGCGATCTTGACGCTGCCCACGAACACCTGGCCGTGTGCTGACAGTTGCTGAATGGGATTCGCGTCCGTTTGTCCACCACGAAAGTGCAGCAACAGCTTCCGCGAGACGTAGAGCAGCCCCTTGAGCAGGCTCACGCGAGTCAGCATCATGAATACCACCAAGAAGAACACCGCGAAGTAGATGAAGAAGTACGACAGCGCCTTCACGTCCGAGAACGCGTTCGCGAGGATGCCCATGGAGATCATTCCCACGCAAAAGCACGTGTTGGCCCACGACGTGGTTCTCTTGCGCGGGATCTCTTCACGGCAGATTTTCAGCAGTAGACAAGCGATAGTGAACGACAGTAGGACGCACAGGAAAGCGAGTGCGAAGACGCCGGACAGCACCGTCACTTCGGCGTTCAGAATGAACACGAGACTGGAGGCCACGAGGAAGAACGTCAAGATGATGTAGTGATTCGTGCCGCGGCAAGAGTTCACCCTCAGCAGGAACGTGGGCAACACGCGGTCGATGGCCAACCGCTGGAACAATCCGTTGATCCCCACGTACGCGGTCAGCACCGCACCAGCGAGCACACCAAAGGCGTCGATGGCCACGAGGACTTCGAGCCACCGGCCTCCACTCAGTCGGCCCATGTACGACAGCAAAGTCGACTGGTTGGCGATGATTGTGTCGACTGGGACAATCGCCAGGGCCAGCAGCGAGTACGCCACGTTGAACGTGCTCGACAAGGCCCACATGTTGCGCAGCGTCTTGGGGAACATGCCCGCGGCCTGCTCTTCCACGTACTGCGAGGAGCTCTCGAAGCCCGTCACGCCCAGCATCGCCGTGCCGTAGCCCAAGAACAAGGCCGACGCAACATTGCTGGCGTCTGCAGCGCCGCCGAACATCGTCACGTCAGGCAGAGACGTGCTCATATTGTCCACGAAGACGGAGGGGTGCTGCACCACGTAGATGAAGCTGAAGATGGCCAGCAGTATCAGCGTGAACGTGTGGAAGACGAAGAAGATAAGCGCGACGAACGCGCTCTCGGCGATGCCCATGAGGCACAGCAGCGCGAAGACAGCTAGCAATCCAATGGTGCAGACCATGACCGGGATCTCGAACAGCGACTCGTTCACGTAGTTCATGGCCGACACGCCGTTGACCACGGCCGTCGACAGGTACGACAGCATGCTGAAGACGGCGCAGACGGCCGCCACCTTCTTGGGCGCCGAGTTGAGCATGGCCGTGTAAAAGCCGCCGTTCAGCGGGACGGCGCTCATGACCTCCTCCAAGACCCAGCGGAGACAGTAGACGACCGTCACGACGAACAGCTGCGTGACCGGCGCTAGCTTGCCGGCCTTGGCGATGGTCTGGCCAGCCGAGAAGAGCACGCTGGACAGGATGGCGTTGCCGCTGATGGACGTGGCCGTCCACTCGCCGAGCTTGTTTTTGGTCTCGTTGGCCTGCAGCTCCTGGCCGATGGCCGCGATCTCGTCCGCTCGGCCCTGCACGAACTGGGCCTCGCCACCGATGTTCGGGTGCATCCACGACGGCTCCTTGAAGCGCCGGTCCGTGACCTGGATCTGGATGAACCGCTGGCGCAGCTGGCTGGGCGTGTCAGCGCGGATGAAGTTCATCTCGCTCACCCAGCCAGGCTGGTGCACCGACAGCGAGGTGACGCCCGCATAGTCTCCGCTGGGGGACTCGGGGCCCAAAAGGTCCAGACGCAGGTCTCCGTTGCGGCGGGGCTCGGCCATGACTTGAGGCGAGGAAAGCGCAAAGTGGGCCGCGCTCGACGAGGAAGCCGAGTGACAGTTGAGTGCAGCCGAAAGCGACACCTGCTGAGTTGGGAGAGACGTGGTGTGTCTGAAAACGGTTGGCCTATTCAAGGCTGCACTAAGACAGAGAGCGGACGCTGCGCAAAGGGATGGCTATTGCGCATCGACTGCAATGACTCTCCAGCTGCTGGCCGCGCCAAGTTTGGCACGGGGAATCAGGAGCGGCAAGTTGACCGGAAGGATCTTATCCCAAACCGTTGCGCAGCGCAAAGCGCAACTTGCGCTCGATGGCCTTGCAGGTCTCCAGGCACAGCCTCGGAGACTTTTGCGTTCGTTCGCTGGCTGCGGCTCGCTTGCCGGTGTCTTTGTATAGACGGCAATTTTGCAGGCAGACTGAAGGGGGGGGATGGGATAGTCGCCCCCGCTCAGCCTGCTACACTGGAATGGCTGCGCCGCATGTGGCCCATGTACGCGCTGGCGCCAAACGCTTGTGGGTGATCCAGTGCCAGTCTGGTCACCTGGTGGGGCGTCAAGTGGTCGATGCCACTTGGATTCGCTGCATGCTGGCCAGTTGGCCGTCGTCTAATTGCTTCTCGTCCAACGAAGAATCTTCAGCTTCAGTACACTGAAGTTGAAGCATCACTCGTTATAGTTGGGCACCTTTGGGCAACTTCATTGCCCTCAAATTCTTACACGAATATTTGCGATACTGAATGCTTGCATTAGCGAGTGCAACTTCAACAGCAAGTAATACATGCATCATTCAGCTGAGTGCGTTCACGCTGCTTGTACTGCTAGCTAAGCTGGTGGATAAAACACGCTAAATTATTTAGAGGGCGGAGTTATCTTTTCCTTCGAGCTGAGCCAGCACGGCCGAGTTCAGCTCAGCTAACCCTTTCAAGCACTGGTTCCGAAGCCTCTTATTGTTAACGCGAAGGCCAAGTCAGACGTAAAACCTTGCATATATGGTATCCGCACTGTAAAGTTACTCGTGTTCTATCACAACCATTAAGCTACACAGATGAACAAATGATTCGCACCGCCTTCTTCGTGTGGGACGCGCTACTTCCAGCGGGACCATCACTGACGATATGGGCTGTGACTTGGGAAGCAAACAAGGCTAGGCACTCCATCCTACATCAAGATGTTTGAAATTAAAGCGACTTGACATTAACTTTACTACTTCGAAGTAATATACTTCGAAGTAAAACATAATGGGGAGCTCCTCTACAGACAACGACTTACAAAGCCGGCAGACACAAAAAGCCGGCAGACGACGTCAAGCAAAGCTTAACATGAGCAAACCAGCCAATCCGATTCAATCAAATGACTTCATCTTTGTATACCATCTGGTTTTGTGTACTTTATATGATTTTTTGTGTACTTTATGCAACACACCGTGTGTTTTTTATGACAGTTTTACAGATTTGACGGGAGGGAATTTATCGTTGTTTTTATATAGGAGGATGGCATTAATTACATAGTCCGCATTGGGATCATCGACCCCCTTGTCAGAGCTGATGTACTACATCGAACCCAATTTGTCGCGGTTGCTTGCCGCACAGTCATTTCGAAAACTAAAGTTCACACCACCGGCCTACCTCCCAATATTATTCAGGCCCTTCAGCCACCTCAAACTTACAGACGCATGGTAAACACTTTTTACGCGTCTCATGCTGCGGCAGCCGACTAATAGTAGAGACTTGTTTCCATCTTGCTTACAACCTTTGCTACTCCACCGACTTATTCTGTGACGATGCGCACGCCCAATGCCGAAACCTGGTGGGTCTTCCTGCTAGAAGGTTGGCCCATGAGCATCATGTTGGTGGGGATTGCCATCGACTTGGACAGCCACTGCACCATCGCCGGGTCAAAAGCCCCCGTCACGGCGATAAAGTCGATCTTGGTCGACGGGTAGATGTGGTCGAACAGGTTCACCACGTCCTCGAACTCACGTGGAACGGGGGCGTTCGGCTCGCACACGTGCACCAGCCTGAGGCAGTACGTGTGCTCGTTCTGCACCACGTAACGCACAGCCTCGTTAACCTTGGGCAGATTGGCCACTTTGCAGAAAAATACGACGGGTGTGTTCTTGATCGTCTCGATGGTCTTAGCGATCATCACGCTGCCAACAAAGGCCTGACCCCGTGTCGAACATTGTTCAACGGAGAGGTTGTCGCCTCGGAAATGCAGAATAAGCTTGCGCGACACAAACAGCATCGCCTTCAGCACATTCACACGCGCCAGCATGAGGAATACCACCAGGAAAAATACTGCGAAGTAAATGAAGAAATACGACAACGCCTTAAGATCCGAGAACGCGTTCGCGAGGATCCCCAAAGCCACCGCGCAAAAGCAAAAGCCTGTGTTGGTCCACGACGTGACTTTTTCCCGTGGAATTTGCTCTCGACACGCCTTGAGCAGCAGACACGCGACGATGAAGCACATTAACACGCAGAGGAATGCGAGCGCGAAGACGCCAGACAGCACCGTAACTTCAGCATCGAGAATGAAGACGAGACTCGACGCCACGATAAAGAACACGAGAATAATAAAGTGGTTCGTGCCACGACATGAGTTAACCTTGAGCAGGAAGCTGGGCAGCACACGGTCAATGGCCAGGCGCTGAAATAACCCATTGATACCCACGTACGCCGTCAGGACTGCGCCAGCGAGCACACCAAACGCGTCGACAGCCACGAGGATTTCCAACCAGCGACCACCAGTAAGTCGACCCATGTACGACAACAGCGTCGACTGATTCGCGATGATCGTATCCAGAGGTACAACCGCCAGCGCTAAAAACGAGTAGGCCACGTTGAACGTGCTCGAGAGAGCCCACATGTTGCGCAGAGTTTTTGGAAACATGCCCGCCGCTTGTTCTTCCACGTATTGCGCCGAAGTCTCGAAGCCCGTCACGCTGAGCATTGCCGTACCATAGCCTAAAAACAAAGCGGAGAAGACATTGGTGCCTTCTAATGCCGAGCCAAACATCGTCACTGCAGGGAGAGATGTGTGCATATTGCCCACAAATATCGACGGGTGCTGTACTACATAGACGACGCTGAACACGCTTAGTAAGACGAGCGTGAACATGTGAAAGGAGAAGAGAAGCAGTGCAACGAAAGCGCTCTCCGCGATTCCCATCACACAAAGCAGAGCGAAGGCCGCCAGCAGTCCAATGGAACATATCATCACTGGCATCTCCACCAGCGACTCGTTCACGTAATTCATCGCGGACACACCGTTCACCACTCCAGTTGCCAGATACGATAAGATGCTGAACACGGCGCAAACTGCCGCAACCTTCTTCGGGGATGAGTTGAGCATGGCAGTGTAAAATCCTCCGTTCAGCGGCACAGCACTCATCACTTCCTCAAAGACCCAGCGCAGGCAATATATCACAATTGTCACGAGCAGTTGGGCGACTGGGGCGAGTTTCCCAGCTTTGGCGATGGTTTGCCCCGTAGAAAACAGAACGCTGGACATGATGTCGTTTCCGCCGATAGAGGTGGCCGTCCACTCTCCGAGCTTGTTTCCCGACTCGCGAGCTTCAAGTTCGTCGTGAACAGCAGCAATTTCTTCTACGGGGCCATGAACGTACTGCGCCTCACCGCCAATGTTGGGATGCATCCAGGTCGGCTCCTTGAATCTTTGATCAACCACTTGGATCTGGATGAAGCGTTGACGTAATTGGCTCGGTGTATCGGCGCGGATGAAGTTCATTTCGCTTACCCACCCTGCGCCTTCCGTTTCTGTTGGGTGACGCATCGGCAGCGGCGTGAGTCCGCCGAGGTGAGCATAGGTGGCAGTGGGTGAAGTCTGTGAGAGCGGCGTTCCAGAAGGCAGCAGCTCCAGCCGTAGAGCTCGGTTGTCGCGATGGGTCATAGACTCTAATTCGTGAAGAAATTCCAACTGCATGACTGGAGGATTGAGAATAGCCCCAACAACCGTTGCACTATTTGAGATATTAATAATTAACGCGTACGAGTATTATACCTGTCAATCAATTGTAACGACCATCTTTTGATTGTCGTTGGCGATATCTCGCATTTGTATAATACATTCGTCGAAACGTTACTTTGTATTTGTAAGGGAAATCGTCGGTATTTTCGCCAAAAATATTTGGAATTGTGCCGATTTGAGACGCCCAAAACGCTGCGGGAATCGCTCCACTGATTTTTATTAATGGGGAAGGGCGACGTCACCGGTAAGGGCGCCGCGGTGTATTGCGTTACTTGCCTAAACTGAACGCTAAGCACCATTCCACTCTGCATGTAGCTACGTAGTCTGCCGGGCAACCGGCAATGCACTTTGACAGTGCATGGAATCGCTCCACTGATGGAGCAAAATCCTGTCGCTTTTATTTTGCTTGTCCCGAAAGCCCGTACAGCCCGTTTCGAAGTCCACAGCCGAGAGTCTACGCATGAGTGTTAGATGAAACATTCTATCAAGAGGTCAATTTGATCCAAAATCGAAGAGGGGAAAACAGGTCAATCCTAACAGTTGGTCACGGGAATGATGGTCAAACAGGTCACACATCAGGACGCTAGGTCACGTGACCAAACTTAACAGGTCACACCCATTGATGTAGACGGTAAGATGCGCGCACGCCCGCATGAGAATGAGAGCAAAATGCATATGCAGCTTCGAAGCGGACGAGGGCCCACTTCTCTTCAGCCTGAAGAATTCAGACATCATACAAGTATTCTCAGTACACACGACACCTCCCTCAATGCTTTCGTACTCTGTCAGCTCGGTTTCCTACAGGACACGACGTGCTGCTTGCTGCTGTGTTACAGTATAAGCTGGCTAAGTGCTGCACTGTGGGCTGCCTATCATCTTGCACAGCGTGCTTGCTACTAGTAAAAGTACCATGTTGCGCTGCAAGTCCTTACCATGCTAAATTGTGTGCTTCCTACCATTTACACGGCAAGAGACCGCCGTCATCATGAGTCTCCTGTTGCGTTCGTACGCGCTTAATCCTGCTCAAGGATGCATCTGAGCTTCCGCCGCGTTTTCTTGCTTCGGTCGTTGTACTGACGTGGAAACCATGGTCGCTACTATCATTACGACCATGTCGGAAGGTGGCTCCTACCGTGTTCGGAAAGGCTGCAATATGGCCACTCAGGTCCAGTATCTGGAGTCGATAGCCGTCTAATGTTTAGACTTTAAACGACAACAAATACAAATGCAAATAGCTACTCGGAAAAGGGGGTGGATGCGTGCGCTAAGCGACTGTGACCACGACAAGAGGGGTTCGGCCATCGAGCATGGGCAACAACTATAATGGACGTGGTGCTGAAGAATGAGTGCAGGCTCACCACGTACGATGCTCCGCTTAGCAAAAAGACGCCAACCAGGTACGAACCTACATGCCAAAGAGAGCAGAGCACGGGCTTGTGCTCAAGTCAAAGCGATTCAAAGCGAGCTTCAACTTGCACTCAACCTTCTTACTAAGTACGATGTATTGTTGGATGGGGCTCGACGCTAAGTACGACGGCCCTGCCACCTCTGAACCAGAGGGTCAAACGTGAACAAGACAGCTACAGTAGCAGCGGCAGACATGTCGGGACCTCTGGGACGAATCATCGCGCAGGTGGTGGTCATGGGCGCGGGCATCGTGTCTAAGGCCTTCGTGCAGGCCTACCAGCAGGCCGTCCACAACGCTCGCACGGGCAACACTGGCGCCATGGCAGCGAAGACGGTGGTGCGCAAGAACCAAATGTCCAAGCAGCAAGCGCGCGAGATTCTCAACTTCCCCACGAGTGGACCGGTGCCTTCCTCGGAGGAGATCCAGAAGCAGTTCACAAGGTACTTCGAAGCCAACGACCCAGCCAAGGGTGGCTCGTTCTACCTGCAGTCCAAGATTTTCCGGGCCAAGGAAGCGCTAGAGCGCAAGGACCCTGACGAGGAAGCTCCGGCCAGCGATGCGGCGAAGGAAAAATAGAATGCGCGTAGTGATGGTCGCGCTACAGGCCGAAGAACTCCCGCAGGTGCCGTGTGCCGCGCTCTCGAAGGCCGCCACTCTCGTGGTGGGCGGTTTGACCACCGACTGCGGTGCTACTGCGGCGAAGCTAGACTGGGATAGGAAGTTACCACGTAGCTGGGTCTCCCCTGCGTCGCTTGGACGTGGGGCGGAGGCTGGCGTCCTGCATAAAGCTCTCTCTATAATATACCTATCGAGACGCCTTGGCCTTGGCTGATCCCCATCGCAGCGCCGCGATCTCTCCCGGTAGTGACGACGACAGTCTCCATTGGTTGGTTGAAAATACTTTTGCCGGAGGTACGTACGAATTCCCCCACAGTCGTCAATCGGAGTACAACAAGGAAACATGGTGCTGGCGAGTGTGCGTGCTGGTGGCGCGCTGGCGGGAGCGGCGGTGCGCAATGGCGCGGCCGCCTTCAGTACGGCGGGGCGTGTGACGTTTGAACAGCTCACGGCTGGAGCCGACGCCGAGCAGCTGGAGTTCATGAAGGAGCAGATCGTGCAAGTGGACGAGCTGGACAACGTCGTGGGCCCTATCAGCAAGAAGGATGGTACGTGTCGACGTCGGCCTTGTACCTAAAGATGCACCTAGCTAACTGAGTGGGGGTACTTGTTCCGGTGGATTGACAAACAGCGCACATCCACGACGGCGTTCTGCACCGCGCCTTCAGCGTGTTCGTCTTCAACTCGAAGAACGAGCTGCTTATTCAGAAGCGCGCGAGCGAAAAGATCACCTTCCCCAGCTTCTGGGCGAACACGTGCTGCAGGTAGAGTGGCGCTACAACGTCGTGTATACTGTGTGCTGGAGCGTAACTTGGTTTTGCGATTGCAGCCACCCGCTTTTCACTGAAGGAGAGCTCGAGGACGGCTTCGGTGTGAAACGTGCGGCCATCCGCAAGCTGGAGCACGAGCTTGGCATTCCTACTTCCACCTTTGCACTCGAAGACTTGGCTTACGTCTCCACGGTCATGTACAAGGTACGCGACTTCAACAACATGTTTCTTAAAGATGTTTCCGGGCGCTTACATGTTTACCTTGTTTCGACCGCAGGCTGCGTCAGACGCTAATTGGACGGAGTACGAAATGGACCACATTCTGTTTGCGCGTGGCGACGTGTCGCTGGACAACGTGAACAAGAACGAGGTGGAACAAGTCGAGTTCGTTACTCGTGAGAACCTGCCAGCACTCCTGAATGATTCCACGCGGAAGCTCTCGCCGTGGTTCCACCTCATCGGTTCTAACTTGCTACCTAAATGGTGGGACAATCTCGACACGGTGCTGGCGAAAGACAACGCTGACCGCCAGATCCACGACTACCGCTAGGTAGCTGATAGCTACGCGCTCAACAGGCTAGACTGCCCCTATAGAACTGGCACACAGAGCTTGAAAGTGTGCACTACAAGAAAACACAATTCACCATGAAACACGCCGAGCTGAAATGGCTGATGTTCTGTTGTGAGTTAATTTGCATCTTCTGAGCGGCTAGTTGGAGCGAGCTTAGAAAGACTAGCACCGATGTTTGAGAAGAACGAGCCGATCGAATACTTCGAGAACTGGGACATACGCAGCGACGCACTGCCAAGATAATCACCGTTCTTGTCCGTGCCCGTCCAACCAACGTAGATCGTGAGATCACACTGTGCAGTGGTGTTGGTGCTGGTGCTGGTGCTATTCGAACCGGCAGAGCTGCCGTCACCGACAGTCACGCTCGCATCGGAAGCGTTCGTTGAATAACCCGAGCAGCTCTCCACAGCGCTATAACACGTTTGTCCTTGTCCGCTCAGCCGTCCGGTTGCCGATTCTTCTGGCTTCGAGTACAGGTTGTAGTCACACATCTCTGCTGTGCAGAAATAGCAGCCTTCGTCCCAGCTGACGCCTTGCACAACACCTTTCTTCACAGAGATAATGGCCGTCATGTACGGGGAGATGCGATTTGTTGACGCAGACGAGTAGAGCTTATAGTTGGTGCGATACTTGAGGCTCGAGACGGTGAGGAAAGCACCTGATGGGTTGGCTCCGATACGCGTATCATTCCACGCTAAGAGTGCACGAAAAATGGGAGTTAGTGTTTGCGACGAACGCAGCTAGCAAGATGCACTTACAGTCGCTGATGCGTAGCACCGTGAACTTATCCGCTACAGGCGTGAAGAGCGTGCGGTACTCGTCGTTCACGTTGATACAGACGTACGTAATCGTTCCTTTCACGACGAGAGGCACGGGGTTGGACGGTGAGCAGATACTCGTCACGTTCGTCTGCACGGCGTACACGCTCATGCTTGCCATGGCCATCGCCATCGCCCAAGCGGCCAGCAGCCATGAGTGCTGGAAAACCGCGCGCCGGTGCTGCGTTGAACTCATCGCGTGGTCGATGTGGAGGACGAATACGCTGTGCTGGAGCGGGGGGAGAAGTTTCGCTTTTCGCTGTGCTGACCTTTCTCGAAGGCATCACTCGTTGTCGGCAATCCGTTGATTTTTTGCATTTCAAAATAGCAACGGAGAAACCCCCGGGCATGAAGCAAAACCCGCTACATATCATCCTCATCAGGCCTGTAACGAAGCTGGGCAGACCGAACCACGGTACTCCATTTTTTTTGGTTCGGAGTTACAGATGACCTTTCAACCGAACACGGTTTACCGGTATACCGTCTTCGCTCAAATAACCTCAGGAACCGACGAAGCAAAACGCCCGGTTCAGGTTTTTCGGGTTCGTTTTGATCGCCTGTCCTAGGTGCGAATGCTGCAGGTTCTCGCGAATCTTCGCTACAATGAGCGACAGGTGCCTCCTTGAAAAGCCGCACGACCGAGCGATCACCGTATCCTTGCTCGCTGTGTGGCTTTTGGTTTCCGATAGATGCTAGAAAGCAGCATGTGCCCTCACAGTTCAATTGGTGTCTTAGCATGCGGCCCTCTCTGAAACCATGGCCGGGGATCCCGTCTTGGTTGCTCACGATGATTTGAAGGTCCATCTGTTGGTTGGAGCACGAGGAAGCATTCATCACCGAAAGCTTATCGTTAATCCGCTTCTCCATGAGAGTTTCACTGTCTGCGAATTTCTGCTCGGAAACCCTTCGATCCGCTAATATTGCTTTTTCCACAACTCGGTTTGCTGTCTGCTCCATTTTCAAATTCAACTCACAAACAGCAGCACGGAGTTAAACATCAATCTGCTGCTTATAAAGCTCTTGAGACGAACAAAGATCGGAAAGTTGCTTTGCAAGCTTTGCTTGTAAATCGTCCATACGAGCGTTCAATTCGGCTTGTTTTTTGTCTCCAGCAAGCGCATGATTCTGAAGTATGCGCTTCTCAGCATCAGCAAGTGAAGCAGCTACGTCCTGCTTGATTTCCCCGAAAAGCTGGCCGCCGGTTGCTTTAAGACGAATATTAAGCTGCTGCTCAATAGCTTTTGCGCTCGTAGCCATTTTTTCTCAACAAAATGATCCAACTTGGAGGTAAAATCATCCATTTTTTTGCTGAGGTTTGTCTCCATAGCGGCTACGCTTGAATCAGTGTGTTTGCAGGCCGTCATCAGCAGCGATTCAAGCTTTTCCTGCGTGCGAGCTTCTTGTTCAGACGCCAGATCTACCGCGGTGTAAAGCGTCTTCAGCTGTGACTCATCTACATGTTCCCGAAGGCGAGACTCCAAACGCGATGCATGGTACCCCGCTTTTGCCTCCACCGCTGCATCAAAAGAAGCCTGTGCCACATACAAAGCTTGATTCACATGTTCTTCACATACTCGGGCAATTAAATTATCAGGATCAATTAGCTGAGAGTTGGCAACGTTAATATCCACAGCTTCCTCGAGTCGTGCACGAGCTTCAATGAGGCGCGTTTCTGCGGTGTCAGCGCGAGCCGTGATCTCGTCAATACCTTGACCAATGCTTGATTGAACCACTAGCTGTGAGCTGCGAAAGCTTTCTTCAAGCCGCGGTTGCAGCCTCTGCTCGATCGTAGCCGCGACACCTTCAACCTCGGCTCGTGTATGGACAAGAAGTTGATCCACACGGTGTTCAAAGCAGTGGCAGGTTTGCTGTGCTCGTAGCTGGATATCCGACAACGCGTGCGAGACTTCAATGGGGTGCCCGGTGATTTGAATGATGCCCTCCTGTAGAGTGAGCTGGCGTCGACGATGAACTTGTGAGGGCTGATCGACATCAGGTTGCACGTCATCACAGTGCGAAGCACCAGCAAACGCAGCGAGCGCATGCATCATCTTCAGCGGATGCCGTCTGCAAAAGCCGCACTAAGCAGTTTCGTTCTTGAAATTTTTTGACCAACCAGGGCAACTCCAAACGAACTCAATTTGCCGTTTCACACAGGTTCTCTCGCTAAAGTGCGGTGCCAAACGAACCGATAAAACCTCGAGAACCTAGTTCTTGAGGTTTTACAGGTTCGCCAAAAAACCCAGGTTCGTCTTCGGTTCGTTCCAGGCTTGATCCTCATGCTGGCGTGGCCGCAATTAGAGCTGATTGCCCAGTAATGCCTTCCATGCGGCCTATCGGCGTTTTGGGCGATCCCGCCGATCAGCGATCAACGACCGGCCACTCGTTAGGTACCCACAGTGTTGTCTCCATTGTCTCAAATTCTTAACGGGACAGCTCTGGTTCTACATGTACGCAGTAGATTCGTCAAGCCCAATATGGCGTGTAAAAGACCATTACAGTACAGACTCCGTGCGAGTTCTCAGCGATGAAAGTCACTGCTCGGCCGCATTTTACCGCTCTGGGAAACGACCGCAACGACCGCGGCAAGTGGTTAGACGCAAATGTTCCCCACGAAAGCGGTCCATCGACTAGCTCCCCGTGAATTTCCCGCCGTGGTGAGCACTGCAGCCTCTTGGATCAGATTGTTCTCTAAGCGGATAGCTTAGAGCCAGCGTCATTTCTTGTCAGACCATCAGTTATAAACATTCGGTACTTTTTAATATGAACTTGAGTATTCAAAATCGGCTGGTACTACCGGTATAAAGCAACAGAGGCGGTCGGATCGATGTATTTAACGAGTATTCAGTTTTGGAATAAAACGCCGCACGTGTGGGCCTTAGCGGACCGACTTCGGAGGCGGCGCGATGAACGATCGGCTGCGCTGCGCATTGCAGCCCATTGATCAACATTGTGTTCATCACGCCATGGCCCATGCCGAGCGCCACGGTGGGGCTCGTGGAGATCGCGTCGCCGCAGTACGTGGCGCACACAGCTCATAGAGCTGCGTGGTCAAGGCAATGATAAGCACGTGTGGGCCTCACCGACCGACCATTACTACTTCGGAGGCGGCGCGATGAACGATCGCCTGCGCTGTGCATTGCTGCCCATTGATCAACATTGTTTTCATCACGCCATGTTCGGTATTCGCTGGGCATGCTCGACGGCACGCTGCATACGCTTGACCATGCCGAGCGCCACGGTGGGGCTCGTGGAGATCGCGTCGCTGCAGTACGTGACGCACACCACAGAGCTACGTGGTCAAGACAATGATAACAGTATCATGACATGCAAATGCAACTCCAATTATTCTTGCTAGCTCGTCGTGCAATAGCACCTCATCGTACCATAACCATGGTGGATGGGATAGGACGCCGCGTCTGACGTCAGGCGATTAAATATTCCAAAAGCAGCACGTCTTTGTTAACGACCGACATGAGAGTAGCCAGGTCAATATCACCTGGGGCAGTCAGTATTGTACTGCTCGCTAAGCACTGTACGTGATGCCGCCCTTCACGACGGGGTAAGCCCACCTGTAGATCGGCGTGGAAATACAGTGATCTTGGTCGTATCCAGCGACCATAAGCCCCATGGTGATAAACAGCTACGCAGAAGTGAAGGGCTGACGCTGTAGTCACCAGGTGCTGTGTGGGCCGGGCCAGATTGAATTTCAACCACAGTACAGTGTAGAGTAGTGCGTAAGTAAGAATACAGCATAGACCTTCAAGGCCATGTTGGTTGCAGTGACAGCGAACCTACACCACCCGCTGCTGGTTTATACGAGGGCTGGACCATTAAGTTCTGTCGTAACCCAGATGGTCCAACCCTCGCATAAAGCTGCAGATCAAGCCTTGTAGCAAGATACAAGTTTGGATTGCTGCAAACCGTCGAGCCGACGTGAAAGGACAATAGCAGGGACAGCGCTTGGACATTATCAAGGCAAGTCCCAGAATTATTCAAGGCAAGTCCCAGAGACGCTTTACTTCAATATCCCTGTGCCTAGTGTGCGCATTCAGCAGAAACGAATTGTCAGCCAAGCACAAGCATCGGAGCTCGAGTGAAGTTGCGCCTCATGGCCGAAGAGGACCCGTTCGCTGAGATGGACGCGATGCTCGCAGAGCAAGTGCGCCTACGGGCACTCCCGCCGAAGCGAACGGTCCGCGGGGTGCGCGAGTTCTACCTGATGCACAAGCCGAAGGAGGACGACTACGTTGGTGTGGCTCTGTGTGTCGCTGGGATCGAGGACCAGCCCAAGCTGTATCGGTACAACCTGGTCGACGCGATTTTCGAGGGCAAAGAGGCTGGGCTGAAGGCGAGAATGGCCAAGATGGACCGCGCGATGCGCAACACTATCACGTTGCAGGTGACAATGTGGAAGCCTCGTAAGCGTCCCCTGGGCGGAGTGCGCTGCCCGCACCGGGTTGGCGAAGTCGCCGTCATTGGCAAGGTCCGCAAGCTGCAGATGTACCATTCCCTTCTGCAGGGGCAAGTGGAGGCAGAGGATTGGATGGCTGAGCAGGAGCGCGGCCTCTAAGCGGTCCGACAAGTTGGAGGCGGCGGCGATTGCGGTAGAGTGACGTGCTTTCATGAAAATGCTGAACAAGATGCCGAGCGAACTACCCACAACCAGTGTTCAGCAGTTTGCGTTGGATGATAAGCATGAGCTTGGTTCATGCAGGGCCCACCAGAAGAAAGGTATTTAGCAGATCATCGTGGTAGGTAAGCCTAATTTAATATAACGAGTTGTCAGTGTCAAGCCATGTATTGTCCGTTTTAGAAGTTTGCTGGGAAGTAGTTGGGCACGTCGCTCTTGTGCCGTCCACCACCGTGATGCTATAGTACTGGTATGGCTGCGGCAGGTTCCTCAGCGACATACTTCGACCGTGTAGCGAGTTGCTCAGCAGCCCCTCCAAGATTTGGTTTCGCCGTGGATCTTGCAGCTGTTGCGTTCGTTAAAGAGCTGCATCCACAATAAAGTAATAAGGGCATGTACTGCATGGTATCGGGCTTGACGTCGGCAGCCAGGACCAGTTACCGGTCGGAGGGGAAGCTCAGCAGCTTCTCGCCCACGAATATGAACTTGAGCAACTCGGAGCTATAGCCGACGATGATCTTTGACAACAGTGGCTTGGGTTTTGGGTACGAGGGCAGTGTGGGGGTGGGCGTGTGGTCATCTTGACAGCGGGACCGAAGCCTGGGGTCATCTCGCCAGCACGCCCACGACCATCTCGTGTGTCGAGGCACTAACCTCGACTAATAGTGCAATTGTACTAACAGTGACGCACTATTAGTACAACTGCAGCCACTGGCCAAAATTTCATTTTCTCCTCCAATCAATTTTTTCAGGTTCATATTTTCCAGTAACCAAATCTTCAGATATTTACTTCTGTAGTAGCAAAGAGCAGTTTTCTCGGAGACATCCAATGGAGGAAGAGACTAAGTGTGAAGATGGTGCTGGGTGCGGGCTGAGTGCGCAGGTGCGAGCGATTCGTAGTAGCCCTATGACTTCCATCACTTCACTAATGAAGTCGCGAAGCTTGGCGCGATCTAACTCCCGAACTCGTGAATGGTCTACTTGATTACCAAACTTGGTCGCTAACTAACCGCATGCTCATCGCTGACGTATCTCGCCTAACCGAACGCGACGTACCACAAGCAATCCAAAGTCAGGGTGTAAATGCCGGCTGTCAAGGTGTCAAGCTTCTAGTTCTTGTTATTAGTGAACAAGAGCTTACCTACAACCGTGTAACCGGTGAGGTTGAAGATTATACCTCTGCTTAATTAATTAAATTTATTATTTCTTATACCTATCTGTATATATGACCAACATGTCGACTGAGTTAAGTTTTGGAAAATTTAAAGGTAAGACCATTGAAGAAGTATTTGCTTCTGATCCTGGTTATTGCCGCTGGCTGAAGAACCAACCAAATGTACTAAATGATAAACTGCCTTCGTTTTATGAAGGTAGGTACCTTGACGAATATTTGGATTTTGATTTGTGAAGGTAGGTACCTTGGGTTTTATTTTGCGAATGTTGATGAAGGTAGGTACCTTGGAACTTTACCACGTTTTAGCATTGCTTGTAGGAGATCTAAACCGGGTCTGAACAACTTTATATCACTTGAAATGCTACTGATGTAGAGCTTCAACAAGATATCTCGCTAATGTCATATTTCGAGAAAAACTAACCTCATTTTATGATGTTATATACTACTGGCTCAGAGTGCCCCAGAGGATCCAATTGCCCTGAGAACAAACCCCACTAACACCATGATCATGCGCAGGAGGCCGCTAAACCCGCTAAAAAGCTTGGACTTGTGGAGATACACGCGAGTCCGTGATGTAGCAGATTTGTAATCCAGAGTGCCGCACGATGACCCAGAGTTCACCTCCCTGAGTGCAGGTGACCCAGAGTTCCAAAAATGATTCTCTGGGTTTGGACCATAAATCCAGACTCTCTATACTGAACTTAAGTGTTTCCCAAGCCAACATCCAAGAATCGTCACAGTTCCCCAAGATTCCTCAGAATTCTCCAGGATTTCAGAAGATGACCCTGAGTGTCACATGATTTTCAGGGATTCAAGTCAGCTCGAAGTCAGTCTGCAATCAAAGTGATGCGTGACCTTGAAGAACCGCTATGGATGCGCAGACTGGATACCTTCGAGGAGTCGAGAGGGAGTCCTGCGCCATATTAAACCAAGTCCAAGGACCCACAATTGACACTTTCGACGCCGTGCGACAAATGGAGTCGCAAGCCGATCGCAAGTTGGGACCGCTGAACCCAAGGTATACTCAAGACAAGACGTTTGACCCCAAGCATAGTGAACAGAAGATATTTGCCCGAAGAAGAATGCAGAAGAGAAAGAAGTAAGAGAGAGAAGTAGCTGATAAAAGACAAACAGAGTTCCTTTTATCCTGTACTGCGCAAGTGACTTCGGCCAAGCCTGCCGACGGAAATCCGGAGGACCCGAGACTACGACCGCGGGACGCTAAGGGCACTTCAACGGCGAAGGACAGCCGTCTGTGAGGACTCCATCAAACTCAAGTCCAGTTAGGTGGGGACCAGCGACGGCCTTGAGCTTCCTGGAGTGATCCACCTATTCCATATCCTGGTTGGGTCACTTGCTGTGCTCGTGGTAGCCCATTTCATATTATTCCAGAGGGTATTTTGGGGTGCTAGGTAGTCGCCTCCAGGATTTTGTATTGACTGCTTGTGTGAAGGCAAGGTAACTGATAGTGATTGTATTTTCCTCCTTTATTGGAGGTGGTGCGCGTTTGTGTGAGTCTCAGGGGAGCTAGGCCCTTGAATTTCAGACCTAGTGTGTGTGTGACCCACCGTCCAAGGGTCCAAAAGAATAAGTGACGGCTAGGTGTAGTGTTTGTATACTCTGTATTTGTTGGTTTTATCGAGCTAGGAGGGCATTTGGGTAAGGTGTCTTCTGAGTTCCAAGTCCCAGAGTTGACTGAAATCCTGGACCCTGAATTCGTGATATTCTGGGTTTCGGGGGATCTGATTCTCTGGGTTTGCCTTTTGGTGTGGAGGTGCGTTCTGAAGTAGACGTGCACTTCCGCACTTCTTCGAGGCTACATTTACAACCGGTGGAGTGCCGTTATGTCGAAGACAAACGAGCCGACAGGGATTACACAAGGTACCCACGCCAACCACGGAGTGTGATTCTCAGGGTTTAAAGCTTTGCGGCTGCGAATCTCTGGGTCTATCTTATTGCTGTTGACTCTCAAGTCGATTCTCTGGGTCTACCCCCTGGGGAACAGTCTTGGGCTGCGCTATACGAACCCCCCTGGGCGACAAAGGCGTCATCGGCCTCGCCTCACTCGTCATTCTCGACGTTCTGCCCTGAGTAATCCAGCGTCGTCTACGACGCTTCGGTTAGGTCCGGCAAGAACGCCAGCTCATGCGCGTAGTCGGTAAGCTAAATCTCGTTCGCTACGTGCTCCGAAACGCCGTTCAAGGTGTCATCACCTTCGTCAGATCCTTCTGCAACCATGGCATGCATGACTGAGATATAGGTCGCCTCCAGTAGCTGCTCGGGGTCGTCGATCGCACTCACATCCGAATCATGGAGTTCAATGTCGGCGTCAGCGGTGGAGGTTCCGGCTTCAGTAGGAACGTCGTTAGGCCCTGGGTCGTGTTCACCCCAGTCGACTTCGCTACTACACACTGCAGCCGACGTTTCTCCTGACTCCAGGCTGGGCGCAGCGGTCCCCGTTGGCAGGACGTCCCATGTAGTTGTCTCGGCCACTGCTACTACGTCGCGGTCACCCTCCGAATCGTCGTTCGTCACGCTGCCACCATCACTCAGCTCATCCCTGGCTTCCGATGCCTCAACCGAGGCGTATGTCGCTCCCTGGCCAGTAGAGTCAGCACCACTGTTCGCATTCACGGGCAGGCAGCTCGCTCGGCTAGGCGGCGAATCTCCGGGTACGTCCGAGTCATCCGATGCGCTGGCCTCGTCGCCCGAACCATCGTTCGACCCACCAGCACGTTCCACATCGGTTGTATCAGCTCGAGCGACCTCGACCGAGCTTTCACTGAACCTGGGGTCGTCGGCGTAGCTATGTACATCGGGTGACGAGTACTCATCATCCAACGGTGCTTGTTGACGGCCTTCTGGCCATGGCGGGACATCCGGTGGCCTCGGCAGGATCTTTCGTGGCGTCGGGTAAGTTCGGCGCTCGACCGCAGGCGGCTGTTCAGCCAACCATTGCTCGTAGAGATGGCGTTCTCGTCCTTGCAGAGTCTCATCACGGCACGTTGAGTAGGCTAGCACCTGCCACTCCTTGTACTTGTTCGAGTCTAGCCTTGCGTAGCCAGTCTCTCGCGGTAATTCACCATGCGGGACTCACAGCACCACGGAGTCATGCTTGGCACACCGTGCCGCTGTGGTCGTAATGTTGGTTAGCCGTACCCATGCCGGCTGTCCCCGTCGAAGCCTCGTTACGGTCGGCACAAGCTTGTCCGTGCGTCGAACCCACACATCAAACTCTGAACGAGGTAGCCGCTGGCGCGGCAGTCGAAACTCTCGCCACGCGCGACCGGGGATGTATAAATCCTCGGTCGGGCCACACGAGGGCTGCGTGCCGTAAGGTTCGTTATCCTCAACACTCTGCGACTTCAGCAGTGGCACCATGACCTCGTCCGGAAGGCGTGAGGTGCCATAAAATAGGTCCAGCCGGATTCCAGCTGGGATCATAAAATCTATCCCAAGGACGACGTCCACACCAGCCCTATGGTCCATTATCCACATCTCGAACTCGCAAACCTGTTCCCACCCGAGGGTGATCTTCACGAGCGCCCGTCGCCGGGTCTCCATCACCCCCGGGTTGATGCCGCGGACTTCAAGACTTCGTCCATGGTCCCGGACTTCCCGCACACGTAGCCGCTTGGCGACGTTGGCTGAAATCACGCTAACATTTGCTCCAGTGTCGAGGAGGATCCTCGTTCGCGCGTCGTCCACAGCGCCCATGACCAAAGCTCTCATGCGCATCCTCTTGTCGTATCGTTTGGACGACCACCACCCCAGTCTCTCGCCGGGCAGTACTTTCACCGCCCGAACGAGGTTCCGAGGTGGTCCCCTGACCTGGGCTAGACTTGTAATCAAAGCCTCGGTCGGGTGTTCATCACGTTCATCATCATCATCTTCATCAACACCAGTCTCAACGAGACTTGGGTCTCGGTTCTCTCCATTTTCCGTCGGTTTCACACGATCGTTGTTCATCAGGTCGTCAGGCCGTTTGCTTTTGCCCATGAACGCGAACAGATAGTCCGCATCAACCGCAGGCTCAGCTAACTGTGGCAGCCCGATTGGGACCAACCCAGTTTCAGTTGGCGGGCTGCCTAGTTTAAATGGCTTCCATACACCAGGCTTTGCAGCTCTAGCGACAGATCCTTCTTGTCGACCTTCGACTTCAGAAGCTTGGTGAGCTCGTGAAGTGCTTCACACTTCCCAGCGTCGTGCACCTGTTTGCACAGTTTACACCGCCGGTAGCAGAAGTGCACCGAGTAAGACGGGCTTTCGCACGCGGCACACGGCCCATACTGGCGACGACCATCTCGTTCGCGGTTGGACGGGCCTCCTCCGTTCCTGAAGCGTTGGTTATCAGTCCGAGCGAACGTTCCTTCGGCTGCGGCTCTGCGCTCAGCGTCGTTAGCGGCAGCGACATGTCCGGTAGACTCGTTCGAGTCGTAATCGTCATGCGAATCCTCGTCCGAGTGCTGGCGCCCGTCCTCGAAGCAATCCTCGTTCGTCCCAGCATCACGTCGGGGGGCGTATGATCCCTCGTTACGCGCACCCACCGAGTCCCTGACGTTCCATTCTGCCATCACATCGACCAGCGCGTCAACCAAAGTGACTCGGGACCGGTACGGCGATCCATCGCGTCGGTCACGGCGACGGTCGTCTTCACTGCGGTCGTTGCGGCGGTCGTTGTCACGGCGACGTCGTTTGCGACGGTCTTCGTCGTGGTAGCGTCGTTCGCGGCGGTAGCCACCACGAGAATCCTCGTTCGACCTCGCATCGCGTCGACGTCCATCATCTTGACTCCGAGAGCGGCGGAATGACGATTCTCGGTTCGATTTGCGGTCACGGTGACGCAGGATGTCGTTGATCATGTCTTCGAGGTCATGGACGCTCTTGACCCAGACGTGGCACAGACGGTCTTCTAAGTTTCGGTCGTCACACGTGGCCAAGAAGTGTTCCACGTGGTCCTTCGCGTCACGACCACCGTTCTCAAATTGCACACCGGCGTTGCTAGCGTAGCCGTTGAGCCGGTTGAGGTAGTCACAAACGTGTTCCTTGTCTTCTCGCTTGGCCGAGTAGTACCGAGCCTTCGCAGACTGGGAAAACTTCGAGCAATAGTACTTGATGAACGCCTCGCTCAGCAACTTCCACGTGCGTCTTGTCTTGCGTGGGAGCTGGCGACACCAGTGCAGGGCTCCATCCCTGAGCTTAAGTTCGAACGGCATGCACTACTCGTTGGGTGGTGCATGCGTTCCCTTCATCTCATAGATGAACGTTCGGAGCCACTGCATGGAGTGCTCGCTCTTGTCGCGCGTTCCGTAGAACGGCTTGATGTTGGCGAGAGGCAAATGCGTGGCGATCTCGAGCGTTGGGGTTGAGCTCTGGTTGTCTACGGTCCGTAGATCGTGGGGTTACCATGTGTGAGTCTTGCATGTACGGCGAGGCTTCGCCCTTGGTTGCAAAGACACCGTCATCAGTGGCTCCCTTCCGAGGGGTCGCTGGTAGCGGGACCTTCGACGGGTCTACTGCCTCCGAGGTCGAACGAAGCATCGTTGGGCCTCGCGAACTGACGTCCGCCACTCCAAAGGCATTACGCAGCTTCTTCCTCCACTTGGTTAACGCCGTGGCAGCGGCGGTCGGCGTCCAACTCGCGAGCGCAGCCTCCGAGGGGAGGATCTGGGGTTCGCACCCCATAGCTCGCAAGAAGTCCACAGTATTCTGCACAACGTGCCGAGTGCTCGTTGAGTTGATCGGCGTAGCCAACGCCCCTCCGAGGTCCATCCAGATGGCCTGGCGGACTTGCTTCGGGGAGAACAACTGCATCCATTCGCTCTTGGTCTTCATCAGGTCTAGGCACCGGCCTAGGACCTTGTTGGCCGCCGGAGTATCCCCGTTGAGGGGAGGTCGAGTGCCGGCTTGGGGGTTGCCCCTCCTACCGTCACCGAGGGTTTGAAGTCCTCGGTGGCGCCGTCATTCGCGTCGTAAGCGGGCTCGGGGCCCGGGATGTGTCGGAGAGGTCGCGGGTAATCGACCTTGATCTTTCACTGCGACCTGCCGATACAACCGCAGCTTCCGAAGTCTCGGACATCGCAGTCCGGACATCCCAGTCTTCATATTCGTTATCTTCTTTGGCGTCCGAGGAATCAATCGCCGTGTCGTAGCTCACCGAACGCTCGTCAATCGACTCCATCCGACCCGTCGTTGGGATCGAGAATGAGCTTCCAGAGCGCACCGAAGTCTCGTTGCGCGTTCCACTCGATTTGGCCGGCGTCGCTGGTACCGCTGACTTGACTCCCTTCGCCATCTTCTCTCTTCTTCATCTTCTTCTTCTTCTTCGCTTCTCTTCTTCTTCTTCTTCTTCTTCTTCTTCTTCTTCTCCTCTTCGCTCGTTGGGGTAAATACCTACTACAACCAAGACACACAGAAGGTCACACCAATCCCGGGTCGCGGCACCAGTTGTGGTGTGGTAATTCAACTAAAATCCTCCTCTACCAAAAGGTATTAGAGACACCAACAACACGCTAACCCGCAAAGGTAAGCGCTTATTGGATCAAAACCAGAAGACCAGGAACGATCCCTTACACCGGGTCGGTTGCAAGCACCTCTGTGCACCTTAGGTTGTCTTCGGTCAACCCAAAAACCTGTACCACTAGCCACGAGCTAAGGCTAGGATACCATACAGTGCTTTCACGCAGCCTCACCGCAGTCCCTCAGAAAGGAAGGGTACCGGCGTGTTAGCCCTTATACAGGGGGCCAAGGTAAACATCGGCTGGTAGACTAATAAACTCAGGAACACTAATAAACTCAGGAACACTCAAATCCCACAAATATACACTGAACGATACTCTAATACCGTTTCTGCCTCTCCGGCCGCGCCAACTCTTGGCGCTGCCAAGGAAACACTCGGTCAATGCACGATAAGCTCCCCGACAGGCATCCACACGCAGCCGAGCGTGTCCAGGCACTACAATAAGCTAGCTACACTTACCGAAGTCGGACTTGACCCTTGTTGGCTTTGGGGGAAGACTGTCTTTTTATTACTGAGTTTTCTGAGCCCCTGGGGCCTCGTTCTGGTCATCCTATGATGAGTCCTATGTCCCTATACAAATATCTAGTGTGAACGATCGCAATAAGGCGATTCCGGACACATCAAATGACGACCGCGGCTACACTAATAAGTGCGGCCGAAGTACGTAACTAAATGTATCTGTACCTAAACGTGGGTACCGTGAAGCCTCCTTCGGGGTTCTATTAGGACCCGACGAGGCTTCAGCCACTGACTGTCACTCCACCGAGGATAATGTCGTCATCCAATCAGAAGCAGCCATCTCCGTCTCTCCTTGACCTCGCCTTGATTGCCCCTTGATTGAACTTGATTGTCGGGCTGGTGTGTCAACAGCGTTGGAAACTGCCACTTTCCAATGCCACAAAATATATTATCAAACTTTAGAACTATTCACACTCTACACCCCGCAGTACGCATACAGATATGTTGCCGACTACACTCAAAGGCAACTTCAACAGGTAATACAACTCATGTAGCCATGTTGACTACGAATAGGTATCTCTGCCTATCGATGGGTCTAAGGCAGTGGGATAGACTGAGCGCTGTGGAAGACGTTCCATGGGTCGTATTGGGCCTTGATCTGGCGCAGACGCGCGAAGTTGTCGGCGCCCCAGTAGTGTCGGCCGAAGTCGGCGCCCAGGTCCAGGTCGCAGTAGTTCTGGTAGTTGCCGCCGTCGAAGTACTTCTCGAGGGCGCCGGCGATGCCGCGGATCCAGTTGTAGGACGGGGAGTCCTCGGACTCGCCCTTGTTGGCGCCCACGCCGATCTGCACGGACCAGACGGCATCACGGTGCGCCCACGGAGTCATGTCGTTCTTCTGCGAGGCGAAGACGCCGCCGTACGCCTCGAATTGGATGTACGCCCACGTGGTGTTGGGCAGGCTGTCGGCCCAGTCCAGCACAGTCTGCACGCCCTCGTCGTCCAGCGCCGAGTTGGAGTAGCCGCCCTTGATCTTGCTGTAGTCCTTGTCGGCCGACGTCAGGTGGTGCGAGACGTTGAGCGAGCTCAGGTCGTCGCACGTGCCCTTCCAGACGTACGCCTTGGTGGCGAGCTGTGAGCAGTTGTCGCGGCGGTCGATAGTCTTCAAGCCGCCGTGGTCGAACAGGCCCGACGAGTTGAGCAGCACGTCCAGCTCCGCCTTGGAGCCCAGGTACTGGCCGGTCATGCGCGCGCCTCCGCCGTCCACGACGAGCTGCGTGGTCACCCTCGAGTCGGCCGTAGGGAAGTAGTCCATCCACGCGCGCAACACCTGCGCACGCACGGAGACGTTGAACTGCATGCTGAAGACCGTCACAACCGGCATCTTGTACGCCTTGATGGTGAAGAGCGTGACAATGCCGAACGAGTCGGCACCGCCACCGCGCAGCGCCCAGAACAGGTCCGGGTTCTGCGTAGTGGACGCGGTGACAACCGTGCCGTTGTAGAGCACCACCCGCATCTCGGTGGTCTGGTCAGCCGCGAGTCCGTAGTGGCGGCTCACCATGCCGTAGCCTCCGCCGCTGATGTGACCGCCGATGCCGACGCTAGGGCACGTGCCGGCGTTGAAGTTGTAGCCTCCGAGCCGGTCCAGCTCCGTGTAGACCCAGGCCAAACGAGCACCCGCCTGTATCGTGGCCAGAACGGAGCCCTCCTCCTTGTTCTCGGACACAAGGTTGACGTCCACCATGTCGGCGATGTCGATGACCAGCGAGCCGTCCATGGACGACAGCACTTCGTACGAGTGGCCGCCGCTGCGAGGCACGGGTGCCAGGCCGCTCTGCACCGAGCACTTGACGGCGCGCACCACGTCCTCTTCCGACGAGGCAAAGTACACCCCAGGGGCTTGCGGTCGATACGCGCCTTGGGGCCCGTCGCGTAGTCTTCGTACAGCGGCGACTCCGACATGAAGAAGTTAGTGTTGGCAGTCAGCGTGCCGTTGCCACTGCTGCTATTGGTGGCGCATTTGTCCATGCAGTCCTCGAACGCCTGGAGCAGCGACGACGAGTCCGTCGATTCGGACTGCGTCACTTGCGCCAAGGAACCCGTGGCGGCGAGTGCCGCTGTGAAGAGCGCCGCGGCTTGATAGAGGAAGACCATCGTCTGGACCGGGATGGGGACTTGACGGCGGCGTGGCAGAATCCGGAATGAGTGAACGAACGCTACGTGCGGTGTACAACCGCTGGAACGGCCAATAGCTACAAGAACCCGCTTGCTGTTTGAGACGTCTCATGAATCTAGTCAGACTGACCAGCGGAAAAGCCGGTATATTAGCATCCATGCGCACGTGATCCGCGTTGATGGCAAAAGTCTGCCGGTGCCCAGAGCACGCAATCGGGTACCCGAACCGGGTAAATTACCCACCCGAACCGGGTACACCCGAGTTCGGGTAGGGTGCGGGTACCCGAAACAATCTCCGGGTGAAGCTCGGGTACCCGAGAGTAAGGATAAAAATAAGTGGAAGGTTTCGCATCCCGACGCTTATGTGCATTTGACGACGCCAGACCCAACATCCAAGCATGGAGACCGATAACCTCCCAAAAATACGACATGAAGTCTCTACGGTTGATAAGGTACACGAAGAAGCTAAAGGTGAGGTCCGATTAAACCCCCCCAACGCGAGCGCCAGTATGAGACACGATTAGGCAAAAACCTTAACGTGTACCAGACACGTTAAGTGAATTATACTTTGTTTTTGTATGCCCACATACAAACTTGGAGTCAATAAGGGCTAGGTTTATACCTCATCTTTCCCGCGATGCCGTGCACGAGTCGTGCGTTTGATATAGGTAGTGATGGGAAGCACAGATCAGTGTTTGAGGCTGCAGGTGCTTCAGCCCACCACACATTTCTCGCTCATTCGAGAATCTCACCGCTTCCCCGCAGGTCCCTGAATTCCAAGCGCATTCGCCAGACGAGCTCAAGAAGCTGGACATACAAGTGTACCTACCACCTGGGTACCAACCACAGCTGCAGTATGAGGCAAAGGTGTGAGCAACATTGTTTGTGCTGTATCATATGCTACGGTTCTAATGCTGTTGTGCTTGTAGCGGTGTACAGTTGCTTCTCTTGCAAACGCGATGGTGTCGATGACTGCTGAAGCTACTGCGAGGGCCATCATGCTAACCCAGTAAACGACGAACCCCCACGTACGGCAAAAAAGACCAAAGGTGCGTGCCGTTTATGCTGTATGGACGCGCTATTATTCTAAGCATATCGTGTCTGTTCCTTCCATTGATAAACCGACAGGCGGATAACGCACCTGAGCACGTCCGGTAGTACCGCAGCCGCAGGATTGTCGATACAATGGGAGTAGCGATGCAAGTACCGTCCTGGGCGCCAGCAACAAAGCCAACTATAATACAATACTACCTTCATGGATACTCTAGTTTTGTATTGCATACTTTGTTCTGCTTTCATATGTGTGAATACGTTGATGAAGCGTTGTCTAGAGCATAAGTGGCCATGATAGGACACTGCGTTTTGAGCTTCATATACGTTCCATCAGACACGCTCGTTGGTATAAGTTATCCTATCGTGTCTGGTACACGCTAAATGTATGTTTATTGTGTATGGTACATGGTTGAAGTATGGCTTTGTCGTCCGCCCCCAGACATGGATGGGCAATCTGTGGAAGGTCACACCAGATCAATTGTACATACTAGTACACGCCGTGACGATGACGCCAGCTAGTCGCTTTCTGGCTCGAATCGTGACCTGTTTTTAGTATACTACCGCGGGCACACCTTACATATGTTCTGTTCCCGTCGATGCGTGGACAAGTCCCGCCTTTTGTTTGTGCCGACTATGTGCACAACAGACACAATATAGATCTAAACTTGTCTTGGTCAAGACACTTTTACGCGTTGAAGCCACGATAACTCAGTTGGGGGTGGGGGTGTGCACCGACTTTGCTAGAGACACGATAGTATATTACTACATTATAGTATGCATGCCCATCATAATGATACACCTTAACGTTTGTAGGAATAGGTGAGATGGTGGGAACCAAACCGCTTCGCGCTGGGGGGGGGTTAATGGACACGCATCCAGAATTCACGGGTGCGCGAGCTTTATTTTCATAATAGATATACCACTTCTTTCATTTACTTCGCTTTGACCGTTGATAGAATGTAGCACCGCCCGGAGTATAATTTATCTCGGGTGGGGATCCTAGGCTTTACCGCCGGGTGGGTGCGGGTACCCGAAATCGTCTGGCCGGGCACCCCGGGTGGGTGCGGGTACCCGAGTTTCGCTGATTGCGAGCTCTGATGCAAGACTACTTCGCTGATGACTCTGTCTACAGTGCCCGTACGTTTCGCAGACGCTTTCGAATGCGATGGCCACTGTACCTAAGGATCGTCGCCGCTATTGAGGAACATGCTAGCTACTTTCAGCAGCGAGCTGACGCGACGGGAAAGCTGGGGCTGTACAGCGCTGCAAAAGTGCACTGCGGCAATCCGGCAGCTTGCTTACGGTATGCCGGCGGATGCGGTGGACGAGTACGTCCGCATAGGATAAAGCACAGCTATCAAGAGCTTGCTGCGGTTCTGTTCTGCGGTACTAGAGGTGTTCGGCGAGGAGTATCTACGTGCGCCAAATGCAGACGACGTCAATCGGCTGCTAGCCATGCATGGGGTGCGTGGCTTCGTGGGCATGCTTGGCAGCTTAAACTGCATGCACTGGCCGTGGAAAAACTGTCCGACGGCGTGGGCAGGGCGGTACACAGGCAAGGAGAGTACGCCGACCATTGTGCTCGAGGCGGTGGTCTCAAACGATTTAGGGTTCTGGCATGCGTTTTTTGGTATGCCGGGCTCGCAAACATGACCGCGCCTACATGCAACTACTCCATTTTCTGCCAACGGGACGCTCCGTATCTGATTGTTCAGTGGGGGTAGCGTCCTCAGACGCATCGCATCCAGAAGCCGTGCTGCGGCGCTTACGGGGGGGGGGTCTTCTTGTCCGCCAAAGATTCAAACCACTTGGGGGAGTTCTGGAGAATCGCCCACACAGCCTGACGTTTGAAGGCACTCTTGTTCTGCGCTCGATAGAGCACATGAGCATCTAGAATCTTGTCATCCATGCTCTTGCCGCTCTCGTTGCGGACAAAAACCGCGGCGTAGAAGCCGGCAAACTTGTTGCAGGTAGCTTGCAGGGTTCGCCATCGAGTCTGCAAGCTGCTAGCAACGCGCTGCTCCTGGCGCGCTTCATGCGCTACAAAAATTCTGCATGCACGCTCTTCCAAAACACCTCTCTCGTTTACTCGTCACCAGCAATAGGATCTTGGGAAACATCCAGCCAAGCGGCGGCTAGGTTCAGATCCTCATCAAGGCCGAAGTTTTTGCCCTTCTTCTTGGTAGCGGTGGCAATCGCGAGCGCGTGCGTTAACTCGCTGTCTTCTCGCCCTGCCACATCGTGAAGCACACACCCATCAGGGTTTGGAGAGCTGAGGCCAATGTCGCCACACTCTGTGCCGCTTCCCGTTGCTACTGGGTGCGGGGACGGCGTTAACGCGAATGGAGTGGGTGGGGGAGCGAGAGATCGCTGGGCGAGGTCCAGAGACGGCATTGCGCCTTGCGACGCCGTTGCTGAAGACGTTTGCGTTCCTGAAGACAGGGGAGAGGATGAGAGCAATATGGCGGGGGAGGAGGGCGACATGAAGAGAGCGCTAGGGCTTTTGATCTAGAGCTGACTTGAGCTGGCTGGTGTTTGACCAACAAAATACTCAAGCCCTCAACCGTAGGCAAGTTTGGTCAAAACTTTGATCTGCGTAAAAAATTGTGCAATTTGCTTAACATTTACTCAAACCGGTGGAGCATCCAAAAACTAAAACTATACTTAAATATTGACAGAAAAGGGGTAAAATTTAATTTTACTCACGACCGGTGGAGATGCTCTAATGAGATTACAGAAATCTGCCTCAACCGAACGGGTATACAATACATAACCTCATATAAATAATACTTCAAGGTCACGAACGGAGATGAGCAAAGGTACTGATGTAAAAATCCAGGATACCTTTGTTTGGCTAAAAGTACTAAGCTGTGCAGTTTGAAAATTGGCGCCCTTTTGATTGTCTGTGCGATCTTCTCTGTATTTACGATTCCACTTTCACATTTGCGCACTACCCGCTAAGCCCTCTACGAGTAGTATAAAGTAGAGCTACTAACCGCACTGATGTGGTGCGAACACACTTAGTCGAAGGTCAGCGCTGAAACAGCTCAGCACTGCTTTACTCGGGTTTGATTAACTAAGCAAGCGTCAAATCCCGTCTAAGATAAACTAATTCAGTACAGCCTTTTCTGTGGTAACGTTGAGATCACTTTATATACCTAGAGCCCTTATATATCAGGCGTTCGGTATTCAGGCAGAGTTCTGTATGATAAATCCTTGGCCAATCCTTAGTGTAAGCAAGCTTCGATCACGCGATTTTTATTGTGGGGCGATCTCATGATAGAAATACATGTACAAATCTACCCACGTAAAAGCTGCTCGGGACAATTCCTACAAGCTCGACCCAGCGTAGCCCGGGGACCCAACAGCAAAGCCCGATCCGCATCCGGCGAAGCGTCCCGACATCAGTGAACCCACCGCAAGCGGACGTTGCGGGCCATGCACGTGCCTTTCCGCAGCGACAGCTTCGCTTACATGTCCAGTATCCGTACAACCGCCTGCTAGCGATGAAAACAGCAGCGAGAGGCGGCTGGTGAGAAGGGCTCCTCGGCCCGCAATGGGGACGAGTCTTGGACCAGGCCCTGGTGGCTGCAGCGGCCATTACCGTATGCAGCCAGCAGGTGTCGGCTCTGCCCTTCCAAGTGCAAACAGCACGCGTGCCGTGCAGATTTTAATCAAGGCCGCGCCGAGACGATCATCGTTAGTGTGTGGCTGACAGACACCTCTCAGAGACCCTATGGCTTCGATAATGCACTTGAATTCCAAAGTACATGAAATGAGATACATTTTCGCGTAGCCGAAGTTATGCCTGCGCTAGACTCAATTTGGCTAGTCGGCGGCATAGAGTGGTGTCCGCAGATGTCGGGTCTCCCGCTGCAGGCAGCGAATCGAGGATTGATGTCATGAGTGTCTTCCATCTTGTCTTGTCCAGTGCTAGTTGTCGAAGTTCGTCAAGATCGCGCGCGCAGCGCAGTCGGTGTCCGGAGCCACTTGAAACGAGGTCTGCGTCCAGTACTAGAGGCAACGTTGTGCGCGGTCGGCCGCGCCACTTAGCTGCATCGCTTGGAGCGAAGTAGGCCGCCATTTGAACGTACGCCGGGATCTCAGGGCGCCGCAGGAGTGGCCAAAGAGGCCCCACTTGGACGCCGTGATCCGGTGTCGGAGCGGCCGCTCGTTGCAGATCTCGTAGAGGTCTTGATTGGAGACGTGGTGAGGGTAGCAGATGTTGAGTACGTTGCGTAGCTGCCGACGGTGAAAGCACTCCAGGCTGTGGAGCTCTGACTGCGTAGTCCCGCTGTTGTAGAGTAGAAGTAGTAATACAGACTAGAGCGTGAGAACGAGACGGGTAACAACTAATACCCGTTTTTACCGATGAGATCAGGTATTAGATCAATGTAAAATACATAACGTGGTGTCTGACACATATGATTCCCTTTTAAATCCGGATATATCAGGCGTCTCGTTCTCACGCTCTAGTCTGTACTCCGGTACCTAGCTCCGTCCTTTTTTCTAACCGTAATTTACCGACGAGCACTGCTCTGCACCTTCCTGACCCCCAGCTGCTGAAAACGTCGACACCACTGCTAAGTACAGTAGCACCAGGTGCGAAAGAGGTCTCATCCACAACTCCGAGCACCGCACACAGCAACAATGGGATCACGTACACTCCACGACAAAAAGATATGGACACCTCCAAAAGTGGCTGTAACTTCGTCATTTTTTATCGTTTTAAAGTGCGGTTTGGACTAGAGTTGCAGAACACGCTGGTAAAGATCTGCACGCTGCTAACACGCGCGCTTTTGCGCTTCATCAGGTAGCTCACATACAAATCACTGGTTCTGCCCAGGTGACAAAACTTATGGACAGCTAATCCCCATACAAAATCCTATATTAACCAAAACCCCTTACAAATGATACGAACTTGGACTTTGTATGGGGAGACAAAGCAACCCATGATTTCTCCACTCTACCTGGATCAGCTGTCCATAAGTTTTGTCACCTGGGCAGAACCAGTGATTTGTATGTGAGCTACCTGATGAAGCGCAAAAGCGCGCGTGTTAGCAGCGTGCAGATCTTTATCAGCGTGTTCTGCAACTCTAGTCCAAACCGCACCTTAAAACGATAAAAAATGACAAAGTTACAGCCACTTTTGGTGGTGTCCATATCTTTTTGTCGTGGAGGGGGATAGCTTAGAGCCAGCATCATTTTTAGTCAGACCATCAGTTTAATACATTCGGTACTTTTTAATATGAACTAGAGTATCCAAAATATCATGGTATTACCGGTATAAAGCAGCGAAGCGCGATCGATGATTTTAACGGGGTTGGAATAAAACTTAAGCAAAAAATGCGCGGTTTAATTCACACGCAACATACTGTGCGAACTTCGGCGCTGTGCGACGTTGGCTAAACGGAGTGCGCACGGCGCGACAGTAGTGTATGTAGTGTTCTGGACGTCGCATCATATTGAGCTGCAGTAGGTACAGAAGAAACATTCATTGATAGACGGACAAGCCACCTTCGTGGCCATTGCGGTGCACTTTAATCCTAAATGTGCCCGATTAGATGGGCGTGATGTTTGCTGCAGCAAGAACCTAACTAGAGCAATATGAACGCATAACAAAGCGGAATTAGCTTCATAACTGCGGTGACGTGTAAACTGCTCGTTCGTAAATAGAGATATCTTAACAGGTGCGGTTCGCGAAAAAGTCTCGTTGGATGACATCATACTGAGTTGCAACAACTCACGCACCATGGAGTAGACCTTGACAGTTTTTCTTCCTGGTCGTCGGGCGAGCAGAAAAAAGCTAATAACAGAAATAGCGATAACAACATCAGTAGCAAAGCTATTATTTAATAGCGGTTGCAGTAGCGGTGGCATTGACAGTAGGACAGTTGCAGTGGTAGCGGGCAGTGATCTTGACGCAGGCGAACAATTCCAATAGCATTTTACTGAATAAGAAATATTAATACTTCGTATTGATATTACTTACGCAGCAATGCAAGTCACATATAATATTTAGAAAAAAAGAGAGTGATATACAAAGCCTAGACGACCGATAAGAAGTTAAGATCATCGGTAATGCTTGTGGGGACGGCGATGTTCAGACGGCATCTACTTGTAAATTTAGCTTGCGCCAGCCATGAGATGGCCAGTGATATTATGCAGCAATATATAATAGAAACATGAAGTGGATTTTGGCAGTCTTTCTCCGGCGTGAAGAAGAAAGCAGGGGAAATATCATTGAAATGTCATTATCATAGCTGATATCGTAGTTGTAGCGCAAATAACAGCGGTAACGGCAGTGCCAGCAGTGGCAGCAGATAATAAACAGTCGCAGTAGCGATAGCAGGAGATATGAACTAGCAACTTCAATGACAGCATTACTATGATATCATTAACAATAGTGAAATAGTAGTTTTAGTTGCTGTAGTTGCAGTAGGGATAAACAGTACTTAGTAACAGTGACCAGTAGTAACGCCCACCACAGTTAGCAATATCAAAAGCAATTTCTTTAACAATAGTGGAATTTCAGTAGTATAGCAATAGAAGTAGTAATGGGGTAGCAGTAGCAGTAGCAGCGGTAGTGACAGTGGCAGTGTCCAGTAGCAGTGACAGTAGCAGCCGCAGTAGCTGGCAGTGGCGGCGACAGTGGCAGTTGCAATCAATACCAATAGCAACATGATGATGTTGTCAACATCAATTATAACCGTGTTTGAGACCAACCGCCGGATATGCTCTTATAGCATCTCTAGTATGAGAATTAAAATATCTAGTGCAGTCATATGAAGCGTTACAGGCATAGTACTCACCAAAATAGTGGTGATAATGGTAATAACAATAACAAGTGCAGACAGCAGATATCTGCTGAGGCGCAGTGTGTCCTAGCCGTAAAAAACGCAAAATTGTTCGGGGCGTTTGCCTCCGCTTAGAGACCCGCACCCCAGTTCATTCGAAAGAAAATCATGCCCAGGTTTTCTTACCGCAATGGATAGTTCACCCTCACCGCCATTTCTACGACACCATTATTGTGATTGGCTGAAAGCCCGTGTGGGTCTAGGTAGCGAATTCCCTCCCTCCCTTTCCTCATTCCAGAATCGGCCGCCTCGAGAAAAGATGGTGAAGCTGTTCTGTGCGATCGTTGGTGCGGCGGGAAGCGCGTTCCCTGTGGACATCGATGGGGGCCAGTCGGTTGGAGACTTGAAGAAGGCGATCAAGGCGGAGAAGACGAACGACTTCAAGGACATCGACGCAGACAAGCTGAAGCTCTACGTGGCGAAGACGGAGGGCGGCGCGTGGCTGAGGTCGAAGGATCTGCTCCGGATGCGGAAGGGGGAGATGCCCGATGAAGTTGAGAGTCACTACATGAAGGAGGAATTGGACGATCCAACGGACAAGATCTGCGAGAGGTTTCCCACAGTCTCCGACGGAACGATTCACGTGCTGGTGATGCTTCCGGAGCAAGAACACGCACAAACTGAATTGTGGCTTGTCACTGGATCCGTTGGCAACGCGCTGAACACGAAAGGGATTCGCTGCAGGCTGTACCGACTGGCGGGGTCATTCCTTGGATACTACGATCCCAACCTTCGTGCTGGCGAAACCGACAAGGCGCTGTGGTATGATGAGGTGATGTTGCGGATCCATGTTCTTTTCAAAGAAGGTATGCATTTTGGTTATTGTAGAACTGTGCTGGTTGATGTCTCACAGATGTTGTACAGAGAGGGATGCTTTGCTATTTGAAAACGAACTGCAGACCGAAGGTATCAAGCAAACTTCCCCACTCGATGGCCACACGATCTCGACGACTGTGGCCCCAGTTTCTCGGGAGTTAAGCGAACTGCGACGCATCTTTGCCATGCATTATGTTCCAGATGATACCGAGTCCCCTCAAGTCTCAATGACGACTTTCTCGTCCAACACCTCGATCGTTGACGTAGCGACTGACGAATTTAAGTACCAGCGTATCGAGAGTGAAGAGTGGTTCGGGTCGGTGGGGAAGGCACAGAGCTGCCATGTGATGTCCAGAGAGCATTGCCTGAAATATCCAAGCTACAAGAAGTATGACAACGACCCAAGCAATCGTCTTGCTCTTTCTGCAGAAATGCACGAGTGGTTTGATGCTCGGTCCTATGCGGTGCCGACGATGAAAATTTCCGTCGAGTCCACATCTGAAGGATTTGTAATCGGCAACAGATACAAGGTACGAGTAGTTTGAGTACGTGCTGAATACTACTTGTTCTAACATTATTTACGATGCCATAGGTCGATTTGGTTGTGCGCGCGTGGAATGCTGGATTCGCAAGACTTCTCTCGCTGCGTTTGAAAGAAGGCTTTGCTGTGTCGGATGATGGCTTGGAGATGCGAACATCCATCTACGTACAGAACAAGAAGGTGTTTTGCGACTGCATGGAGTGGAAGCGCAAAGAGATAGAGAAGAAGTGGAGAGAGCACGAGGATATGGCACCTGCTGTGGACTGACTGCACCACGCGTAAGATCCTATTGACTTCAATTTTAATTTGCTTTTCATCCTAATAAATATAAAGTTACTAATATACAACGATGGCGGACCAACTAGCCGAGCGCCGCCGCTACGCGTTACGTTAATGTTTTCGACCAATCGCAGGTGTTGGCGCCACCATTTTTGGACCATTTCGAACGAAAATGTGGCCGCGCCGGCAGCCGGCGCAGGCAGCTCCTGGTGGGGCTTCAAGCGCTGCAACCTCAGCTCCAGCAGATCGTCCATTGTCCTCTCGAGCACCACCATCTTCTGCGTCTTCAGGCACATCTGCACCTCTATTTGCGCCTCGTAGGAGCGCCGGGAAGGCCCCAAACCCCACTGTCAAAGCTCAAAAGACCTCTAGTTCAGGCACAGACGACGCTGCGTGGCTGCTACGGGCTCTAGACAAGAAGAAAAAGAAGAAAGTCAAGCCTGATGCAAGCAAGAAGGTCACTAAGCCCTCAGAGCCCGAAAAAGCGGCGAAAAAGACGCAGCCGAAGCCGAAAAATGAGCGAAAAGGAGGTCCACTAGGCCTCTCCATGTCTGTACAGGAGCGCCAGCAATTGTGGCGCAGTGGGGCAGCTAAGAAGCCTGAAGATGAAGCAGTGGAACGGGCCAAGCAGCAGGAGAGAGAACGTCAAGAGACGGGCTTTGATCGTGTCTTCCAGGAGGTCTTCGGGGAGCAGCAGAAGGACAAGAAAGGAGGCGACGAGGAGGAGCTCAACAGTGTTTTATCCAGTGGAGATACAGGCGCCAATGCGTCGTCTTTAGGGCTGTCGGTGGTTGATGCAGAGACAGATAAAGACAAGGAGGTGACGAAGGTGTCGGGCAAACGTAAGGCTGCTCCGAGTGATGACGAGAAAGAAGAGGAGGCGTGGGGCTTCGCGACGGCTGGGAACAGTGGGTTCACTCTCGATGACTTCGACGCTCCATCTGACAGCAACGACGCGGGTTCCGGTGCTGTGGGTGATGCTCGGAAGGCTGCGGAGTTTGAGCGCTGGAAGGCCGAGGACGCCCAAAGTGCGGTGAGCGACAACTTCGTCAAGCTGAACATGCGTAAGAGATTCAAGGGCAGCTCTGGGCGCGCCAAGAAGCGACCGGCGTATCTGCGCGCACGTAATGAGAACCTGCTGGACGAAGCTACAGGTGAGAAATCTTCAGGCCTCGCTCCGGTGGTCAATGCGAACGGTACTCAACAGAGTAAGAAGGAGAAGTCGATGCTGGCTGACGACGGCGTGGACTTCACCGAGGAGTGTCTGGAAGCGCTGGCCAAAGCCGAGAAAGCGCGTGGTCTCTCTAGTCAAGAAAAATCGAAACCGAAGAAGGAGGCCGAGCCATTGACACCGCCGAGGTGTCATCATGCGTTGGTCTGTCAGAGCTTGGAGGTCAAGAAGAAGAACAAGAACCACGGCCGCAAGTTCTTCGCCTGCCCGCTGGGATTCGATGAAGGTCGCTGCGACTTCTTCCTCTGGGAAGACGACCACGTCCCGCTTGCACTGCAGACACTCTTCACGGCTTCTTCTTCCTCTGGCGGTGTTGCTGAATCCGCAGCAGAAGCGGAGGCCATTGAGTGCGTTCCTCCGGATATCGAAGCTACTGCAGAGGAGCAGCGAGAGGCAATGCTCACCAATCTGCGCCTGGTGTTTGGGCACGCTGACTTTCGTCCTGGCCAGCAGTGGGCGATCTCAAGGGTGCTGCGTCGTAAGGACACTCTCCTTGTGTTGCCCACGGGTGCAGGCAAGTCGCTGTGCTATCAATTCCCAGCGCTCTTCTTGCCTGGAATTACGCTCGTGATCTCGCCGCTTATTTCGCTGATGAACGACCAGTACGAGAGTCTCCCCGCCCCATTGAAGGCTCGCTCCGTGTGTCTTTCCGGCTCCGGCTCGGATTCAGGCTCGTCCAAGGCGAAGCATGCGGCTTTTGTGCGTGATCTGCTGGCGGACAAACTCTCTCTGATCTTCCTGTCGCCGGAGAAGGCGCTGGGTGCTGGAATGCAAGCGCTGCTCGCGTTGCCGCGGGTCCGTGCGCGCATGGCGCTAGTGTGTGTCGACGAAGCGCATTGCGTCTCAGAGTGGTCCCACCACTTCCGTCCAAGCTACTTGCGGCTGGCAGAGGTCTTCCGCCACGCCCAGTGCGTTTTGTGTGTGACTGCCACAGCCTCGCGACGTGTTGTCCACGATGTATTGCATCAATTGCGCTCACGTCGGCAGCTTCAGAATCAAGGTGGCGAAAGCGAGAGCGACATGGTGCTGCAGATGCCATGGCAAAGGAAGAATCTGGCGCTGGAAGTTCGTTCCGTCCGGTCGAATGATGAGCGACTGCGGCATCTCATCCACATCCTCCCCGAGTTGAGCAAAGGATCATCACAGTCCTCCAAGGCTGGCGGTGGTGTTATCGTGTACGTTCACCAGCAACGGCAGACGGAGGAACTTGCAGCTCTGCTGCGTGAACAATTGCCCAACGCTTGGCGCACTGCTGGAAAGGTGGTGGCGTTTCATGCTGGCATGGCGCCTGAGGCGAAGGAAAAGGTCCGCACAGGTTTTGCGCGAGGCAGAGTGCGCGTTGTGGTGGCTACTATCGCATTTGGTATGGGCATTGACAAGAAGAATGTGCGGGCTGTTGTGCACTTCCACATGCCGTCGTCTGTCGAGGGATACGTGCAGCAGATTGGACGAGCTGGTCGTGACGGCAAGTCTGCGCGAGCGTTGCTGTATCTGCTGAATGAAGACGCGGTGCACTTCCGCTCGTTACTGTTTTCAACCGCATTACATCGCGACCAGCTTCGGAGGCTCATGGCTCTTGTCTTCCAGAGTCGGGAGAGCTTATCCCCAGCGAGCAAGAAGCATGTAGTGGCTGTGAAGTGCTCGGGAAGAGGTCAGAGAGCTGGCAGTGACCTGACGCTGGAGTCTCTCGAGCGAGATTGGCTGGAGCGCCACCTTGACCTGAAGGCGGCTTCGATCGAGACGTTCCTCACGTTGCTGGCCCTCGAGACGCAGCGTCAGAAGGACGACGAGCTGGGTTTACGCGTGACACTCCAACCTCTGAGCATGAGTCAATGTACACTGCAGCTGCTGGACACTCAAGCGAAGAAACTGGGACCGCAATCTACAGTTAAGTCACTGCTCGGAGCGGTGCAGCGCAAGGAATTGCCTAATGCACGCGTGACACATCGTAAGGACGGGTATCTGAGCTCTTGGGTTATCGACTGCCACCTGCACGAAGTAGCTCAATGGTACGGACGGACGACTGGTGCCAACAGCAATGGAGACCAAGCTGCAGCCCTGTTAGCAGCTTCCGACGCTCAGCAGGCGGGTGAAACCAATGCTGCTGCGGTCGCTGCCGCCACGAATGAGCGTCGGCTGCTTCAAGAATTGCGAGCGGCTCAACAGACTGGTCAGATCCAGCGCTTTTCGCTGTCACAGCCCGCATTCCAGCTGCAGTTGAGCTGGAGGGCTGAACTGACCGACGAGATGAAGAGTGAAGTCGTGGACCGATGGACGAAGCTGTTGTACGCGAAGCACGAGCATCTCGAGTCGCGCCAGCTTGCTCGTCTCGCTCATTTGTATGGAGCGCTGTACGCGGCAGCTCTACCGGCGCCTTCTCCGACGTCAACCGCGCGTGATGGCGAAGATGAGGAAGACGAAGAAGATCTGGATAATAAGGCCCATGCTCTCGAGACCAAACTGGTACGTTACTTCGAAGACGACGACGATAAGGATGATGCTGCAGCCGGTGGAGACGACGTCGAAGGTGACGAGGATGAGCGTTTGCTGCAGAAAATGCTGCGGCCGCTGACCGAGTCTCTGATCGAGGCTATCGAGCGGGATACACGCTCACTCATTCAACTCCGTCTTGGCGGTGGAGGTCCGCTTGAGGGCAGTGATACTGAAGAGAGCAAGAGCAACGATGAAGGTATCAAATGGACGAGTTACGCTGTGGCCAAGGTATTTCACGGATTGACGACGCCGCAGCTTCCAACTCGGCAGTGGCGCGACCACGTCTGCTGGCGACGGTACTCTGACGTGGCCTTCGAGCGCATCGTGCAGATTGCACACAAGGTGATCCTGGAGGAGGAGGCTTTGGAATCCACTGTAAAGTCGGCGAGTGTGGGCATGTCGACAAATTAATGGTACTTATGACCTGTTAGATTACTTCTCTCCTACTTCATAGTTTCGCCAAGTTGGGGAACGATGGCGGCCACTTCCTTCGATGGCCTGAAACTCCAGCCGTTCCCAACCGTGGCGCTGTGCGTGGAAATTCACACAAACTCACTTCCTAATTCACTAACTAGCTTATCGTCACGAGTATTTGTACGCAGACTTAGCTCAAGCGCAGGTCCGGAAGTGCTGGACTGGAAGTTGCTGGTGTGATCGGTGGCGACTTAGGAGCTGCTCTGCTCTGTGAGTCGCTGGCTCGGGCGCCTTCTGTGTGCTAACTGGGCAGGTGGCGCTCAAGGTTGCATTAGATTTGACTGCGTTGTGGATGCCTGCGATCTCGATGCGTCTCGCCCACGTCTCAGTCGGTGAGTGCTGTGCGCTTTCCAGCATGGCGAAGTGACTGCCGCTGTGGTACAGTTTGCGCTCGTGTGTTTCGCTCTCGAGCATAGCGCTCCATGTCTTCTTGAGCATCTGCATCTCCTCGTCGTCGTCCGAGTCGTCCGCGTAAATCTCCGCGCGTTCTTCCTGGCGACCGAACTCACGGTAGAACCTCCGCGTGAAGTCGAAGTTGTTGAAGCGCTGAGTCTCGTCGTCACTGCCGCCTGCATCCTCCTCGCTGCTGGAGCTGAGGTGATATCTGCTGGTGCAGGACTGATACTTGTGGTCCGTCACCGTCATCGCGAAGGCTGGAGTCGGTACCAACGGGTAGTGGTGGAATCCCGGGGTGAGTGACGCCGCAGCCGACGTCCTCCTAGCTGCACCGGGCGACACGGGTCCTCGTCGAGCAGGTTTGACATTGCTGCAGTCCACACTTCGTGACGGAGCGACGCGCGGGGCCGCAGCTCGGTGGCTTCCACACTCGAGGAACGTCTCGATGTGGGTCATCATGCTGAAGCAAATGGCGATGAGTTGGCGCTGGCGAACGACTTCGACGACCTCCAGAGCCTGCTGCAAGAAGCGGTTGAGCGCCAGAGATCGCGCCTCGATCACGCGCTTGGAGCGTGAGCCAAACAGTTTTCGCGGCGGGAACTGCTTGAACACGAAGGCGAAGCGGTCGGACGGCGGCGTCTGGCGATGCCTTCCGCGGTGCGAGTTGATACTGGTACAAGTGCTGACACTGGAGCCAGCGCTGGCACTCGAGCTGACGTTGGACCTGGTGTTGAAGCTGCTCTCGATGTTGTCCATGTCCGGGCTGGTGAGGTACGTGGCCATCTCGTCGTCGATGAGTGCGAGGAGCTTCTCGCGCAGTTCGCAGAACTCGGAGAAGCAGCGGCGGATGTGCCAACTCCTCCGCGTCTTGGTGTCTTCAACCCGCAAGATGTAGACTGTGGACGGCTTGAGCGCCAAGGCCGACGTGATGGTCGCTGTCAATGAGCTCATGGAGCCATTCATGGTGGTCCTGCCTGTGTGGTACGAGGCGATTGCAAGAGTGCCGACTGGTGGTCGATTGATCCCCCCCCGTTTCAGCCCCCAACTAGTTGGCGCTGCGGTTTCGTGTGGTCCGTGTCTCGCTCGGCTTTCAGCTCTACCCGAAACCAGTTACGCGCGTTGCTCGCTTGATTTTCGCCACGCAGAGTCTCAGAGCCTGATGCTTGAGGCTCGGGATGGGGGTCAAATTGTCTGCCAGGTAGCGACTTGGCACGCAGAATGGAAAGTGGTGACCGCGAGTTGAACACTTTCGGCGACGGACGGTGGATAGATAGTCTTCGAGGGCTCAGGTGGGGCCCTCTCACGGGCCGGACGCCGACTGGACTGGAAGGAGCACGCCGGCATCCCTGGAAACAAACCGAGTGGCCCACGGCTCGTATCTCTAGCGCCGCCGCCGCATTTGACAGCACCAAGATGTTAGCTAACTGCGGGCGTCTGTGGATCACCGAGCTCACGGTCGTCGGGGATCAAGATGCAAGGTTTACTGCGCCGCAGCAATGGTAAACTTTGAAAGGGCGCCCTACTGAGCATTACACAACCGGCGCGCATTTGAGCCTTTCACGCGTGCGCATGATCACAAGTCCAGCGTAACGGCGGCAATTATTGAGCAGAGTGACCTGTGACCAGTGCTGCTCGGCCGAAGGCAATGTTTTGACATCAAAAGCACATGGTACTCTTCCAAGCAGGAAAAGGTGGTGCGGGTCAGGTCAAGCGTTCGTCTTTAGCGAGGTGGGGCCGAATTGAAGTGCGACTATCATCCAGCCACTGTCAGGACAGGCCCGAGCTTCCGTTGGGTGCAGAGAGCAATTGTTCCTCGACGCGAAAATTGGCCCCGGGAGGGATTGAATCTCGCATTGTTCTCGCTAGCCACGCGCGTCTCGGTCCAGTCGTCGTGGTCGATTGCGAGGCTCGCCTCGGTGGAGGTGAAGCTTCGGTGAACACGCTTCCTTCTGTCGATTCAACACGACTGGAAAGGATTTGGCACGAAATCCATTCTCGAGTGGTTTGATCGTAGTGCCAACGCGTTTTGGCCTGCGATCTGACCACCGCTGACTCTCGTGTAAGTTCGATGGAACACGTACTCCTTCTGCTTTAGGCTGTCGGGCGAGAGCCCAATGCTGTTGCAAGCGGGGGTGGGGACATACATGCAGTGTGTATGGTACTCAGCGCAACTTTCATGACGTGGTTTCATGGCAAATCCGTTCACAAAAATGCACTGGGCCGGGCTGCATCCACCGTTCAAGCACAGCGCTCATAGCAGGAGAGTATCAACTTGATACTGTCCTGCTCGCTGGAGATAAGCTCAGCTCGCGATCAAGTCCTCGCCTATGGTGTGGACGTATCATACGTAAGATGTACACACAACACGCGTCAATCAAGTTGTGTTTGTGGAGAGCGGAAGATGGTGAACGGGTGAAGGGCTCACTAGGATATCATGCGCCCAAGCGCCCTTCCACCGCCCTCGACGATGTTGCGGGCAGTAGTGGGAGGGATGCCGTTGCAGTCGGCAACCAGCACCCAGTCACGCCCTTCTCGGTGTGCATCGAGCACACGCGTGCGGGCCGCAAGCCAATGCTTCGGCTCTTGGGGCATGTTGCCGGCGGAGACAGGGAGAAATCCACATTGCTCTAAATACTAATTTCAGAAATTATTTTCCGATTTTTGGATGTTACTTAAGTTACTTCACACCGTTTTGCTTTACACTGCTGCCAACTTGGATTGGCAAAGGTGTAGTTGCATTCGTTTATCAACATGAAACCGAGAAAATGGAGCCCATGGCTCTCCTGCTGGTTGTAGCGAAGAGCTTTCTCACCAGTTGAGGCTTCTGGGATTTCTCACTTTGCAAACGGGCCGCTCCACACAACTCAACTCGGCCGTCGTAGAGTTTGCAGCTACGTCCGATGAGAGAGCTACAGTCCTGATTCAGCCGTTGGGTTAAAAGTTACCACTGGTAACGGCGTATCATGATATCGAAGTCAGGGGGGCTCGGTGTAGGGATGGCTAGCCTCACACTCGCGGTGGCCTCGCCATCTTCACTAAATTCCGCCAGGCACGTGTGCTGCTCGATCCCCTGAAGGCTTTTCAGTGGCGCAAAAGCTGAAGTCGATGATGCGAACTCCCTACAAGAGGCCCCATGTAATGCAAGAAAATGAAGCTGACGGGCCAGAATCTGCAGGGTCAAGAAGAGAAGGAGAAACATGAGATGGAGAGACAGATCGTCAAGCTCTTCTGTGGGATCGTGGGTGCGCGCGGTTCGTTCCCGATCGAAATCGACGTGGAGCTAGCGGTGGGGCACCTGAAGAACGAGATCAAAAAGGCGAGGCCGAACGCGTGCAGGGACACCGACGCCGACCAACTGCGGCTTTTTGTACCAAAGAGGGCGGTGAATGGCTTACGGAAGCCCAACTCGTGGAGGGTCTGGATGCAGATGTAACCAGCCGCATGAAGGAATTACGCTTTGCGCAGGAGCCCATCGGCGCAATCGTCGCATCAAGACAACGCAGCAGGCACACTTCTCCTAGACTTCTCCTAGAAAGATATTGGAGAAAGTTAAGGGCCCGTAGATATGCTGGTGGTTCTGGAGAGAGCAACTGGTGGGACGATCGGCTCGGTGGAAGAGTGTAAGAGAAGGCTCCAGACGTGGTTCCGCGATGGCCTTGATGAACGCGACGAGAAGACGTCCGATCTGAATCCCGGGAGTGATTGAATTGTCCATTTAGATCAAGCGGTGAATCCGAAGTACGTACTCGAGACACCAGATCTCCTTCCGGCGTATAATACAGCGGTGTTTCACTTACCAAACAAATATATTATCAAACTTTTGAATTATTCACACTCTACACCCCGCAGTACGCATACAGATATGTTGCCGACTACACTCACACGAAGGGCCTTACCATTGCAATCTTTGCCTAGAGTGCCCTTGATAGGATCGCACGACCACCGTTTCCAGCACGTGCCGACATGGTAGGCGCGCTACTCACGTTAGCACCAGGCCGACTCAGCACTACCGAGGCTGGAACGGGTCCAGCCCAGGACCCCAAGAGCGGCGCACCTTTCACAGGGGCAGCGTTCTTGATCTGGGAAGTGTTCTTGGTGGGAGTGGCGTTCTTGGTACGCGCCTTGTTCTTCGGGAGCGTGCCCTTGGTTGCCTTCACCGGTGCTGGGGGTGGAATTTTTACGGCCTCCGATGCCTGTTTCTTCTTGGCGGCCTGGATCTGGCCTTGGGTGGCGTTCTTCGCAGGCTGCTCCTTCCGGCGTTCGGCCTCCTTCTGGGAATTCACACTCTTCTCAATGGAATTCGAGCGAGGGCGTGCGTTCCTCGTCTGCAGAGCGGGCTTATCCTTGCGGCCATCCCACGCGCCACCGATCTGCTTGAGCTGCGTACGAATGGCGTCGTACAGGTGCTGACCGCCGAGTTGCAGCATGGCCTCCTGGAACTTGTCGGACTGGGCTTGCTTCACCATGTGCTTCAGCTTGTACTGGTTCACCTTGCTCCAATCCGCGGCGTTCGTCTTACCGGAGATCGGTTTCAATCCCTTGGCGGTCGGTGCCAGCTCTAGCCGCTCGTTGTTGTCGAGGCTAAGGATCTCGCGCAGGGTCTGGCACGCCGCACGCTTCTCGGGCGCCAAGCCCAGCACCAACCGCAGCACAAAACTAGCACCGACAGAGTACTGGCCAAGCAGCTTCGACTGCTGCGCCTTGGTGTTGTTGCGCGGAGAGGTGGCAGTCTTGGCATTAGTGGCCTTCAGTCGCGATGCGGCGTTGGTCATTCTTGGGCGGTGCTCGGGGAGTGCGGAGGCTCGCGTGGCTTGGTTGTTGTTGCTTGTTGGCTTGTTGGACGATTGCAAAGTGAGACCTTCAGGGGACCCTCGCCATGCAGCTCGAGCTAGTGTTGATGGTTTCCAGGTATCTTCATAATTGAAAACCTCGATATCTTACCTAGGTATGACAGCAGGCGAGTTCGAGCACTTTACAGATGCCGAAGCAAGGGCACATCATGTGTTGTGAGGGGGGGGTCTTTTGAACAACCTGCCGCCATTCACCGTTTAAGGCCTAGTTCCAACCGCGTGCCATCCGTGCCATGCCATGCCATGTCATCCGAGAGCTCCTCGGGTTTAGGTCACTGGTGCCATGCTAGTGCCATGCATGGCACGCTTTGGTGCCATGGCAATTGGTCGTGCCATGTGCCATAATGGGGAAATTGCTCGTGACGGACATCAGACTTTGCTCTGCTGGTATACAAGCCGAGCGCCGCCGCTACGCGGCGGATAGAATTTATATTGTAGTTAAGCTTAGTTGTTCCTTGCACCCGTTCCGCTCGCCTCGTCGGCTCGCTGCACTACTCGCAGTGTTAGCACTGCGAGTAGTGCAGCAAGTTAATAAATTCAGAGGCCGGGGCGGGTCCTGCGGCCCCGCAATGTCGTATGCTTGTCGCGCAAACGCGGCCTTGACTAGTTTGTCCACCTATTAGGAACCCATATAACCCGCTTTTGGCCGACGGGGTGCTAAACTGTGTTTGTATATCACCAGTTTATCTTGCCATGGCGCAAGCCATTTCATTCGGAAACGGAGTGCCACGCAAATTCGGTACCTAGCCCTATTGGATGGCATGGCACCACGGCGCGCACTAGGCCTAAGTGTCCTCGGCAGGATATTATATCAACTGAAGCCGTGCTGACTGGAGTGCTGGTGGCAGGACAGTATCAAGTTACAATCCTGCCACCAGCTGAGCTGCTCAGCTCGCGATCAAGTCCTTGGCTGAGCTGTCGTACGTAAGATGGGGGTTGTGGAGAGCGGGCTCACTGGGATATCATGCGCTCGAGCCGCCCTTTCCAGTGCCCTCTGGAGCTGCCGTCGTTTCAAACACTTTTTTAGTCTATCAACACGAAACCGAGAAATTGGAGCACACAGCTCTCCTCCTGGCTGTATGTACGTTAGTATCGAAGAACTTTCTCACCAGTTGGGGCTTTTGATGTAAGCGGGCCGCTCGCAGTTCAACTCGATCTTCCTAGAGTTAGCTCCGTTGCGCTTGAAATGGGATAACTACAGTCCTGATTCAGTCGTTGGGTTATAAGTTACGAACGACGCAGCATGGTATCGAAGCCACGTGGGCTCGGGTGGGTTTGGATTGTGCTGATCGATACGCCCCGAATACTTACGACATTATTTTTTGCGTCACATACCCTTAGTGGCGTGGACTTGTTCTTAGTTGCTCACATTGGTCCGTGCTGATTAATTTCAACTTTCAACGTCCCTTACTCAACTCGATTGGGTTTGGGGACAGCGGAAGCTGGCGAACGCACGTCATGCCTTGCTCAGAGCGCCCTTTCCAGGTCTCGCTTCATGAGTTACCGTGGTGTGTTTATCAGCACAACACTAAGGAAATGAAGCCTGGTACAGCGTACGTGTAAGTTACATGTAGTGCCTGCTGGTTGTAGTGAAGAGGTAACGTTAGTTGAAGCCCTGCCTCTTGTCATCCTGATTGAAGAGCCTTCACACAGACCTTTACAATGAAAACATGGCTTTCCATTTTCTTACCTTATTGTCCCGGCCAGAATTGAAGGGCCCGTAGTAATGCAAACGCAGAGCTCAATCTTACATGTACAGTTCGTAGCTACGTTGTATTATTTGAGATGGGATAACTACAGTCCTGATTCAGCCAACGTGTCCCTTTTGGCTTCGATATGTACTTTGGAATCCAAGTGCATTATCGAAGCCATAGGGTCTCTGAAGAGGTGTCGGTCAGCCGCACACTAACGATGATCATCTCGGCGCGGCCTTGATTAAAATATGCACGGCACGCGTGCTGTTTGCACTTGGAAGGGCAGAGCCGGCACCTGATGGCTGCATACGGTAATGGCCGCTGCAGCCACCAGGGCCTGGTCCATGACTCGTCCCCATTGCGGGCCGAGGAGCCCTTCTCACCAGCCGCCTCTCGCTGCTGTTTTCATCGCTAGCAGGCGGTTGCACGGATACTGGACATGTAAGCGAAGCTGTCGCTGCGGACAGGCACGTGCATGGCCCGCAACGTCCGCTTGCGGTGGGTTCACTGATGGCGAGACGCTTCGCCGGATGCACATCGGGCTTTGCTGTTGGGTCCCCGGGCTACGCTGGGCCGAGCTTGTAGGAATTGCCCCGAACAGCATTTACGTGAGTAGATTTGTATACAGACTAGAGCGTGAGAACGAGACGCCTGATATATCCGGATTTAAAAGGGAATCATATCTGGCAGACACCACATTATGTATTTTACATTGACTCTAATACCTGATCTCATCGGTAGAAACGGGTATTAGTTGCTACCCGTCTCGTTCTCACGCTCTAGTCTGTACTGTATTTCTACCATGGAGCATTGCATTGAGATCGTCCCGCAATCCACATCGCGTGATCGAAGCTTGCTTACACTAAGGATTGGCCAAGGATTTATCATATTGTGCCTTTCGGTCATTTTGCCGAGTCCTACGTAGGACTTTGGAGGTCAGTTAATCTGAGGTTGGGGGTCTCTAAATCTGAGATGCAAATCTCGGACGAGTCCGATTAGCGGTCTCCCGGAGGCTCTCCGTTCAATGGACGTCCAAGCCAAGCAAGCTTTGTTTGGGGAAGCAATCAGTGCTGGAACCCACGAAGGCGAAGGGAGAAGACTTGGTTGTTTAATGTATCGACCGCATCGTGCTTACCTAGGTTTATTCTGCGTCTGACATACACCGTATTAGAGTCAGCTCGTATGAAAGTCCTGCCACAAGACTTGACAGGAGTCCTTGGTAAGACCTCAAACCCCGAATGCCGTGAGAATGGGCGACATTCGGGCTTTCGGCTGTTTGTAGGACCTATGCAAGTGCTTCCATCGGACTAGCAATTCTTGGTCCTAATTCCCTACGAGGGGCCTGCTAATCTACTCCGATAACCTAGCCCCATCTTAGTTGGTAATTCAACAAAGCAGATGCAAAAACTTGCCAAAGCTTTGCCAAAGCGTGGGCACCGGCAGACTTTTGCCATCAACGCGGATCAAGTGTGCATGGATGCTAATATCCCGGCTTTCCGCTGGTCAGTCTGACTAGATTCATGAGACGTCTCCAACAGCCAGCGGGTTGTTCGGTAGCTATGGGCCGTTCCAGCGGTTGTACACCGCACGTGTGGCGTTCATTCCGGAATCTGCCACGCCACCGTCAAGTCCCCATCCCGGTCCAGACGATGGTCTGCCTCTATCAAGCCGCGGCGCTCTTCACAGCGGCACTTGCTGCCACGGGTGCCTTGGCGCGAGTGACGCAGTCCGAATCGACAGACTCGACTTTGCTCCAAGCGTTCGAGGACTGCATGGACAAATGCGCCACCAACAGCAGCAGTGGCAACGGCACGCTGACTGCCAACACCAACTTCTTCATGTCGGAGTCGCCGCTGTACGAAGACTACGCGACGGGCCCCAAGGCGCGTATCGACCGCAAGCCCCTGGGTGTGTACTTTGCCTCGTCGGAAGAGGACGTGGTGCGCGCCGTCAAGTGCTCGGTGCAGAGCGGCCTGGCACCCGTGCCTCGCAGCGGCGGCCACTCGTACGAAGTGCTGTCGTCCATGGACGGCTCGCTGGTCATCGACATCGCCGACATGGTGGACGTCAACCTTGTGTCCGAGAACAAGGAGGAGGGCTCCGTTCTGGCCACGATACAGGCGGGTGCTCGTTTGGCCTGGGTCTACACGGAGCTGGACCGGCTCGGAGGCTACAACTTCAACGCCGGCACGTGCCCTAGCGTCGGCATCGGCGGTCACATCAGCGGCGGAGGCTACGGCATGGTGAGCCGCCACTACGGACTCGCGGCTGACCAGACCACCGAGATGCGGGTGGTGCTCTACAACGGCACGGTTGTCACCGCGTCCACTACGCAGAACCCGGACCTGTTCTGGGCGCTGCGCGGTGGCGGTGCCGGCTCGTTCGGCATTGTCACGCTCTTCACCATCAAGGCGTACAAGATGCCGGTTGTGACGGTCTTCAGCATGCAGTTCAACGTCTCCGTGCGTGCGCAGGTGTTGCGCGCGTGGATGGACTACTTCCCTACGGCCGACTCGAGGGTGACCACGCAGCTCGTGGTGGACGGCGGAGGCGCGCGCATGACCGGCCAGTACCTGGGCTCCAAGGCGGAGCTGGACGTGCTGCTCAACTCGTCGGGTCTGTTCGACCACGGCGGCTTGAAGACTATCGACCGCCGCGACAACTGCTCACAGCTCGCCACCAAGGCGTACGTCTGGAAGGGCACGTGCGACGACCTGAGCTCGCTCAACGTCTCGCACCACCTGACGTCGGCCGACAAGGACTACAGCAAGATCAAGGGCGGCTACTCCAACTCGGCGCTGGACGACGAGGGCGTGCAGACTGTGCTGGACTGGGCCGACAGCCTGCCCAACACCACGTGGGCGTACATCCAATTCGAGGCGTACGGCGGCGTCTTCGCCTCGCAGAAGAACGACATGACTCCGTGGGCGCACCGTGATGCCGTCTGGTCCGTGCAGATCGGCGTGGGCGCCAACAAGGGCGAGTCCGAGGACTCCCCGTCCTACAACTGGATCCGCGGCATCGCCGGCGCCCTCGAGAAGTACTTCGACGGCGGCAACTACCAGAACTACTGCGACCTGGACCTGGGCGCCGACTTCGGCCGACGCTACTGGGGCGCCGACAACTTCGCGCGCCTGCGCCAGATCAAGGCCCAATACGACCCATGGAACGTCTTCCACAGCGCTCAGTCCATCCCACTGCCTTAGAACCATCGATAGGCAGAATGACCAAAGATACCTATTCGTAGTCAACATGGCTACATGAGTTGTATTACCTGTTGAAGTTGCCTTTTTTCGCACCACTTCGGTGCCTTTACAACCCGCGCCATACCCCAAGTTTTCAGGACGTATCGAGTGTGGTTGACGGACAGAGGAATCCCAGTCCACCATCGAAGCCAAAAGGGCCACGTTGGGTACAACGGCTGAACCAGGACTGCAGCTCTCAACTGACGAAGAGTGTTGCTACCACCGTACTACCGGTAGCTTAGCTACGAAATGTCCGACCCGTTTGCATAAAGGGAAGTACTGTTGGCATTGTGAGGGCTCTTCATTGAAGAGTCTTCAAACAGGATGGCAGGAGGCAGAGCTTCAATTATCGTTACGTCTTCGCTTCTCGGTTTTGCGTCATCAATCAAAACCTGAATATCCCAACGCGAGCTCATAAGCTGCCATCTTCCGCTCTCTCCACAAACTTACTACACACGAGTCGATCATGCATGAAACTTCGTTTATGCTATACCACATACGCATATGCCCACGCTTCGGTATCTTAGTTTGTCAAGCACTACTGCTGCACGGCTTCACCTGCTGCCAAACCTAGGTAAGATATCGAGGTTTTCAATTATGAAGATACCTGGAAACCATCAACACTAGCTCGAGCTGCATGGCGAGGGTCCCCTGAAGGTCTCACTTTGCAATCGTCCAACAAGCCAACAAGCAACAACAACCAAGCCACGCGAGCCTCCGCGCTCCCCGAGCACCGCCCAAGAATGACCAACGCCGCATCGCGACTGAAGGCCACCAATGCCAAGACTGCCACCTCTCCGCGCAACAACACCAAGGCGCAGCAGTCGAAGCTGCTTGGCCAGTACTCTGTCGGTGCCAGTTTTGTGCTGCGGTTGGTGCTGGGCTTGGCGCCCGAGAAGCGTGCGGCGTGCCAGACCCTGCGCGAGATCCTTAGCCTCGACAACAACGAGCGGCTAGAGCTGGCACCGACCGCCAAGGGATTGAAACCGATCTCCGGTAAGACGAACGCCGCGGATTGGAGCAAGGTGAACCAGTACAAGCTGAAGCACATGGTGAAGCAAGCCCAGTCCGACAAGTTCCAGGAGGCCATGCTGCAACTCGGCGGTCAGCACCTGTACGACGCCATTCGTACGCAGCTCAAGCAGATCGGTGGCGCGTGGGATGGCCGCAAGGATAAGCCCGCTCTGCAGACGAGGAACGCACGCCCTCGCTCGAATTCCATTGAGAAGAGTGTGAATTCCCAGAAGGAGGCCGAACGCCGGAAGGAGCAGCCTGCGAAGAACGCCACCCAAGGCCAGATCCAGGCCGCCAAGAAGAAACAGGCATCGGAGGCCGTAAAAATTCCACCCCCAGCACCGGTGAAGGCAACCAAGGGCACGCTCCCGAAGAACAAGGCGCGTACCAAGAACGCCACTCCCACCAAGAACACTTCCCAGATCAAGAACGCTGCCCCTGTGAAAGGTGCGCCGCTCTTGGGGTCCTGGGCTGGACCCGTTCCAGCCTCGGTAGTGCTGAGTCGGCCTGGTGCTAACGTGAGTAGCGCGCCTACCATGTCGGCACGTGCTGGAAACGGTGGTCGTGCGATCCTATCAAGGGCACTCTAGGCAAAGATTGCAATGGTAAGGCCCTTCGTGTGAGTGTAGTCGGCAACATATCTGTATGCGTACTGCGGGGTGTGGAGTGTGAATAATTCAAAAGTTTGATAATATATTTGTTTGGTAAGTGAAACACCGCTGTATTATACGCCGGAAGGAGATCTGGTGTCTCGAGTGCGTACTTCGGATTCACCGCTTGATCTAAATGGACAATTCAATCACTCCGGGATTCAGATCGGACGTCTTCTCGTCGCGTTCATCAAGGACATCGCGGAACCACGTCTGGAGCCTTCTCTTACACTCTTCCACCGAGCCGATCGTCCCACCAGTTGCTCTCTCCAGAACCACCAGCATATCTACGGGCCCTTAACTTTCTCCAACATCTTTCTAGGAGAAGTCTAGGAGAAGTGAGCCTGCTGCGTTGTCTTGATGCGACGATCGCGCCGATGGGCTCCTGCGCAAAGCGTAATTCCTTCATGCGGCTGGTTACATCTGCATCCAGACCCTCCACGAGTTGGGCTTCCGTAAGCCATTCACCGCCCTCCTTGGTACAAAAAGCCGCAGTTGGTCGGCGTCGGTGTCCCTGCACGCGTTCGGCCTCGCCTTTTTGATCTCGTTCTTCAGGTGCCCCACCGCTAGCTCCACGTCGATTTCGATCGGGAACGAACCGCGCGCACCCACGATCCCACAGAAGAGCTTGACGATCTGTCTCTCCATCTCATGTTTCTCCTTCTCTTCTTGACCCTGCAGATTCTGGCCCGTCAGCTTCATTTTCTTGCATTACATGGGGCCTCTTGTAGGGAGTTCGCATCATCGACTTCAGCTTTTGCGCCACTGAAAAGCCTTCAGGGGATCGAGCAGCACACGTGCCTGGCGGAATTTAGTGAAGATGGCGAAGCCACCGCGAGTGTGTGGCTGGTAGTTGATACAAAGTAAGAGCGCGAAACAGGTCATTGACAGGTCAGGTCATGTTAGGTCATGCAAGAAACACATGATTTAAAGTATTACTTCGCTGCATGTGGCGATACCATCTGGAAGCTCATTAGTGAGCCAAAGATATCCCTCTTGTACAGTAACGCATAAACCGATTTCATCGCACCAAGTATTATTTTCCAAAGATATTCTCGTGGGGGAATCACCGTAGAGTGTTGCCGCTCGTGCCTGGGAGTGGCTGGAGGGTTAGTTCTAGGCTAAAATCAAACTGAGCGACTGTGGCCGCGTTCCTTTGGCTCGAGATTACTGGTTCTCGAACCGTGTGTGTAAAAACTCGTCGATCTGGAAAAACAGATTCCCCGACGGCTACGCCGCCGGGTAATCAACCATTTCCAAAGATCTTCTCGTGGGGGAATCACCGTAGTGTATTGCCGCTCGTGCCAGGGAGTGGCGTGGAGGCGCCCCACCTTGAGAATTCCTTCGCGACGCTTACTGGCACATCAGGCTTGACAGACCTGCTGTTCCTTCCGAGGTCAGCACAGGATAGTCCTCGAAGCAGGAGGACATCCAGCGCCCAAGCAGCTTAATCACCAGTCTGTCCGCCCCAGCATTGAGCAACTTGGTCGCGCCACCGATGCGTACCGAGTGAGTAGAGAACCGCGCAGGATCGAGACCTTCCTTGGACGCCGCGGCCTTGATTATCCTTGCTACTTGGCTTGACGAAACTCCGCCTGACTTCCCCATCTTAAGAGCTGGTTCGTCATGCCTTGTTCCTATTCGTCTTGCAGCATTCTTGATCCACCGTGCTGCGCGCACTGGGCAACAGTAAGGCATCTGGTGAGGCGTGTTGGAATCGAAATTCCTCTCTTCCGAACTGATTGTTCTTGGCGCCCCGGAGGAGAATGCCGACAATTGTAGCACAGCGCGACTTGACGGCTTGCCATCGCTGTCGCAAAATCGAATATCACCTAAGCGGAGGACGAACGGGTGATACTCCCTTCCGATGAACAGATACTCGGACCTGCGCAGCAAAAAGAAGTACGCCAGCAACAGACCACCCCCACAGTAGTTGGTTAGACGGGCGGCGGATGTCGAGTTGAGAGTAAATCCGACGGAGGAGGCTTGGCGAAAGAGGCTGTTGCTTGAGTACGGGCTGGTGAAACGGCGGATCCCGCGGAGCAGAAGCGCATACTGAGCAGTGACACTGGGGTCATACCCGCGTTCAAACCGATGACGCCACCGGACCGCACATAGCTTCGAGCAAATGGTGCCATACGAATTGCCGATGAGCTTACGGCTAATACCAAATTTCCATAAGAAGACGGCGAAAGCTCCAAGCTGAGCCGTGGATGTAACTGATCCATCTTGAGGTAACCACGGCGAGTACTGCATAAAGCTGCACCAGGATTCCCATTGCCGCCACGCACGTGAATAAGCACGGCTAGTGGATGTCGCTAAAGCTCCCGCGCAGAGCAGCGCGCCCAGACCTGCGAGAGTTTGCGCGAGCTCGGAGGGACTGTAACCTGCGACCAACCAACACAAAGGTTAGTAAACGCCGCCGCCTTCGCCCGTGACTCCCAGCTGCGACTGCCAGCGTCTGCCATCACATTTTCCGACCCCGGAATGTGCTCCGCGGACAGGTAAAACCCGTGCCGCACTTCGAGCAGCGCGATAAGCCGGAGCAGCATTTGCGCGTAGGGATTGTCCCGAACCGCACGCTTATTGCTCCAGGCCAGCGCAGATGTATTGTCAATGCGCAGGCGAACGTGGACGTCCGCTCCATCATCGCTGGCGGTCCACAGGTGCCCCCACGTGATCGCTGCGAAGACGGCACTCATTAATTCGCGAATATTGATGCCGAACGTGAAAGCGCCACCGTGCTTTTGCTCGTGGATGGCCGCCCGCTCTTCCGCGTCAAAGCGAACTTGAATATATTCGCGACGGGCAGGGAGAAGGGCGCAGAGTCCAACGTCGCTCGCGTCCATAAGCACCTCGACACTGGGCGGCTGCGAACGAGTAAACCGCGCCAGCGGAATGGAGTTGAAATGGGAGGCAGACAGAATGGCCCGAAACCATCGGAGATCATCCAACGCAGACTCAGCCAACGGAAAACAGCCAACATGAGGGGTGCGGCGCTGCGCGTCAGCTAACCGCTGAAAGAATGGCGCTGCTGGGCGCACGCAGGTGGCGACATGACGGAGAGAACCGATAACACGGTTGAGTTGCGATCGTGACGCCCGGGTACGGTGCAGTAAGTCACACACGCGCTGCCTCGCCTTCTCAATCTTCGCTTGGGGCATCGAAACTGTGCGCCGCTGGAGATCCCAGTCGAGGCCGAGCGCCGACCCCCGAGTCACCCACGCCGTAAATTTGTCTTCGTTACAGGCGGACGGTCCCAAGACAGCAACCATCGCTGCGCGGAGCTCCGTCGCCGCTTCCTCCAGCCGAGTGCCGACAGCAGGACTCCGCGCAGTTGTGGTCGTCACACCACACTTTGCCGTCGAATTCCCCGGTCCCGTGCGCTGGTTGGAGAGGCCACAGGGGCTTCGACGTCGAGTACAAGTGGTTAATGGCACCTCCAGCGATAGCATACGCGGCTGGGGAGTTCCGCCACCCAAACGGGCAGCATAAATCCACGATGAGAACACCAAGCTCCGGGATTGTACCAGCAAAACGGCCGCAGTGGTCGGCATGCAGCGGGATATGCCGGAACGCGCCGCTCACATTCCCAGACATCAGCCGCGCTAGACCCGGGTAGTGCGTCTCAACTTCTTCAATACGGGCTGCGATCGCGCGCCCCCCGTCGTAGTGGACTGCAATCTCGGTCTCAGGAACAGTAAACTCGTTAACGGAGCCATGGGCAGGAAAGGATAAATCGTGAATCACACGGGCATCTTCGCTGAGCGGCTTATCGCCCTTCGGGACAGCCCCAAAAGGGCTGCAGAAGATACCGTCGAGATGACCAAGGAGGTCGATGTCCAGCACAAGGTAGCGATCTTCATCTTGATCAAGGCATTGAGAGACCGGCGGGCGGAGCCATGGTTTGGCGGCGGGGTATCCTGCGAGGGGAAGCCGTCCTTCCATCGGGGAACAACGCCTTCGTGAACCACATCGCGCCACTGGTCCGCAAACCGATAAGATCCCCAACGGGGCTTGTGGTCCGGCACTTGAAGGGCTTTGTTGGGGCTCAGGTCTGAAGCATCTTCGCCGCGTAAAAGCCGGATGAAGTCAGGAAGACGCGTCCCGGAGCGGCGCAGATAGGCGCTGTATGCGGCCTGCTTGTTGTGGTCAAGCCGATACCGGAGCGAACCCCGCGCCGTTGAAGTCCGCGAATGTGGCTCGGGAATTGAAATCCCCCAGCGTTCCAACTCGCTGTGGAGACGGTGAGCACCGGCGTCTCTTCGTCGTTGGATCCGTTGAATGCGCTCTTGAAGGTCTCTAGCCCGCGCCCGATCTAAATCCGCTAGGAAGGTGCGCGAGCCACACCGAGTCTGCAACCGGAATCCGTAGCAGGCGTCCGTCCGCCCGTGTCGACTCCCCAAGTTACGCGAGGACCACCAGTCACACCGGTACAGCCATCTTCCCCTTCCTCGGACCTCGGTCGGCTGCCAAATCTGGCCCATGGACGGCCGCCACTCTCCACGGAGGCAACCCGACCGCCTATGGTGCGAAGCCCGGCTGTGCGGGCGCAGGTAGCGTCGAGGAAGTGGACGCCACGCGCCGGGCAAACATTCCTGCAACGGCTGTCAACACCGTGCTATGCGAACACACTGGTGTCCGATCGGGTTTCTCGCCGGTATGGTTCCCTGCCGGCCCATGTTGCCAACGGCACGTCGAGTGACCGCCGTTCACTGACTCCGGCCGAGTCAGTGAACGGCGGTCGATGGCCTGGGCTGCGGCACCTGCGGTCGCTGGCCGCGAGACAAGTGGGGAGAAAACGAGTGCGGCGACCGTGCGGGCAGCGACAGTAGCCGCGCCGCCTGTGGCATCGGGCCCAGATTTGGAACGAGCGGAGCTATTGGCAGCGTCCGCACACTCGCTATTGGCGGCGTAGTATTCCGTCCCGACCATGTCAGAAGAGAAGCAGAGACCAAAGTGGTAGGAGCTCCGTTCAGGGTAGACGCAGCCGAAGTGGCAGGCGCGTCGCTCAGGGTGGGAGCAGAGACCGAAGTGGCAGTAGTTTTGCTCAGAGAAGCGGAGACCGACATGGCAGTAGCTTCTATTAGCGAGATACTTCGAGTGCTGGGGGCGCGTACTGCCGTAGCGGCGAGTAGCTGTGTACTGTCCGACACCGGTACCAAGGTAGGTCTAGCCTGAGCAGCGTCAAGAGGCAAACCAACACCAGCCCGCGAACAGCCCTCTCGCCATTCGCAGTGGCGCCTTCACAGGTCCTTAAACTCGGGCTTTAACCCCCCATAACGCGACTCGATGAACTCGCGCACCGTCGCCGAGAGGTGTTGAGGCCGAAAGTGGCCGCGTCCCGCAAACGTGCACTGGGGGCCCGTTGACCGACAACCCTGGTTGGACAAGTACCGCATGCACAACTTCCTGCCTTGGGCGATGGGCAACGCGTTGAGGACAAACTCCGGGACCCGCTTGGCTGCTGCTCCTGTTCGGGACGAGAAGCTGTCTTCCTGCTTGTTACGGCCGCGGGGTGGCAGGCTCGTTGTTGCCGCTGAAGCCTGCAGAGACCCAAGGCGCCGTTCGTGGATGATGTTCTGGACTTGGACAAACGACTCGTGTGCAACATTGAATTCGTCCTGAATGGCACTGCACCGTGCAGTAGAGCCCAACACCACGCATGTGCGGACCTTTCCAGGCGTTCGTCCATCCAGAACACCAGATCTACGAGCTCCTCCTCGTCGGTAGTGCAGCGAAATGTTTTCTGGAGGAGGAAGAATTTCCGTGCCGCCTTGATGACACCTCCGACGAAGGGCTGGTACACTTCTTCGACTAATACAGCCAGTACGTCCAACGCAGCCAAAATGTCGTCCAGCGACTTCGCTGCTACAGGTCGTGGTAGTTCATTGCTGCTTGAAAAGTCGCACATGTCGTACTTGGCAAGCAGCTGACGTCGGCACGTTGCATCGATCCGCCCAAAGTGCAGGAGCGAGAGTCCACGAGTCCCGAACTCCCACGCGAAGAAGCCTTTTAGCACGGCAGGGTGGGGGAGGAACGCTAGCAGTTCGATCTGGGCCTGCACGTGCTCAACAAGAACTCATGTAGGAGTACGTACCGTTGACAATGGCTTGATGCACCGTGTTCTGGAGACGCGACGCCCGAAATTGACCTTTTCCACCAGTCTCACCAGGTACACCATCCAGGAGTAGCTGCGCGGAGGAGGCTTCATCGTCACGGAGGCGCGGTCGAGCGTGCGCCTGTAGACCGAAATCTGTCAAGTCGCCCTCGCGGCCACGCTTCGTCGAGGCTCTGGTCTGGCTCGGCACCGCCGCCTCCCCTATTTCTTCCACGCTGTTGTCGCTATCATCGTCGGAGTCTTGTAGCGGGTCTGCCCCAGTAGTGACTGCCGGAGTCGAACTGACGCGAGCCGTTGCTGTCGCGGCCGGTGCTTGGCCAGCCGGATCATCAAAAATAGAGTCTCCAAGCTTGACGGAAGGGGGCGGTCGGCGGTTTCCATCATGATAGAATACAAAATCGAGCACATGCTTCGCAGAGACTTGGGCCACTTGCATACTACTGATGTCGAACACTGGCACCACACCGGTTTCTTCGACAGCAGCCACTCCGATCTTGTTACAGATTGCTTCGAGCGAGCGTAGTGCTCCCCGCCCACGGGCATGGAACGCTGAGTAGGCTGCCTCATGAATCGCCCGCATCTCCGCGGGCATCGTAGAGAGCGTAGACTGCCCCTCGCACAGGCGCATCGCATACGTCTCGACCGCTAAATCCTGCAACAGCTCCTTGTCGTAGACAAAATCGAAGTTGCCGGCAGAGGAGGCGACGTGAAGGACGCACCGATTCGAGTCAGAGCTGCAGCGGTAGCCGGTCACCACACCATATGTCCATCTTTCTGCTCCACCATCCCAACGATGCGCGATGCAGACACAGCTCCCGACGTACGTTCCGAGGCCACCCTGGGCTTCTTCACGCGCCATCCTCGTCGGCTTACAGAGGCCAGGGGCAGCGCTACCGAGTAGGCGTTCAGTTCACTCCAGCGCCCGCTCGCAACGCGATGGACTTCCACGTCTTGGTCGTCCGAGGGCTGTCCTGAGCCGTACGCGAAACCCGCCGTGTCGAGCGTGTGCGGCTTGAGATAGAAGAAACGCGGAGAGGTCATCCGTGAAGCGAAGGCGGATAGTCTGAGGTTCGACGACGTTAGTTCTAGGCTAAAATCAAACTGAGCGACTGTGCGCGCTGTTGTGGCTCGAGATTACTGATTCTCGAGCCGTGTAAAAACTCGTCGATCTGGAAAAACAGATTCCCCGACGGCTACGCCGCCGGGTAATCATCAACCATGTCTTTTCAAAAAATACACAGTGCGTTGCTCCCAAGTTGATGCCTCAAGCTGGGGGATTCCAGTGTCGTGAGACGTGTATTTCTGACTTGAGTCACGGTCAGTTTCTACCTCGACCAGCATAATTACATCGGTCAGCATAAAATACCTCAGTCGGCGTAGCTACCTCAGTTGCCGTATTTAGCTCGACCAGCATACAGTTACCTTGGCCAACGTAAATACCTTGGTCGTATAGTTACCTCGGTCGGTGTAATTGAATGGAATCTGCCTTGGACTGTGTACAAGGAGGCTTGTTTTGTGACTATGGAGGTGAAGAGGAGTCTTGGCAAGAAAGCAGAGACAGCAAGGTCTATTACGGATTAACGACGCCGCAGCTACCGACTCGTCAGTGGCGTGACCACGTCTGTTGGCGACAATACTCTAGCATGGCCTTCGAGCGCGTCGTGAAGGTTGCACACAATGTCATCCTGGAGGAGGATGCTTTGGTAAACTCAGCGAATGTGGGGGTGTCGGGACAAATCAGTGGTACTATGGCCTTGAAACAGGTGGGCCAACGAGGGGGACCCATCTGCAGCAGCAGGCAGCGGAGGACGATCACGAGGCGGCGGAGACGCTGACGCAGGGCGACGAGAAGCAGACGTCCTCGCTGGGCTACAGCATGACGATGGGCGGCACGGGAGCGGTCCAAGAGGTAGGGACGGAAGCTGCGGACAGCTCCTGAGTGGCCACAATAACGAAGAGTGGCACGGTGAAGGGCACGACCGAGCTGCACGCAGCAGCTTGTGTCGAGTCGACGTTGAAGGACGGGGCTGGAGGGCCCGAGCAGCGAGCGGAGACCGCTCACTACGAGAATTGCGCCGCAAGACGCAAGACGAACGCGATCAGGCTCACGAGGCACGCAGCACACGGAGCGAGAGCTCTACACGAACGAGGGAGAGGCAGACGAACGAGGAGTTGACGGAAGCGCGGAGTGACTGGTCGGAGCCGGGAACCCTGCGTGGAAAACGAGAACGTGATCGTAGGTTAGTGTTGACAAGAGGTTGACATTAGCTTGCGTGATAGAAGAGGTTTAACAACCCCCTTAATAAATTCGGTCGGACGCACTGAGGTGGACGATCGGGCGCAGTGACGAAGTGTCGCTGTCGGCCAGAAGGTGTTAGAGTTGCAGCGACGAGAAGTAGGACCGACGCAGCGCAGCTATACGACTTGCTCAAAAAGCCGAGCAAGATAACTGGCCTGCTTCATGGTGGTCATACAGGGGCCTACTTCTACAACTATGAACGAAGCTACGGGTGTCCTGACGAGGGCCATGACGCCGATGTCTCCGGCGAACACGAAGACGTCGAACAAGTCGGGCAAGTCCAGACTGAAGTCAAAGGCGAAATATTTTGAAGACGATGGTGATGAGTCGAGCGGTGGCGAGACGGGCGCTCGACAGGGCTTCGGCAACGCTGGACGTGGAAAGGCGCGGCCAAGTCAGCTACGCAATGATCCCATCGACGAGGAGGAGAAGGAGTCGGCCGTAATGGCGCGGCAGGAGCCAGTGTCGCTGGATCTGGATCCACCGCCTGCTGCCGAAGAATCGCAGACGGCGGATTCCCCTCCAGGTGACGAGCCGGCACCCACGAACGAGGAAACGACGGAGAGGACGACGGAAATGGACGCGATCGCAGCGACGCTGCACCAGCTCACGACGCTGATGGCGACCATGCAGCCACCAGTGAGCACGCCGAGAGCCGATGGACGGAACGACGAACACGTGGCGGCGGAGATGACTTCAGCCTGACGCGACGACGACGGTGAGACGCGGACGGCACCAGCGGGCGAGACGGCTGGACACGTGCAGCAGCCGTCAGCTCCAGCGACGAGTGTGGGCACGACGGAGCCGACGAGACACACGGCACCAGCGACGACGAGTACGGGAACGCCGGGAACGACTACGACGACTACGACGACGATGAGCGACTGGAACGCGGTGACGGCTGCGATCCACGAGCTCTCAGGCCGACTCGAAGGCCTACAAGCTGCGTTGAGTAGGACGGCGAGGCAGGAGCCAAGTCCGACGGCGAACTGGGCGACTGTAGCTGCCGCCTTGCAGCAATTGACGATGATGGTGACGCCGGCGCAGACGGCGGCGACGGGCGACATGCAGCAGCAACCACCAGCACCTCCAGGCAACGAACAACCGGTGTCTGATGCTGGGGCTTCAGCTCCAATGCAACCTGGGCAACGAGGTGACGGAGGACGCAGCGAACAACATCGGGCAGCTGGGGGTGGACCTCCGCCTTCGGATGGGAGCGACTGCAGCTCCGACAGCTCGAGTGGCGAAGGGTGGCGGCCCCGTGGTGGACGACGACGTGTTGAGAGCAACAGCGAGTCAGAGAGCAGCGACGACTCGGAGGACAGCTTCGGGTACGGCTCCAGCAGCTCGGAGAGCTCCGATTACGACTCCAGCGATGACTCAGGTGGACGACAGGGTCATAGACGCGCGGACGGCGTGGACGACGTCGGCGAGAGCGTTACCGAGAGCACGGACGGCGACGGCACGGACGGCGGTCACGTCGCAAGAACGTGAAGGATCTGGAACTGCCGACATTCACCCCCTCACCAAAGGTGTCTGTGTCGACATGGATCGACCGTGTTGACCTTGCACTGAAGGGCGCGGAAGAGTCTGGACGCGGCAGGTGGTCCGACAAGGCCCTGTACTTCATCTTGGGAAACAAACCGATGGAAAATGCGGCCAAATGGTGGGTCGATATGGATAGACGGACGACGGAACGGAAGAGAACGTGGACCAACTTGAAGAAGGCCCTGGTGCGGCGCTACGGCGAGAAGCTGGATAAGTCTGCGGCAGAGTGGCGAGTCAGCATGCGACGCATGATGCCTGGCGAGACACATGCTGACTTCGCAGCTAGCCTACGAGACGTGGTGGGCGGGAACAAGGTCAGCGAGAGAGTGCTGCTGGCTCAGTTCTACAGATGTCTGGATAAGACGACGAAGAAGCTCGTGAAACAGCATCCGAAACCGCGGACGCTGGAAGAGGCGGTCGACAAAGGGACAGAGATCGACGACCCGATGGATAACGTCGCGCAAGGTATGATCAATATCGGCCAGGCGTGGGCGACAACGCCGAGCCGATACGTGATCCCGATGAGCGGAACAATGGGCAACACAAACGTGATTCCGGGCATCAGCGGGACCGGATTGCCCGCGGAGATGGTCGGCAGTGGCAGCGATGTGATGATGCAGTCGGAGGTCGAACAGGTGGCCCTGTTCACGAACCCTCAAGGCGTGTACAACGCGTACTCGGGCACGTGGGATCCGCCACCCGGACACGTGTGGAACGGGAAGTATTGGTACAAGCCGAGGAAGGTGGCGAGGAAGTCATCTGTGACAGCGAGCGGCCACACGGAGTCGAAGAAGTCGGCTGGCAAGGCGAAGGCGACGGTGTCGAGCGGCGAGGAGTCTGAGCCACGACGGAAGAAGGTGAAGGCCGCGGTAAAGCAGGCCGGTGCGAACGACGGACGCGGCAACAGCCGTGCAGCTGACGAGCGACGGCGTGTTGTTAGCGGTAATGGTGCAAGCAGCGTTGGCCAGGCAAGTGGCACCACTTGCTACCTGTGTGGAAAGTCGGGTCATTGGGCGCAGCAATACCCCACGGGTCCAAAGTGCTATGCGTGCAACCAAAACGGGCACTACGCACGAAACTGTACGAATGAGGAGGCGAAAGCCAAGAACGACGCGTACTTGCAGACGCGTGGCACGGTAACGGTGTCGGAAAACAACGAGCGGGCGACGTAGTGGGGTTACGACGTCCGCGCAACCCTGATCATCCCCAGCGAATGAGAACGAGGACGAATGATGAGGGCGGGCGAAGTCTGATTGTGACGGCGGCGCCAGAGCAAGTTGCTGTGGATGGCGAGCGGATGGCGGCGTCACGAAGGGCCGATGGCCAGATCCGAGGACGAGTCCGTGTGGTGACGGCGAGCGAGCTGCCCACGAACGATGACGAGCCGAACGATGATGACGAGACGAAGGAGGAATCCTCCGACGTCGACAATGATGATGATGAGATGAATGAGAGGGGGCGGACGACGTGCTGCGCGTCGTGGTCGGCCGGCAATATGATGAACGAAGTAATGCAGTTAATGAGAACGGAGGCGGCGTCGAAAGACGGCGACCGAGCGGCGCGATACGTGGCTACCGTGCGGCCAGCGATGGCAGCGGTACGCTTCGTGCGTGCAGAACGAGAAGAAGAGCTGCGAAGCTCTGCTGATGATGATGAGGGGCGACGTCGAGCTGGAGAAGGCGAGACACTACCCCGAGATGACGATGATGACGAACGAGGTAAAGCTGGAGAAGGCGCCGGGCGACGCAAAGCTGGAGAAGGCGAGCCGACAGCTGACTCAGCTGCAGCTGTGATCACGTGCACGTCGACGGCCACGTCGACGAGCGCAGCAGCGATGACGAACGAGGAAGTGAAGGCAACGACCGACGCGACGTACGATGAGGACGAGGGCAACTCGACGGCCGAGTCGATGACGAACAACGAGTCGATGACGACTGACGAGTCAATGACGAACGAAGTAGTGCAGGCGACAGCCGGCGTGGCTGACAACGAAGACAAGGGCAATGAGGCGCTCGAGCTCACGGTGAGCAACGAGTCGATGACGAACGATGAGTCTGCGGTGCCCAAAGCGTCGGTGATGACCAACACGGTGGCGGGGAATAACGAGTCCACGGTGGACGTGTTGATGGTGGACGGCGAGGTCTCGAGCGCGAGCGAGAGCTCGTCAGATGGCAATGAGCGTGCAGGTAGTGATGTGGAGCAAGCACGGCTCGCGCGGAAGAAGGCTCGCAAGGTTGCGAAGCGACTGCGGGTCAAGGCTCTGCTGGTGAAGCGACGGCGAGCAGAACGTGAGGCCTAAGATGAACGGCGACGGGCTGAGACGGAGCTGCGTGACGAACGGCGACGAGTGGCAGCCGAAGCCGTGGCCGCACTTGACGAACGGCGGCAACGACGACTGCGTGATGGTGATGACGAACGCTCCACACGGCCGAGTGACTTGGCACGTGTGAGCCTGGTCAAGCATAGGCGCGAGGTGACGAACACGCCACGGGCAGTGAAGGATGATGACGTAGAGTACGTGGGGGCAAATGACGGACTTCCGACAGCAATGATGGAGGTGAATGGCGCCTCGAGACGCGTGAAACTTGACAGCTGCGCGCGCTACACTATAGCGGGCACTGAGTGGATGGCCCACGGCGACAAGCAGGCTGTGGACGCTCCGGTTGACTACGTGGAAGGCATCGGGGGGTTTCTACTCGACGTGCTGGGAGTATGGCGGTTCAAACTGTGCACTGTATTCAATGAAGTTATCGAAGTGGATGCATGCGTAGTGTCGGGCTGTTCCGACGAGTTTCTACTAGGAGTCGACTTTATGAGGGCGCGCGGAGCGACCATGGACTTCGATCGCAATGAAGTGCGGTACGCGGACGGAGGGCGAGCGGTCGTGATACCGTTCCGGACGCATGACGACGCTGGAGGAGCACGAGTCGCAGCTGTACGGATGGTAGACTCACGAGCAATGCAGTGACGCCTGTTGAAGTCTCGGTGGCAGCTGAAGATGGAGAACGCGGCTTGTTCTTGCCGACGAGGCACACGGGGTCAGTGTTGTTGGCAGCGACGGTGACGACGGCTCAGAACGGAAGAGCCTGGGTGCCAGAAATCAACACGAACAATGAGTCAGCGCGATTACCTAACAAGAAGGAGCTGGACACGTGGATACCTGTCGATGACGATATGCAAATCCTGTCGATGAGTGGCGAGCTGGACGCTCAGCGTGTGAGTGAGTGGATCGACGAACTTGGTGACAGTACGACGCCCCTGGATGACGAAGACGAAGTACACATTGGAGTTGATGAACCAGATGCACGTGTATTAGTTACCAAATTGCTACGTGTCTATCGTTAGTTGACTGCGAGTACTGGCGATTGTCCTCCTGCGACAGCCTTGGACATCAACCACCATATTGACACGGGTGACTCAGCGCCGATCATGTTGAAGCGCCGGCGGCAAGCACATGCAGAGGATCAGATCATCGATGAGAATGTTGACAAAATGCTGAATGCGGGCGTCATAGAAGAAGGGAACGGCGCGTGGGGTTTTCCGGTGGTCCTGGTACGCAAGAAAGATGGGGAAGTGCGTTTTTGCGTAGACGACCGTGCTCTAAACAAGGTGCCGAAGAAGGACGTGTACCCCCTTCCTCGCATCGACGAAACCCTTGAGACTCTGGGTGGTGCATTGCCCTTTACTACTCTAGACCTACGCGCGGGTTATTGGCAGATCCGTGTGGCACCCGATGATCGAGATAAGACGGCTTTTACCACGAAGAGAGGGCTTTATCGCTTTGTTCGCATGCCCTTTGGCTTGACGAATGTCCCCTCTACGTTTCAGAGGATGATGAACGGGGTTTTGGGTGGTTTGACCTGGGTGACTTGCGTAGTTTACCCAGATGACATTGCGGTTTTCACTCGAGGTGGAATCGAGCGGCATGTGGTCGAGCTGGCCAACGTGTTGGAGAGATTGGCTCAGGCTGGGCTGACTCTCAAGTTGAAGAAGTGCATGTTCGCAGCTACATCTATGGAGTACCTAGGGCATAAGTTGAGCAGTGACGGTGTGCGACCGTTGCAGCGGCTGGTGACGGCTGTGCAGGAGTTTCCGAGGCCAACAGATGCAGTTGAGGCCAAGCGGTTTGTGCATCTCGCGGGGTACTACAGACGTTTTGTTGAGGGCTTTGGGTCCATCGTGGCCCCGATAACGAAGCTGTTGAGGAAAGATGTCGAGTGGGAGTGGACACCTGCTCAAGAGGCGGCGTTTGAGCGAGTGAAGATGATTCTGACGACGAAATCGCTACTGATCTACCCTAATTTTAAGCTGCCTTTTCGGGTTGCGACGGATGCGAGTACGGTGGGTCTGGGCGCTTGCCTAATGCAAGATCATGGCGCCGGCTGGCAACCTGTAGCCTATACCAGCAAGATGAACAACACAGCTGAAAGTAAGTACGGTATCACGGAGTTGGAATATGACGAGGCGATGCGGTGTTTTCTCCCGGAAAGCAGTTATAGGCCCTCCTTGACAGACCTCAGGCTACTAGAGCTTTGGATCCGTGTCGGCTGGCACAGGTGTGTGTTGTCCAGTACACGCTGTTGGTCAGGCGCACGATGTGTATCCCTTGGGTAGCGGTTCTTTTCACCAGGAGGTTAGTATCGACCCCGTGAATCAGACAGCTACGCCAGGCTAACGCGAGAACAATCCAACCCAAATAGAGTTATACACGTTATACAATCACACAAATACTTCTTTGCCCTCTATTCTTTCTCTAGGCCCAAGGCTAAGGCCAAAATACAAGTCAACTGGTCCAAATCCAAGACACTTGATCAATCTTGGGGACGCGCACCACCTCTCGGAGAGAGGAAACGATCTACCCTGTCGCCAACTTCTTCAGTTCGACAGAGGCCCAATAGACCGCAAATATACAACAAAGACGGTCTGCAATCCGCCCAAATATACAGATATGGAATAGATATGATCACTTCCAGGCCGAAGCAGTGGATCACTTACCTAAAGTACTTTGAATTTTGTCGTGGAGAACGGCCTTCCAGGCTGTGAAAGAAGCACTTGTGCCCTTCGAAGTAAAACGAACTCTGTTTGGTTAAAGGTCACATGCAGACGAAATCTTTCCTAAGCGGCCCTTCGGAGACTGCGATCTTTCTGCGGAGTGTTGGTCTGGCCTTGAAGGGTCGCCAAACTGGATACCTTCTCGGAGTTGTTGGGTACACCTAGGATCTTGGAAGATGCCATAGTGAAACCAAGTGTTCTTGGGTTTGGAGCCTCGGAACGCCTCAAGCCGAGGTCGTTCTTGGAATTTTGTGGGATGTAAGTCTGGGAACGCGAAGTCTGGGAATCGTTATTCCGGGAAAACAACGGGGAATCTGAGAAGTACCTCAGCTCCCAGGTTGTAAGCCAGAGTCGAGTTCCGCCGTACTTAGATATACTGGGGAGGATCGCTCGCATTCCGTTGCACTTCATGGAACGGGATCAACTCGCCCACATTGATCAATCTTCCGGGATTCAGCGTCCATTCGCAGACATTACCCTTGTTTTTATAGGAGACTCCAAATCATCCAGTATCACGAAGCTCCACATCATTGGGACTTCCCAGGTTCAGGTGCATTCACCCGAATTTAGGGATCGACACCGCGTCACAGGAATGTTTGGCGGTCGTATGGGCGATCAAGCTCTTCCGTCTTTACCTGTATGGCAGAATGTTTACGATTATTTCGGATCACTCGGCGCTAAAGTGACTCATGACGAGTCCGAACCTGACAGGTAAATTGCATAGGTGGGCACTCACCTTGTAGGAATTCGACTCCGAGGTCGAGTACCGACCTGGCAGCACGAACGTGGTCGCAGATGCACTCTCCCGAGCACCTGCGGTGGCGACGGTATTGGCGGCTGTCGGACGACGGCGAAGGGCGAAGAAACGAGCGGCTGCTCGAACGGCGGGCACGATGGAGACGGCAGCTGGATCTGCAGTACGTGACGGCAACAGCGGTGGGGAAGTGCGAGCTGAAGACGGCAGTGGCGGTGGGTCTGTGCCGACAAGAGCGGCGGAACGAAGTGCGAAGACGACGACTGAGCGGCTGGAGACGACAGCCAGTGCAAGCACGCAACCTACTCTACAGCTGGCAGCAACGAACACGGCTGACGGGCAGGACGGCAGTGACAGCAACGAGCAACATCAGGACGAGGGTCCCGAGGACACGAACGACGAGGGCAGCATGAACGAGATGACTGTGGTGAGCGCGGACGGAGTGACGACCGTTCAACCTACGGTGGAGGCGGCGGTGACGAAGATCCCGAAGGCCGACACGAAGCGACGCGTGAGACGGCGCGTAGAGCCTACGAACGCTGAGCGACCCTTGACGCGAGCAGCGAAGCGGCATGCTGAAGAGCAGCGGCGGCGAGAGTTGGCGTCTGACAACGAGACGAAGGACGGCGAGGTGGACGTGCCGGTGGACGACACGGAGCACGCGGGGAGCAGCCTCGTGCCGGTGACAATATGCGAGTCACGGCAGTGGCTCAGGGGGTGACGACGAGCGGCGAGATCACGGCAGTGATGCCCCTGAGTGACCACGCGGTGACGGAGAGCAGCGTGACGCGTAAGCGGAAGTGCGTGACGTCCGTGGACCCGCTGGTGGGCGGTAACGAACGAGTTGAAGCCTGTCACGAAGAGCAGGATGCAGTACATGCGGCAGTGACTGGCGTGACGAACGCCGCAGAGGTGGCGAGCACGGTGGACGCGGCGAAGACAACCAAGGATGTGCAGACGCGGAAGCAGGCCGAGACGACAATAACGAAGACCCGTGCATCGAGTCGACGGAGTATGCGGACGACGTCGGAGAAGCCTCCGAGTGTAGCGAAGACTGGCACGACGACGAACCGAGCGGCGAGTGCGAAGTCGCGGCCAGCGACGGCGAGGGCAGTGACGACGACGAGCAAGCACTCGAAGCCGACACCTCGACGAGATGATGACGATCGACGAGACGATGACGAGCAGCGAGATGATGACGATAACGACGGTGGACGGCCAAATGCTGAGAAGCAGCGTGGATCTGGACGTGATGACGAACTGCGTGAGCATGAACCAGTACGACGACGCGCAGGTGGACCGGCACTTCAACTTACCGATGCCGAGATCATTGATGCGCAGCGGAAGAGTCGATTGGTGCAGCGCTTGATGGAGTCGGGCGAACACCTAGGGCGGCAGGTGACGAGGATGTTTGGGCTGGTGACGATCGAGACGCAAAAAGGGAAACGAGTTGTATTACCTCCGGCGTTATGGCCTACAGTGATGAAGGAGTGCCATGACTCCGTGTGGGCTGGACACCTACGAGCCCCTCATACCTACGCAAGCATCGCACAGACGTAATGGTGGCCGAACTTGATGCGCGAAGTGAAGCGCTGGGTGGCAGGCTGTCAGGAATGCGGGTCTCGCAAGGCACGGCCGAGAGAGGTGATCCCTCCGCTGAGAAGTATACGTGGTGGTGCCGTTGGCGGCAGATGGGCTTTAGATGTAGCTGGGCCCTTACCTACGACTGATGGTGGCGAACGATACGTGATCGCGGCAGTCGAGTACGTGACTCGATACGCTGTGGCAACGACGGTGAAGCAGCATACCGCGGAGAACGTTGCGGCTTTCCTGATGAAGAACGTAGTGCTGAAGTTTGGTACATTCAGAGAGTTGTTGACGGATGGGGCGCCGGAGTTGACCGGCAAGGTCATCGAGCAGCTGGTGATCATGCTGCAGGCCCAGCAGATCAAGCCCGTACCTTATCACCCGCAGATGATTGGGCTAGTAGAACGGTTCCACCGCACATGAAAGGACTGCATCGCCACCTACATGAACGACGAGAAGCAGAGGGATTGGGATGTTTGGGTAGACTTCGCAGTGTACAACAGCGACCAGCACTCGACGGTGATGCTGTCGCCGAACGAACTGATGATGGGGCGGAAGCTCCGTAACCCCAATGACCTACTACGAGTTGCGAACGTAACGGAGGCAGGAGCGCTGACGAATTATCACCGACGGCTGGTGACGGCCATGGAGAGCAGCCGTGCATGTGCTGAGACGGCAAGGAGGCGTGAGCAGGAGCGCCAGGAACGCTACTATGATCGAAAGGTGCGGAGGAAGCGGGTGTTTGAAGTTGGCGACCGTGTGTGGTTCTATAAGCCGCCACGAGGTCCCAAGGCGACGAAGCTGGTACATAAATGGCTTGCGCCAGTGAGGATCGTGGAGCCAGTAGGCTATGACAATTACCTGGTGGAACGAGAAGATGTGGAACACGACCCTGAGCAATATTTAGCACATGCTTCATTTTTAGTTAGCTACCATCAGCCAGCTACACTACTCGAGGAAGCAGCAGCTGACATTGAAGCGCAACTGGAGCATGAAGGTGCGCTCGAGCTCGACGGTAATGACGAGACGGACGGAGCGTCTGGTGGAGCAGCGACGGCTCCGGTACGTGCAGCACCAGCTGCAGGAACTACAAAACGGCGTCGACGAACAGTGGCAAGTACGACTACGAAACAGCGACCGGACGAGGACGTGGTGGAGCTACGACGACGAAGAAGAAATGCAGCGGGACAGTACGTCCTCGAGTACGAGGTGCGACCTGTACAGCGAGACGGTGGACGACGGCGACGGAAGAACGGAGGACGGTGATGGATTACGGTTAAAGAGTATGACCCCTTGCTACAAGATGGAAGGGTCGTGGAAGACCCTAGAGATGGAGAAGTTGTGTAACAGGTGGGCCAACGAGGGGGACCCATCTGCAGCAGCAGGCAGCGGAGGACGACCACGAGGCGGCGGAGACGCTGACGCAGGGCGACGAGAAGCAGACGTCCTCGCTGGGCTACAGCATGACGATGGGCGGCACGGGAGCGGTCCAAGAGGTAGGGACGGAAGCTGCGGACAGCTCCTGAGTGGCCACAATAACGAAGAGTGGCACGGTGAAGGGCACGACCGAGCTGCACGCAGCAGCTTGTGTCGAGTCGACGTTGAAGGACGGGGCTGGAGGGCCCGAGCAGCGAGCGGAGACCGCTCACTACGAGAATTGCGCCGCAAGACGCAAGACGAACGCGATCAGGCTCACGAGGCACGCAGCACACGGAGCGAGAGCTCTACACGAACGAGGGAGAGGCAGACGAACGAGGAGTTGACGGAAGCGCGGAGTGACTGGTCGGAGCCGGGAACCCTGCGTGGAAAACGAGAACGTGATCGTAGGTTAGTGTTGACAAGAGGTTGACATTAGCTTGCGTGATAGAAGAGGTTTAACAACCCCCTTAATAAATTCGGTCGGACGCACTGAGGTGGACGATCGGGCGCAGTGACGAAGTGTCGCTGTCGGCCAGAAGGTGTTAGAGTTGCAGCGACGAGAAGTAGGACCGACGCAGCGCAGCTATACGACTTGCTCAACAAGCCGAGCAAGATAACTGGCCTGCTTCAGCCTGTTATATTACTTTCTCCTACTTCATAGTTTTGCCAAGCTGAAGGAACGGTAGCGGCCACTTCCTTCGGTGGTCTGGACCCCAGTTGCCCCCAGCGTGATAATTCACTCTATATCACTTCCTAATTGACTGACTGTTCGTCACGAGTATTGGTACGCAGAGACTTGTAGACGCGGATCAAGCGCAGGCCGGGAAGTGCTGGACTGGAAGTTGCTGGTGCAAGCGGTGGTGACTCAGGAGTTGCTCTGCTCTGTGTAACGCTGGCATTGACGCCTTTTGTGTGCTAACTGGACGGCTGGCGCTCAAGGTAGCGTTGAACTTCAGACACTGCGTTGTGGATGCCTTTTCGGTTCTTTTCGCCCAGGTTTCAGTAGGTGACCGGCGTCCGTGCTCCACGTCTTCTTGATCATCTTCGCCTTGGTCTTCCGGTTAAATCTCCACGCGTTCTTGTTGGAGATCGAACTCGCGGTCGAATCGCTGTGTGATGTCGAAGTTGTTTAAGCGCTGAGGCCTGTCGTCGCTGCTGCCTGCGTCTTTTTCGCTGCTGGTGCTGAGGTGGTATCTGCTGGTGCAAGACTGGTATTTGAGGTCCGTCACTGTCATAGCGAGACAGGAGTTGGTACCAACGGGGAGTGGTGTAATTCTGGCTGGGGCGTCGTGACGAGGCGACGTGCGGGGCGCTCTTGCGAACATCACCTCAGAATTTTTATTTTGATGTTTGCGGTTACCGTTGATAGCGCTCCGGGCGAGCACTGCATCGAACTCCGCTGACCGGTCCGCTCACTTACCCGGCGGCTACGGCAATCGTCCCTACGTCTTCGTCTCCGTCCTAATTTCCTACAACATGCATCCTAATTATGTATCTGATCAAAACCTTCTCTACTGATGTTCTCGCTCTAGCGTGGTGGGTCACACATGAGCTTGCCCTTGCTCCTCCAATGTTGTCCAACGAGGATCGTGACCCTGCTCCGCTCGGGCTACTTCCTGTCGTCTTCACTGCCAGTTCGCATGCCACCGCTCGTCCCACTCACGACGTACCGAGCGAACATCGCCTTGGAAGAGGCCTACAGCTACTCCGATTGAGAGCACGATGCTGTCGAGGAGGTGGACCAGCGGCAACCCTCTACTGGTACTTCAAGCAAAGGCAAGGCATGCTACGACGACGCATGGCAGCCGTATACGAGTTTATAGTTAGTCGTACCAGTGCTAATTTCCTGTCCCACCAGTTCCTCAGTCAGGCGTGGCTGGCATGTGACTAGAAGGAAGGCGGTTGCCAGGACTATGTCAGTCATCTGCTTCCGTAGCGATTATTTTACAGTAGTCGCGCCAAGAGCACATGCGTGACCTCGCATGACCTGACCTGCCTATGACCTGAAAAAGAAGCTATCGATACAAAAATATTTTGTGGTATGCGAACTGGGGGGGGGTCATGTAGCGTCTTCGTGAGTCAAGGTGGCCGTGGAGTTCATGTCAGCGGATGAAATTTTGCGGAAGCAAGCCGAGACAGTGATGCACTTTCACACCGGTCGGTGGTGCCGATGGCGATCCACATGCACATCAAGTTGCCTTTTCCTTCACGGACAGGCTGAAGTAGCATGGAGTGGTCCACGCATGTGTTGCGCGACCCATCTGTGTGATTCACGCACTGAGTTGCGCAACGTAGCATGTGAATCACCGAGATGGGTCGCGCACCATACGGGTGGTCCACACCACGAGCCTGGCCTGCTTGAAGCGCGCCATTCTTGAATCTGCCGTGCTGGACCCGTGGCGCTGCGTGAGCTGTTCCGCCCCGAGGACCTGAACGACGTGGGCGCGGACGAGGCCGTGCGCCTCGGCATCCTCGCGGAAGAGTACAGGCGGCATGTGCGCGGCGCCACCCAGGCTGACGTGCTCACCGATGGCGGCTTCGTCTGCTGGTACTTCCACGAGGCCGCGGCGGAGTGGCGGGAGATCCCGGTTCAGGAACTGCGTCCAAGGAGTACGGGCGGCTACGTCAAGCTCAAGGACATTGCCAGCAACGAGGCCTTCGCGCAGATGATGACTCGGATCCGAAGGAGGGGCCCTCGCTCAAGGCCTTCTTCCTCCAGCTGATCAGGAACGGCAGGATTGCCGAGGCCGTGCGTTGTGGGCGTCGGCCCGGCCAAGGACTGCAAAACCAAAGACGGACTTGCATGGGTTCGATGATGGCAATAGCCAGCGCGTGTGCAAGGTTGGTCTTTCTGGCGACATGCGAGTTCGCATCGGGCAGCACTGCGCATTCAGCGGCTACGGCAAGTACTATTTCCTCGCGCGTGAGGTCTGGGTTCTCAGAGTGAGGACTCGTCATCCTTCCAGAGGAATTGTGGGGAGTGGCGGAAAAGCTCTTACTTTTTCTGCTGAAGCTCCACAAGCTGCACAGATCTGGGTCTGCACGACCTCGTTTTGTTTTCAGGAGTCCGAAACCAGCGAATTCTACAAGACCTTCAAGGATGTCGGGTACGAACTCCCGGCTAAGCTTAAGATTTCCGTGCTGGGAGAGCGGGATGCGACGCCGAAGGGATTAATCGCCACGATGAAGAGAACCGATGTTCTGATGAAGAGTATTGGGAATACCAGTGGAGGTCTCCTGAAAAATACGAAGGTGCTGCTCGCGCTGGGAAGTGAGCTGATGAGAAAGGTGGCGCAGCGCCAAGTAGCCTCGGCAAGAAGTTCGCGATCTCTGCGCACAGGCATTTATCACAGGACGGCTGTCGTCTCCGACTCGCAGATGACAGATTCGGAGGATCTCTTCCAGATCGATAATTTCAGCCCCGGCTTGGGCCGTCGACTCGGAGGAAATCGCAAGTATGCATGTCGCCATGGTTATTCTCTGCTTGACAAGCTGCACGGCTTGATGTCGATGGCGCTTGGACCCAAGTCAACTTTTCGTGGTATTGTGAAAATGTATTGTAAATATTGTCCTTTTTCAGCTTGGTCCCACTGTCTCAATATCGATCCAACGACGCACCCGCCACTTGACCATGGAGTCGCCCGAGCCCGCGTCCGCTGCACCCGAGGCGTCCGTGGCGCCTCCCGAACCCCCAGCAGCCCCAGAACTCACCTCCATGGTCGTGTGGCAGCTTAAGAGCGAGAGCTGCGCGGAGTTGCGCGCCTTCGAGGCCCGCCGCGCCGCGCAGATCGACAAGTTCCAGGCGCGCGACCGCGCGTACTGGCGCCAGTTCCAGGACGAGATCCGCCGCGCCGGCGACGAGAACGCGCGGCTGCTGCGCTTCTTCGCGCTGCGGATGCAGGCCGACTTGGCGTACGCGGAGGCGCTGCGCCAGACGCGCGCGGCGCTGGACGCCCCAGCGAGCGAAGGATCCGCAGGTAGCGACACGGAGCAGCTCAGCGTGCAGTCGTCGGTGGCCAAGGCGCTGCACGCAGTGGGCGAAGTGCAGCAACAGCTGGCGGAGAAGCTGGTGCAGCTGACTACAGTCGTGAAGCGCGAGGTGACGGCCAAGCCGCTGGAGGAGATGGCGGCCACGTACAAGGAGAAGATGGCGACGATGCTGAGTGAGGGCGAGAAGCTGGACGCCATGCTGTTCCAGTCGCAGAAGAACGTGCTGACGGCGTTTGGCAAGTACGAAGAGTTGTTTAAGCAGATGGAGGCGGAGGAGGAGAGCGACAAGGAGGCGGCGGTGAAGAGGCAGGACCTGTGGCTTGCGGAGATGAACTACTGCATCAATGTGCAGAAGCTGCAGCAGTGCCGCGTGGGGTACGTGACGGGCATGTCGGGGCTCTTCCAGCAGTACAAGACGATGGAGGTGTGGAGGGCGTCTGTGATCCAGACGGCGCTGGACACTTACGTTCGGAAACAGAAGCTCGCGTATGGTGAGATGGCAGGCGCAATGGCAGAACCTCTGGCTGCTGCACAGGTACGGTCTAACACTCAAATGGATTGCATACAAGGACAAAGTCTAATTATATTGCTGTATTTGCATTTATGATTGCAGCGGATCGATCCCGAACGAGATCTCGTGCAGAGCATGCGGAGGATACCGAAAAATGTACGTGCGTTCATTGCTTCGCTGCAGCATTTTTGCAATACGTAGCACTAACTTGTATGGTTTGTTTCATTTTGCCTCGCAGTACACAGCAGCAGCTCTATCGGCGTCTGAAGATACAGACACCCAGTTATTTTCAACGTTGCGGTCCCCCATTGCAAGTCCACTGCTGGTGCGCTGTGGGTTCCTGAAGAACCAAGTGAGCGGGTCGCTGTTTTCCTCGTGGAAAGACGTGCTGTGCGTCATCACTCAAGATGGGCGTCTGCATTTGCTAGAACTGAAGGAGAACACAACGCGCTCCATCTTGGAGTCGACGGAGTCCATGCTGGCCGCCATCTCCACGAACGAGCAGACGACGGACGTGAACAGCCAGTCGGTGTGTTTAACCAACTGCCGCATCGAGATCCTGGGCAAGAGCGCGACGCCCAGCTTCGAGATCACGGAGGTGAGTCCGCCGTCCGGTCTGCTGGGCAGCATGCTGCGCGTCGGGGTCTCCCGCACGCTGACATTCCAGTGTCCGAGCCAGAGCGACCTGATCGATTGGGTCGTGGCCGCCAAGAAGTTCATCTCCGCTGGGTCGTCAATGGTGAACAGATAGATACAAGTCGGCAACAGACCAGGGACATACATAGCAGGAAACGAAGTTGAAGTGCACTTCAACTTATCGACCTATCATTCAGCATACAAAATCCAATGCCAAATGATAGGATAGGGATTGCCATCCAATTCGTGTACCGCACACCACTTTTGGCACTATTTTACTGGCAGCCGCACATCACATCGAGCATCGAGGAGCATGGGCCTGCTGGACGGACTGATCACGGGCTTCGCGCGCAAGAGCAAGTTCGGGCGCTCGCACTCGCTGCGCCCGCTCACGAGCAAGCGCGCCAACCGCCGCTTCTACAAGGGCAACGGCTGCCGCAACGAGGGCACGCACGCCAAGCGCGGCCGCTACGTGGTGGACCAGGATAAGCTGCTGCAGCTCGAGGTGCCCGACCTCACGGGCTTTAAGGTAAAGCCTGCCAGTCCACCCCCTAAACTCCCTTTAGCACTCTCTAACCTGGTGTTAAATGTTGCATTTGCATTTTTGCAGCTCAAGGCCTACGTGTCGCCGCTGACGCCCAACCGCCGTCCGCTGTAGAGCGATAGGGACGGCAACTGCGACAGCAACAGCAACAGCTTTCTTCTTTTTTCACTTAAGGCAATCGGATGACGGGTTTAGAGAAAAAAGTTGCCGTGGGTTTAGAGAATGTGTTGCGGGTTTAAGGGGAAAATGTGTTGCTGGTGTTATCTAGGATATGCATCACGTCGAGGGTGGAAATTGACAAGGACTGGTACGCCTGGTCACAATAGACTTAGGAGATGGTGCAGCCGCAGGTCTGGCCCTTGCGCAGCTGCTGGCACTCCTCGCTGAGCAGGTTGAGCTCCATCTCCTGCCGCTCCTTCTCCTGCACCACGCGCTCGTACTCGGCCTTCATGCGCGAGAGCTCGCTGTCCACCTCTTCGCGCTTCTTGGTCTCGCTCGTGAGCTTGAGACCCGCGGACTCGCGCTCGATCTCCACGTGCTGCTTGGTGGCGGCCTCGTCCTGCAGCAAACTCTCGAGGTTGGCAATGCGCTCGCGCTGGGTCTCGGCTTCGGCCTCGAAGCGCGCCTTCTCGGACATGATCTGCGACGACTGCAGCTGCATCTGCTCGATCTGCTCCTTGTAAATCTGCTCGCGGCCGCCGACGCTGCCCAGCTCCTCCTTGACCTTGGACACGTCGCCCTGCAGTGTCCGGATCTCCTTCTCGTAGCCCTCCTCCTGTCGGCTCAGCAGGATCCGCATGGCCTCGGCGTACTTGGCTTCCGAGAAACTCAGCAAGCACTCGAGCTTGGCGCCACCGCGGGCCTTGGCCAGGTACGCGTCGCGGAAAGCCTGCCACTCGCGCGAGAACTGCTGAATGTCGGCGAAGCCACCGGAGTCGTCGTCGCTGGCAGCGGCCAGCTTGGGCTGGATCTGCTCGGCGTACAGCACCTGCAGCAAGCGGTCGCACATCTCCTTGCTCTGCGCCGAGTTGTTGCGTGCACACACAGCCTTGTCGTCGTCCATGCGCTTGCGTAGGTTGACCTCCAGCTTCGAGGCGCTGTCACCGATAGCAGCAGCGCGGTACTGCGCCACGGCCTGCTCCTCGGCCTCCTTGATGGCTTCAACGAGGTCCTCGTCATCCAGCGGCAGGTCCAGCGCGGCCAGACTCTTCTTGAAGGCGTCGGCAGCAGTGGACATGGCCTTGCGGCACTCGCTGGCAGTCACACCTTCCCACGCGGACGTGATAACAGGCACGCCGCCGCTGTTGATAGCTGCCACGTAGGCCTGCAGCAAGCCAGCGAACATGCTGCCGTTGAGCGGCTTGCCCTGCAGCATCTTGGGCTGCAGACTGTCGCCGTACACGATCTGCTTGACGTCGCTGAGCTGCTGCTGGAACTCGGGGCGCAGCTCTTCGATGGGCATGGCGTCCACCTGCTGCAACTTGGCTTCGTCGTGCACGGGACGCACGAGCGTGACACAGTCGCGGTCGCGGAAGAAGTCCTTCATCATGGCGCGGATGCGGTTGCGCTCCATGTTGGCGGGGGTGCGAGGCTGGTCGGCCAGCGCTCTCTCGAGGTAGTCGCTGCTGGAGATGGGGTCTCCGTCCTCGTCCACGAGCTCGAGCGTGAAGTCCCTGACCACCCAGAGGAAGGACGGGAAGAAGCTGTGAAACTGCACGGCGTCCTCGTCCTCGCCGTCGCCCGACGCGCTGACCTTGACGTGCTTGGCCAGGTTGGCGATGAAGCTCAACCCGCTGATGGCCTTCTCGTCCACGCTGCCCTGGCTGTTGTAGATGAGCTTGGAGCACAGCAGCGTGGCCAGCGAGAAGATGCGCGCGTCGTACTGCTGCGAGGCCTCGAGGCCGCCCATGCCCTCCGTGTCCAGCATGAGCACCCAGACGGGCTCGCCGTTGGCCATGACGTGGCGCTGCGGCTGCCCCCAGAGCCAGATGCCGCGCGTGCAGCGCTCGATGGTGGGGCCCACGCGGAAGCCGCTCTGGCGGCCCAGCAGCCAGTTGAGCATGGAGCTCTTGCCCGTGCGGTAGAGCCCCGCCATGGCCACGACGGCGACGTGGCCGTCGATGCGGTGCAGCAGCCCCACGGCCTCGTCGTTCACCTTGAGCTGGTCCTCGTCCTCGCTGAACGTGATGAGCGGCACGGGCTCCTCCGGGAACGCCTGCACGGCCAGCTCCGTCGACATGGCTACACTTCTTAGACGACTACCTTTGCGAATGAATGACGTGCTGTATCAGGCGGATAGGCTGCGCGCGCTGATTGGCGGACTTGAGTTGTGTGGCGCACATATATCATAAATGTGGCACACACTAACGATACGCAGCTCGACGATGTCGAGCCACAGCCACAGCCGCTGCATCCATCAAGTGCAGAGCAGACCTCTCGGGCGCCATGTTCCTGCGGCGTGTGGGCGCGCGCTGCGCCGCTCGCGGGGCGTCCATCGGCTCTGCATCGTCTTCGCGAGTGTCCAGGGCGTCGGGATCCTGTCTGCTGTCCTTCCACGAGCGGAGAGGGATGGCTACATCTTCGAACGTGACGCTGCAGGGTCTGGGCGTGGACCTGCCGCCGCTGCCCACGGCGGACGAGGTGGACGCCACCATCGCAGCCGCGGAGGCGCAGGCGCAGAGCCAACAGATGGCCAAAAGGGTCCAGCACATGCCCATCCGCGCCGTCCACATCGCGCGCAAGATGGACATCGCCAGCCTCTTCCAGAAGCTCTACACGGACCGCTTCAAGGTGACGCACTACCTGCACAAGGACTCAATCGTGTTGAGGCTCAGTGGCAGCAAGAACAATGGTCATGCCGGTCTGGTCACGGGTGTGGCGCCACCACCGGTGCAGATCCACGGCAGCAACAACAGCAACGCGGACACGACGAAGCTCAGCGTCGGCGCAGGCGGCAAGACCGTCACGTCGAGACGCGCCACGGATAAGTGGGTGGTGTACTTCGACTATGGAGCGGTGGTGTTCTTCAACTGCGACCAGGCGCTGGTGAACACGCTGATTAAGCACGCCACGCGCTTCTGCAGTGACGTGTTCGAGATGCGTGGCCATGAGGAGGAGATGCTGCTGGTTGGAGACCCGGCGCAGCAGAAGTGGAGCACGCTGGTGGAGAACAACGTGCTGGTGCGGGAGATTGACCACATCAATGTGCACGTCATTGCCGGTGTGCTCTCGCAGACGGTGGCGCTGGAGTTCTACGAGCGCCAGTGCGAGACGATTCTGAGGGAGTTCGAGAAGCTCAACACGGACGTGGAGAAGAAGGGTCCGCGGGGAGCGCTCTTCGGCCGCGAGAACGAGCAGACCAAGAGACTGTTCAAGATCGTGGCGTCCAACAACACACTGCTCATCGACCTCGTGAGCAAGCTGCGTGTGATCGACCGGAAGAGGCCAGGAGACCCGGCCTGGAGTCAAACCAGATACCACAACATGTGGGAGTCGCTGCTCGAAGAGTTCGAGCTGAACGAGCGCTTCCAGAACCTCAACTTCAAGCTGGAACTGATCCAGCACAACACCAAGGTGGGTCGGCTGCTTGGAACTTTGGTTCATGCCTGGTATGCGAGTTGCTAACCTCCTCTGTCTTGTGCGTGTGTAGTTTTTCCTGGAAGTGCTGGACTCCCATAAGGGCGAGCGGCTCGAGTGGTACATTATCATCCTCATTTCCGTGGAGCTGGGTATCGGTGTCTACGAATTGCTCATGAAGCTGGCTTAGATCGAACAGTGAATTAGTTGCGCAGGTAATTATGATCCAGAAGACGATCCAGGTTAAGAAGAACGAGAAGACGGAGACAACATTATCTCCATTAGACGGACTTGGAAGCACACTCTACCAACGCCAGCCCATCACCGGCGCTTGTTCCTCTCTATCTCTTGGCCCACTGAGCATGTTCGTGCGGAGCCTTGCGGTCCGTGAACTGCGACGCCGGCTGGCGTCCGCCGCCGTTCACGTGATTCCAGTAGTTGTTGAACGAGACAAAGTCCTCCGGTCCCAAGTCAACCGCCTTGGTGCGCAGCATGGCCGCCAGCAGTGAGCGCAGTTTCTCGACTTGGTCCGTGGACAGCGTCTTGGAGTCTCCCTGCTTCTTGCTGCTCTTGGAGCTCGGCAGCTTGGTCGGCGTCAGGTCGTCCAGGTTCAGGTCCTTGGCGTTCAGCACCGTCACACGCATGGTGTGGTACAGGTGGAAGGCCGTCCAGAAGAGGTGCGACCAGGCCCCGCCCGCCGTGTGGCTCGGACTGAAGCGCTTGAACTCGTAGCGGAACGCCACGAGGTGCACGCGCGTCTTGGTCGGCAGGTTCTGCAGCACGGGGATGAACCTCAGCACTGCCTTGCCGTTGCTGCGAGCACCTTCAGGCAGCACGACGACCGGCCCTGAGGCGCGTTTCACCACGTCCGCGATCTTCCTCGTGGGCTTGACGCGCTCCGCGCTCACGGGCAGCGCCAGCGACCGGTAGAGCGCCTCCACGAGTCCGCAGACGTGCACGAGGCCCCCGTCATCGCTCTTCCCCTCTGTGGCGAACACAAACACCGGCGAGAAGCGCTTGGCCAGGTACAGAACCTCCAGGAAGCTCGTGTAGTTGCACACCACCACGTCACCGGGGCCGACGCGGGACGAGCCGCTGGAGCTCTTGGCTTTGGCTGTAGCGAGCCCCAGACGCCGCGTGTTGGCGGCCTCCTCCGACGAGAAGACGCCGAAGATCAATAGCAACAGGGAGCACAGCAGCCACTCGGTCGCGCGCTTCAGCAGCCGCCCCAGGAACGGGATCACGGCCAGGATCGACACCACCACGTTCACCAGAACGAGCGCCACGGAGCCCACGAGCACGAGCGGGAAGCGCGCCAGCGCCAGGAGCGACCCCGAGACGACCTGCAAGATGCTCACGGGCCAGCCGGACGTGAAGCGCCGGCGCTGAGGCACGAACGGGTTGATGCCCGTCGTCAGGTCCGACCAGCGGCTGTACTTCTCCATCCTCGATCGATTAGTGACGTGGATTGAAAGGTTGCGCCCAAAATTTGGGTCGTGTGACCATTTTAGGGACCAAAAGTACGTCAGTCAGTCAGTCTGAGACCGTCACATTGCGACTTGCGCCAATCGCCGTCATGCCTCGCCGCGTGCCCAAGTCCGAGCTGCCGAACGGGAAGCCGCTGCCGGAGGAGCGAGGGGACGGGGGCGTGGAGGAGTTCCTGCGCCAGGAGGAGGAGTACCGCAAGCAGTTCGAGCCCGTGGCGCCGTGGAAGCGCGACAACATCCCGGACTACGGCCCGCTGCAGGACAAGCACCACGTGCTCATCTTCGGCGTCGTGGGCGTGGCCTGCACCGTGCTCTACGAGGCCACGGACTACTTCGACCAGATCCACCGGTGGGTGGCCTACGTCGCCATTTGGTTCCCGCTCTGGTTCCGCCTGCTGAGCCGCGTGTCGCCCGCGCTCACGGACGAGGAGATGGACGCGCGCGAGCGGCGCGCCTTCGAGCAGGAGCTGCAGCGGATCGTGGACGAGAAGGAGCAGGTCGACGACTGAGCTACCGAGCTACTGTACAGCAGTAACGACGAGATCAACTAACTAACTACTTAGCCGAGATATCTGCTAAGAGAATGTGCGGACGGAGAACGTGAAGCGTGTTGTTTTGAAAGGTGTCGACAGGCTGCGATCCGCTGGTGACGAGCTCGCTTATACCCAGGAGTTTCGAGTTGAGTGTTCGAGAAATGCATATGGCACACTTTCCGATATCTACGACGTATTACTTGACGAAACGTCATTTTGTTTTTCTCGTGTTGTTGCGTTAGTTTCTTCGTGGAAGCTGCCTACTGTAGTCCCCAACAAGATGGTAACCTGAACAACGCTCCAGCGCGACACCATTACGCCATTGTAAAGTGCGCTTGAAAGTACGGGCGTCCATTGACCTTGGTCAGGACAAATGGACGGACCAGCTGAGGCTCAACGGGTAAACCGAATTGCTTGGCCGACAACGGACCCCAGCGAGAAAACTGGTCGGAGTTTAGCGCGGCTAAAGCCATGTTGGAAAACACTTCCGTATCCGGCAAATGGATCACGTCCATACTGGTTCCTCCCGTCATGTCCACAGCGCTGGGGAAGCGCTCGACGAGGAAGCGACCGAGTGCGGAGGGGGGAGCTGCATCCACACCTGAAGGCAAGTCGGCCAACGCGGTTCCTTCGGCAACTTGGTCGGGCCACGGACGTTGGCCTGGGGTTCCTGGACGTAGCGCGAAATTCCCACCATGCAAGTACGCCATGGACGCCTCGTAGTTGCTCGGGTCAGGACACAGCAGCAGCAACGGAGCTGCCTCCGAGCACTGGAAGCCGCTGCGCTCCAGGCGGAGCAGCGTCCGGCCCACGCCGCTCAAGACGTAGAGGTCGACATGTTCTGGGTCTAGATCCTTCCACTCCATCAACAGGGCGCGAACGTCAACGACGCGGGGGCGGCCATCTTTCTTTTGAAGTGAGGCTGACGGTACGGTGGGCACTTCAATCAATCAAACCAATTTCGGAAATTTCCGCGTTTGGACTCGTACTACACGTACTTAGTTCACTTAGTTCACGTGTTTGATTGATTGAAGTGCCCCCCCATAGGACACAACTCGCTAGCAAGATGATAGCTCTTACACCATCGTGATGTGGGAAAACAGCTGCAAGAATAACACCACCAACAGAGGTGAACCCGTGTTCGAGTCTTCTGGCTGCCTACTTCAATGCCATCTTCCCATTTCCCGCCAGTGGGATTTACATGTTAAAATCCGCTTGAAGCGACCATCCGGAGGATGATAGGGGAAGCATGTAGCGTTCTTGGTTTAATAAGCTAACCTGCTTCTGATAAGGCTTTACTCACCCAGCCTTGTACGCTACTTGTAGCTTAAATGTAGGAGAACCATGGCAACACTGAAGGCTTGGTCAGAATATTCGGAAACATTTCTCCAGCCTCGGTCGCATCGATGGTGTTTTCCAGATCGGCCAAGCTCTGCTGTAACTGGGCGATGGCATCCTTGAGAACGGCTTCATCGGAGAACGGAGACGTCGAGTAAGCATTCAGTATCGAATTGGCTGCCGGGATCGGACGGAAGAAGCCTGCCGCCAAGCCCGTCAACAACTGGAACACGTTCGACGGGATCACGTAGTCGAACGGATCAACCTCCACACCCTTCTCTGTTGGGAGTGGAGCGTTGTAGAGAGCTGAGGCACTGAACGGGGCGGCTTGGCTGTGCCACGTCACTCGGCCGTTCATGAAGTGGTGCTTCACGGCGTTTTGAAAGATCAAGTTAGTCACGAGTTTCACGAGGTCGTCGTATCCCGTGAAGGCCGAAGGGAAGTCATTGACGCCCCACACAACCGTCGCTCGAGCTGCCCACGTCTGCAGCTCCGAGTCATTTTGGATCGCCTCCTCCGAGTCGTAGTAGGCTTTCACGTAAGAAGTCACGAACGTCTTGATGATCGAGTAGTACGTCGCACCGTACTTGACGTAGCGGTGGTTAGAAAGATACTTGAGGCCGTTGTCGGCGACGTCAGCAGGAAAGTCGACAGCTATGGAGGTGTTTGCGAACTCGGCGAAGAGATAGCGGACAGACCCACTGGCTCCGAAAGCCGCGACCCGATCGTACGGCGATCCCGCTGACAACAAGTTCACGCCACCAAGGAACTCCATGGCCATGTCTGCAAAGAAGTGATAGTTGAGCAGCGCGTAGATCGGGTGTTCCTTGGCCATACTGCGCATCATCTCGACCTGGATCGGGATCGACACCGAGTGCGTGTGCACCAAGTGGAAGACCTGCTGGAAGTTGAGCTCCGTCGCATCCAGCGCCATCTTGGCGAGCTGCCACTCCCCCGCCGAGTCCTCCTTCGTGTACGTGAGTCCCGTGTCCACGATCTGGATGGCCAGCGGCAGCAGCAAACCGCTTGCGTCATTGTTGCAGAAGAAGCCGACGATATTTGGCGCGTACTTAGTCGTGGTCGTGTTGGCATCCGTAAATTGCCCCAGAGTCGAGAAATCTTGCACGAACACCTTGTGGTTGGAGATCGCCGCGTCGATGGTGTCATCATTGCACTGCTCCAGCACCAGCGAGCTTGAAAGACTGTCGAGAGGGTCCGACCACTCTCCAGACTGCACGAGCTTGATCTTGTAGCCGCGGATGCCCAGCCGCATGGCACCGAAGTTCTCGTCGCTGTTGTCGAATGCTCGAGGCGTGTCGATCAACCCAGCACTCTCAAGCGCATCGTAGCCGGCCTTGAAGCTCTCGAGGGTATCGTAGGGCCCCAACGCTAGGATCGTCGTGCCGATCATGGTGACGTTGGGATTTTCCAGAGCAGACACCGTTGCTACCTGGGACATCAGCGTCGTGTAGTACAGCGACGGAATCGCCAAGGCAGGTCCAGGGTTGATCGGGAAGAAGGTGTCCCCCACAAGGAACTGGCGGTCGACGTTGGCGATTTCAGTCGAAGTCTGCTTCACGGTCGCAGCACGTGTGGTGTCATTGGGCGATGGGATACTCAACGCCGCATTACAGGCCGGAAGGGATGCCAGGGCAAACGTCGTGACAGCAGTTGAGAGCTTCATCAAGGTGTTGGGGCACGGATACGAGGCGTAGCGGGGCTTTTGGTGGGTCGTCTGGAGCCGGCAAATGGAAGAGTGAGGTACAAACCAAGGGGGTCTACTCGTGGGCGGTTGTAGGCAGGTAGTCCTTCATACAATTTAGCTCAGGCAGACCTGGAACCCATTGTCGCCAGAGCTGAAGCAACCTGGGTCACTACTTGTGAGTCAAAAAGTCTGACTGGTCGCGCTGGACTAGGCTGGGTTACTAGGCGTCAAATCCGAACTGCTTCGTTTCAAGAGATCGATCGTTGTCAATGCTTTGGATGCAAAACTTGTGACTCAGGGTGAAAGGTGTGGAAACACTCTACAAGCAACTAGCAATTTGTGAGATTACGTCTGCTTTTTGTCGGGGCAATTTGCTTTTGCAAGTTTTATTTTTTTACGTCGTTGCAAAAGTGGAGGTTGTTGACTTGGGCTCAGAACTGCTATTTTTGTTTTATTGTTCTGACTTCCTCTAAATGTAATATGCTAAGATAGGAATCTGCCAACGGCTGGTTGGCAGAATTCCAATGCTATGCATGTCGCTCATTGGCTAAAAGATGCTGCTCTCAGCCAATAGGAATCCTAAATCTCTATGGACCACCCGTCGTGGTGGTCGTAAATGTATGTAGCTATGGGCTACTGAGATTGTCGCCGTCGTAGAAGCTGGATTTAACAGGCGATCCATGATGGCCCCATGAATTTCGTCTAGTTGGTCGTAACTCCAGCTGTCAAGCGGGAACTCGATCGTTTCTCCTCTCGATCAACCTCGATCTCGCTATACATGAAGTTTGCCCACAAGCACCTGCTGAGATGCCGTCGTAAATCGTTGTGTGTCGTCGGCGTTCGAAGAAGAAAAAACCTAAGTAAAGTCTCACAAAGTTGTGGCGAGGGCTTACCCAGTCTGTATGATGTTGGCAACAACTTGTTGCAGCACGCGTAATGTCAAGTTCACTGAATAAGCAGTTCGGGCGAGTTCAAACTTATGTAAGCTACCGTTTCGGCACCTGAACAAACACTCCTCGGCAACCTGAGTGGTAAATGTCGAAATGTCGTTCCAACCGATTATTACGAACATGAACATTGTCTACAAAATAACTTATTTTGTTTATTTTAAATAATGCAACACTATCGAACTGTCTTAATCCGCTCAGAACTTTGGTTTGCATGTTACATGAAGTAAATCTTTGCTCCTCACGAGAATTTTACCATAACATAAAACGAGAATTTTACCATAACATAAAATAATGTTTACTAGTAGCTGGAACGAGACGAGGCTCAGAGAAAAGAGCGGGCATTTCGTAGTTCTTGCTTTAGGCGGCTGCGTGTGGCCGTAATCTCACCCAGATGTACGAGAACCACGGCAGAAGTGAGGGCTTTACAAACGTGTTCGGGTACGTTTCTCCAGCCTCCGATGCGTCGACGGTGTCTTCCATAGCAGCCATACTCCGTTGGAACTGGGCAATTGCATCCGCTAGAACAGCTTCGTCGGAAAACGGTGACGTCGAATACGCGCTCAGCACCGAATTGGTCGTCGCGATTGGGCGGAAGAAGCGAACGGCCATACCCGAAAGTGCCAGGAACGCACTTGTCGGGATCACGTAGTCGAACGGATCAACCATCACGCCCTTCTCAGTTGGGAGTGACGCGTTGTACAGGGCTGGCGTACTGAATGGGGCGGCTTAGCTCACGTCTGCAGCTCCGAGTCATTTTGGATCGCTTCCTCCGACTCGTAGTAAGCTTTCACGTAGGACGTGACGAACGTCTTGATGATCGAGTAGTACGTCGCACCGTACTTGACGTAGCGGTGGTTAGAAAGATACTTGAGGCCGTTGTCGGCGACGTCAGCAGGAAAGTCGACAGCTATGGAGGTGTTTGCGAACTCGGCGAAGAGATAGCGGACAGACCCACTGGCTCCGAAAGCCGCGACCCGATCGTACGGCGATCCCGCTGACAACAAGTTCACGCCACCAAGGAACTCCATGGCCATGTCTGCAAAGAAGTGATAGTTGAGCAGCGCGTAGATCGGGTGTTCCTTGGCCATACTGCGCATCATCTCGACCTGGATCGGGATCGACACCGAGTGCGTGTGCACCAAGTGGAAGACCTGCTGGAAGTTGAGCTCCGTCGCATCCAGCGCCATCTTGGCGAGCTGCCACTCCCCCGCCGAGTCCTCCTTCGTGTACGTGAGTCCCGTGTCCACGATCTGGATGGCCAGCGGCAGCAGCAAACCGCTTGCGTCATTGTTGCAGAAGAAGCCGACGATATTTGGCGCGTACTTAGTCGTGGTCGTGTTGGCATCCGTAAATTGCCCCAGAGTCGAGAAATCTTGCACGAACACCTTGTGGTTGGAGATCGCCGCGTCGATGGTGTCATCATTGCACTGCTCCAGCACCAGCGAGCTTGAAAGACTGTCGAGAGGGTCCGACCACTCTCCAGACTGCACGAGCTTGATCTTGTAGCCGCGGATGCCCAGCCGCATGGCACCGAAGTTCTCGTCGCTGTTGTCGAATGCTCGAGGCGTGTCGATCAACCCAGCACTCTCAAGCGCATCGTAGCCGGCCTTGAAGCTCTCGAGGGTATCGTAGGGCCCCAACGCTAGGATCGTCGTGCCGATCATGGTGACGTTGGGATTTTCCAGAGCAGACACCGTTGCTACCTGGGACATCAGCGTCGTGTAGTACAGCGATGGGATGTTCAACCATTGCGGAGGGAGGGCTACCCGCTTTCACTAGGCAATTTGCAATACCGTTGGGGAAGCTGAACTATTGCAAAAAAATTCAAGCGTCATCGACTTGTTTATGTTGCTAATCGGCCATTCACTTTGCCTTATCACTTTTGCAATTTGCACTACCGTTGGAGATGCTCTAAACGACGTTAACTTTTACCTATCATATAGTATACGCTGTATGATAGGTTTTTGGCGAATTTTGCTGTTTTGCAATAGCTAGTGTAAACGTATGCTAGTCAAAACTATGCATCTGGCGTCAAAATTACGAAACTCGTACTAGAACTATATCAAAACTACAGCTCCATTTTTGAACCTATGATATAGAGTACGCCGAATGATGGGTTTTCAGTTAACGTCGTTTACGTCCCCATCTCTACTTTTTTTCAGGAAATCACTCCTGAGATGCCTGTTACATTCACTTGTCGTCGTGAACCCAACTTGGCTCAGCTCTGGCTCCGGCTGCACAACAGCCGCAAGCACGAACCATTTCATTCATTACGTGCTCTGGGTCAGTGGGTCACTTCGAACACCTCGCGTATGAATGGAGCCCAGAGGCAACGACGAATCAAGCATTTGACGCCACTTCAAGTTCAACCATTTGCCGTCAACTGAAGGCTTGTAGCATTAAGCTTAGCTTGATTTAACTACAGCTCAGCATCGAACTAACATGGATACGCGAGCGTCTAAGCCCCCCCCCCCCCCAAGACCCTTGTTTAGGAGAATCAGACGTCTTGAAGACGCTGATGCTATCGTGACCGGCCAGAATTGGATTGGACATGAAACGCGATCCGCATGAAAGAGTTAAACTTCCATTGCCACCACAGCTCTCACGTGTCTTAAAACCTAGAAACGTCTCGGCCCACAAGAATCGCTTTCAGCCAGTCGAGCGGCACCTGCAACCGGAGCCGCCAACTCCCCAGCTTCGTCAGGTACGCGCTGCGCCACAGGAACCACGCCTGCCATCCAGTGAGCGTGATCTTGTTGTCCTCTCTCGGTCGCGCTTCGAACAGTCCTTGGTACGAGCCCAGATACGCCACCATCCCCTTGCTCCGGAACGTGTACGGCTTGGCCGGGGCCGCATTCTTGCCACGGAGTAGCGCCGTGAGGTAGTCGGCCTGCGTTTGGGCCTTTTGCGCCGTCGCTGGTAGCGGGTAATCCAGGATCTCAGCGCAGTCTCCAATAGAGAAGACGTTCGAGCGACGCGGCATTCCTAACGGAGCTTCCGTCTCCACCTCAGCGGCGCCAAGTACCTGGCAGTACTGGTTGGTCAGGATGTTGCCGCGCCTGCTCTTCTCGAAGACCGTGAGCGACTTGGTGAGCGCGTTGGGACCCACTCCCGCAGTCCAGACGACGAGACCCGCAGGCAGCTTTTCGCCCCCTTCGAGCGTCACACCGTCAGCCGTGACCTCGATGCAGTTCTTCTTGATGATCCGCATACTACTGCGCGACTCGATCTTGCTGAGAGCCACAGTGCGTAGCTGCTTGTCGAACCCGCTGAGGATTTCACCAGAGTCCAACAGAGTCACGCCCAGGTACTTGGACACGTCCGGGTACATGTGTCGGAGGTCTTGGAGCACCAAATCGTAGAGCTCGGCACAGAACTCTATACCTGTGGGGCCCCCACCCACCACTACGAAATGCAGCAGCCTCTCCCTCTCCTCGGGAGTGACGCCCGGTTGAGTGGCCACCTCGAAGTTCTCGAGGATGCGGTTGCGGATCTTCTGGGCGTGGTGGATCTCCTTGAGGAAGAACGCGTGCTCTTCAACGCCTGGTAGGCCGAAAGTCAGCGGTCGGGAGCCACACGCCAACACCAACGTGTCATACTTGATAGGGTACTCGCGACGAGAGCCCAGCGCCGACTTGACGAACAGCTCCTTCTTCTCGGGGTCGATCTCCTTGACGCTTGCCAGGTGGAAGTGGCCTTCGTGCCGGAACATGCCGTCGCGGATTGGCTCCGTAATGGACTGGAATTCCAGCGTCCCCACGGTTGTACTCGCTAGCAGAGGCGTGTACAGGAAGTGCTACAACAACAACAACAACAGCACACACAATGGGTGAGTGCCTACCACAATTCGATTCTACTTTGTTACTTGACTTACGTTTCGCATGGAGACCACGACGATGTCGACGTCCCTGCCGCCCAAGTTCTTCTCAATGTCTGAGAGATACTTGGAGCACTCCGTGAACATTTGGTAGCCGGCCCAGCCAGTGCCGACGATCACGAGTTGGTAGTTGTCGCTCTGCACCGCTTGCTGCCGCTCCACTGTAGTAGTAACGGCAATTCGCTTGCCTTCACTCGCGTAGCTCACCTTCGAGAGCGTTGGCCACCGCTTCTGCCACAGCGGTCGAGGCTTGTCCATTTCGGTTGTGTGCAGCGTGCGTCGCAGAAACCTGCAGTCGGTGACCAGAGCAACTCGCAGGACTTGACGACGGAAAACCATTGTCGGGTGCTGGTAACTGCGCTTGAGAGAGCAAAAGTTGCAGTGAGGTTCTTGGGGAGCTGTGCCTCGACTCCAACTTCGACTTCGACATTGCGTATCTAGCTAAGCTACCCTCGTGTTGAAGCCACTGGGCTTAACAACAGCAGGGAGCGCGAAGAAGCCACGACCTGCCGCGCCCGTCAGGGTTTCACGTTGAAGTTGTTGTCGAAGCGAGGATTATCGGGTGGGCGTCACGAAGAACGCAAGCAAATCTCCAAACGCCGTGCTCCACGCCAGGGCAACTCGTGTTTTTCGGCTTGATGGCTTCACGTCTGATGGGAACTTCAGTTTTGTCCATGAGACGAGTTGGAGATTCGGTGACTGGAAACGGACGCGTCAACCATATCAAGACAGCTTCAACACGAAAGAAAATGGCGGCACAAGCCTGGCTTGTCAATCCAACCACGTCGGAATTGACGTCAAGGCCCGTCGCGTAAGGAAACTCTGCAATGCGGTTGAATTCGTCCGGAGACTGGCTACATTACAGCATCGCTAGAAAGTCTTTCAAGCTAACGGGTTAGCCAGCGACATCACCATGGAATTTGACGTCGTGATTAACTCAGCGCACTGACGCTAAGCTATCCCTTTCAACTGTTTGTCAGGAGTTGGTAGCTTCAAAACGGTTCGTCGGAGATGTCGAGAAAAAACGGACGTCCACGGAAACGCGGGCGCCAGTCAAGAATGAATCCCGTGATACGATCAAATCTGTCGCCGTTGCGCCCCTGAATGTGCACTTGTAACGTTAGCGATGTGTGTTTCTTCCTGACAGACTGCAAAAGCGGCAGCAACTTGTCGCGCATGTACTCCTCACACCAACTGCTGTCGGCCTTCCGGTAGTACGGATTTTCAATATGCAGCTTCGTCTTCGTTCGGCAAAGTGCCGCGTCCAGATCTTCCTCTCTCGTCTCCGAGAGGAGTTTCAGTAGGTTCACGATCACTTTGTAGAAGCTCGCGACCTTTTCGCGCTGTCGACCTCCAATTGCAATGGTGAGGTGGCGTTCCTGGCCGACCAATCCTTCCATCTCGGATACACGGCGCAGATAGGCGAAGATGCCACTGCCAGTCAACCGAGCTGGAGGTAGGTGGCACTTTGACAATCGCTTTAGTCCTGCCAGGATCAGGAGTGTGCGGTCCGTCTGCGTCTCGAAGGGCCGAACTTTGACATACTCACGCCCTGCCACGTCCGACACCATGATTGTTTCTAGCAATGAGCAGTGCGTTGCTGCAGCTTCCCAAAACGCGTCTCCATACACGTCCGTGTTAACGTATGGGTCTGGTCTCTCATTGTTGATGCAGAAATCGATCTCGATGTGCAACTCGGTCAGGGATGGACATGCTCTTAGCACGGTACTGGCGTCCGTAGCTCGACAACCATAGCCCGTTCGTTCGTCAAGGAAATCGGGCTCCGGGAAACCGGCTACTCCGGGGTAGTTGTCGAAGAAGTAGAAGTAGTGGAAGCTCGCGTTCGCCGAAAGCGACAGCGATTTCAGCTTCGGTTTGACGTGGTTTCCGAAGATTTCGAAATACCGATCCGCGAATGGCACAACACACCAGTTAAACTCCCGCAGAGCTGTACAAGAGGCGTTGAAGGCCTCCCACGCCTCAAAGGTGAGCAGCCAACTTTCGTCACAGTATGTAGATCCGTAGAACAGACACTTCTTATACCCATCGAGGTACTCGATGTTCGGGCAGAATTGCACCACGGCTTGAATGTACTGAGCACTAGCACGGAAGTGATCTTCTTCAGTTCGGGCCGGTACCGTGAGCTGCTTCAAACCTCTACAAGTGCCGTTCACATACCACGTCTCCAGAGCTTTAACCAACGTTGTCATGACATTCTCGATCTCAGGACCTTTCACCGTGGAGTCGTAGTCGCTCTTGCCTGGAAGGATCAAATACTCCATATGTCGGCATCTATTGGACGCAGCCACGAGAATCCGTGGCAAATGGCGGCTCAACAGCGGCACCTTGGTCAAGTCCAGCCTCTTGATCCATGGCATATATCCGAAGAGTCTGTCCCAGTCGATGTTCACGTCGTCCAGCTCTCCAGGCCCTGGACTCGGCGACAAGCTGGACTGGTCGTAATCCCCCAGGCGAAGTCGGAAGTCCCGAACAGTAGCTCCGTATTCCCGGGCTTCGTCAATGATCTCGACCATGCACTCGTCGTCTATCATCCCGTTGTCTTCCAGTTCGACGCAGGACACACCATCTTTTATCCGCTTGATGATGCTGTTGACCAACTCATTTGAATGTTTGGAGAGCAATGCAATGGGCTTCAAGACCAAAAGAGGGAGATGGTGTCCCTCAGGCCCAACCACCTCCTGCCTGAAGCCGTCGAGGGCGTACTCGAGGATAGTGGCGAAGGCGTGCTCCGGAAGCGACAGCAGCTTGGCCAAAATGGCGGAGCGGTGCTTCGGTTTGCGTTCTTCCTGGGGGGTGGTTTCTTGCTGATAGTCAGAAATATACTCACCAAGGCAGCAACGTGTGCCAAAAGCGAACCTGAGCCAGTTAATCGACAATCCGTGTTCGCGTTTCATTGGCTGCCTTGGCTCGCAGGCGTGCAGCGTCTACTGTCACACCTAGTTCATCTGATCATTTTGGTTTATCGTATCCTCATGGATATGTGTGTTTCTGAAGATACTATCCAACACATACCCTGCTTCGGTGTCTTAGCCGACTGAGCAAAATTGTTTGGGCTCGACTACTGCCGAAGCTCCAGGTATCCTAGGCGTCTTATCGTCGCCATGTAGGCCGAGCTGGCGAACAACGCTCAGTTATCGTGGAGTGATGCCGATGAGTTCCTCACTTTGCAATCGACCAGCAAGCCAACTAGCAACAACAACTCAAGCCCCGAGAGCCTCGCGCTCCCCGAGCACCCCAACAATGACCAACGCCGCATCGCGACAGCAGGCCAAGAACGCCAAGGCTGCCACAGCCGCTGCCCCCGCCAAGTCCGCTAGCGCTACGGCAGTCAAGGTGACGAAGATGACCGCGATGGTAGCTGCCACGCCGACTCCCGCCTCCCAGTCCAAGCCGTTCGCGTTGAGCGACGTGACTACGTGGAGCGTGCAGCGAGCCCGCCAGATCCGAAAGGCTGACCACGAACGGTTCGTGAAGTTCCTCAGCTACTTCACCGCCAAGGACGAGGCGGTGGCCAAGCTCATCAACAGCAAGGCCAAGTCTAAACGTGAGAACGTCGATCAGTGGGTGCGCAGTGTCTTGAGCCCAAAGACTCTCGCTTGCGTCCAGGACACACAGGAGACCCAGCAGACACTGCTGTCGCTGATCACTGTGTCGGCTGCCCTCAGCAAGTACGGCGAGCTGGAGTTGGTCCGTAGGAATATGGGCAGTGCCACTATCGCTTCGAAAGCGCAGCAGTCGAAGCAGCAAACGCAGCACTCGGTGGGTGCTAGCTTCGTGCTGCGGTTGGTGCTGGGCTTGGCACCTGAGAAGCGAGCCGCCTGCCAGACTCTGCGTGAGATCCTGAGCCTCGACAACAATGGGCGGTTAATGCTGGCACCGACCACTAAGGCGTTGAAGCCAATCTTCGGCAAGACGAACCCAGCGGATTGGAGCAAGGTGAACCAGTACAAGCTGAAGCACATGGTGAAGCAAGCCCAGTCCGACAAGTTCCAAGAGGCCATGCTGCAGCTCGGCGGCCAGCACCTGTACGACGCTATTCGTACGCAGCTGAAGCAGATCGGCGGCGCCTGGGATGCCAGCAAGGACAAACCTGCTCTGCAGGCGAAGAACGCCCGCCCTCGGTCAAACTCTACGGAGAAGAGTGTGAAGTCGCAGAAGGAGGCCGAACGACGGAAGGAGCAGCCTGCAAAGCACGCCACCCAAGGCCAGATCCAGGCCGCCAAGAAGACACAGGCACCGCCTCCAACACCGGTAAAGGTGACCAAGGACACCCTCCCGAAGAACAAGGTGCAGAACAAGAGCTCCACTCCCACCAAGAACACTTATCATATCAACAACGCAGTGCCTGTGAAAGGGGTGTCTCTCATGGGGGCCTGGGCTGGACCTGTTCCAGCCTCGGTAGTGCTGGGTCGGCCTGGTGCTATCGTGAGCAGCGCGCCTACCATGTCGGCACGAGCAGGAAACGGTGGCCGCGCGATCCTCTCTAGGGCATTCTAGTCTAACAGTGCGCATGGTGAGGGTCTCAGTGCCAAGTACTTAAGTAGTTGTCAAATAGGTGTAGTGAAGTGGTCGTGCCGTTCATAATAGACGTCGATGCGTCCTTTGCTGAGCTTCACTGGTTCGTCAGCGCGAGATGTGTCAAAGAATGGTAGTACTTGACACGATGAATCCCGAATCGCTAGCTGTATAACCCATGGCATTGGCAGCAGTATGATCATGGTCAAGGTTCCGATTGGCTGCCCCAAGTCGCCACCATCGTGCTTGACGTGTTCAAACTGCCCGCTTCAACGTCCTGTCGCTGCATTGTCAAAGTTGGTACACTGTACCTCCTATCCCCCCATTGGCGCAAACTCGTGTTCCTCAGATCTGAGTCCTATCGCAATCGACTGGCCAGCAGTCCCTCGCCTCCCTCCTTCACATACCTACGTCAGGGCACTCGCCGTTTTGCTCAAAGACCCCGACTACTTTTTACCATGGCTTCCAAGATCGTCAAGCCCGAGGGCCAGACCGCCGATGAGTTCGAGCTGCAGGTGGCTCAGGAGCTCGTGAACCTCGAGCAGTCCGCTGCCGAGATCAAGAACGACCTCAAGGACCTGTACATCACCGCCGCCAAGCAGGTGGACATCTCCTCGGGCCGCAAGGCCATCGTGATCTTCGTGCCGTTCCGCCTGCACGCCTCGTTCAAGAAGATCCAGGCCCGCCTCGTGCGCGAGCTGGAGAAGAAGTTCTCGGGCCGCCACGTCGTGATCATCGCCCAGCGCACCATCCTGGGCAAGGGCTACTCGCGCGCCAACCACGGCGCCGGCCCCCGCCCTCGCTCGCGCACGCTCACCCACGTGCAGGAGCAGATCCTCGACGTACGTTGCCCCTGCCAGCCTCTGTGGTGTTTGTGTCCCTTTGCAACCTGGAGAAATTCGATGATGGCCTCTGGGTAATAGCCACCCCATGCCGTATACTCACGGTCCCGGACTGTTTGTGTTGTGTCATTTACTTCCTACAGGACCTCGTGTTCCCCACGGAGATTGTCGGCAAGCGCACGCGCTGCCGTCTTGACGGCTCCAAGCTGCTTAAGGTGCAGCTGGACCCCAAGGACCAGGTCAACGTCGAGACCAAGCTGGACACCTTCGCCACCGTGTACAAGAAGCTGACCAACAAGGACGTTGTGTTCGAGTTCCCGGTGCTGGAGTAAGTTAGCGGTTGAGTGTGGGCTTTTCTCCTTGAAAGAGGAGAGGGCTACCTCCCGCTAGGTAGTTTATTCATGAGCAAGACGCCTTCCAAGGCCAGGCGAGTAATTCTTTGAATACCACTCATCTCTGGCTAAAACATTGCTTCGTTCGTCTACATGCACTGGGCTGTTGAAGACTACGTGGTGCAATCTACACAAATCAAAGCTGTATTACGCTGATGTTCTCCTGCTACTTAGACGCGCTGCGAAGCGCCGTTATCGTCCGTCATCGTCGTCTTCAGCCAGGTCTTGCATCAGCACGTTGAGTGCATCAATGGCGCCGACGTCCAGCATCCCCACGGCGCCCACAGACAAAATCCTCGGCATCTAAGCGCACAACCACAAACGTCAGTCTCCGCAGCAATCGCTCCTCAAACCATCTTTTCGTTGCAGCCGCTCACCGCCTCCGCGTATCGTGCGCGGCCGAACGCCTGCCTCTGCTGGTTGGTGATGACGCTCTCCTCGCACGCTGTTCGCCGCGTGCCGCCAGTGCGACCGGCAGACGTCCGCGTGCTCTTCTGCTGCTTGTTGGCCTGCTTTGCAGCCGCTCGTCGCACTTGCCGCGCGCTCTGGAACAGCCCTCGCGCCGCGCCTCGGATCATGGTGCTTGTCGATGACACAAACCTGCGGTGCCCAGTCGATATTGGGCGCTGCATCCAATCGCACCACCAATTCCCATTTCATCCAATCACCAGATTACTTTACGGCATTTCAACCAGTAGAATCATCCTATTTGATGGGTATGCTTCCAGGCGGCGGCACTCCGGAATAGACACGCTAGCGCCAAGCTCTCTCCTTCCTGCCATGCACGCCTCGACGCTGACCCGCTGCAGCCGCGTGGCCGCGCAGCACGCGCGTCGCCTCAGCAGCACCGCCGCCGCCTCCGTGCAAGTGACGCACTCGGAGCGCGGCTCGCGCCTCGCGGCGCTGCGCGAGCGCCTGGCCGAGGAATCGCGTCAGGGCCCGACCTTCGCGGAGCAGGCGCTGTCGCTCGAGGACTTCGCGTTCGAGCCCGAGACGGCGCCCGGCGCCAAGCCCTCGCGCAAGCCCAACGCGTCCAACCGCAAGCCCAAGTGGCTCAAGGCGCAGCCCACGCAGGGCGCCAACTACGAGCGCCTGCGCAAGACCGTCAAGAGCCTGGGGCTCAGCACCGTGTGCGAGGAGGCCAAGTGCCCCAACATCGGCGAGTGCTGGGGCGGCGGCAAAGATGGCATCGCCACGGCCACCATCATGCTCATGGGCGACACGTGCACGCGCGGCTGCAGCTTCTGCGCCGTCAAGACGAGCAAGAAGCCGGCGCCGCTCGACCCCGAGGAGCCCAACAAGGTGGCAGAGGCCATCGCCGCCTGGGGACTCGACTACATTGTCTTTACCAGCGTCGACCGCGACGACTACGAGGACCTGGGCGCCGGCCACTTCGCCAAGACCGTCAGCACGCTGCGCGCCAAGCTGCCGGAGATCCTGATCGAGTGCCTGACCCCCGACTTCCAGGGCCACGACAACCTGATTGACCAGGTGGCAGTCTCGGGCCTCGACGTGTTTGCACACAACTTGGAGACGGTGGAGCGACTGCAGCGTCGCGTGCGTGACTACCGCGCCAACTACAAGCAGTCGCTGCACGTGCTGGAGCGGGCCAAGGTGGCTGCGCCGCACCTTGTGACCAAGACGTCGCTGATGCTGGGCGTGGGCGAGCGTAACGAGGATGTGTTCCAGACGCTGCGCGACCTGCGCAACAGCGGCGTGGACGTTGTGACCTTCGGCCAGTACCTGCGTCCCAGCTCCAAGCACATGCCCGTCAAGTCGTACGTGACGCCCGAGGCGTTCGCGGAGTGGCAGAAGGTGGCCGAACAGATGGGCTTCCTGTACGTGGCAAGTGGACCGATGGTGCGTTCCAGTTACAAGGCCGGCGAGTTCTTCATGAAGAACCTGCTGAAGAACCGCAAGGCGCAGGTGGTCGCCTAGACTTAACGTGCTGTTACCAGCACTAGATACCGCGAAGACGATGCTGCTCGCAATCGGCCTGCCCAAGAGAAAAACAATACATCACGTAAGTCTATTCATCGTCTACGGTGCGATGGAATGTATATTGCTTTTCCTATCTAAAAGCTTAAGACAGAGCCTTTACGAGCGACGCAGTGAGCAGCGTCCGCATAACTCCTGTGCACGCGTCCGTGCAGAGATCCACGGCCTCCTGCAGCTGCGTGTGGTGGATCTGGCCAGCCTGCAGCATGTATGTGACCCGCCCCATCGACGGCATGTACGCCAGCGCCAGCTTCCCGTCGCCGCGCTGCTCCTCCTCTCTACTCGGGTCCAGCACTACCGAGCCGTTCACAATACCCTGGCGCAAAAGTCAACGAAGCCCGTGTCAGTCTAACAAATAGCCCCTACCTCAGCATTGCAGCAGCAACTCACCGCGCTGGACGCCGTGACGACGTCGTACATCTCCACAGCAGCGTCCGCAAGCGCCAAGGACGCGCAGTTGATGGCCGCAGCGAACACGCCTCCTTCGTCCTCCAGCACCGTCACGAACACCGAAACGATGCACTTGGGCAGCTTGTGCAGCATCACAGCGGGGGCCAGCGCCTCCTCCACAATGGCCGACAGCTCCATCTCGTCCGGGTCCTGGCCGCGCTCGCGGCGCGTCAGCTTGTCGGCGAACGGCGCGTACTTGACGTCGCACACCAACTGCCCGTCCTTGCTGAACTCGCGGCGCGCGCGCGTGTCCGTCCGCGGGCCGTAGACCGCGCACACCACGCGCGTACGTCCCATCTCCACGTACGCCGAGCCGGCAGCGCCGCTCACAGCCCCAAGCTGCATGAAGGGGCGGCGCATCTCGTCGGAGCTGCCGCGCGTCTTGTCCAGCCGCTCCATGGGCGCATCGTCGTCCGCCGGGACGGGCAGCTTGGGCTGCGCAGGCAGCGGGTAGTAGCAGTTCTGCATCTCTTCCTGGCTAATGGCGGCCAACAGACTCGCTCGAAAAGCTACAATACACAAACCTTACACCAACTATATGTACATATGGTGTGGTGCAAATGGGACGCGCGCTCCATACAGAGAGGGGGAAACATTGATCCCGAGCTTGTAGCAGCGAGACGATGGCCAAGGGAGCGAAGGCGGAGGACGCGCCCGCCGCGAGCGCCGAGGTGCTGAGCGTCCCCAGTACGTACCTGACCACCCCATTGTCTGACTGGTGCTTTGTACTGACGCGCGCGCGTGTCCACCTGCTTGTATGATGCAGTCCTGGAGACCGTCAAGGCCGCGCAGCTGCAGAACGGCCTGCGCCACCGCGACTTCCAGCGCTACCGCCAGTACTGCACGCGCCGGCTGCGGCGCATCCGCAAGTCGGTCAAGTTCACGCACGGCAAGGGCAAGCAGTTCGTGAACAAGAAGGTGGACGCCGAGTCGGCCACCGAGAACCGCCTGCTGTACCTGCCGCTGTACAATGCCGAGCGCGCGTGGGGCTACGCCATGCAGCTCAAGGAGGACGACAACCTGGACAAGTCGGAGAACGGCGACGACGCCAACTCGCGCATCAAGTTCCACCTGAACGGCCGCCTGCGCAAGGCCGCGGACTGGAGCCAGCGCCTGGCCGAGATCTGCGCCGTCCGCGCGGACGCGCGCACGAGTCTCGAGGCGGAGGCGTACGCCGCGTACATGGCCGGCAACCTGGCCTTCCACCGCGAGGAGCACGTGGCGGCGCTTGAGAAGTTCAACACGGCGCGCCGCATCTACTCGGACCTGTCGCAGGTGGGCACGTCCTCGCAGAAGGAGCTGTTCTCGCGCTCGGCCGACGAGCTGCAGCCGTTCATCCGCTTCTGCGAGCACAGGTTGGCGCTGCAGGGACGCTCGGCCAGCTCGGCGGAGACGTCGTCGTTGGAGCTCCAGTCGAGCGGAGATGGCGCGAACAATGCGCTGCTGCAGTCCAAGATCGACTTGGTGTTGCTTGAGGCGCGCAAGCAGAAGGTGGCAAACCTCGGATCCGTGGAGTGGAAGCAGCAGCAGCTAACGGTGCCCACGCAGGAGCTGGGTATGGCGGTGGTTCGCACTGATGAGCTTGCTGCCAAGCTGGAGGCTGCGCGCGATGATAAGGCCCGTGAAGCGCGCTTCCTGGAGCTGCTGAGTGCGTACGACGCTCTTCTGCAGGCTTTGAAGAACGCGACGCTGAAGCTGGAGCAGCAGGCGAAGAGCGGCAGTGCGCTGGTGCACTCTGACTTGGAGCTGCTGGCTGCACTGGAGGAGTACACGCGCTTCAGGAAGCTGACCAAGCAGGTGGAGCGCCAGGCTGCAGTGTACCACACGCTCAAGCAGCGCTTCTCGGCGCAGCAGGCCGGCGAGCTCACGCATATTCTAGACATGCTCGTGCAGACTGTGGGCGACATTCTGTCCATCCCTGGGCTTCGTGAACAGGAGCAGCGCCGTGCCGCCCAGTACAGCGCCTATCATGCTGTGTTCCGCGCGTGCCGTGCGTCCACCGTTGCGCAGACCTATCTCCTTCAGAACAAGTTTGCCGAGGCGTTGGGTCTGTACCAGTACGCGTCGACCTTCCTCACCGAAGCAGAGGAGATTCTGGCCGCGCAGCCTGCGGCCAAGGACGACTTGCTGCAGGAGTTCACGCGTGAGCTGCATGAAGAGCTCGCGGGTGCTTTGAGTCGTACGACGGCGCAGAGCTTCCTCGAATCCTCAACGCGGGCCGATGCCATGCGTATCGAGCTGGAGCAGCTCTCATTGGCGACTGAGGATGGTAAGAAGAGCAAGAAGGACGCGAAGAAGCGCAAGAAACGCCAGATCAGCGCGCTGGTGGACCGTCAGGACAAGTTTGAGGCCGGCTCGATCGAGGGCCATCGCGAGTTGGTGAAGCTGCCGCCCGAGTTCCGCGCCGTGCCGTGCAAGCCGCTGCTGTTCGACGTGGCGTTCAACGAGCTCGAGTTCCCGGACCTGACGGAGCGCACCAAGACAGACGAGGAGAAGGCCGCGGAGGCTGCTGCGGCAGGTGGCAACGAGTCCGGTGGTGGCGGCTTCTTCGGCTGGTTCCGCAAGTAACCTTAGAGCTGGAATTGATCTAGTGGGAAGGCGCTGGTTCTGCAGAGCAGCACATGTGAGAGGTATGAACAGCGTCGTAGGTCGACAAAAGAGGTGTGAACGCGCTTTTTTTTCATACCCGCACGGCAAGAGTAAAACACTTTAGAACATTAGGATGTTCCTCTTCTCTTTCACGTCGGGAAGGTACAAGTTCATGGCACTTGTAGAGCCTCTACTGAGTGGTCACGGTCTTCTACTACATGTGTACTACTTCAAATTTACGGAGTAGTACACTTCACTGAGTAAGAATTGAAAAGAAGAAAAAAACATTCATTGCTCCAACCCCAATCAGTACCGGCACAAACTCGTTAATCCTTAACCCCTACGCGTAAGCGTTGTCACGTTTGCCGAATTCATTTACCAACATAAAGCACAGACTCGGAGAGCAGGCTGCATTGTCTGAACGACACGAGAAAGCAGCTCTCTGAATTAAACAGCCATGCATGTCTCGTAAACTCAACTCGAAAATCCCGGGTAGACGCGAGCTCACCATCGGATCGCATCCCAGCTGCCGACACCTTTCAGAACAGCACGCTTCACGTTCTCCGTCTCCTCACCAATTCTCCACCCGAAGTCTGCCAAACCACCTTCGCCCACCACTTTGGAAAACTTGAATTTGGCTATCTTTTGTTTATCAACGACGACGAAAATCTCCACTAAACTGACGTGAGGCATTTCTCGTTGCTTAAGTGAGTCGAGAAACTCCTTGAAATAGTGAATGAAGAAACTCTGCTTGTCGCTTTTGGCCACTTGGACAAACCGAACTAGTTGATACTCCTTGTTGATGTACACGGCATCGTATCCCCCTTGATTGTACTTTTTCGGTTTCAGCCAGCATAGCTTCGGTAACAGCGGTAGCTTCTTGGGGTCCACGACAAGAACCACGCTTTTCGGAAACTTAGTCGCCGTGTCAGCTTCGAAAACAAGCTTACCCTCCTGCAACCAAGTTTTGAGCCTGAACCGACCCTCCCGAATACACGCAAAGACGTACATTTCCAAAATCACCCCGTCCGTCGCAGTGTTCGAGCATCGTGTTAAGAAGGAAGCGAATCTTTTGATCAACTCCGAGCCACCAGCAAGCGCTAGAGCAGAAGCAGCATAGCGGCTGATAATCCCACGACCGTCTCCATATTTGCCGAAAAGACGATTGATAACGCCGGTTGAGTGTGTTTTGACTTAACCAATCGCACCAGGCGTGTTATTGCTCACCGCAGAGACGGCGTCATCCAGTGATGTCATGACGGTTGCTGTCGAGCAACCGAACATATACCGAGCACTTCCACCGGCGAAGTAGTATTTCGCCTCCACCAGTTCCTGACGTGTAGGGTCTTCTTCGTCTGATGCGTCCAAATCACTTCTGACAGATTCAAACAGCTCGTCATCGTTCACGGCGTCGAGATACTCACTCAATGTCCACGACGGCACAACGTGTTCTTTCACCTTAAAAGTTTCATCGTCATCCAGGTTCACTTTCCTGCGTGAATCCATTGACGTGACCATCACGAGTCGGCGATTAGCCCAATCCGCCCTTAACCATTCAAAACAGGTTTTCCCTTCCGCACCATTATCGTCCGTCACTCCATCGAGAATCACGAAGTGCTTCTTCGTGTCTTCAACTTCATCCAGGATCTGACGCAAGCCTTCTTTGTCTATCATATTTCCCTTGCTCTTCTTGGTGCTTCTTTCCAAGCGAACATACAATGGGGGTTGTTTGCGGACTAGATGAATCCACGTGAAGGACCAATCAGTCGTTCGGGCAAGATCCAGGGCGAAAGTTGCCGCTGTAATTGACTTCCCGGATCCACGCGGACCTGCGCATAACGCGGGCTGGCGGGGCAGCCGTTATGATCGATATTGCCACGGCGCCAATGGTAAGGCCTGGCAAGCGGAAGTCTGGTCAATTGGCAAGATTAGTGCATGGATATGTAGAAAGTGTCGGTTGGGCTCACGGCCCGTTGTCACCATCAAATTCCTACTCGACGGCCAGACCTGCGCATAACGCGATTGCTGGTGTGACCGCGGCTATCCTCAAGGTTGCCACGGTGCAAAAGGTTGATGTCCTAATCTGGACGATTGGCTGTCGAAACCATTCGATGGTGACCACGGGTCGTGCGCCGAAGCGACAATTTCTACTTATTCATGCACTAATCTTGCCAATTGACCAGACTTGCACTTACCCGTGGCACCGCGCCAACCTCGATCATAGTTGCTGCCACCCCATTTCTGCGCGCGTCTGGCCGTCGAGCATCACGCCGATGAATGGTGCAAATGGGCCTCCTGGACGACGTGAGGATCTTGCATTTCTTGGAAACTACACATTGTACCTACGGCGATAAAAGGCCTTAGAATTCAAGCAATTGTTTTTTCATGAAATGTAATAAACAGGGGTTTGGATCTGTTGTTATCTCGCCGCGAATAAATTCCCGAGCACGACTCCATGTGGTAATCTTGCCACATCTAATTTCGAGTTGAAGTTGGAGCGTATTCACGCGCGCGATCCTATTCAAATTTGCGCACGCGGCCTGGATTTGCTATCAGCCAATCATGACTGCGGGCTATCAAATTCCGCCAATCAGCACCTCTTCCGGAAAATCATGGCGTGTGATTGGGTCCTCGGTCGGTGGCGCGCGAAACTCGCCGCCGATGGCGCGCCAAACTCGTGACGCGATCCAGCTAAAAGCTCATTTCCGATTTTTCCAAGGACCACCCAAGCTCTTCCAAGCGACTCGCTGCTCGTGCCTCTGACCCGCAACGTCAACATGTCAAGCCCGAACGGCTCGCCTCACCTCGCCATGCACCATGTTGGGCTTGTGCTGCCTTTTGGAGGAGTGGCACCATCGCCAACGAGCTTGTAAACGCCGTCGTACGAAGGTCGTCCTGCTCCCCGGTATGCTCGATGTTCAGCGCCTCGCTGGATTGCCGAAGCCGGCATGGTACACTCGTGCTGCTCCGCCATAGACTACGTTCTGACAAGACCGCCCCGCATCCCCATACGCTGTCCCTCGTCGAGTGGCGGGATCCGTTACGCTGTCATGCCACGGTCGTGCTGCTCCCGCGTCGGCGAAGGTATCCCCCGCCCCCTCCTCCTCCCAACACGCTGGACTAGCGTGTCCCTCGTCGGCGCACTGGACCTACATCAACGGACGTCGCACTCGCGCTGTTTTCGACGGTCTGGGCTGTGGAGGCTCTCGTCAACGCGTTAGCCACTTAACACTCAACACGTTTGACCGAGTCCCCGCCCCCGAGTACGCTGGCCTTGAATGGCCTTCGTCAAGGCCCTGAATATGCACAATCTCCATGCCAAGCCCGGACTGCGTGACGATACGCCGGACGGATCTTTATCGATTCGATGACCTGGACCGTGATGCTCACGAGGAAACTGCGCCGCGATGTCGCCATAGCAATGCTCGTACAAGGAAGGGATGATGGTGCTGATTGGACGCGTCCCCACCCCAACCCAGCATCCGGGGTCGTGCTAAGCGGGCTACATCACCGTGCAAAGGCAAGCTGTGAGTCAACCCCTGGTGACAAGGCCGTCAGGTTTGATTCGTCCACGAGCGCCATGATGTCAGCGACGTGCTCCTGACCCGATTCGACACGGACAGTGCCCTCGATCGCGGGCTGGACGCTGGGAGAGCATGAGCTTTGGTCTGGCAAGGGTAGTACGAAATCGCAGTGTCGGCGAGCTCCTGGATTGACGCTATTTCAAATCGGCGTACATCCATCTGCTTCACCATGTCCGTACTGGCGAATACTTACAGACAACTGCGTAGTAGATGTTGGAAGCAACCCAAGCACGGATTCTGGCCCACTATTCCGCGCATGGCAGGTTCTAATAGTTGTCGTAAATGGATTCGTACACATTGATCGCTGGGTTGCTTTGCATCCACTTTTCAGCTGGGGGTACCAAAGCACTTGTAATCCAGCAACGCTTAGATAGAACACGCGGCGGTCCGCGCGATCTGCCGGTCAAACGACACGCCAGATAGTAGCCTGGATAGTGTTGCTACTGATGTTAGTTGATGAGAATGAGGCTGTATCCCTGGGAGAAAAGAACAAACTGACACCAAGATTCACTTTCAGAATTCTGATAGCAATGTCACGTAGATGGTTCCGCGAGGAATGCGTTAGGTTGTGGCCTCATCGGGTGAGCATGGAAGGGAGCGCAATGGACGAGTTGAGGGCTGCCCTTCTTTCCCGTGGCGTAACTCGTGTTAATAACTTAAGTTTTCGCTACAATTACTTCTAGGTGTCCCGACCGGCGTGTGGTATGACTGGCCAACAATGAGCTGTGGTTGTCTGGTGTTCGTTTGACCGGCTGATTACAAATATCATATTTACTAGTCGGTAGATTCGTGACTTGACCGACACGAGTAGAACGGGTTGCCGCAGCCGAAAACCAAACGGATGCGAAACTAATGTAAGAAGTAGGATATGTATTTCAAAGCAGTTCGCTAACGTTCATCCGGTGAGGGTCCGGGCTACGTACAGGTGAGTGTCTCGCTAGAACACTCGTGGAAGTGCGAGGTCAAGCAAGCTTAGGCCATCGAAGTCGGTGAGCAGCCTGGACGCAAACCCTGGCATCGGCAGTAGTACTGCGTTCGAGGTAGTTCCATCGGTGAGTGGAATGGTTGTTCGCGGCGCCATTCTTGACTACGGTAATAGATGTTGCAGTCGTCGCAGGGGCAAAGTTGCGTTCCATGTCCGATCATAAGGTCGTGAGCCAGGATGTCGACCACATCCATGGCCTCCAGTAGATCTTGGGCTGCGTTGAACTGCTGCTCTCGCTTGAAGCCTTGCCGTGTATGCTTCCACAGCGTGTCGGGATCGCACGTCTTGTTCTGATCCATCGTAATATGGATTTCGATGTGCCGGTCCAAAGCTTCTCGAGCATCGGAAATCTGAGCCCGCAAATAACGAATCCGATCCTGAATCATCGATCGGGTGATCTTTAGAAAGCACATAACAGTAGCGTCAGAACGGGTAACCTCCACTTAGAATATTGTTGGGACTTACCTCCGACAACTCCAAGCAGGTCTGCAGCCATCTCAGCATCCACAGATAGTTGTGAGCGCTCTCACTTTTGGCCGTGCTGATATCTTTGTGTAGCTTGTCCATGTCTTTCACCGGAAGAGCCACAATCAACTCGTCGACGTCCTCAGTTGAGTTGTACTTCGTCTCAAACACCTACATCGTTATAGGTTAGTGGTCAGTCCCAAATTTCGTTTGCTGTCATTTGAATTTGAATGCGTACGCGGTTAGACGCTGGAACGAACACAGAAAAAATCCTGTCAAACAGCACGGGCTCCCCACAAATAAAGTATGCTAGTGGCTAGAAAACCGCGCCAGGTCGTGGGTGGAATAATGATCATCCACTTACGTCACGGGGTTTCCCATACAATGCTCTGCCATTAGATGCTGTTGTTCGAGTGGGACCTGGGAGCTATCATGCATTGTTCAGGGTGACCAAGTATTAGATCGAATCAGCTTAGAAAGTGGCTAGCACTTACATCGATTGCATCATGCCGGCGATCGACCATCCGGCTTCCTGGTGGGTTGGGAAATGAGCGCTTTCCTAACCTCTCCCGATTATGATCTTGATTTTGTGCGGCTGTCGTTGGTCATCGGAGGCGCGTCGCGACCGTTCACAAGATCTTTGCCCTTGGGTCTTCCCAAGAATCTACCTCTGTATAGACAACAAAAGGGGATCTCTCGCTAGCGCAATGAGCTCCCCGCCTGTATCGCGGAACCCTCGGCGAGCTATTGCGCTAAGACCACTAGCCGCTACTTCAGGTGATGTTTGAGTTGACCACCTAGATGAACCAAAACCTAATATGTTGTACAGTGTCTGGTGGTCGCACAGTCTTTGCCGAAGCCTGGAAGGCTCTTCGTCGCGCTTGGTGGACGTCACGACCGCCACGTGGCCGAGGGAATCTGGATAATCGCTATCGCTATGTTCGTCCTGGTAGAAATCCGGACGGGGTCGAGGGCGACGATTACGTTCTGGGTGAAGTGGCTCTGGTGGAACACTACAATATGATTGTGGCTGGTGGCGAGATCGACTCTGGTAACATCACGATAGATGAACCTATGGATGGCGACAGAAGTTCTGAAATGAATGGGTCTAGTCCTGGTGGAGCAATGGGGTATTGGAATTCGTCTGACGCGGAAGAGGGGTCGACGGCTTCAAGTGGTTGCCCTGCAGGAAAGAGGCAGGTGGAAGCTTCCGATGCGATGGGTACCAGTAGCAACGAGTTTGAAACACGTGAAACAAATGTTGAAGTGGCGATTTGTGCTGATTGCAGCACTGGGTGTTCGACTGACCGAAGTTGTGATGCATGCAACGCATTCATGCATCATTTCTGCTCTCACGATGTGGCATCGTCACTTGCGCTTCGCACCGCTGACGGTGAGGCCATTGCGGATTTTGGAGATCAATGTTATTGTAGTAATGCCTGCTACGAAACCACGATCTCCACGTCGAGGCCACCGTCAGTACTCTATTCCCCATCCCACGAAGAGGTTCGTCATGGTATAGTGGCAACGTTGACAACGCACACTGGCGAGAGGCTTCCACCTATCCAGTCGGATAGTGATGATGTGGCTTGCGTAAACGCGGGTTTGCGTACCCAAGGTGATCAGCGTGAAAGGGAAGTGCTAGCGAGGCAGCGATCAGCGAAGAGTGCGCGAAAAGTATCATCGGATACGGGAGGTGGAGCATTGAAGCGAAAGGCTGCATCGAATCCCCCCAAGCGCTCTGCTGCCAAAAAATCAAAAGTCGCTACAACCAAAAAGGCATCCAAGAAGACGGCTGAAGCAGCCTTCAAACAGGAGTTGCTACTGCGAGCTCAAATGTCTGCTGACAAAATTGTGAGGGCGAACGTTGCTTTCGCACCGGCTGATGAAGACTGGATGCTTCGCAAAACCTATCGCGAGGTAGGTGCGGCTTTTCTCGTCGGCATAATAACAAGATATGAGATGAAACACGAAAAAATCGCTGATGGTGTCAAGGTACCGGTTCCCCAGTTTGAAGTTCGGTGGACCAACACCGCGTTTCAAGCCAAGAAAAAACATGTTCACCAGATTCCAGAAGCCACGGCTTTCAAAGGGATCAAGCAGTATGTTAGTCTGCAGAGAAACAATGCGGAGTTTGGTGATTCATGGAGTTCTCTATGTAATGTGGCCCCCCGCTTGTCCAACATACCTGCTTTGACGGAAGAGTTCGAAGAAATGACTGACAAGGGCTACAAAGAATTGTATGCTTTTCGAAGCCATACCGAGCTGCAAATACCGTTTTGCCCTGCCGAAGTAGAAGCAATCGAAGTGATGACTTTTTCCACGACCGAAACGCTTTCCGAGCCACCCGGGCTGTTTACCCATCCCGATGGGTCAACTACAACCAAACTTCGTGAGGAGAGTCGTCCCCTATTTGGCCACTCCACTACGTCGAGTTTTCTCGCCTTCCTACCACTTTCATTCTGGAAGCAGGTAGTCGCGTTTACTAACAGTCACGCATCAGCTGCAGGGGAAGCATCACGTCACCCGATTACACTGACTGAGATGATGAGGTTTATGCAGCTTTTCAAAAAAAAGTGAAATGCGAAACTACTGGCGAGATGATGGGGAATCATCAGTATTACCCGGTGCCCGATCAACTAGTCTGGAGATTATTATGCCGTGGAAACGATTCCTGTACATTCGCAAGCACTTGTCATTTCGAGCAGCAGTGACTATTGAAGAAATCAAGCGCGATCCAGCAGCACGAATTAGACCGCTCATCAGCATACTGAAACGCCGCTGTGCAATTCACGTAGTTGTGGGTCGCGATGTAGCCGTCGACGAAGCCAGCATCGCTTGTCGTTCGCGCTACGCAAGGCACATCATTGTATATAACCCTCGGAAGCCGACAGGAAAGTACCACTTCAAGCGGTATGCCTGTTGTTGTTCTTCGACGTGGTTAGTTCTTAGTTTCAAGCTTCATTGTGCGAGCGAACTGGAGGATCATTTGGGTGGAGTGATGTCTACGCCAGAGATATCGCGTGTAGCCGAACTGACAGCGGAATCAACGGATATTCGATCTCATGTAATCGAAGTGACAGCTGCACTGGAGGGATCACGGCGCATGGTCAACACTGATAACTTTTACACGTCTTGTATGTTGCTGGAATCCCTGCGGACAATTGGACTCTACTGTCGCGGGACGGTTCGTCAAACCAGTAAGCACTTCCCCAAGTTTACGATGATAGCCGCTGACAAGACCACGGAGAGGGGTGATATGGAACAAGGCGTATGCACTGAAAAACACATCGTGGCAGCTAGCTGGGTAGATGGGTCGGTCGCCAACGCCGTATCCAACGCTGATAGTTCCGCTGTATCAACTGTGCATCGACGGATCCAACAGGAGCAAGTGCCCTTCCCTGCTCCTGCCTGTGGCAAGAATTATAACGAGAAAATGCAAGGCGTTGACCGCGCCAACCAATTGCGAGGCTGGTTCCCAATTGCCGATGGGCACACCTTTAAAAGGTGGCACAAGAAGCTGGGAATGGCTATGATAGACATAGCGCGCTGCAATGCATACATATGCCACGAGCTTGCGGCTGGAAAAACGCCTACCTGTGACGATGGTTCGGACGACGATCCTGGTGATTCATCCGCTTCTAGCAACCGAGATCCGCATCGGTTCTTCGTGCTTTCGCTGGTCCGAGAGCTTTTTGATGGCAGTTGGATGCGATGGTTAGAAAATGATAAAGGTATGATATACACAAACGACAAGACTGCACCGAACCTGCAAGAGCCTGCAGCGTGTTCGCAGGATGCTACAGCAGCTTCACGAGATACTCCGGCGCCATGTGTGGCGAAGGAAGCATGGATAGTTTTGAAGGGTCGAAGCCGGTCAATGCGGGAGTGTACAGTGTGTCGGTTTGAGTGTCGTCCAGCTACTCAGAAGACGGACTATTGAGAAGCTCACCGTGTCTCCTTGTGCAAACGCACATATCCGACCGACAAGTTGAAGCCACACTTGTGCCAAAACGATACCTGGACGTGCTGGCAGAAATTTCACGAGTTCTACCTCCCCCAAAATGTCTTCACCCCAGATGGAAATCTCAAGCGGAGCTCTTCGATTTATCGAGCCCAAGCCGTTTTTATCAAGCAATGGAAAGATCAACAGCGGATTTCGGCGCAAGCGAGACGAGACCAGGAACAAACATCATCTACAGTGGAACCACCCGCGTTGAATTTGCAGGTAGATCAGTAAAACGTGACTTCCTGAATAATAGCATCGAGTGATTTCAACTAATGTGTGGCGGCATTGATAGTACTATTGCTTCCTTCTTAGTACTAGAAGTGGTACACGCTTTAGGACCAATCTTGCGTCTATCCTTGACGACCTATGAGCAAGGTCGTGAAATGTGCTCGTTGCCTAAACTAGTTTGCATGTTCATGAATGTCATCTCATGTGGAAGACCATTTCCGATAACCAGCCCTCGTTTTGTCCAGCTGGTCAAAGTTGATCGTTATCATCGCTTCTGCAGGATCAATTTCGTCGACAGAGCCCCACAGATACGCACCTATTAGCTTCAGATGGGCCCCCATTTCCTGATTCTTGCTACCTTCACGAACTCGTCGAAATTCTCCAGTATCGCCTTATCCTGCAGCAGCAACGTGTCACCTGCCTATAGCCATCGATCTCGCCTTGCATACCTCTTGGACCAATATCTTCTCGGACATCGCAAGCATGCGCACGGACGTACTGTAGCATTTGACCTGGATAACGTCGTCGACCACGGCCCCATGCACTTCCTGATGGCCTGAATATTGTGAGCACCGTCTACGTTAGATTGTGTACATGTAAGATGCGGTGCGAATGAATGCCCCACCTGGTATTATTGGGGTGAAGATGTGCTCTACCGTGCTTCTGGAGCCTTGCAGTAGCGCGCCGCCAATGATTGCGTGGAGATTCGCGTCATCTCCTCCGCTGGCCACCCTCCTACAAGTTCACCCACCCTTATTTTCGATTGACTGTCGTTATTGTAGTCAGTTGCAGTATCCTAGTCCTAAATCACTTAGCATACCTGCGTCACACTTGTTAGCAACCAACCCAGCGTCAGTCAGTGCATACGCGCATCTTGACCGCCTTCACAGCTTGTTCGCCGCCGAGTTGAGCAGCCTGGAGCAAAACCAGACCGCCGCCCACGTTCAGAGAGGTCAGTGAGGCGAGGCGGGTGAACGCCTTGATCGTCCAGGTGTATAGCGCACTATGTCTGACTGTGGTCCCTTCGATTCGGTCTGACTTTCTGTTCATTCGGTGTAGTTTGTTTCAGGAACACACCCAGCAGACTCGATTCTGTATTTTCAACAACTCATTCGGAGTACCAGAGATATCCGCTGCAATCCGGTAGTCCTCGGAGCACAGGATGTGAACCGGGGGCCGGGAGGATCGCTTGGACTTGGCGTGTGTCCTTGTGTCAACCCCTATAGGTATCGTTTACCTTTGGCGGACCGGACTTCACCGAGTGAGTTGTTGAAAATACAGAATCGAGTCTGCTGGGTGTGTTCCTGAAACAAACTACACCGAATGAACAGAAAGTCAGACCGAATCGAAGGGACCACAGTCAGATCCACAATTCAGTATAACCAACACACAGAAATACAATGCCGAGCTAAACGTCACAAAATATACAGCCACCACTTATTCTTTAAGACCCTTGGGTGGGGGGTCTATACGCCAGTCAACTTACGAGCCGTCACCCAAGGCACTGGTCAACCCTGGATGCACACTCACTTACGCGCACCACCCTCACAGAGTGAGGGAACAATACAAAATATAAGTCAATCCTATCACACAGTAGTCGATCAATTCAGTCTCGGGGGTGACTACCTCTACCGCCTAAGACACACAGGATGGAATATGAAATGGATGCCCGGATAGAGCACGCAAATCGGAAATAAAGCTCTCACAGATCACTCCAGGGCGCGACACCCCAGACCCTGCTGACTTTGCCTTGGTACCTTTGAGTCCCCACTACACCAGTGCTCGCAACACCAGTGAGGCCTTGAAACGTCCTCCGTTTTAAGATCGCACGAAGGCGGATCCCACGTATAAGCTCTTGAAGACGTCAATGTCAGGGGGAATTCCCAGCCCGAAGAAAGATGTCCGCGTGTTCTCGGCAAATTGGTTTCTGTTTGATCTTACGTTTGGCTAGCTATCTGTTTCACTTCACTGACTTCTAATAAAGGTTTCACTATACTTGACTTGTCTTGAATATGCTTCGACCTTGTGCACGGGACTTCGATCTTCTTGCACTGAGCTTGGGTATGCTTGACTTGGCTTGGTTATCGGGCAACTTGTCGACGTCAACGTTCCTTCGGCAATACTCATCATCTGGCGACAGAGGTACGTGGGTACGGCGTCTCATCAAATCCGCACTGGACCTCTGCGTCAAATCACGTGAGCCATCCTGTGTCGCTTGACGTTCTTGGTCGATCCGGTCCTGGATTGCTGCTACACACACAGCAGTACTGGACTTGTTGTTGGTGCGATCACGATCCAGTATGGGCACCAGGGGTCAGACCGAATTGATCATCCGGTCCGGCCTCATTCATACGGAACCTTGGCATCCGGTGCATCGCTACCGGGTGCACCACGATCCAGTCCGGCAAACAGTGTACTTTGTCCAGCGAGGTCTTGGGCGCATGGGAGCATGGTGAACTTGGGGGTTGGTCCGATGTCTTGACGGAGCCAATGCAGGCAGCAGCCAGCATACGTTCACTGGCTGCACTTGCGCGCCTTAGGCTTATCCTGCGGTCAGGGAAGTCGGCGGACGGACAGGATGTGTTACTCCACACCGAATATGAGCGCTCATCCGGTGGGCACATCTCCGATCCTGTGGGCCCATGCTTACTGCAAGCACCGGGTCCCGCCAAATCCACCATGCGCATCCACTATCCACATGTCACACTCCACGTCACTGGATTCCTATTCACTCCGACCAGTCACAGTCAGGCGAAGGGTCGTCCCATCCCAGCGGTCAGACATGGGTGCGGATAAAAATCCTTTCCCACATCGTGTCATTAGTGAGTCTTGCACTATCGACTGAGGTCCAAGAGCCCCGTACGCTGCTGTCCACGGCGTTGAGCTAGCCAAACGTTCTCGTCACGTCGACGAAGAACAGCGAGTTCTCGAGCGACGTCTGTGAGGCTTCGTCCTCTTCTGTGAGTTCATGACCTCCACCAACTTGCCCTTGATAGTGTTCACCACCGAGAAGAAGCTGCTGGACGACGTAACGCTCTCTTGCTCACTTGGGTCCCTAGCGTCGCACCGAGACCAGCAAATGAGCGCTGCATTTCTCCTAGCTGAAGAGGCGCGGTGCTCACGGTACTGCCGCCACTGCAAATTTCGTGCTTGCAGCTGCGTGGATGACGCCTTTCACTCAATTAGATTGCTGCTTGCAAAATAATACCCCATGTACGATTGAGCTTAAGAAATTGTCACAATTTATATTATATGAGCTGAACAGTCGTTTTCACTCGCATAATACATAAAGTAGAAGCGTACATGAGGTCCGGTTTAGTGCGTTTAACTTGGCTTCACTATAAACAGCTATTAATAGGAATGTATGGGGGAACGAAAGGGTTAATTGTGGTGTATTAGTTGCGTCTACCCTAGTTGTGGCGTTTTTTTAGTGCTTGCCGCAGTAAGCGACTATATGTACCCATCCTTACAACCTAAGTACCTAAGGTTAATTGTATTATTGTGAAACCCGCTTCATCTGCCTATTTTTCTCATAAATCGATTGATTAGCACCCTGATTTAGCTCGATCGATTTGTAAATCGATCGCGTCCTGCGATGCATATGTGAGTGGGTGTGCAGATTAGGCGATCGTTTTATGGAAGCCAAGTCGATATAGCCGCGTTTGGAGCTGAATGCCCAACTTTTAGTGGGCAATCGTGCAGCCAAGCGATGCATATGGATCACAATCGATTTAAACCCTGATTTGTACTCTGATTAATTTGGCGATTGAGATCTAATAAGGGGTTGCTAGAGTTGGGCGTTTTAGCCGGTTCATACAATAATACTTTTTCAAAGCTAAAAATTGTCGTTAGCACGCTTTCCTCACAAAGCTACGTAGAAGACTGTGAAGATGTAAGCATATTCTAAAAGCCTGTTCGAGTGAAATTCGATCAACTTGATCATCAAGACGTGAATCTAAAAATGACCCCCGTTGCAAGTTCGCCACGGATGAACTGTAAAGTTCTACTTGTTGCTAAGCACACCCAATACATATTCCATCTGGATGTTTCGTCGGACCTTCTCTTGGTAAAAATGCTAGTGATAACAATGCATGACGGAAACTTTAACTCGACCAGGTGCAGACATGTTTCCTGACCGGAAATCCACGCAGCACTTGTGCACCACTCGGTAAGTGCTTTTTGGCGCGTAGACATAAATCCGTCTTGCGTTGTTAATTTCTAGGGGAAATCCTGTTTCGGGGCCGTATTTTTGAAATAATTCTGTTTCGGGGCCGTAATGTTCAATTGAAGCGTCATTCATGAAACATACCGTGTTTTGTAAAATATACATAACGTATCCTGTAGCCAAAGTGTATCCCACTCTGTCATGCATCGTGTTTCCCAACTGTAGCCTGTAGTCTACGTGTAGTATGTATCCAAAGTGTAATCTAGTGTAATCATAACGGTATCTAGTTTCAGACAAGCTTACGATGATATAACACCACCTCGATAGCATTCTCGCAAGCTTTCTGGTGCTTCTTCAGTTGCTTTTATGGCTCTCGCACGTTTGGAAGTGGGCAATCCATTACCTTGTACATGTAGCAGGTAGCGACAGGTAAGCAACAGATCCGCTTTCTATTCAGCATTCAGTACAGAGCATGTTGATACCGTACTGCTGAAAGGGAGACGTACCCGCACGACATAGGCAACCACCGCAAATTCAAGCATCTCCTTAGCCACCGCAATTGACTTCCTGCATGGCCTCCAATATGACGACTAAAGACCACCAATCGTTGTGACATAACCAGTAAGTTACTGGTTATCACGGGCACAATCCCGTGGATCGCAAAGCAGCTCCTGACCCAACGGCCTCGGAGGTTACGGGGTTTTCCTCGGCGCTGACCTGCACGGTCGCAGCTCGCGTTGGTTTCATACTTTCCTACTCTTTGCTTTTCAAATTAGCTGCAGCTAGAGGCTTGTAGCCACTCTAAACATCAATCAGTCTTCATTTTTCCAGCTTTCTAACAAGTGCAGACTCACCCACGTCAACTTCTACCAGAGCACGTGACACTGGTAGTACCAGTAGCAGGGTATGCTAAGTACGATGGTTTACCGAGCCAAAAGAGCGACAACGCCCCTGACGGAGAGAGAGCGAGAGAGCTCCGCTGTTAGCAACCGCGACCACAACAAGCGTGTGTATGACACCGCCAGCCTCCTCCGTGAAGGGAAGGACGAAGGTGCTGATGATTTTTGTGTAGCACAACTGAGTTCTATTGTTTGGATGTCTCCAAGCGATACTAGGAACTGGGCCCGATAGGACCGTCAATGAGGCTTCCAATGTTGATATTCGTCTATTGATGGAGCGAAGCCTCAAGTAACTCAGCGCCATGTTCTCTGCGTGCTGCGAATACCCCCGTCATGGTTACACTAGACTACACTTTGGATACATACTACACGTAGACTACAGGCTACAGTTGGGAAACACGATGCATGACAGAGTGGGATACACTTTGGCTACAGGATACGTTATGTATATTTTACAAAACACGGTATGTTTCATGAATGACGCTTCAATTGAACATTACGGCCCCGAAACAGAATTATTTCAAAAATACGGCCCCGAAACAGGATTTCCCCTAACTTCTATTAGAGCTTTCGAAACCAGTCCTGATCCGAATTGTACTTAATGCTGACTTTATCGGAGTCACTGGTCGCACACTTTAGATTAGAACGTTTGTGTGAGCATGGCTTCCTCGCAGTAAGCTTGCGAGGTGACACAAGTGAACTCGACGAGCTATTCAATGCGCATTCAATTGTCGTAACCGATATGTAGTTAAATGATCATCACACCAACAACCATGTGGGGCAACAAGCTTTCTTTATTTTCCGAATGAAAAATGGGGAAATCCGGGTTGGGGTCCGTAATTTGAAGCTAATTCGGTTTGGGGTCCGTTCAAATCAGAAGGCTTAATCTTTGGCGTAAAATTGAAAACCTACCGTGTTTTGAAAATTTCCAAGGGGGTATGTGTACTTATGATTATGAAATGTACCTTATTCGTACCCTGTGGCCTTACTGTACACAGTACCTTTCCGTAACTTGTGCCCCGTATGTACCCTATGACTAAAACGTAACGTGTAAGTGTACCCTACAGAATCGGACTTAGCTGAGACGTCTAATCTCACTTGCCATATCTTGCTTTCGGCTTTTGATATTGCACTGGTGTGCCGCTAGCGGCGTGCTGCATATGCGTAGAGTGCTTGGTGAGCTGGGCGGAGACACCACGGGAGTCGCAATCTCTTCTTCGTCCAAAAAAAACCTGCGAATCTCCATCTACTCGCGCCTCCCTTGTCGGCAGGGTGAAGATTTTCATCCTTTTTTTTGACACTGCGTTTCTATTTCTATTTCTATTACTAATTTGCAGGATTGGACGGCTGAGGGTTATCTTAGTTTAGAATCTCCCCCTCGCAGAGACAACAAAAGAACTAGCCTCCGGCGCAAGTTCCTGTCCAAACAACCCTCGTCGGTGCTGTTGCCACCGACTCTTCTTTTGTAAGTACGCATCGCATTGCCCCCCTTCTTCGTTTGTCCATGTAGTTGCTCTGATGGCTGAGGTTTCAGGCGAACTGGTTCTGCAGGTTCCAAGAAGGATTGCCTGCTGTACGACAGTTGTGTGGACGGCTGTCGTACAATATAGTTCGCACATAGGGTGCATATCGGAAATAGGGTGCATTTAGGGTACACGATATAATTTTCGTGCATTAGCCGTATATGTTTTTCAAAACACGGAATGTTTTCAATTTTACGCGAAAAAATACGCCTTGTGATATGAACGGACCCCAAACCGAATTAGTTTTAAATTACGGACCCCAAACCGGATTTCCCCCAAAAAAATCACAAGCGACTTGGGCGCGCCTCACTTGCGGCGCACCAGTCGCAATAATAAAATATCTTCTCAGAGCTTACATTAACACTAGAACATAGCGAGATAGTATTGCGTTCTTTGAGTTCGGTCACGCGCTTGCACAGGATCGAGGTTCGCAGCGAGTAGATTTTCTTGCAGTCAGGCGCCTTTACGCACGTGCTGATAGACCCTTCCAGCGTGACTTTGTCTTTTGGGGCGTCCTTGAAATCGTGATACAGTGTCTTGATCTATTCCAGCAGTGAAGGCCTCGAACATGCCCTGACAAGCATAAAGATCAGACGCTATTAGTGGAGTTGTCGATACCGCAGCAATTGTGGCCGAACACATTCGTGCTGCACACGTAGTTGTGCCTTATCTGGCTACTGCCTGCATATGATTCACCCCCTAGAGCACCAGCACGTCCGACGCGCCGCATTCTATAGTACAGCCAGTGAAAAACAAAGTTAAGGCCAAGTTTGGCCATTAATCATGGGAGTACCTGAAGACTCAAGCGCAGGTTGCTGCTCCTTCTTGCCCTTATGTGAGCATCCAGTTCATGTCCGTTTTACTGTTCAGCAATTCTAAAATGGCATTAAGCGAGCCGGCCCGCTCGGATCGGGAACATCATGGCCTATACCACCATCTAAAGGCCTTCTGGCCTATACCTTTGCTTTTTGTCCCCTCATGGGAACCCCCTGAGTTATGTGTCCAACACTAGTTAATCCGCATACAAATGCTTAGATAAATCGACTCAATACAACAGTAAGTCATTCGAATGCATACAATATATATTATTTCAATACAAAAGTCAAGTTAATAATTCTGGCGATACGGTATCTGACATCAAACAGGTAGTAACGACAGTTCTTACGAACTGCGAATATCGATAAAGCCGTCTCCCTGACCAAAGCCTCGTCCGAGGGGTGGAGGATGGTAAGAAGAGCAAGAAGGACGCGAAGAAGCGCAAGAAACGCCCGATCAGCGCGCTGGTGGACCGTCAGGACAAGTTTGAGGCCGGCTCGATCAAGGACCATCGCGAGTTGGTGAAGCTGCCGCCCGAGTTCCGCGCCGTGCCGTGCAAACCGCTGCTGTTCGACGTGGCGTTCAACGAGCTCGAGTTCCCGGACCTGACGGAGCGCACCAAGACAGACGAGGAGAAGGCAGCGGAGGCTGCGGCCGCGGGTGGCAACGAGTCCGGTGGTGGCGGCTTCTTCGGCTGGTTCCGCAAGTAACCTTAGAGCTGGATGTGGAGTTCGTGCACAGCGCAACTGGAAGGAGAGGGGAGTTGAAGCGAAGCAGTAGGACAGTTGTAGAGTAGTCGTCAGGTTGGAGAGGAGGTTGGCTTGTTGCTTTTGAGGCAAATGGAGAAGTGAATTGATTCTTAGCTCGAAAACTAACAGATTGCTGGCAAGCGAGCACTACAGCGGGAAGCTACACTAGAATCTGGCCTCGCATACAGTTTTCTTCATATAACTAGCACACCAACAGCAGCAACAAGAATCTTAGAGACAGCATTGGTGCAAACAATCGCGTGCTCGTGAAGATTCCGTCTCAAAGTCGGAGGCGCCCGGCAGCTCCTGTCGGAAGAAGGTCTTTTGAGTAGAAAGTAGATTCGCCCGCAGCGGGCGAGGCAGTGTGGGTGGCGCAATCCCTGCATCCTCCCACGAAGCTTGTTGCGCTGAGCGGCGCGGAACGAGCGAAGTAGTGAAGCCCAGTGCATGACATGACGGATGTACCGCTCGCGCTCCCAAGAGTTCTCCGTCTCGTCGAGATTCTGCCATTTGACGAGAAACTCGGGCTGCCGGTTGCGGACACGGCGCTGGAGCAAGGCTTCTGGAATGTGGAGCCCTTCACCTTCGTTTCCCGGAGCAAAGTGCGTTGGCGAGACTTTTGGGAGCGGGCGATCCGCGAATCGCTCCGGTGTCGGAACGTAGTGCCGCAGCCCGTCCACATTGAAGCAGTCGTGCAGCCGGTCCATGCTTCGGGGTAATTGCAGCCGGGCGACGTTCGCGTTGATCATCTTTGTAATCCGGAAGGGACCGATAAACTTGGGCGCAAGCTTGTACTTGGCGATGTCAGTTCCAGTTGCAGCATGTGTCAGCGGGAGGTTTTTTGTAGCCAAGTACACCATGTCTCCAGCTTTAAATTCCACTGCGCTCCGCTGCCGTTCTTGAGCATCGAGCAGGTTCTATTGAGCTTGGGCAACCAGTCGCTTGCGTTCTTCAGCGAAGTTTTGTGCGTAGTCGTTGCGACTGTGGGTAGCACCAATTGGAGAACGAGCCACCCGCCCCGTGTCGATCTGAAATGGCGATAGTTTTGTAGAAGCGCTCACCAGCGTGGCGTGCGCATACTCCACCGTCCCAAGCACCTCGACCCAATTAGTTCCCTGCAAGGACACCATGCCGCGTAGGGCATCTTCGAGAACACGATTCTGCCGCTCTACTTGTCCGTCGGCTTGGGCCCTGTACGACGTGGTCATCCGCAGCTTGACGCCAAGCACCTTCATTAGCTCCATCCACATCGTACTCGTAAATTTCGGGTCTCTGTCGCTCACAATAGCCGAGGGCAGTCCATGGTTGCGGACTACGACATCAAAGAAAATTCAAGCAGTATCCGCCGCCGTTGCCGTAGTGTGCGTGGGTGCGTACTTAGCTCGTTTGTTCAGCAGGTCGACAACAACCATTATAGCGTCATAGCCCTGCGAAACCGGGAGCCCAGTGATGAAGTCCATCCCGACGCTTTCCCAGCACTCCTCTGGAATCGGAAGCGGCATCAATCGGCCGTTCTTGCGCAGGCTGCTAGACTTAAAGCGCACGCACGTTGCGCAGCTCTGCACGTAGACCTTCACGTCGTTTTCCATCCCCGGCCAAATATACCACAACGCTAGCTTCTGCTGTGTGCGCCGAATGCCTGCATGGGCCGCGGCTGGTCCATCGTGCGCTTCTGCGATGAGGTCCGTACGCAGTGGCTGGTCGTCCGGCACGCAGAGGCGATGCACGCGCGCCTCCGATTGGTGCAGAAAGAGAAGTCCATTTTCCATGCGCACTTTGCCCACTCCAGCAATGTCTCTGAATGCGGGAGCTTGACGCTTGGTCATATCGCGGTATAGTGGGTCCTGGCGATAGGCTCGGAGAGATTGTTGCTTGGTTTTCTTGTCCACTTCGATGGTTACCGTCGATAGTTGAGATGCTTTGAGCGTAGTTACGGCTTGTGGCACTCCGATAGACCGCGCAACCGCTCTCTCACCCCCGTAGACCACGAATAAGACTCAAATCGCGGAGGGAAAGTTCCTCCAGCAGCAGCACGTCCTCGACAGGTTCCAGAAGACGCCTGGCCCGACCGACGCACGACGCCACGCACGAATGCACTGCGAGGTTCGACTGGGGTGTGGCTGGAATAGAAGCGCTGCGTATAGCGGTGGCGCTCTCCACACGGGACAGCGCGTCGGCGACCACGTTGCTTGATCCCTTGACGTGGTACAGTACAAATGAAAATTGCCCGAAAAAATCCAGCCAACGAGCGAGCTTGCCTGAGACTTTAGGGTGCGAGAGGAACCATTTGCAGGCGGAATTGTCTGTGAAGACGTCAAACTTGACACCATGGAGGTAATGACGCCACTTCGACAGTGCCAGCTTGATGGCAAACAACTCCTTCTCATGAGCGGGCCAATTGATCTCGTGACGGGACAGTTTCTTGGACAGGAACGCTACGGCATATTCCACACCATCATGCTCCTGAGCGAGCACCGCACCGCAGCAAAAGCCGGACACGTCCGTGGTCACCAGGAACCGCATGGAGTAGTCGGGTAGCTTGAGCACCGGGGCCTTTTGCAGCGCAGCCTTCAGGTGTAGAAACGCCTTGTGCTGACGGTCCGTCCACGTCCATGAGGCGTCTTGCTTGATCAATTCACTGAGAGGAAGTATAATTTGCGCAAACCCACCAATAAAGCGGCGGTAATATCCACATAACCCGAGACAGCTCTGCAACGTCTTCGCAGACGTAGGAGTAGTCCACTCCTCGATGGCACGGGTCTTGCGCCGGTCCGCCTGCAGTCCTGCCGCCGTCACTGTGTGACCCAAGAAGTCCACAGACAGGCAGCCGAACCTGCACTTCGACATCCGAGCGTAGAGCTACTGAGCGCGCAGAACCTCGAATACAGCGGCCAAGTGAGCAATATGCTCCGCCTCCGTCCGCGAGTAAATGCACAAGTCGTCCAAATAAAACACCACAAAGTCAAAACTGCCAAAGAGCATCCGCATTAGGCGCGACCACACGCCAGGCATTCCGCTGAGGCCCATGGGGGGCCACGCACCACTAGTACGTCTCTGACTCCGTCCTGAACGCTGTGTACTTGCGGCTGGAGGGCTCGACGCGCATCTGGTGGTAGCCCTGCGCCAAGTCAATCGTCGTGAAGAGTCGGCAGCCTACCATTCGGTCGGACAGCTCCTCAATTCTTGGGAGAGGGATTTTAGGCACTTCCGTTTGAGAGTTCACATACCGGTAATCCATGACCCACCGCACGGGTAGCGACGCATTTCCCGTCCGAACCCATTCTGCCTTAGAAGGAGCCTCGCCCGTGACCGGATCCTTCTTTGGCACCGCGAAAATGCTCGATATCCAGGGCGAGTCAGACGTCTCGATCCATTTTTTGCGCAGCAACTCATCGACAAACAGTTTAAGGGCGTCGTGCTCGGTCTTCGACAGCCGAAATGGTGCGCGTGGACTGGGACGCGCGTCGGGCTTCATGGTCAGCCCAAATTCCACCGCACGCGATACTGGTAGCTCATTGGGCAGTTCCTTGGGGAAGCAGTCAGCGTAGTCGTGGAGCAAGCGATCAATTGCGGTCGATGTCCATTGCTCATCTAGACGCCCTTGGCTGCCATTGTCGTTGCCGAGCGGCGCAATGTCCTTGGCCTTGCCAGACACTGCGCCACCGCTGATCCAGTCATCTTCGTCGTCCTCGAGGGCATCCTTGACGCTGACCGGGTTACACGTCGTCTGGCCCGCCGCCTCGGCTTCCTCGGCCATCTGGAAGAACCGCTCCGCATCGTCAATTAGCCACCAGGGGTCCAATAGATCAAAATCGAGAATAACCTCATGCGTGCGCCAATTAATGGTCGGATTGAAGCGAGAGAACCACGGCTTACCCAAAATAACGTCGTGCGCAGCGGGGAGGTCCCACTCCGAGAATAACATATCCGGGAGACAATACCCCCCTTCAAGCATAATATCGGCTTTCACCTCGTTGACCCACTGCGCGTCGGTGACCGAACCGTCGAAAAGCTCTGCGATAGCCTTCTTGCGCTGCACCACTTGCGTAGCTAGGCCCTCGCGCATCACGTTGTGGTCGGCGCCGCTGTCCAACAGAATCTTGACAGGGGTGCCGTTCACCTTGCCCTTCTTGACTAGCAGCCGATGTGCCATCCGGTCTTCGTCCTGGCGGGCAGCGCTGCTCATCCCAGCTGCGTTGATAGTCATCGCTTCAAACAACTCTGTCTCTGCGTCGGGCTCCTCCTCCTCGTAGGCATAGACTCGGTGGCTTGGTGTAGCAGTTGTTTCGCCGTCGCCACGAGGCATGCGAGCGTCGCGCTGGCGCTGGTAGCTCTACTGCTGGTGTTGCGGCTGGCAAAGAGGTCCTCGCTGGCCACTGCGCTTCCGGCACTGAGCCATCCGGTGCCCTGGATCCTTGCAAAAGAAGCATAGATTGCGTCTCTGGCACTCATCCCTCGAGATAACTCGGTCGTACCCTATGTCCATGGGCTCAGGTTGGGGCTCTCGAGCCGGGGCGCGATTCGGGTTGCGGCCAAAGCCTCCAAATCCGCGATGGTCATTGGCTCGTTGAGAGGCAGATCGGGAAATCCCTCGAGATCCATAAAGCTGGGTAGGATGCGCACGCTCATACGTTTACGGCTTCGTGCACCGTACTGCACCGGCGATACACAACCTCGGAGCGAGTCTGTGACACAAGGCCACGCGTAAAGAGCGTAATCTTGTCGAGCTTGCCCATGTCCTTGACGCGGCTGATCAGCTGGCGATACTTAGTCACGTACTCAGTCAGGTCACGGCACTCACGCTGTTTGAGTTGGTCCAGCGAGTCGCGCAAGCGCTCCTGTAAGACGGGTGGAATAAACTCGCGCCGCAACGCCGCTGCGAGCGCCGTGATGTCGGCAATCTCATGCTGCTGCGTGATGTACCAGGTAGCAGCTTGCCCCGTTAGGTTAGAAACCATGATGGCCAGCACACGCTTGCGGTTATCTTCGTGCGTGTAGTCGATGTTCTTAGCCTCAAAGAAGAGCCTGGCTTGATCCAGGAACAGCTCCAAGCTTTCGCCGAGCGAGCCGCCATAGTGCGGCATGCTAATGCCTTCCACCCGCCGCTCCGCGGGTGGCTTTTCTCAATCTTCTCCATCAGCTCCTGCTGTTTGCGCAGGACCGTGGTCACCTCTGCCAACACCTGGGCAGCTACGTTCGCGTCCATTTTCACTTGACGCTCAGAGGGCTTCAGCACAGCTCTGTCTGCGAGCACGACGGTACAACGCTTACTTCCTTTACTGGGGCGTGCTTCTCACAGCTCTGCGGGCACGACGGCAAAGCGCAACCCCGACTTCAACTTTAACTTGGTGTGCACCACACAAAATTCGGTCCGATTGTGTCCGATGGTGTGGTCCACAATCCCTCCGGGACCGAGAGCAAGTGCTACGAAATTTGGAGTTCGTGCACAGCGCAGCTGGAAGGAGAGGGGAGTGAAGCGAAGCAGTAGGACAGTTGTAGAGTAGTCGTCGGGTTGGAGAGGAGGTTGGCTTGTTGCTTTTGAGGCAAATGGAGAAGTGAATTGATTCTTAGCTCGAAAACTAACAGATTGCTGGCAAGCGAGCACTACAGCGGGAAGCTACACTAGAATCTGGCCTCGCATACAGTTTTCTTCATATAACTAGCACACCTACAGCAGCAACAAGAATCTTAGAGACAGCATTGGCGCAAACAATCGCGTGCTCGTGAAAATTCCGTCTCAAAGTCGGAGGCGCCCAGCAGCTCCTGTCGGAAGGAGGTCTTTTGAGTAGAAAGTAGATTCGCCCGCAGCGGGCGAGGCAGTGTGGGTGGCGCAATCCCTACACTGGACCTGAGCGTGTGTGAAGCCGCTCGCTCTGTAGAGCAAGCACGTGTGAGAGCTATGAACAGCGTCGTAGGTCGACAGATGAGGTGTGAACACGCATTTTTTTTCATTGCAGTGCAGATGAAGGCTCGTATGGCAAAACTATTGAACCTCAGAATAGGCAAGATGTTCCTCTTCAAGGTGCAAACCTTGTAGACCTTTACTTGCCGTCATGGGTGATAGGTATTGCAATACATGTAGCAACAATGATAGCAACAGCAGAAAGAAATGGACTTCGTAATATGCACCGAGTGGTAACTGACGCCAAGCCTGTTCCAATGTGACTCGATCACTTGATCCCGAGCTGCGACTTGCAGTCTTGGCAGTACCATTTTCCTTGTGGCTGGTCCGTGAGTCCGACGCAGCCGAAGTGAAACCACTCGTACTTGCAGTCGTCGTTGTCGCAGCCCACCATCTGCCCGAAAGACACGCGCCGACAGCTGCAATAAATAGGTTCGTTCGGGTCGATGGGGAGGTCCTCGGAGGCCAGCAGCACCGGCCCCGCCGCAGCAACAGGCACAGCCACAGCGGCCTCAGCCACCGACCGCTTCCTGGAGGAGCTGGAGCCGCCGCCCGAGGCCTTGGAGACCGCGGGCGTCCCTGACTTGTCCTTAACGCTGCTGGACGTGCTGTTCTTGCTGCGGACGCTGGTGACATGGGGCGTCACGTGGCTCTGCTGACCTAACTGCGTCACTGAGGCCGCTGCCACCTTCTGCTTCTTGCGCTGCGGCCTGCTGTCCTCCTGGTACTCGCCGCTGTTCTTGAGCAGCGACGCGTAGTTCTCCAGGTCGCGGTCCAGGCGGCGGATGTGGTGGTCCACGATGTCGTAGCTCTGCGCGGCGATGGCCACCTTCTCGTCCAGCTTCTGCACCACCAGCGCGTGCTTCTCCTGCAGCTTGGCGATCTCGTCGTCGGCCCCGATGAGCTCGCGCAGCTCCTGCTCCGTGGGCTCACCTTTTGTCGAATCTGCGCACCTTTCGAGCACCTTTTGTCGCGCACCGGTTAAGTACGCTTTTTGGCTCTCCTTAAGTTCGTCGAGGAGCGGGTAGGACGACTGCACAGGGAGGCGGAGGGAGAACGAAGGGTTAGAACGGGTAGAACGGGAGCGAGGGATGTAGAACACACACGCACGAACCTTGTCCAGCTCCCGCATGAGGTCGAAGTTGCGCTTGAGCTCCGACGGCAGCAGGTACATGCTCTCGAGGTAGTCCTCCACGTAGGTGCCCATGGTGGCCAGGAGTGTGACTTGAGTTCAGTATGAACAGACGGCAACAAGTTGTTGGAATCGTACTTAGGAAGCATTCTCTGTGTGGTCACGTTTTGGTCCGAAAAGACTTCAACTTTAAAGTTGCCTTTTTACTTGGTCTTCTTCTTGTCAGTTTTCTTATTCTTGTCGCTTGAGGGTTTCTTCTTGTCCTTTGCGCCTGCTTTGCTCGCTCGCTTCTCGGCCGTCTTCGTGCTATCCTTCGTCTTCTTCTTGGCTGCAGCGTCCTTGGTCTTGGGTTTAGCTTTGGAGTCCGCCGTCTTGCTCTTGGTAGTCTTCTTCACTGCCTCCTTCTTCGTTGTCTTCTTCTTATCATCCTTTGGCCCAGACTTGGTCTTGCCCTTCTTTTCCTTCGCCATGTCCTTCCCTTTGGCTTTGGCTGCGGCCTTGCTGCTCTTGCCCTTGTCCTTCTTGTCCTTGGCCGTCGTGGGCTTCCTCTTAGCCGCGGTCTTCTTGCCTTTCTTGCCCTTCTTGCCGTCCTTGGCGTCGTCGTACGTCTCGCGCCAATTCGGGTCGCCCTCCTTTGCGATGGCGACGGCTGCGTTCTTCTTCTTTAGCTTGCGGCGCATGCGCTTCATGGCGTAGCGCTCCATGGCTGCGCGTTTGCGGCGCTTTCGCCACTCCATCAAGAAGCCTGCGAGCAGGACAAAACCTACACTAGAGAGACCTATGATGAGGCCCCAAGGCAGCGGGCGCTCGTAAACCCAAGTGTGCTCATTGCGACCATCCTCAAACGTCTCATCCACGTTGCCAGCAGGGTCTCGCGCTCGAACGCGCATTCGGAAGGTGCCCGAGTCCAGCCAGCTTTCGAAGTCCACCTCGCCTAAAGTGAGGGTCCAGTTGCGTACGACGAGCTGCTCTACCGTGTCGAGTAAATAGTACTCGAACACGCAGTACGGTTTGTCGCTCTCGAACTTGAACACCGTATCGGAGCTGCCACTCGAGGGCACCAACGTGAACTGAGCGCGCGGACGACGCGCATCGCGGTACCAGACGTCGTTGTCGTAGTAATCTGGAGCTGTGAGACCACCAAGGAGAAGGACACGGCGCTGGAAGATGGCGCCGGCATGGCCAGAGCGCGGCTTGGGTCTCCACTGGCAGATGCTCTCCTGGGCGTCGACGAATACGTCACGAAGGACTTGAACCTGATCGACTCCGAGGACGTCAGCCCAGCGGAGACGGCCAGTTGTTGCGTCCGTCACCTTTGAGCCAATATGAGAGCAGCCGTCCCAGTTCGTCTCATCCTCGGTTGTCGTAGTTTGAGCTGCTGCCGCCTCTGCGTCGCCGTTGGCTCCTTGAATCACCTTCACATTGGCGTATTCGGCTCCTTCGTACTCTGTTGGCTGTACAGTGCATTGCTCCACCACCAGCTCAGCCAGGGCGATGTAGTCACACACAGGCATGAGTTGTCGTAAAGCGAGTGTTTGGTCGAACGACAGGCTGGTGAGGTCCATGATCGTGTTGACCCCAGCCACTCCTAGTGCCACTGCGTCCGCGTCCACCATCGTTCGGAGATAGGACACATCGCTGGTTGGACGTACATATTCAGCGAACGCAGTGTCCGATGAATAGTCTTTGATCCAGTCGGTGTCCCCTCCCTTCCAGACCCAAACGTCCTCCAGCGTCCGCTCTGCATCCTCGCCAAACATCAAGATGAGCTGGTCGTCCGGATCGTCGCCTGAAGTTTGGTCAGGCGCACCAGGTAGAACGAGTCCCACGTGCTTCGCTCGTGGCGTCCAAGGTGCCGCCTCCGTCACTTGGGTCCACGTAGACCCCGTAGCACTCACCCACACGTCGTTCAGTAGCTCCGTCTCCGCTTCTCCAGTCCCCTCCTTGGTTTGCGAGGCACCGGTCCGTCCACCGAGGATGTAGAGCAGCGACTTGAAGACCACCAACGAGTGCTCCCCACGAGGCGAGAACTCGGCATGACGCGTGAGCATCTTCCAGTGCTGGCCGTCCGTGGACATCCAGATATCGTTCAGGTAGGATCGATAGCCGCCACCGCATGCGAATTCCTCGCCGGACGGACGCTTTCGAGCGTTTTCTTCGACACCACAGTTCCCCAACTCGACGAGCGCGTAGCCTCCGGACAGATACAAGGCGTCATCGAACACTGTCACAGCGTGGAATTCACGTGGTGACCACATATTGCAGACGCAGAATCCCGTCGCCGTAGCTTCATCCACTTGACACGATGCGTCGCCCTCGCACTGATCGTCATCTTCACACTGTAGCTCCGGGCGTGTGGCCTTGTGCACCAGAGAACGTTGAGGGTAAGCGCATCCTGGAGTCACCAGTTTCCACGAGGAACCAGAGTCACTACTGCGCCACACGTCGTTCTTCAGCACGGCGAACTCGAGCCAGCGGACATTGACTGGAGCCATGGTGCCAGGCCCCGTACCACCGCGTAGCTGTGACTGAGGGACTGGAAAATGCTCACGCGCCCGACCCCCGAATACGAACAACTCGTTCTGGAAGGCGAGTGCCACGAAGTTCCGTCGTGGAGAGAACATATTATCTGCGAGGTAAGCTCCAGGAGGTTTTGTGGGGTCGTCGCATCCCGAGGGTGGATTGACTGCCCAGGCCGCTGCAGCGCATGAAATCCACTCGGAGTAAGTGATGCCTCGCGGAGGACGCTTCCCGTTATTCGTCTGCAGCCAGGTTACATTCGCCACGATTTGGGGCAGCGGATCTCCCCACTTCGTAGTCTTGAGGATATTCGTCTGGACGTTCCAGGTCGGCCCCGTTGTACTCCACACGTCGTTGCGCATGGCACCTCCACCCGGGTATGCGCGTAGATCTTGGGAGCCCTGCACATTGGAGTCTCCTCCCAGCACGAATAGTCTCGCCTTTTGCCCTGTAGAGCGCACGTAGTCGTCACTGAAGTCCAAAGCTGCCACTGCATGGCCGTGGCGACTTGTCCAGGGGGTGATTTCTCTCACCGCGGCATTCGTGTGTTTCGCGCCGCTGACCTGGGCCCAATTCGCTGCGTGCGTACGATGGAACGAGCCTAACGAGATAATTGCGATCAGCCAGGAAGACCATCGATGCCGAGTCATATGGAGTCACAAGAGAGAATGCCGCTGTTGGCATTGAAAGCAGCAAGCACCGCACCACTATTTCAAGCGCGAGATGCATTCCATTTTCGGATGAGGGTGAGAATGAATAACCCAAGCTGAGTGAGATATTATCATGGGCATTCCTTACTTAACTTCAAACTAAAAGCGCAGTCCGTAGTAGCGGGAGAAGACGATGGAGGCGAACATGAGTGCGTCAATGCGGTCCAGTGCACCGCGAAATCAATTTGCCTGAACCCTTCACCCCCGCAGCTCGCTTCAACAAACTTAAGTAAATCTCGTAATCGACCACTGTGATGATGGTGCACGTCACTTTCGTGCCAAACGACCCCGGGAGATTCAGAATATCCGAGGCCAGCCACCGCCATAGCCACAATATTAAAGACAATCGCTCGCAGTGTGCCTTCATAATTCTTGTTCTAGTGACGAGCGAGCAGGTTGTAAAACGGGTAGTTGAAGAAAACGAGAGCCTTGCCGACTAGGTAAGTGCCCGTGTCGGATGCCCACACAATAGCTAGCAGCGCGATCAGCAGTTTCCGGTAGAGGATTTGAACATCGTCATTCACGAAGGATTCGAGAATCGAGAGACTGCCGGTGATGCACACCACCAGCCCCACCACACCCAGCATGAACGTCACAAATGCTTGAGCGTTGCTGCGTGACGACGCAAGGCGAAGCACGAGAACAACGAGAAACCCAATGAGGAAAACGTGTGACGTAGTGATGGCGACGTTGCAGCCCCTTGGTTCAAAATAAGCTTACAGCGTGTCGCTATTGAATCTCGAGCACCAGGTCACCCTTCCTTGGGGCCCTCCATCGTCTCCAGCCGCGTTAGAATCCTCAACCGGATGCGGTTGGCCAGGCAAGCGTACGCGTACGAGCAGGTGCTGGCCAAGAAGCTGCAGACTGTCGTAGTAGCGAAAGCCAATGACGACCAGAGGAACGCCGTCACGGCCGGCACCGTCCAGAGTACGCTCTACACCGCATTACTTTGAGTACAACGCAAGAACTCGGCGGAGCAACTGCAGCGGGACGATACGTATACTCAAGTTTACTTCGAGAAACAAATCTTTACGCGATTAAGTACCATGTTCATTATTTCGCTATTATATTTGTGGTCTCATAGCAAACAGTGCAATGACTCCAACATTAACTGCGGTGAGTACACTCATTAGCAGACGCAGGTAGCGAAGCAGCGGTGCGCCTTCATCCACTAGACTTGCAAACATTGGTACTTCTTGAATCCCTTCGAACGCACAGGCGATAAGGTCAGCAGTCAGGCCTGTGGCCAGTTGAACGTTTGCCGCGAGTAACTGGGTGTCTGTTGCCGAAGACATGTAGCCCAAGTCGTACCGCGGATGGGAGCGGAGGGTGTAGAGCATTGCAACAGCTAGTCCGATGGAAATGTATTTCCCATGCATGTCGGCGTAAATTTCAGCGGCATGCAACCGAAGCCTGTAGTTCTTCCAGTCGAGAAAGCGCGAGTACTCGGCTCGTGCACGAATAGCATCGCGTGCTTCCAGTCGAGAATTGACACGGTGAAGTAGACGCTTGATGATCCGCGAGTTGGCTAGTCGAGACGAGAGCGTGTAGCGGAGATAAAACATCTTCGTCACTCGGAAGAGGACATCGAAGAGCACGAGAGCCAACGAGCTGGAAATAATCGACGAACTGTTGACACCTTTTTGCATGAACACGAGTCGGATCGGAGTGTCGATGCAAATGGTGGGTACCGTCATAACAGTGTGCACCATACGCGCTGAATGGCGTTGTTGTGTGCGATTCAGTTGTAGTCTCTTCGCCGCCTCTTGTAGTGCGAGCTTAAGCGCTTGGCTGGCTCCAGCGAGAAGTATCGCCTGCCACCGTTCATGCAGCGATAAGGCCGCTACGGTGTGAAGAAATAGGAAAGCTATGTGGAATGTGGCCACCGGCAGAGCTTGAGCTCGGAGTAACTGGAACATAAGCTCGCCCAACTTCACTATTCGTCGAGGCCCCACGTTCTTAGAATGGGCGATGGAGAAATCCACGGTAGGTTTTGCCATCGCAGGTCCAATTACACTGAGCGGTGCCGGCGTTACGGACGCCCTTGGGAGGAAAACAAGTGATCGACGCACTGTCCGAATGAGTTTGAGCCGCAAATGCACCTCTGCATACATAACGTACGCGTAGCTGGTCGCACACAACACGTAGACGTCAATTCGCCCATACTTGCGGTAATCGACCCGATAAAAACGTAGTAATTCCATGAAATATGCGCCACTAGACACTGCCATAGCGAGAGGAACACTTGTCGAAATCACATTTCGCGCGAGAAGTCTCGAAAACCCAGGTGCGTTTGGATCGAGCGACCAAATTCCGGCTGAAAACGTGAAAAGTCGATTCCCCACAGTGAAGGACTTCGTGACGAGGTGAGCCAAGCATGCGATTAGAACAAAGTAGAACCCCACAACGGCGTCAAACTCGGCTGATGCCATGGAAGTTGTAAATACTGGAGCCGACCACATCGACGACGACCAAACCGGAATGAAAGGAGACCACAGAGGGCCAACCGCGTAAAAAACCACAGTAATCCAGGCACAAAATATACTCGGGATGCAATTTACCACCACAAGACGCATAACCTGCAGCGCATCAATCCACGTCTGCGCTCGGAACAGGTTCTTCTGAATGAGCTCCGCTACGTTTTGAATCTCCATGTACGCGACCGTCTGAGCGTCTCCAGTTGACCGCCGACGACGAGTATGGTGGTGGGGAGCTACAGAAGTCACGGCTGGTACTTGTGCCACACGGGGGCCGACTGTGGTCGGGTTAGCGTCGTCATCGGAACTCCCAGACGTGAAGGTCTCCGTGGGAGACGCAACTGTCGTTGGACGACCCCATGCCTCTCGGCGCAATGCTGTGACTGCACGCGGACTTCTTACCAGGGTATGAGGTTCGTCCATCGATTCATGAAGCTGAGAGCAAGCTAATACAGCAGCGAAAACAAGAAGCAACAGTTCCCATGCACTAGTTTCATGTTGAAGTATTTCAAAATAGCTGCGGTGGTGCTAGTATTGTCAATCAAAACCGGACTGATAAGAGCATGAGGCGCCTGTCGTTCTCCTTTTAGCTGGCTGCTTGACTGGCTAGTGACCGGACTTGAGTAGCTTAACAAACCTGTCCCTGTAGTTCTCTTGCCTTCGTTGCGTCGATAGTGCTCTCCACACCCACACTGTTGGGGAACTCTCCCCTTGCATGTAGAACGGCTTCGCCAGAGAATGGAGATGTCGAATGCGCGCTTATCACCGGGGTCGTGGGCAGTAGAAGCCATCGGAATGTACAACAGCCGTCGGATCAATCTCCACTCGCTTCTCAATTGGGAGTGAATCTTTGTACAGTGCTGGTGCACTGAACGGGCCTGCTTGGTTGCGTCGGGATACTCGGCTGTTCATAAAGTGGTGCCTCACTTCGCTTGGGAACACCATGGACGAACTTGTGATTTAAAAAACAGCCCCACACTCCGTATCCCGCAAGCAGGACATCGGACACTACGAAGCCAAAAACCTAGTAAACACGTCGATTAGCCTGAGAAGGCTATACCGTAATTCCAGAGTGAGCTGAGATTCTCAGCTCACTCTGGAATTACGGTATTTTTGCTTCTTGGATTTTGTTTGCGGCTTCCTCTTGCGTGGGCGCTGTTGTGGTGGTCGCAAGTTCACGGCGACAGCATGTCGTCGAATTGTCGCTACCGGTAAACCAGCGCTCTCAGACTTTGTTCCGAAGGTACATCCTGCCCATGATGCAAGTGTATTCGCTCCCGTTGGAGCATGCGTGCCGCCTCAATACGACGCCAACATGCATTAATTAATACAAGCACATACACAGACGCTGCTTGCTCAGTTGCTCGCCGCCCTGTTCACGCCAGGCCTTTCTCTCCGTCGCTGGCCATCATCCAGGATCGACAATCCAACATGCGCCGTGTGGTGCCGCGCCGCGTTAAACCAATCGGAGCGCGTGCGTGGCATCAACAACTCGCGAGTGTTAAGCCCGAGGTGAGGTGTGGGGTGTTGTTGGGTACCTAACTTCCTCATGCCACACGCCCGTTCCCACGCTTGGGAACCGACGCGCTTCAGCCTCAGGCTCACTTCAGATTCGCTTCGCCTCCCCGCAAGACCAACCAACAACTCCATCTTAACCTCAACATGCTGGGCCGCCAGCTCGTCACCGCGACCAAGACGGCGCGCAGCACCAGCGCCGCCTGGTGGAAGCGCGCCGCGTCGTCCCTGGACCCCGTGCGCCAGGACGACGTCAAGAAGCCCGAGAACTTCCAGCTCGTCATCGTGGGCACGGGCTGGGCCGGCTACCAGCTCTTCACGCAGTGCCGCAAGCACCTGGTGGACATTGAGGAGAACGTCGGCCGACCCGTGGACCTCGTGGTCGTCTCCAAGCGCAACGTACGTCTGTCTCCACTGCAATAGCCTTGATCAACTATGGCTGGCTTACCGACGGTGTGTGTATCAACTGCAGCACTTCCTGTACACGCCGCTGCTGGCCAGCACGACCGTGGGGACGCTCGAGTTCCGCTCCATCATCGAGCCGCTGCGTGACAGCATGTTCAGTCACGAGAGCGACTTCCACCTGGCCAACGTGCAGGACGTAGATCCGGAGCAAAAGGTGCTCAAGGTGGAGTCGGCCATCAGCGACGCGAGCCGCCACCGCAAGTACGACATCAAGTACGACGCGCTGGTGCTGGCGTGCGGCTCGCGCCCGCTGACCTTCGGGCTGCCGGGCGTGGAGGAGCACGCCTTCTTCCTCAAGGAGATCAGCCACGCGCAGAAGATCCGCAACCGCATCCTCGAGAACTTCGAGGCGGCCACGCAGCGCGGCGTGACGCCCGAGGAGAAGCAGCGGCTGCTGCACTTCGTGGTGGTGGGCGGAGGCCCCACGGGCATCGAGTTCTGCGCCGAGCTCTACGATCTGGTGCTGCAGGACCTCGTGCACAAGTACCCGCAGACGTCCAAGTACCTGGGCGTGACGCTCGTGGACTCGGGCGAGATCCTCAACGGCTTCGACAAGCACCTGCGTGCTGTGGCGCTGCGCAAGATCCAGAAGCGCAGCACGATGGAGATCGTGAAGAAGAATTGCATCGAAGTGACGGAAGAAGGCGTCACGGTCGAGGGCGGCGAGAAGATCCCTGCCGGACTCGTGGTCTGGACTGCTGGAGTGGGTCCCAATGAGCTCACCAAGTCGCTAACGGTGTTCGAGAAGAGCAAGCGCGGGAACATCCTCACTAACCAGTATTGCCAGGTGCTGGGCGCCGCTGAGGTCGAAGAGAAGGCCCCGTGGGGAATGCCGCGCCGCTCGAACGTGTTCAGTATCGGCGACTGTGCTGAGATTCTCGATTATCCGCTGCCAGCTACGGCCCAGAAGGCGCAGACGCAAGCCAACTACCTTACGTCGCTGCTTCGAGGCAAGAACCCGACGCCGGCCAAGCCGTACGCATTCCAGAGCAAGGGTATGATGGCGTACTTGGGCTCTTACGAGGGCCTTTTCGAGGCCCACCCCCGCGACGACGACAGAATCACGCTCAGCGGGTGGAAGGCCTGGTTCCTCTGGCGTAGCGCGTACTTGACCAAGCTGGGAAGCTGGCGGCTCCGGATGCAGGTGCCGCTGGACTGGCTTAAGGCGATTCTCGTAGGCCGTGACGTGTCCAAGTTTTAGACGGGCAGGCTACATTAATAAACCCCTCTCTGAACCCCTTGCGGCGGTTGCTATGTGCGATGCTACCTCTCCGTTACCGAAATGATTCGATTCCAGTGCTCAAGTGGCGAAGTGAAGCGTACAAGTCGGAATCTGCATGGCCGCGCACCTCGTTTCAGGCCAAAACTTCTGCGTGTATGACGGTGGCTCGTTGTGTTACCGACATCGACTTCTGCTCCGCAAGCTGCTGGTGAACAAAATTTGGAGCGAAGTTGCGTGCCGATTTAAGGCGTGGAAGGCGTTTTGCAGTCGGTCTCGTGTGTTTTTGCATCGGCTACTCGGAGTCGATCAAAGGCAGCGGCGCCGATGTGCGTTTTCTCGATGGAAGATAATGGTTTATTCCCAGCAGCTCAGCGAGCAAGCAGAAGCACTCGTCGTTGTCCGTCGTAGCCACCAAGCAGCGAAGGTATGGTCTCATATATACATTAGACAGTAATCGCTGCATTGTACTAACACTGTGAACGACCATTTATCCAGAAATTGGCGCGGGCTCTGACGAAACACGATAAGCTATTCGTGCTGTCTGTTTGGGTGGGATGGAGATCTTGGCATCGTAAACAGCGCTGCGCACTCTTTCAACGAGTCGCGATGTGCCAGTACAGAAGGCGATTTCGTCAGTGGTTTGAGTTTGCGAGCCAGTCGATAGCTCGTCGTCGGCAAAGAGTGCAGCAAGTTCGAGAAATGCTGAACGAAGCTGTCAACTTCTCGGTCACGTCGGCTGAGTTTGCTTGTGCTCCCAATGCTACGGATGATGACGCAAATGATAAACACAGCACAGTTGCCAAAGCTCTGACGAGGTGCTTCGACGCCGTGCACCGTCTACATCAACGACAAGAGCTCGCCGGAACATGGAGCCGCTGGTATAAGGTCGGCATGGAAGAATCGCAGTGTACTGCTTCTCCAACTCATTCAGACTCGACAGGGGAAAAACAGATAATCCATCAGGTCAGCTTCGACGCCCGCAACGAATAGCGAGGCGGTTTCGGTGCGCGTCTTCAGCACAAATCAAAGCAAGGAAGGCCCCCCGATAGGTGTGGAGGTAGTATCAAATGTTAGTACTCATATCATATGAGTCATAGTATATGACTCATATATTGTGCTTTGCATCCAGTTTGCCCTACTACAGTAATCTGCCCGAGTAAGGAACGCCTGATATATATAAAGACGCAGAATATATAAATTGATGTTAGGTTGAGTTTGCTTTTCCAATGTACTGATTTAGTTATTTCAAAATCAACTGAAGAGCAGCTTTACCTACGAGTCCGGAATGATTCCAACAGTGGAGAGGGTGTGTTGTGGTGCGTGGGAGGTGTGTGTGATGCGTTTCTGGTGGTGTGGTGTTTGGTTGTTGATTTGGAAGGTGGTGAAAAAGTGGTCGCTGCGTTCGGTTGTAAGAGCCCCTATAGCTCAGTGGTAGAGCACCCGCTTAGTAAGCGGAAGGTCGGTAGTTCAATCCTGCCTGGGGGCAAATTCCTTGCAATCGCTTCACGATGGCGCGTGCTGGTGCCGTTCGTGAGCGAGGCGTGCGTCACGCCGTCTTTGCTTCGTTTTGCTCGCCTCCACGTCTCCCTTCTCTCCGCTTATTTTGGGCCGGCACCTGGATTGCCGCAGCCACCACTGCCTCCTCATAGCACTGGCTACAGCATACCCGCCTCAGCGTCCAAATAACCGTCTGTGTGGACGACCGCGCTTCTTGCTTTGTCGCTTTGTTCTCGGTGATCCTTGAAAGCCGCTCCGTTCCGGCACCGAGCCGCTGGGTCTTCCGGGCCGTCCGATTCCCGATTGGCCCGCAGCTCACGTTCGCTTGTTTGGCTGGATGACCGAAATGCCCAGTCTCCTTGGGGTTTGCTCTGACTGTCCAAAGCTGTATGATCCGTTTGCGGTTTGGTTCGTCGGTTGCATCGCGGAGTACACGTGTGCGGTGGGCGTGTGAGGCGGTTCGTTGTGCGAAAAGACCGCTTCGTGGGCTGCGTCTGCGACCGCAGCGAGAGGGTGTCCTGAGCTGGGTCGATCAGCGAGAGGTGGTGTATCTCGGCGGTGCGTGGTCGGCGGCGACTGGTAGTGCGTGAGAGGGTGTGTTGTGGTGCGTGGGAGGTGTGTGTGATGCGTTTCTGGTGGTGTGGTGTTTGGTTGTTGATTTGGAAGGTGGTGAAAAAGTGGTCGCTGCGTTCGGTTGTAAGAGCCCCTATAGCTCAGTGGTAGAGCACCCGCTTAGTAAGCGGAAGGTCGGTAGTTCAATCCTGCCTGGGGGCAAATTCCTTGCAATCGCTTCACGATGGCGCGTGCTGGTGCCGTTCGTGAGCGAGGCGTGCGTCACGCCGTCTTTGCTTCGTTTTGCTCGCTCACGTCTCCCTTCTCTCCGCTTATCTTAGGCCGGCACCTGGATTGCCGCAGCCACCACTGCCTCCTCATAGCACTGGCTACAGCATACCCGCCTCAGCGTCCAAAAACCCGTCTGTGTGGACGACCGCGCTTCTTGCTTTGTCGCTTTGTTCTCGGTGATCCTTGAAAGCCGCTCCGTTCCGGCACCGAGCCGCTGGGTCTTCCGGGCCGTCCGATTCCCGATTGGCCCGCAGCTCACGTTCGCTTGTTTGGCTGGATGACCGAAATGCCCAGTCTCCTTGGGGTTTGCTCTGACTGTCCAAAGCTGTATGATCCGTTTGCGGTTTGGTTCGTCGGTTGCATCGCGGAGTACACGTGTGCGGTGGGCGTGTGAGGCGGTTCGTTGTGCGAAAAGACCGCTTCGTGGGCTGCGTCTGCGACCGCAGCGAGAGGGTGTCCTGAGCTGGGTCGATCAGCGAGAGGTGGTGTATCTCGGCGGTGCGTGGTCGGCGGCGACTGGTAGTGCGTGAGAGGGTGTGTTGTGGTGCGTGGGAGGTGTGTGTGATGCGTTTCTGGTGGTGTGGTGTTTGGTTGTTGATTTGGAAGGTGGTGAAAAAGTGGTCGCTGCGTTCGGTTGTAAGAGCCCCTATAGCTCAGTGGTAGAGCACCCGCTTAGTAAGCGGAAGGTCGGTAGTTCAATCCTGCCTGGGGGCAAATTCCTTGCAATCGCTTCACGATGGCGCGTGCTGGTGCCGTTCGTGAGCGAGGCGTGCGTCACGCCGTCTTTGCTTCGTTTTGCTCGCCTCCACGTCTCCCTTCTCTCCGCTTATCTTAGGCCGGCACCTGGATTGCCGCAGCCACCACTGCCTCCTCATAGCACTGGCTACAGCATACCCGCCTCAGCGTCCAAATAACCGTCTGTGTGGACGACCGCGCTTCTTGGCTTGTCGCTTTGTTCTCGGTGATCCTTGAAAGCCGCTCCGTTCCGGCACCGAGCCGCTGGGTCTTCCGGGCCGTCCGATTCCCGATTGGCCCGCAGCTCACGTTCGCTTGTTTGGCTGGATGACCGAAATGCCCAGTCTCCTTGGGGTTTGCTCTGACTGTCCAAAGCTGTATGATCCGTTTGCGGTTTGGTTCGTCGGTTGCATCGCGGAGTACACGTGTGCGGTGGGCGTGTGAGGCGGTTCGTTGTGCGAAAAGACCGCTTCGTGGGCTGCGTCTGCGACCGCAGCGAGAGGGTGTCCTGAGCTGGGTCGATCAGCGAGAGGTGGTGTATCTCGGCGGTGCGTGGTCGGCGGCGACTGGTAGTGCGTGAGAGGGTGTGTTGTGGTGCGTGGGAGGTGTGTGTGATGCGTTTCTGGTGGTGTGGTGTTTGGTTGTTGATTTGGAAGGTGGTGAAAAAGTGGTCGCTGCGTTCGGTTGTAAGAGCCCCTATAGCTCAGTGGTAGAGCACCCGCTTAGTAAGCGGAAGGTCGGTAGTTCAATCCTGCCTGGGGGCAAATTCCTTGCAATCGCTTCACGATGGCGCGTGCTGGTGCCGTTCGTGAGCGAGGCGTGCGTCACGCCGTCTTTGCTTCGTTTTGCTCGCCTCCACGTCTCCCTTCTCTCCGCTTATCTTAGGCCGGCACCTGGATTGCCGCAGCCACCACTGCCTCCTCATAGCACTGGCTACAGCATACCCGCCTCAGCGTCCAAATAACCGTCTGTGTGGACGACCGCGCTTCTTGCTTTGTCGCTTTGTTCTCGGTGATCCTTGAAAGCCGCTCCGTTCCGGCACCGAGCCGCTGGGTCTTCCGGGCCGTCCGATTCCCGATTGGCCCGCAGCTCACGTTCGCTTGTTTGGCTGGATGACCGAAATGCCCAGTCTCCTTGGGGTTTGCTGTGACTGTCCAAAGCTGTATGATCCGTTTGCGGTTTGGTTCGTCGGTTGCATCGCGGAGTACACGTGTGCGGTGGGCGTGTGAGGCGGTTCGTTGTGCGAAAAGACCGCTTCGTGGGCTGCGTCTGCGACCGCAGCGAGAGGGTGTCCTGAGCTGGGTCGATCAGCGAGAGGTGGTGTATCTCGGCGGTGCGTGGTCGGCGGCGACTGGTAGTGCGTGAGAGGGTGTGTTGTGGTGCGTGGGAGGTGTGTGTGATGCGTTTCTGGTGGTGTGGTGTTTGGTTGTTGATTTGGAAGGTGGTGAAAAAGTGGTCGCTGCGTTCGGTTGTAAGAGCCCCTATAGCTCAGTGGTAGAGCACCCGCTTAGTAAGCGGAAGGTCGGTAGTTCAATCCTGCCTGGGGGCAAATTCCTTGCAATCGCTTCACGATGGCGCGTGCTGGTGCCGTTCGTGAGCGAGGCGTGCGTCACGCCGTCTTTGCTTCGTTTTGCTCGCCTCCACGTCTCCCTTCTCTCCGCTTATCTTAGGCCGGCACCTGGATTGCCGCAGCCACCACTGCCTCCTCATAGCACTGGCTACAGCATACCCGCCTCAGCGTCCAAATAACCGTCTGTGTGGACGACCGCGCTTCTTGCTTTGTCGCTTTGTTCTCGGTGATCCTTGAAAGCCGCTCCGTTCCGGCACCGAGCCGCTGGGTCTTCCGGGTCGTCCGATTCCCGATTGGCCCGCAGCTCACGTTCGCTTGTTTGGCTGATGACCGAAATGCCCAGTCTCCTTGGGGTTTGCTGTGACTGTCCAAAGC